TTTAAATAAATATTCGAATTTATATTAAATTCTCTTTTTTTTTTACTAATTATTTTACTATTAATTTCTAGCTTTACTTATAAGAATTCTTTAAACTAGAAATATAAGGCCGAGTTATTTCTATTAAGCTTATTAGAATTCAAGAAATAAGCTTTTAATTATTTTATAATAAGAAATTAAGAAAATATATAAAATAAAAAAAGTATTTATATTTATGAAAGATTCGAAATTATTATATATTTATTAATTAATTTAATTTATATAATTAGATTTACTATTAAATTCACTTATTATATAACTAGCTTTAATAATTATTAGAACTATATTATAAAAGCTTTTATAGCTATTAAGGGGCTTTATTTATTATTTTGGTTTTATAGCTATTTATTTATTTATTTAATTAATTATTAGAAGTTCTGCTTTTAAATCTTTATATAATAAAAAGATCCGGTAAATTTCTCTTTTTAAGCCGGGCTCAAAAAAACCCAAATAATTCCTGGTATTAGCCGGTTAAATTAGTACTATAATAAGAATATAAAACAAGGAGTAATATATAGAGTATAGAATAGGCTTCTATAATATGGGTTTATAATATATAAAAACTGAGGCGTGGAATTAAGAAGTAAAGGTTAGTTAATTTCTAAGAACTAAGAAAAAGAAAGAAGTAATATAAGCAGACTATAGACTATACGGATGTCCGGAAGTTATATTATAGAACTACGTAACCAGGGAATAAAATCCCTACTATAGTACTCTGGCTTCTATATATATTTTCGGGTATTTCTTATTACTAGCTTTTATATACTTTAAAGTCTTACTAAGGCATTAGTTTTATAAGTAAGTTTAAATAAAGTTTATTTCTAGCTTTATTTACTTTAAGCTTTATCTTTTATATATAAGAATAAATACTTCTTATTTCTAGCTTTATATATATTTAATTTCTAGTTAATAAAAATAAAAGAAAAAGAATTCTAATATTATAGACTAAGCCTATATATAAAGAAAACTAGTAATTTAATTAACTAAATAAAATTCTTTAAAAAGAAAAGAAAAAGAAAAAAATAAATAAATAAAACTATATTTCTTAAAGTATTTAAGCTTTCTAAATAATATATAATTACTTTATTATTTAAAGGAGACATATTATATAATAAGGGCTTTAGTCTTTATTATATAACCTAGTAAAGGCTTCTAGCCAAATATATAAATCGGGTTTTAACCCGTTATAATAAGAATTTATACTTTAATTATATTAATCTATATTATATTTTTATTTTTTAGTTTAATTATAAAATTATATTTATAATATTAAGCTTTATTTTTTATTAAATAAGCTTTAAAAAAACACTTATTTAAAAGCGTTTTATAATTATAATATTATTAGTAATTAAATTTTTAATAATATTTCAAATTATACAAGTATTATATTTATTAATAAAAACTAGTTATTTTAGCTTTTATATAAATATTAGAACTATTTAAATTTATATTAATAAAATAAATATATATATAATACTTTTTTATATTAAAAAGAAATCTTTATAATTTATGTTTTTAATAATTTAAAAAAGAGTATTAAAATTATTATTTAATATTTCAAAAGTTATTAAAAGAAAAGAAAAGAAAAGAAGAAAAAGATAATATTATATTATAATAATAAATAAACTTGCTTTCTTAAGAAGAGATTTCTTAGTAAAATTAAAAGCAATTCTATTTTACTAACTTTTTGAGATAGCTTTTATTTCAAGGAATGATTTTAAAACCCCCGAATTAAGATACGAATTATATCTTTTTAGAAAGTCCAATTTTAGAAGCACTTACTGTACGGAGGACGCGGCCATAAGTCTTGCAACTACTAGGTCAGCGCCACTTTTCGCTTAAGTGGTAGGGGCGTTGCACGGCAACCAGAGGACGCTGTAATTACAGGGCTCTATAGGCTTTCGAGAACCAAAAGATAGCATACAGGCCCTATAAATATCGCTAAACTTGCTATTTCTCCAGGCTATCAAGCCCCCAGTGTCGTTGCTAGGTCAGCGGCTTGTGGCGTCCTAAGGCTTGGCGCTCACCCTTGCCGGTTGCAAGACTTATGGCCGCGTCCTCCGTACTTTGACCGCAGTCAAAATGCAGAGTTCTCTGTCTAGAAAGGCTTCTCGCAGGCAATTCCCCACTGCAACATTATAGATAAGACCATTCTTGAAGAATTTTGTTGCATGTCGCACTCGGAGATCAGGGAAAAGTGGTCTGATGCTTGCAGCCCAACGGCGGCTTCCCTATCCAATAGGCTGCACTATCCCCCGCAATCGCCCTCTTGCGATCGCAACAAAACTTGAAATGTGTTGGGAAAAGATGTTGATTGGAGGAACATAGATAGTGTCGGTAAGGAGGAGGTCTCCTATAATTTTGCAGACGTGCAACAGAACTTGTAGTCTCATGACTATTTACGGGGAAAGCGCACGAAGTAAAGCGCACCCAATTGGTGCAACAGTAGGGGGTGTTCAACCAGCTCTTGCCCCACCACCCTCCCTCAATCAAGGTTGTAAGGCAAACCGCAAGAAAATATTGAGGCAGTCCTACTTTAAAGCAAAATACAATAAAGATCTCTTGTCTTTTAATACCCTGTGGTTGTCCTTGGTAGCCCTTGCCTCCTACACCCCTCTTGGCATTCTTACACTCGTGCTTCAGCTGGTTCACCGTCGTAACTTTGTTATAACACGAACTGAGCCAAAGGATAAAACGAGGAGTAAAAATAGAGAGCGAGGCTAGAAGTATGCGCGGACTTTAATATTTAAACCCTAAGGCACTAATACATTTGGTATCACTTCTCACCAACACCCTGGCAACTTTACCTCGGACGTTAGCCTCATGCTTCTTAGCCCTACCGAGCGCCGGCACTATGTGATAACAGATCAAGTTTCTTGTCTATGACCTATTCCGCTCCCGATTCTAAGCCTTCTTTCTAATAATATCCGTTCACTTCACGTCCTTCTCCAGTCTATTTATAGAGCTTCTCGCACGACTCCTCCGTTCTCTCACCGGCGCCGACCTCTACTAAGAGCCCCCTCTCCCGATATTTACGAGTGATCCCCTTATTCTCTTACACATCCTCCTCGCATCATTTCTCCCTGTTGAATGATTCAAGTCTCAATTTCGCTGATTTCAGATGATTTATCCTGCCGAGCGGAGATGGAAACGTGAGGAAAGCAGTTGGCGAAAAGAAGCGATAAGGTTAAGGGAGTGCCCATACTTCGCTTCCGTCTGCCTTCTCAACCTCATCCAGCACATTTTGTGACGGTCTTCCTTGCCGACTGCTTGAAAGCATAGAGACAACTTCTCCCGCCACGAGTCTAACGCCTTCCATCCCGATTCCCAATCCACCCATGGTGGCAGATTCCGCTCTTTCAATCAAACCTCGTATCCCTCGACGAAGAACTCATCCGGTCCCTCCGCAAAAGCGAGTTGCGACGCTACTCCCTCGCACTCCAATTCTACGTATAAGTACGGCACTGCCACCAAACGCGCTACCTGCTCCAGGCATACCAATACCTCCTACAAGCTTCTCCGTTTCATCAGCTTCCCCCCTCCCCTCCTACGACTACCTCTCGGAATAAGACACAACGTTCGCGCCTGCCCGCTTCAGGGTCCCTTCCTAGACCAGCACTTCCGCAAGCCTCACCCACGCCAACTGCAATAACCCCTTTCATTCCGTCAATCCTTCCAGCCCACCTTCGTCCTTGTCTGCAGACAGCTCAATAGCTAGGCTATTCCAATCTTCTATGGCTCAGCGGACCGGACGCTAAATATCACGATCAACTACAAACCGTGGATATATTCGGGAGAGTGGTCTTCTCCGAGAATATCACAAGCGGTAAGATCGCCGATAAGGCACGTACGGCTGACCAGTTTCTTCGGCACAGAGAAGAAGAAGAATAAACCGTCCGTGACGGAAGCAGAGGGATGATTGGTGGTGGTGAAGGGGGAGGCGGTTTGGTGGTCCAAGGGCGAGGATACAAACGCTGATGGTTGATTGGAGGGTGCCACGGTTGACGCTTATGTGGGAACGGAAGAGGGAAGTGCTGGGGGTGCTGGGGGTGCTGAGGGTGTTGAGGGTGCTGAGGGTGTTGAGGCCGAGCGTTGTGAAGGTAGGGGAGATTAATTGGGGGTTGCAGTATCCGGGCAGAGGGTATAAATTTCGGACATAGTACTCGATGCAGCTGCAGATGGATTGAGAGGAAGAGCATGTATGGGATAGCGCCAAAACGTGTGGAGAGGATGTAAGTAATTCTGTGTCATACAGTTTAGTACATATCTTCCAGCAGATGCGCACCACTTCAAGAATTCCTGACAGATCTTAGGATATGGAATAAAGTACCTGATCCTGGGTGATCCAGAGGCAAGCCCTGCACATGTTTTGTTCCCCCCTATCTGGAGACGATATTACCAAACCCTCTCATAATTGAGATTATAAATTTTACTTTCAGAGGGCTCTTCAAGGAAACGACCAGGGCATGGGCAAGGAGAAGTATGAATAGCAAGCCGCCAGGCTCGACTCCAGTTGAAAAGACATCTCTTCACTTGACTAGCTCCCTTTGGGTTCAGTCACAGCCATTTTGGGAATATACCTCCAAGGAACGTTTTGCTATTTCCAAAAGACTGACATGAGAAAGTGCCGTAAAAGAAGACAAACTGAATTATGTGGTGCATGTTTAGAATCCTTGACGAGAAACGAACCAAAGAGTCCCCCAGCAAGTCGGTTCGTAAAGCTGAGACGTCCACCACGTTGTCTAATATGGCAGAGACTGTATTTCAATAAGCAGATTGCTAATATGGGCAGTGATGGGATCATATTTCGTGTCCTAGACTCATGCTATGCTGAACGCTCTGTGCTATACACACTTAATAGACACCTCCTCGAGTTTCATACCAATTCTCCTCCTGATTAGTGCATGACTTCCTTTGACATAAAGACCCATGGTCATCAATATTCCAATGCGCGCAAAAATTCATAATAGACGAGATCCAGGCTTCCCTACAGAAACAATCAAAAATGCGTCAAAAGAATGCCATAATGATGCGCCGAGATGATGAAATAAAGGCGCCATAACATCGCCGTTTAGAGTGTGCAAGTTGGGATTTTCTTTTATCCCCGAAAGGATGTGAAGTCCCTTTCGGAGTGCACGGATAGTCCTATTTTGTTCTATGGGTCGACTCGTTTATTGATAGCTATAAAGAGGGAGTATACAAGGCATAATGGAACCCGCCACTAAACATAGCAGTCGGATATGGTAATCCAAACCATCTCCAGTAGTACACAGCCAGATTGCGTACTAACTCTCCAAGAAAGGGATGGCACTTACTAGCTATCACAAATCCGTTGGAAAACTCAACCGGATGGGCTGCTGGCGCAGCGAAATTGGAGCCGCGCAGTGGGCCAAATGAGCGCCTGTAGTCGAGATCCTTGTTCAGGACCACACCGTGGTTTCTATGTTAGGATGTCTGGACAAGGAAGGCGAGTGGGTGAGATAAATGCCTTCATACTCCCACAAAACAAGATATCTCAGCGCATCGACTCTCGGATCGGATACTTGTATCCGTCCCACAAACCCTTCAACAGTGAGAACCGATCATTCACAAATGCTGCCGCTTTGTCGTCGGTTCATAGACGCGCTTCCCATCCGAGTGATACGCCAGACAATTGTCTCTCGCCGTTGGCCAGTCTGCTTGTTCGGAGGCTGGATAATAACCCAGAGAAACGCGATCAGGACTGGGGGTACGAGGTCAGGATAATCTGGAAGAGAAGTCACCTGTCTGGCTGAGAAATTGGCCAAGGCGAGGCCGAAGCCATCGAGCTGTCGAGAGATGAGAAACGAAGATGCCCTCAAATTCCACATGACTGGGAAAGAAAAGATAGTGAGAGTAACTGTGATCGGGGACCTCAGCCAAAAAAGGACTAGAAATATGATAGCAAGAACCGCACAGAGGCTTTTTCCAGAAGGATGCATGGCACCTATGGTGCCATTTGGAGAAGAAGAATCGTTGCTTGCGGAGATGCAGTTGTGGGGGATTTTCGATCAACTCAGATCGAAAGTCAAGTAATCTGCTCGGAACCAGCGGAGGAAGAAGGTTGCGAACGAGTGGTGAACAACAAGCTGGCGCTGACTCACTCCGCCCCTGAAACTATTCGTATGGCAAATGCTCAACGCTCCCAAGGCCCAGCAAGATGGTGCTGGTGACATTCCGAGCGACCACATGGGTGAGAAGATCAACACGCGATTGCTACGCTGCAATATCATAGCAGGATGAGATCCAGACATCGGAGGGCATATCATCATCTCGAGGCCGGGTGGGTGCACTGCTGTGGCCTGAGTAAAACAGAATTTCTCGAACACGACGACCTTTAAAATGTTTCGACATGATCATACGGCGAGGAAAAGCTAAATTAATTAAAGTTAAGCGTTGATCGGTGGAGTTAGCGTGATGTGATGTCGTACAGGCGACGCTAGGGAAGAAACTCCAAGAAATGTGAAAATGGACGAAATCGCAAAATTAATACGGAGTAAAACATCGGGAATTAAATAATTATTGATATGCACTGGAATTACGGTTAATAGTATCGATATTTACATGCTAATGAATGATTATGATACTACATTCCATGATTAATATATATATGGTTGTAGTGCCATGCGATCATTAATTTATCGTGATTTCGAATATAAAATATGACTAATTTAATGTTGGCGTTCTTAAATTAAACCGTATGTCGGCATGTTTGTGTGCGACTGCACGGCCAATCAAGGGCCTCAGCCCGTCAAGCTTTTTGCCTGGGGCGGTGGAGCACGCTTTGGTGGCCAGGCTCTTATCAATTTCGTGACTGAACATAGGGGACGTCTCTTTCAACTTGGCTCGCGTTTTGGCCGTTGCAAACATGTTGATATCAGGGGAGGACTTGTGTTTTAAACTTGGCAAGTCACATTCTGATACCTGCTGGGAAGGTGGCGTCCAGAAAGACCTTGATGTGTCCGTCAGCGACCATTTGCCTACACCGCCCCCACCATCCGATACTACTCCAAACCACGGACTCAAAAACCTCCGACGCCAACCAACACAAGCCAATGTACGATGCGACCTAACCAATCCGACGTGCCAGCGAATCGAATCACGCTCCTTTAATATTCACATGCCCTATACAGACGCCGTACGAACAGCATGCACTTGGATCTAAGTCGCCGATGAGAACGAGGTCGCGTACTCTCTGTGTTCCGTCAGCTTTGGAGAGGGTGGAAATGTGAAGGTAGACATACATTTGTACAAGGAACGGGCGTAGTTGTGATCAGAGAGATTGTACTTATGAAAATCATGGCTAGCGCCAATGTCGAAGAGGTCGAGAACTGCATCTTGAGCCTTATTTTCGTCCGGCAGGGGTTGAGTTCAGATGAACTCAAATCACTCTCGAAAATGGGGAACGGGTTTTGTATCTATGTTTACGGCGTGAAGGGATGAAATGTCCCTCTTCGTTTCGAGTCTGTGTTGGGACTGAAGCCGGAAGCATTTGCTTCAAAACACTTCTACAATATGCCACGCACAGATCAGATCTCTTCAAATTCCACCTTGATTGTTATTGTTGCAGTAGACTGGGATAGGAAGGGGGAAAGAGATAGATTAAGGGCGATAGAGCCAGTGATATGTCATGGGGGCAAAGGGTGAAAGTAAAGAGAACATCTTCACGGTATGGCTTGCGATGAAGTCGGAAGGATATGGGCTGGAGAGTAGCTTTGGTCCAGTTTGGTGTGCAAGTAGTTGTGGCCCAGGCTAGTTTTGGTCTGGATCCTGTATCTAGCCCATGTTTTCCAATTTCTCACATGGATATTAGTTTTGCAAATGGTTGGGTAAAAAAAAGGACTGTGATCGCAAAACTAGATCACCGTCCTTTTTTTTATCCAACCATTTGACAGCTGATATTAAGTAGGGCATTCTGGCGCGGTCGTCGAAGATCTTGTAATCAGATCACAAGATTAAAAATGTGGCTTTGGCGTAGCCTCAGCGAATAGGGTCTGGTCCGGCCGCAAGCACATCTTTTATCCAATTGAGTTAAAAATCTCGATCGAATAAGGGAGATGACTGACCAAGAAGCAGTCAAATCTCTGGCTTTTCCCCCTCCAGCCCGGCAACTGCTTCGGATGTGGGACGTGCATTTCAAATTGCGGACATTTCTAAGTCTGGAGTGAAACGAGCAGTTTGAAGTCGGCTTCGTCCCTGCGGAAAAGAATGATCAAGCAACTGAAAGACAATGAATGCTTGTACGACTTCAAGATAGTTCTCGCCACATTTCTCGCAATTTCCTTGGTAGCTTCTGATAGGGAAGTCGAAAATTTTGATTACACGTCCCATGCGAAATCGCTGTCACTGCCAAGAATTGCCACGACACCCTCCGTCACTAAATTTAGAAAATCAGTACTGTGCTATCAAAGTAACGACCTGAGACGGATCATGACCATAAGATTTAGCTTTCCGGTTATGCACTTCCCAAATCTAGAATATATCCTACACTATCCAATCCCTCTTCCGTGCGTGTTCGTGGATGTTTCTCGGAGCGAATTGGATAGTAGCAAGGGATGGAGATGCGCGAAGTATTTGATGCTGACCTAACCTGATACTTCGATATCAGACACTTTATCTTCCGTAGCGCCCAGGAGACTTCCACCTTTAATCCAAAGTCAAGTTAAATTCGACGGCGGGCCAGTAGGGGTTTAACGACGACCCCTGATCGCGTAGCTACATACTCGGAAAATGGCCTCGCAGCCCGTGCAACCAACCTATCCCCCCACGCTAGATTCATTTACCCAAACCTGAACCCAGGAGCATGTCACTCTGAATGTCACCGATCGCCGATAGTAGTGTCTCTGCTGCTTCTCTCAACCAAAGTCAGAGAAATGACATGGACATGGACCTTGACCTTTTCGAAGGAATGGCTTCTCCTTCAACATTATAAACATGGTGCAGTCATACAGCTAGCAGAGTTCAATAGGCGGCTCACCGCGGCGCCAAACAGATTCTTCTCATACACAACTACTTCTCACCTCTCATCTGATACATCGCCTGATCTAATTCTTTTAGACAAAGCGCGCCTCGGACAGGTCTTGGTTTCCGTTCAGAAGTGCATTGCATCCGCATACTAGACATAAAAGGCGAAGTTTTGTTTGCCTAACTCTATTAAGCTGTGCTAATACCACATAGAGTCACATGTTTCAAGCTTGGATCCTCCACCGGAAGATCTCCCCTACTGCGACAATATAATTGTCGACATTCTGATTTTCAGAGATGAAGCTCCCACTGCCACTCACCCTTGTCTTCTCTCTCCACCTTCTAAACGCTTCGCCAATCCCCAACAAATATAGAAACACCCTCTCAGCAGACTACCACTTTTGCTACTCTGCAGCATACCAGCCCGGCCAGCGCGTTGCTTTCACCTCCACACCCAAGACCCCCCCTCAAACGCTCTCAAACGCGCACTTCCCCTCTCACCAAACCTTCAGTCCTTCCTCTTCCGCCTCCGCGCATCAAGCAGCCGAACAAGCCTTCAATAACGCACCAATAACGCCTTCAAAGCGCCTCGAGCGACGCCAAGCTCTCTCTGCCGAAGTCCCCCTAGAATCGTCCTACCTGCTCTCGCTCGCCAACACTCCCACTATCCTCGAACAGCAGGATCGCTTTCCTAAAGTGATCTCCGCCACCAACACTTTGGCTGCAAAAGCAACAAGTGCATTACCTTATTTACGGAAAGAGGACGCAAAGAAATACTGGGAGACCTTGCCCCACGGATCCACATCTGGTGAACATGAGGGGTACGACGAAATTGTTGCGGGTGATAAGATAGCTGCGCTTGGAAGTACGAGGATATGCGCAGATGGTTTCGCGATCGAAGGCTTTTACTCCAGAGAGCCGACAAAGACCTATGATGATATACTGGTTGTTGGTATTTTGGTACTGTTTTTGGTAGCCGTGGTCGCATGGGACGCTGCGGAAATAATTGGTGATGTGTTCGTTCCACTTACCTTCCGCCTTCTCTTCATTTCAAATAGAGCTGACAATATGTGCGTTCATAAGTTTTGTGGCATACGGTAGAAGACGCCTCTGCGGCATCGTCTACTCCGAAGGTGACAAGACAGCCGCGTCGATCAAGAAAGCTTTCTTTTACATCAGGCCCCCGGGCCTCGATCTGGGTTTGCGGTCGGTGGTCGTAGGGATGGATCGGAAATGGGGCATTCGGCCTAAAGCATAGGCTAAGGTCTCCGTTGCTAGTCTAAATTGATCCTCCATTTACTGCCTTGTCTTAACCTCGCGGCAACAGCTTGCAAATGATGATGACGGACTAGGCCGGAAGATTCAGGGGTACGAGATGTGCAAAACCCGCTGAAAACCTCTATACCTGCTTGAATTCAGGTATACGACAAAGGGACAACCGCTATTCACACTACAGCGAATATTTGCAGCGGTGGAGTAAGCATACTACGTCCAAATTCCAGCTACTTTCCAGACGCCACCTCCGCGTTCTCTACATTATCAATCCTCTTCTCTCCCCCAGCTTTCAACCTTTCCCTCCTCTCCCATCTCCACCCCTCTCCATAAAACCACTCCAAAGCCAGCAACGGACTTGCCCCCGCCGTCACCACCGCGAACCCCAAAAAAGCAAACCCAGCGCCAACCCCGTTAATAACAATCTGCACAACAGCAACACCAGCCGCACCCACAGTACAGCGCATCAAATTATTAACCGCAGTCGCAGAAGCCGACGCTCCAGGATACAAGTCAATAACTAGTGCACTATTGAGCGAGAAGACAGCTGTGGCTGTGTAAGCAATGAAGAATTGGAGGATCAAAGGAAGAGCGATGAGATTCAGGTTGAGTGAGAAGCCATATCCCGCAGTTGCTAGGATAAAGATCAAGACGATCCACCAGATATTCCTCAACCTAGATTTTTCGATCGGGAAATCGACCAGGTCTTTCTTGTTTAACTTCGTGTCTTCCGGGATACCTCTAGACGTGCGGTACTGCAATTCGATGACTCGGTAATCGTTATCCATGAGATACCCCGTCAAGTAGGAGCCAGTGACGCAGCCAGCGCCGTTGGGTAAGAAGGCCAGACCGATTTGGAGGTCGTTGAGATGGAAGCGAGATTGGAAGAGGGAAGTTGTACTGGATGTTACCATGCTCCATACAGTATAGACGATGCTGCCGAAGAACGGGGTGATAAAGACGTCTTTTTCGAAGAGGGATTTCAATGGTGCGACGATGCACGAAAGAGTGAGCTTCTTTTTAGGAGTGGAATCACGGTCTATTAAAGCATCGGATGGTGGGGAGAACGTGTAGATGAGCGGTCGATGGATGCCGGCTAGGCGCAAGGTGCCATTCCCGGCGACGGACCGCAGGGTTTCGGGGAGAAGGGAAAGGATTAACAGAAGGGTGATAGAGCCGAGGCTGAAGAGGAACCAGAATATCGAGCGGAAACCAAAAAATTGTGTGATAATCCCACCGAAGACAGGACCAATTGATTGACCCATCATTCAAAAAATGAATTAGTGACAACTCGTGCCTGAAGTAGAAAGTGGCTACTCACTACCACCAAAGACACCGATAAGGCCTCCACGCTCCCGAGCAGTTGTGATGTCTCCAATCACCCCAGCACCTAAACGCTCTTAGCAGTCTAGTCTCGAAGAAGAGGTAGACCAGCCCACCAACAGAGATTGTGGCAGCACTCCCAGCTGCTTGGATGCCTCGAAAGACCATCAATGCTGCAAAGCTATTGCTGAATCCTAGCCCAATGTTTGCGAGGAGGTACACAGCGAACGTACCTATGACTACGTCAATCCCATCCTAAACAACTCTTGTAAAGATTACTAACCGATGAACGTGATGCGCCTCCCTTGAGTGTCTGATAAAGGGCCCCAAAATGATGGAGCAAGCCCTTGGACTACCATATAAACCGTGATAGTAAGACTGATGAGTGATATGCTGGTTTTGAGATCCTGGACGTGTTAAGCAGTTGTTCAATCATCAGTAGATATTTGGACGTACCGTAGCGATCTGGCCGAGGGCAGGGAAGTATATGTTGCTCGAGAGTGGAGAGAATAGGCCAGCAAGGGAAACGATGTAGACTAGCTGCTTCTTCTTTGCAAGAGTGAATACGTGGTACGGTGGCTCAGATAGTGCTTTGTCTAGGCTGTACGAACTGCTCGCCGATGATCTGATACAGTCTGGCCGGGGGCCTGTGTCTTCCAGGTCTTCGTCATCTCGCTCCGCTATTCGTTGTGACCGACTGCCCCGAGGACTCTCGAAGTTGTTGAAATCGGCGAAGACTAGAATGCTTTGCCTGCTCCACGCCCTCGACGGAATACGAGACTTTCGTGCCATGACCCATCCATTATAAAAACTGGTCCTGATATCTTGAGGTCGCACCTGCTCTTGGTCTTGGGCGAAGGTTATCCGAGAAATCGATGTTGGCTCATCGAGGGGTTCATTGGTCAATGATGAGAGGGTCGCAGCATGAGAAGCTGGAGGCGGTCGAGGCACGAATCCCATGGCCGACGATGGGAGTGAGTCCTAAGATGACAGCGAGCGGCTAAAAGATAAGCCAACGATTGGATTCCGAGACGTAAAAATGCTTTTAATGATTTGAGTCCCCCGGCGTGCTCTGCAGAACTGCAAGGCCTTGGAGGTTGGGATGATATAAGAACAAGAAAGGTTTTCAAATGTTGAGCGCCCCGGATGATACAATGAAGAGTCGGTACCACTGGGTTCAACGTTTCAACTGCACTGAAATGTTAGGATCACGGATCGACGGGAAGAGATAAAATTAGAAGCGAGAGAGTTCGCACAATAGCTGTCATAGAAGAGCACATTCCAGCGAAAGCGAGACCCACCATTGGAGACATGGGCGATTTTCGCGGCCCTCAAGTTTGAGGTTCAAGAATAATATCGCTGACATTCTGACGTCCCAGGACCCACGTACCTTAGCTATTGAGGGGGGAGGGGCTCCAATGAAAGGGGACTAATGACAGTTTAAGCTGGTGAAGATACTCTTTCGTACAAGGTGAAGAGGCCTGCCTACACTCTCAGGAAAGGCATTATGCTTGGAGGAACACCTGTCACTTGACGCAGTGGTTTGATGTGGTCCGGGAGTTTGCTCGCCGTGTAGCCCCTGCACGAGAAACGTGGTGGTTCTGGTGCTCTGAGGCTCTTGGCTTAGAGATGTTTAGGAACGATATAAGAACGACACGCTGCATCCCCTAGGAGTGACATCGCGGTCGCTGTTCTATGGGCTGCTCAAACCATTTGCGCTTTTCATCGTCGTTCCGTTGACGCGGAGACGCCTTGGCGCCAAGAAACGGGTCCCGAGCTAAACGAGTCAGCGCTTTCTCCGCGCTTCGATGAAGCTTGAAACGAAACTTGAGTTGCTTTCCGCCAAAATCTGATACCTGAACGTACAGGACTGCCCAGGGCCAGTGTGTCAAATGATTAGGTCTGATTTGATTAGACCCCCCTACTCAAATCAAATCAAGTCAAAATCAAGCTAATCAAATCATACTTAATTATAATCAAAGATAATCAAAGATAATTAATTAGATTTATCACGTGATTACGCACATGACTCTGGAGCTTCAGAAGCCGAGATAAGGCTAAAATAAGGTCTGGGCTAGCCGTATTCGGTATTGCTAAAGGCGCTCTTTACTAAACCAGGTCTAGCGCTAATTAGTAAGCGAAGCCAAAGGCGCTAGAACCTCCTTGATTTCCAGTGTTACAGTAGTAGTAAAGAGCTTGAATTGAGCTAAAGGCTATCTGCCAGGCTAAGGAAGCACTGGCCACATGCTAAGTCACGTGCAACAGCACCACGTGACTGGTACCACATAACAAAAACTAGTTTGTTATTTTAGATTTAGACTAATTTTATACTCTTATATATGCTTTATAAATTTTATTTATATTTTATTAATATAGCTATTAGTTATTTAATAATTTTTAGAAATGCCTAAGAATATATATTTTTATGTTATTATATAATAATTATAATTAATTATAATAAAAATCAAGCTAATTAAATTATACTTAATCATAATTAATTATAATTAATTCTAATTAATTAGCCTTGATTATTTTTTGATATATTGCCCAGGGTAAAGGTATAAGGCACGTAATAGCAGGGTAATATACAAGTAGTCAAGGTAAGTAAGCTACGGAGTGACGCTTGCAAGTGTAACTAATTCCAAGAATTAATTCCAATAAAAGACTAATTAATACCCCTTTCTAAAGCTAGGAGCGTCTCCCTATATATTCCCTAGTACTTAGCCAAGCCTGCGAAGCACTTTACTTAACTAGGAAACACGATCCCATGCGATCCGTACGATTCCGATCGCCCGTACGATTCCGATCGCAAGCTTTACCTAAAATAGGAAACTAGATCCACGACATCTGACACCTGTCCATGCGCCATCACGTGTGCCCATTACAGAAGGCCGGAACTTGATGGGTCGCGCTAGCTCGGCAACGCACCTTGATTTTATTCCCACTCTCCGCGCCTCTGATCTTTTCCCGGACGTGAAAGGTTTGCATCATTCTTGATGTAAAATACTGCACTCTTCCTCAGCGAGGCTCAAGTCACAATTAATTCGGTTCCTTGTGGCCCAGGGTCTTCCAGCTATAATAAATGTGTTTCCAGGAGCGCGCACAATTCAGGTGTTTCCTTCCATTGATAAGTTGCTATCTTGAGGCTATTCCCGGCGCAAAGCTTCCCGAGTGCTCATTATGGTCCCGTGGCTTGTTTCAAGGCTGTTTCTCCTGCGATATCCAGACCCAGTGGTTAGAGGACCATGCATGTGGGATAATATCCGGATCTTGGCAGAGATATACAAGCTGACATCCCGTGCTTCCCATTGGTTCTTAGGCTACGATGTCAATTACGCCCTCAGGCTTGTCTTTCGTTGTAGATCAACCCGGATTTCCTTATAGACTCACACAGAGCTCTAGATTATTTGAACCTCTTTATTGTTGTGTTCTGTCTTAGCTAAGGTACTCACTCGTTCTCCATTTCGTTCCTCTCTCGCCGTAGGCATGGCTTTCTCCTCTCGATGGCCCGGAGCTGTCATTGTCCTCACTTGTTTTCTCCACCTGTCCAATGATGTTAAAGCACAGAACCAGACAGAGAAGTTGCCAAACTTTGGGGATACCGTTCAGATTTTTGGTGCTGTAAGTCACCTTTCTTTAAGCACCCTTGTACAAATCTTCTAACATGAACAGATGGAGAGAACAGATTAAGACTTTCAAGATGGCCTAGCACTAGATCTGTTCTCTCCCAAAAATCACACCCTCATTGTCAAACAAAACACCTCACCCCTCGGCGCACAATTCGTAACTGGCACCTCCGGAGAGCCTTTCGTCGCCCTATCCAACTACTCGTACATAATTCAGATGAACGAGACAGCTAATGACCTCATCGCCAAGATCGAGGTCCCATACGACCCGAGAATGCTTAATACCATGGGAATCCAAGAAGCTAACACCTACGTCGCGACCCTTGCACGTGACAAAAAGAGCTGGGTAGTCGATGATTCAACGCGGAATGTCCACCGGAGCGAGAACAATACGAGGATTATCAAAATGACCTCTCTCGACGGGGAGTACTTGCTCGTGGGGAGAAAAACTGTTGACACATCTAATATATTCGTTCAGTACGGCCAAGGGGCTACTCGCACCGTGGATGTAACAGGGGGAGCCGGCATCCAGGAAGCGGAGTTCGTTGATGGATTGCGGTTCTCTATACAGGCTGGCAAGGCCTTCACGATGAATGTAGACGTGAAGCAAGACATCGATCCTACGACCTTGCCAGCGAATACGCAGTCTTTGAATTCGTTTATGTGGATTGTAAATACAAGTGACCCAAGCACGAAAGTGGCAGCGCAGATGCTGGTACCGTGTAAGTCTTGTTTATAATAATAGTTTGATATTTTGGCTGATGATCGGTGAAGTCAATCGCAATATGCTAATTGCTCTGCGGCCAGCAGGGTCGTCACCATCAACAATGTTGACTGTTGCAAAGCGAGCAGTGAATGCGAGCAGTGGCCAGTTTACGCCTGTTAATAAAGATGCGCAAGTTGTCCGAGAGCTTCCCGAGGATAGGATACAACTTCCTGGCATGATGCAGCTAGATGGACAATACATCATCTTGGTCACTAATCCTAAGGCCGTTGGTGGCAGTAAGTACAGATTTAAGCTCACGTAATTTGTATAGATTGGGCTAACAATTATTCCTCACTAGGCCCTATGCAAACATCATCATCAACACCAAGAGCCAGTGGGAGCAAACCCGCCACCGCATCTCAGGCGAAGCAAACCTTATAATGATATCGAGCCAACTGGTGGAGCATCAAGGACATTCACAGCAGCAAACTCCGAAGCAGTCTAACCGGAGAGAGGGTAGGGCGAGAATATAAGGGGCCAGATGAAAGGAGAAATAATGACAGGCGAGGTGAAAAGAAGGCCGGTTCGGTGCAAGAGACATGGGATAGCATAGAACAAACGCAACGTCTTTTTGTACATTTGGAGTTTGAAGGCGTGGGAGTGCTATATATCTGCAAGACCATACCATGAGATCACAGCTATACTGGTGAATGCAGAGAGAATACTAAACCCAAGAGCAACCGCGCCCCGTGTCGTGAATCTAGATAATATTAGCAAGGCTAATCAATTACAAAAGTTGAGTCGCCAACTTACCCTTCAGGCAACGGACCAGGCGGCGCGTTCTGCCCAGTTAAATCAAGTAGATTGATTATGTTTCCAGCAGCATTACCCTTCACTGGCGTTCCATCAACCACGCAAGAGTCGTAGTGATCCTGTGGGATTGACAACGTCCTCTGTAACTCCAGCGGAGCTTCGACCATCGTAGCTATTAGGCCAGAATCCACGTGCCATTCGATGTGGCAATGAAAGAGCCATACGCCGGGATTATCGGCCTTGAATCGTAAAACAATGTTTCCATTAGGGTGGACTGCGAACGTGTCACGACGCATAGGAGCAGCTGGGAAATCGCTCACAGATACCAGGGCCGTCTCATTAAAATTTCCAGCATCTCTATCGGACCGCCAGACGGCTTGGAAGGCGTGGCCGTGTAGGTGGAAGGGATGCTTTCCTGGATCGTTGTTGTTGACCACGATCTCAATGACTTCATCTTTTCCGAGGACGAAAGAGTGGGTGTAGTCACCGTACACTTGGGTATTGGCTGCCGTTGCGCCAGCAGTCATGACGGTGTAGAGGGTTGGGACGATAGGAGGCGCATAAGAGATGTTGTTGAAAAACGCACTGGGGCTATTAGTATAGGTTTGCTGTGGGGAAGTAAAGGAAGGATGCTGACTAGTTGGCCCCGTCGCCGAGGTTGCTCATTACGACTTCAAGCGTTATAGATTGATCCGGATCGGGAAAGAGCGGCTCTTTGTCATATGGGACGAGAGTATAGTCGTCAAATTCTTGAAAACTATCTTCTAAGATAATTGCAGCATCTGGCAAGGGCTTGCTCTGGTCGTAGAGTAGCCACCCCGAGACGTTCCAATTTAAGCCCTCAGGTATTTTATCAAAAAGAGTCTATTTTCTGTTAGCAGACTGCTACATAAGAACCTTTGCAGAAACTTACAGTATCCATACTACTGACAAAAGGAAAATTGGAATTCGTGTCATTCTTGGCGGTTAATAGAAAGCTGCAGCGCTGAGCAGCAGTGAGGTAGATTCTTTCAGCGTTGGCTGGCTCGGTATAAATGCCATCAACTTCGATAATTGAGATATTGTGCTCTTCGAACCATATATACTGGCCAGCAAAAGCTCCCATGTTGACCATATGGAACAGGTAAGTCTTTCCGGCTTGAATAGGTACCTGAAGACCCTGAGTGTCGTTGAGCAGGGCGGCGTTAGGTACTGGTTCTGCGCCCTTTGGGTTTCGGCGATTTATGAAATGGGGGATGAGCGTCGCCATCTGGTCATGATACCAGTCTGAGACCGAAAGAACATACTCCTCATCGTACATGCCCTTGAAAGGAGAATCTGGATCGTCAACTATGAGAGGGGCGCGAAGACCGTCGGGATATTGGCCTTTGGCATGGGAGTGATACCAATAGGTACCCGGTTGATCAACCTTCTCAGTCAATGAAACGTTCCTAACAGAATCTCAGATAGCTCACAGTGAAGTTGTACTTGAACTTGACTCCTGGCGCAATCCCACATTGGGTCACATGATATGGACCGTCCATGTGCGTCGAACCATTCATATACAGGCCATGGAAATGGAGCGTTGTTGTCTGGTTGCCGAGACTATTCTCAACATTGACTATCACCGTGTCGCCTTTGGTGACTCTCATGATGGGCGGAGGCCATTGATTATTGATTCCAATCGTTGGCCTTACAAATGCGCCATCCGGGTTGGCGAGCACCCAAGTAATATTGAAATCATACGTTACGGTTGCTGCTTCTGCCAAGTGTGTAAATATGGGCAGGAGCATTGCCACAAGGGGGAGGCATGAAAGAGAGATGGCCATCGTGAGATTAGTGGCCGTTACGATGTGTTTTTGTCCGTTAAAGACAATTTACGTTGATGTAGGTTTCCGTTGGGGAAGCGGTGGTAGAGTATTCTGGATATTTAACTTAGATCGTGAGAGAGAGGAAGAGGAGATGATCCAACGAACTCGATGCCGCGGAGCAGCGAAGACCATCGCAAGGAGGCGGCTTGTATCTCAATAGGAGATCAGTGGAATGCTCAATCAGATAAGAAAACACAGATCATGAGGGTGTACAGGAAGTTAATAAAGTGTGGGTGGAAAAACCGCACCAATAAAGATGCGGCGAGCGCCATTTTGTCGGACCAAAACCACGCTCGGAGAGATGGAAGGCTTGCCAGGATTGGAGTACTCACTGGGTGTTAAGAATGGTTCCGCTCTCGGCTTTGGTCGCGACAGAAGTGGAAGTTATCAGATGGGACTGGGGTTACTGCAGGGAGCGTCTCTGCATCTGATTATTTGAGGCTGGGCATTTGACGAAGGCGCCATTCAATTTACGTGGGGATGTCACCAGCGGACGCCACCAATGATGGCTTCCTTGTCAACCACTCATTCCATGCAAGAGCGTCACTCACCACCGGAGGGGTTGGTTGGGTGGGGCCTTCACACCGCACCGCTACTTTCGTGGGGAATTTCACTGAAGAAGGACATAAAAGTGGATGGTGAAATATCAGGCAGAGGTTTTCCCTCTTTCTAATAGTGATGGAGAGGGACTTTCGCAGGCGAGTGGCTTACTATGCTCAGCTGCCGGACGAGGTTGCTTCCCTCTCCTCGGCTTGGCCTCCATGTCCCATCAGGTCCTCATTTCAAGAGTTCCCGCAGGCTCTTCGTGCAGAGTTTCCGGTGGTCGGCCACTAACTTCCAAAAGTCCCGCACCGACGCACAGGCATTGGTGAAAAAAAGCACTTGGCATTGGCGGAAGAAGCCCTGGATGGCTGCCCTTATCGAATCCGTCCCACTGCATTATCAGATCCTTTTTTCAGCCCGCCCCTTCTCTGCGCACTTGGCCTCCATCCCTTTCCTGTTATAAGGGGGCATCCTCGCGTTTAGTGTTACATAACTCCTCCGCCGACAGATCTCTTCCAAAAAGTGTTAAATTTTACAAGTTTACTCATTCACGAACAGTTAACATGACTGTCAACGTGTACTCTGTCCCAGTTTTCTTTATTGTCTTTCGAGAGACACTTGAAGTTTCCATCATCGTCGCAGTCCTTCTTGCCTTCTTAAAACAGACTCTCAACGGCCCAAACCGTGATGTCGCCGTATACAGAAGACTGGTCCGACAAGTATGTGCCATCGTTAAGATTACATATTTCAATAGAAACCTGACCGATACTCCAGGTCTGGATGGGCGTAGCCATTGGGGTACTAATTAGTCTGATAATCGCCGGTGCCTTCATCGGCGTTTTCTACAAACTCGGCAGGAATCATTGGGCGCCCACCGAGTACTTCTGGGAAGGCTCCTTCGCCCTCCTCGCATCCATCATCATCACCATAATGGGCGCTGCTCTGCTCCGTATCTCCAAGATGCAGGAGAAGTGGCGGGTCAAGCTTGCAAAGGCCATGGAGGCAAAGGCCGTGACAGGCGGGAGCTCAGGGGGCAGGTTCAAGCGATGGTGCGAGAAGTATGCTATGTTTATTCTTCCTCTGGTCACGGTTCTCCGCGAAGGTATCGAGGCTGTTGTCTTTATTGCTGGTGTGTCATTCTCTGCCTCACCGACGTCGATACCACTCCCTGTCGTTATAGGGACCGTTGCTGGTAGTATTATCGGCTATATTATCTACAAGTAAGTCGATGTTGGGAGGCTCTTTTTGATGACTGCTAATGTCTAATAGGGGCGGTGCATCTGCAAAGCTCCAATACTTCTTGGTCATATCAACTTGCCTCCTATACCTCGTCGGTGCTGGCTTGTTCTCAAAAGCAGTTTGGTATTTCGAGGCCCAGAAATGGAATAACGAGGTCGGAGGGGACGCTGCAGAAGTGGGCGTGGGTGCGGGCTCGTACGATATCACGAAGAGCGTATGGCATTTAAACGTAAGCAGGTTCTCATCGCGTCATGAATGGTGCTTCTTTTGACTATCAACAGTACGGCAGCCCTTATATCAAGGGTGGCGGTGGCTGGGGTATTTTCAACGGCATTCTGGGGTGGCAGAATTCAGCTACATATGGATCGGTCATCTCATACAACATCTACTGGATCTTTATCATCGGTCTCTTCCTGTCGATGAGGTATAACGAGGTGAAGGGTCATTGGCCAATGATGGGCGGTAAGAAGGTCGCTGGCGAGACCCGGCCTCAAGACGTCGTAATCAACATCACGGCTTCTGACAGTACTGGAAGTGATATTGCAGACCACGAAACTAGAGCGAAGACTGTGGCAAAGGTTTGCACCATTGATCTGTGATCATTTTATCAAGTCAACGCAGGAGATTGCTGGTTCTGGGCCATGTTTGACGGCCTCCGCAGTCTTTATGGATAACTGGTCAGGGAGACACTCTTCAGTCCCAACAAACCAGCATGACCGAGTTTCTACCTAAAGACAGTCCAACTCTTGCGTGTAACCTGAAAAGTCCATGACAGCAGGTGCTGTCATATGCAAGGGGGCAAAAACCTCGTTGCGATGCACGGATGAGCAGGTCCAACTTTTCCAATTTAGCATGGACGCTCAATGCAGATGCGGATTCACGAGTTAATGTCCAAATCCATGGTCACATATATTCAGTATAGAGGATCCTTCGAGAAGTTAAGGAGAGCAAAGACTTACCCTTCAATGATGACATTCCTACTGATAGTTTCGTACTTTCCCATGCGATAGAAGAAACGCTGAATGAAATTGTCGGGATTCAACAGGTCATGGATAATACAAAGAAATCAAAAATAAAGCAACTGTGATCTTGGATAAGAGGAGCCAAATGTCGGGACCGTCCAACAGGCTCTGCGACGTGTAACAAGAACCGAGGCCGTCTTTCCTTCCAGTAGTACCACGCAGTGGAACAACACAATGCCGGGAATGGGGATGGAAATACAAGCACTTTATCTTTAGTGTAGTTATTGCACCGCCAGCTTTCCTGCTAAGAGATAGTGAAAACACAAAGTACCTAGAAAGCCCTAATCTTCGGTTTGTGGGAGCTCGGACAACGCACAAAAAGTGAATGGCCCGTGACCAACCAGTAATCGTGGTCGCCCTGGTTTGTCGCACATCGCAAAAAAGGGCCAGGCAGATCCTATTCATGCCTGCCTCAACCAAGGAAAAAATGTGTGGGGTAAAAAATGTTAAAGAAAGGAAATCGACGCGAGGTACCCGGGTAAACAACCTGGAAAGGGCAACGATTGTAGACGATTCTCATCGCATAATAGTAATCACGATGATACCTATTTTATATCTTTGAGCACAACTGAGATAATATGTAGCCCTGCTTCTTTTTGTCGCATGTCACTAGGGGAAGGCGTTTTCGTGCGACTGCTAATCGAAGGCTGTGGCGGAATGGATGTCCACAAAATGGTTCGTGGGTGTCTCGATTCAGTCAGGTCGAGCACAATGTCTTGCGATCCCGATAGTTGACGCGTGGTGCGAAGGGAAATCATGTATAACCTTAATGTACTAATGCCACAAATCAGGGTAATAAGTTTCTTTTTCCTCCTAATCGAGCGAGCCGCTTAATGGATGGAAAGGGCTGCAGCTCAAGTCACACTGGCAGCGAAGAATGAAAGTGGCTTGGTTGTCACGTGGAATAGTTAATAGTCAATAACTATGTTTTCTACGATATCCTTAGAGGTGACACCCCCGAAGACGGAGGTATGCTCCTACAGCAGATTACCATTATTACGATTCAAACTTCATCTATTGCAGAGTGGATACTGCTTGAACGCCCCTAGCCTCACGAAAGCATGACCTCGAACAATAGCCAACGATCCACACCGATTAGTCCAGAGTCGCTTACTCTCCTCGAGAGCCTTGACGACACGGCTGTGCTTCAAGACGGCTCGAATCTTCAGGATATATCTCGACCTGATCGGGGTCTCCGCTCAACTCCACAGCCCCCGGAACCTCCCAAAACAAAAGTCTCCGTAGCAGAACTTATTCACTAACCAATATCAATCAACGGAGTCCAGAGATCAGCGCGGCGCAAATACCCAGAGTCATTTCCGTGCCTCGGTATCTCTGACATTAGCCCAAATTCTAAGGCTCAGAGGAGCAATATCAGAGAGAGTTGCTCTGTCTCTTCTAACATCAGGCGAAGGCGAAAACGGAAGATCCCAGATATGGGCGCCGACGACGAGGATAGCGAGGATAGCACACACCCTCCCGCAAATAACATAGCACATAATAGGATCGAGAAACGATATCAAACAGATTTGAATATTGACATGGTTGGATTGCGCAACTGCGTGCCCAGTCGTCGCTCGTTAAAGGAGACGCTGGAAGCGAATGTGCCTTCAAAGAAAAAGACCTACAAGACTGGTCTCCCTTACGCAAACTGAGTAAGGTATAATAATAACTTGGCGTGTCTCTAAGGATATACTAATATGATCCAGGCCACTATTATCGCAACCTGAACTAAATACATTCATCAGCTAGAGAAGAGGAATGCAAGGCTGGCTAAGGAGAGAGACGCAGATCCGATTCGCATTGCCGTGTCCGAGAAGATACATTTGAAACGAGAGCTCGTCGTTCGATAGACCAACAGTTGCATATATATCAAGCCTACCGGATATTAATCCTACTGCTGGCGATGCGGTGCGCGATCTAGGATTTATCACCGTAATTCCACGGATCTCCCACATACCGATACACATATGACCGAAGTACGAGGAGATAGAGATGGTATAACGATGTTAGAGTCGACAATAGGTGGAGGTGTAGCTAATGGGCAGCTGAAGGAAATCGTTGTGATAGTGTAATTACGGATTTAGTCTATCTTGATGCAGATGAAGATCAAGAATTATCTTGATCATAATGAGTGCAGGAGTGTTTACCCCTTCTTATTGATAGAAGGCACGTCTGTCCGGTGCAAAAAGCTCCTCTGCCGCCTCTGCGTGCCCACTTGCCAATCGAAAATGCAACGCCGTTCGTTGATACCCGCCTTGTTCTGATATAGAGGCACCATGTTCTAGCAACAGACATATAGTCTCTCGATGGCCATACCGCGCCGCATGCAATAGGAGCGTTGAATCGAGAAGGCTTCGTAAAGAATGTCGGATCCCATTTGACTAACAAGACGTCTGACCTTCTTTGTATCCCCATCCACCGCAACCCGTGCAAGGACAATCTCATCATTGATCAAGAAAATTGACTCCCAGCATGAAAGGCAGCAGCTCGTGTCGAAACCAGACCTAGCAAACTTGGCCTCGTGTGCCATGGGCGGACACTCAGAGCGGAGCGTCGCCACCTCCCCACTGCGCCAACTTCGTAGAGAGATGTAGTAAGATTCGGCGAGCATACCGTCATCGACGTTCTTGCGGTGAAGACTACTGTTGGGTAATTGGGCAATGCTATCGCGATAGTCTCGAAGCAATGCGCTGCTGCAACCATCAGGATTCCCTTATCGATTTTGGGTAGAGTTCAGGAGGTAGATTTTGGGATGTTTTTCTCTTCTCAGCCGTCAGCTTAAGTGGGGTTATCCTGATCGACTCTTGATGAGGTTAGTTCGATGTTTGAGCGTTGAGGGCGCGAGCCGTCCCGTAGCAAGAAACTCATGACATTTCTTTAGTGGAAGTCGTAACTCTAACTCACTTCTCGACGCGCCAATTCAAACGTGGTAGTGCAGACTCATACACAGCACCCAAGCCACCCTCGTCCATGGCTGTTCCATATCCCTCGCCACAAACATCGGAACAATCATTGAGCATCAGGTCAATCATTAACCTTTGCGTCCTCGTCAGAGAGATGCCCCAAATCGGCCTCAACACCCTGTGGATCCGTGGCGAGGGCACAGATAGTAGTTCCACCTTCGCCGCCGTAGGCTGTTTGCCCCGGTTCCCTAAGTGAAGCTTCGAAATCGAACATTTGAGGGTCTTGTCTGGACAGATCGGAGGCTGCAATGGTATTGCTAGATGGCGCCACAGGTCCCAGTCTCTGCTGTTGTTGAATGTCGCAACCCGAATCATGAATGAAGATTTCCATACTCGCACAAGTCCCCGTGCTACTACGAGTTATGAGCTGATGTGATGATGACGTCGCTTGGGCTATTGTGTATATATCCTCATATTGTCTTCCGACGTGTTCATTTTGAGCGAGTCGAGTCAGCTCCCAGAGCGACGGCACGATATGGTCTCGGCTGTGGCCGTCGCTTTCCATCATCGTCGTTGGCACTTCAACATTTTGATATCCGTAATCATGTATGCCTGGGTAGAGTACATAATCTAGGAGATAGGCAGCTCCAACACTCCTGGGAGAGCCTGGTTGTCCCTCTTGTAATGGGTCCGGTCCAGTTGCCGAGCCAGATTTCAAGCACTCCTCAATGCTGTCATCTGCAACTCCATGTTCCGCTAACAGCGTCCGCAACCTCCTGTTCTCATCTGCTACCTTCCTCGCTACCACTTGGATCTCCGGTGAGGCCTCGATACCTTGTAATGCGCAGTGTCGCAATCTTCCTTCGAGTTCTTGGAGATATTCTCTCCTGCGAGCTCGGGAACGTCGTTGATTATCGCGGATGCGAGCCAGCTCTTCTTCGCGCTGTTACAAATCAGGGTATTAGTTACAAAGAAGAGCCACAAGAGTGCAGTATTACTAGAGAGTGATATATCTTCAATGCCCTCTCGGGCTGTGAGGAGAGAGTGAAGAGCTTACAGAGGCTGACATAGCGACGCGTCTGGTTTCACCCACAGAAAGAGGGCTACATCCACGACAGAAGGTAGGCTAGACAATGAATATGCTGTCCTTCGTCGCCTACCTGTGTCTGCATCCTCGAACATGAAGCAGATTAGTAGGTCGGAACCAGTGGGCTGTATAAAAATGCGACTCGGTAGTTGATGCCAAGTCCTGAGCGCGGCGCGCGTCAAATCAGCGGTGGCTTGGGGCAGGATTTTAGGCGGTAAAGGGTCAAAATACTCGAGTACTCGAGCATTTGAACACCAGAACACCAAAAAAACCCAAAACCATTTGAAATCAGACGTGCAACTGTACTAAAATTAAGCTAAGGCCTGTAACTATTATAGCTAGTATATAAAACTAGGTAATATACTAAGATAAGCTAATTATTATTGCAAGGAGCTGTACCCCAGACAGCTGCCCCCTAAGGAGCTCTTCATATATCGCAGTGAGTTACCCCCCAAGGAGCTCTTTACGTATCGCATATAAAGAGCTCCCTAGGGACAGCTTACTGCAATACATAAAGAGCTCTCTAGAAAATAGCTCCCTGGGGGGACAGCTCCTGTGGGGGGGCAGCTCACTGCAATACGTAAAGAGCGGCCTAAAATAGTAGGTACTAGTCTAAGTGCAATTTTAGTGCAATTCCAAGCCTAATTTTAAGTAGCATGCGATTCGTAGCTTTGAATTTCATAATTTTGGTGTTCTAGTGCTCAAGTGCTCGAGTGCTCGAGTGTTTTGACCCTTCACCGCCTACACCAATATGCAGAACAATCGCCAAAACCGCGTTTCTAAGCGAGGCTTACCACCCCCTCTAAATCGCGTCTCCCAACCACTTTATTATACCTTAAGATTGTAATTACTCAATAACCACTCTTCCAAACTCTTCCAAACTTCATTGAAATCGTGGGGACAATGCCTGCTGTCCGTCGAAAAACTCGCTCGAAAAAGCAGTTAGTAGATCCTCTGCTAATAACGCGCCGGGCGCCCAAACCTCGAACTTCCTCACTTGCGGCATTTGACGAATGGCAATTATCTCCAAAGGTCTCGAATCGCGGTATAGGGCATAGAAAGATGAAGGGGGCATCTCGTATACCTACTCCGCTTCCTGCTGCCCATACCCCAAAGCAGAGAACTCGTGGAAAGACACCTATTCAAATTAACGATACTCCTGTTCAAATCACCTCCCCTCCAATAGCCCTATCAATGATAACTCCTTCGAAAAAGGCCAAAAAATAGCCTGTTATCCCTCCGTTCGATCCGACAAATTACTTTAATAAAGAACCATACCATGTTCAGATTTCAATTATACCGAATATGGAGGGTAAAAGGAAAGACAGAGAGCAGATTATGCTAGGTGTAGATATTAATAATTCGATTTGGGATAACTTAGAAATGCTTTAACAAGCTTTCTATAACGAATACGTTAAGGAATGGGAAGATACTCGCGGTTTAGAAGGTAGTAATCGTCCAAGGAAGCTCCATTAGTTAGTAATAATTAGTAATCCAAAGGGCAACTTCCAGACTATTCGTGTGAACTCTTAATAATCATGGGATCTTATTAAAGCTAGCCTCTGTCAAATGAAGCACTCTGGCGACCTTAAGAACTATAATACTCTCTTAGTTAAAGCTTTTTATAAGAGTATTAATCGAGCTACCACCCCCGAAGATCCAAAATCGAAGACTAAAGCTCGACCTAATACCGTACGAGAAACACTACTTATAGATCTACAAACTAACCCTCATTCGGATAACGCCACCAAAGACTATATTCCTAATTCAGCTAGCCAATTTATACGCAAGATCTCTATTTAAAAATCTCGCGATTCGATTACAAATCGTTAACTTGCTAAGAAGACTATTCGGGATAATAGTGCAAGCGCAAAGGAGGTAATTAGGGCACAGATCTTTGCTATACATCTTTATAGAAAGAAAGGAATATATAATAATACGGGAGGTTATTACTACGAACTAAAAAGAACTAGATCTTACTACAAAGTTTCCCTTATCCAACAAGATAAATGGGCTAATTATATTAATATTAGCTCCAAAAACGTTACTATTAATAAACCCCCCCCCAAATGAATTACGGCATATTAAGACAGAGGTTAGATAAAGACTACCAAGAGAAGAGGTAAACGCTCCGTCATTAAACCTACTCAACCTGTTTAACAACCTCAACTTCCTCAAGCTCCAGTCATAAATTACAATATGGCACCAGTTCCTCAACCTCCACTAATACAGTCACGATTCAGCCACGGATATGAACCCTCTTATCCCTATTCTCAACGTCCATACCCTTAACCACGTCGACCGCAAGTTTACCACCAATCCGAGAGGCAACAAGCTCCCCTGCCTTCATCTCCAATTCGGGGAATCAATAGCAAAGAAGCCTTAGTAGCCTATAAGGCATTCCTTCTCCAGGGCAAAGCTAATCCTCCTCGTCGTCAAGTAATCAAGAACGCTATGGATATGGCACAAGCACAATGGCTAGATAATTTGGAGATATTAAAGTTACCATCAACTATGGAGACTCTTGAGAAGCATATGGTTCTATTAGGAATTGCAATACTAATTATTAGGAGGGTGTCCAAATTCAAGAGAATATATAATGGACAAGAAGAGCTACGTGCGGCGGAAGGTCTTATTAGTATGGGCCAAAATCGATTCTCGACGAACTAACCTACTCGACAACTATCCTTCCAACCTATATCGCAATATACTCGTTAAACAGGGGAATACTATAGTAGGGAAGACGAACTAATGTGGGAGGAGGAGATTGACTTCTTTAATGAGTACTAATAGGGTATATGGCGTAATATTCAAGTATGCTTAGGAAGTTAAAGGTATAATAATGGGCGGAGGACTTGATTTAATAATTTTCGTATAAATATCTTTTAGAAAAAGCGAAAAACGTCCGAAATCGTGATTTGGAAACCGGACATATTTGTAATAAAATCGGATATTCTAATTCAAATAATTTTGGTTATAAATATACCAAGAAAACTTGCTATATCAATGAAATTAGATAAATTAGTAATAATATTTATGGAAGTATAAAGTGAATTTGGCCAAATAAAATACGCTTCTCTTAAATACTCTTTATTACCCCTATAAAAAGATATATCTCGCAAAGCATAAAGATAATAATTAAGGCTCAAAATCAGCTTAATTTTCTAGTATCCCTTATATTCCTATATTTCGAAAATGAAACCTTGCTCGACTCGCAGCTACCGGACTAGTTCCAGCCTCCCTTATAGCCTATTCTAAGAAGCCTTAATAAGTACTATAGTTCTGACGTTCGCGGCGGTAATGGCATTAAATAAAGGCCTTTAAGATACCAAAGGACTCCTTAATTAGGTTAAAGTCAGGAGAGTATAGTGAGAGAAAGCGGACCCAAACCCCACAACGTCTATAAGCGTTAATAATTCTATATTAACGTAATTAATAAACTAACGCATTATCCATAATAATAACTAATCAAGGGCCAGGATATGGGTTATAAAGAGGTAAAAGGTCGTCAAGAATAAAGTCTTCAAAGATATCTGCTATACAAGTGCCATAGAAGGTTACTAACTTAATATATCCCTTGATTATATATGCCGGGAGAACTGAGACTCTCTCTCTCTTAGTAAGATATCATCGAACCTTAGCACGAATACCTAAATTAGCCTATTCATATTAATAATCTCCTATATGATCATTACTTCCAGATTCGTCCACACAGACTAGTTACTCTATAGTAAAGAGTTAAAGATCGTCTCTCTATTACGTACGTAGTTTATCATTCCTCTGTGCTACCTCGGCCTTAAGCTTCTTCCGTGTAATCTTTATCCTCTTCAAAGCCCTTAATATAGTCGCCTGGTCCACTTTGACTCCAAAAATCTCAAATAGAAAGTCGGCAATCTCGTCTTGGTAAAACCATGGTGCATGGTCGAGTAATTCCTTAATGGCTTGTTCCATTCGCCATGTAATTGCTCGGGGAGCATCTCCCGTACGTCGTCCAACAGGGAGATTAAGGTTAACCCGTCTCCTATATCGATATATTATTTCCACGGAGGTATAGTAGTTCGATACCAGCTGAGTAATGTATGTTGGGGTAATTAACTCGGGTGCCACGCGTAGTTCATCCTCGATCCGGGCGATCTCGCTTGGGGTCAAATGGTAAGGCATCTAGAGAAGTGCACCAGTCAGCAAAAGATAGAGCTATATGTCCCTATTAATTTGAGCTACTCACCACTTGAATTGAGGTTGTGGTTGTGATGTGGGAGGCGGCGGGGTAATTGATGGTAATGCGTAAGGCGTGGTGAACGCGTTGTTTTTGGGCTCGCTTAGAAACGCGGTTTTGGCGATTGTTCTGCATATTGGTGTAAAATCCTGCCCCAATTCGCCATCATTATGGGCGACTAGTCAGTACTGAGTTACCAGTCACGATAAGCAGCCATTCTCTTGTCAATGGCAAAAGAAACCGAAGGGATGATGACCGAACTCACAGCCCTTTGCAACAAAGGCAACTCCCCTCTGAGAACTCGACTGCCAGCTCCTGCGGCGACCACAGTTCTTCCGAAGCTCCTACCAAAGGCCGAGATTATGCAGGCACACTCTGGATAGGCTGGTCCGGATTGGAAATATCTCTGAGTTATGCCCAGAGATATTATCATCTTCTATGCATGCATCAACGAAGTGACTGCCGTCGGCTTCAATGCCGAACGAACGTAGGAGGTCGATTTCCCATTGACTCTGCGAAGAAGGCTAAACCACAACCTCATGAGAAGGCCGAACTCTTTTTCGTTACAGATACATTCGGCGAATATGGTAATAGCAGCCCATCCTCTCTAGCGTATAGACTGGACAATACGTTAGGCTGTGCAAGTGGGGAAAAGATTTGCATTGGGCCTACGGCTATGATGCAAGTACTCTCGCTGTGGGTGGGTTTGATGCAAAGTATCATTTCAAGAAGCTTCAGTGGCGTGAAGAACCTGAAGACTTCTATCTCAAATTAGATGGAGTTCATTTGATACTTGGAATTCTGTATATCGGGCGTGGTCTTCCTGATTTTGGGAACGTGAAGAAACTTGCTGCAGAATGTGTGTAAAATATAAAAGAATCTAAATAGTAGAAATCACATAAGCTCTCAAAGGATATCTCTCGACGTGAAATAGTATTCGTTGGACCACCACATGGAAATCTTAACGGACCCTAATTCCAATAGCACTACCACCATGACTGCTGACCAACACCTCAAGCTCTTTCCGAATTCCACCTTCTTGGTAGATATCAGAGTGTGACTTACGAGGAAATTTTGACCCATGCTCCCTCTTTGTGAGTTTAAGACGACGTTTAAAGTAATATTCTCCAGTTCTAACCGTCGTCTTCAAGCCGACCCCAAGACGCCCAGCCCTTCCAGTCACATCTTGTACATCCAACAACGGCCCCGCATCTATCATTCCAGTGTAGAGGAAATTGTCTATTCGTTTCGCGGGACGTACGTTCGGTTTTCGATATCCCTTGCTGTTTCTCGTCGGTCTCCTTAAAATGCGAGTTGGAGGATAGGTAGTGTCGTCCCAGAAATCGCACAAGTCGACATTACCTGCCATGCGGCTCAAAGCAAAGAAGGGGCAGTCTTGATTCAGGTTCGCTCTCAGTAGCCCCGCCAGAATTTCGGAATGGCGAGTTGGTGGTGCCTTCAGCAGTGCAGAGGCTTGAGCCAGCTGACAGGTTCTCCCCTCATCCCTGAACAAGTCAAGGTGCGTTATACAAAGCCTTAGAATTCTCCTAGTGTGTTCAGAGTTCCCTTTGGGGGAAGAAATCGGGATGTCGACAGCAAGGAGGTCTCTGTCTGTTAGGCCTCGCAGGGGAATGCGGAACCGCCAGTCCGTCCGGATATGCCGAGAAACCATTATAGTTGTGGAGAAGTTCCGGGCCACATGCATATTTGATACTGCGAAATTCTCTCTGACCCATTGGTGTTTGACGATAGCCGAGAGTGACTCGCGGTGGACCTCTTGGAGCGTAATGACCAGTGGAGAAGATGCGTCTCTAAAGATTTCTTCTAAGTAGCCCATGGCAAAAGAGGCTCGAGCTGCTCTCACTACTCCTTTGGAATCAATATTCCAGGACACGACTCTTAGGAGACCCCCTTGATCGAGGCGCCGCCTGGGGATGGGGGCAGACATGAAGGGACACCAGCCACGAATCCGTGGATAATAGAATTGAGGAATGAGAATTTGGGGTGCTGGGGAGTATTTCGGGACAGGGAAGGTGGTAGTGGAGTGGTTGAACCGCCGATTGGAGATGGAATAGCGAGTGTGGCATTGTGGAATAGATGGTCTTCGGACGAGGAGGTGAGCGGACTTGCGGTTACTCATGTGGGGTAGTTTTGGATAGAGCATTGAGTGGTATAAGATGCTGGACGACATCGTAGAGGCAGGGGAGAGCGTCTAGAGGGTTGGGGAAAAGTTGACAAAGAGAAAGAGCAGCGAGAATTGATGCCTTTCAAAATCAAAAAAAATCATTGTATATAGTAGTGGATTGCACTCTGTAGCTTTGCGGAGCAAGTCCAACCCAGCCTGCTATGCCAATCACTTGGACGCTCCTAATAAAGCAGAAACATGCATGGCACTATATCCTCATCGTACTACCCAATCACACACGAAGTTCGTACACCAAAGTAAGCAGCGATTCGAAGATACGACCGCAAAACCTGTCGCATTCCTCTCGCATAGCCAACTTGAAACGTGCAGGCAAACATCGTACCGTATGACCGGCGCCGCTGATTGAACGTGTTAATCGTGGATTGGTGTCTTTTGTTGACTCGATGGCAGGTATATATTATTAGCATATGGCTTAGACTTTGTGGTATTTGAGTCAGAAACTTCCCTGCCAAGGGGCTTTGATAGGGTTACCAACTACCTCTTTGGCATTCTCCAAGGTGTCGCGACGGCCGAGTCCTGGCCGCCGCGGCGGTCCCACAGCGAGCGATAAATTGCTAATAATCAACGCCTCGAACCCAGGGAGATGTAAAACGACACCCCCTGGGGTCGATTGGGAGCCAGACTAGCCACTACTGTAACCGAAAGTAGAGGCGCTCGGACAAGATTACCAAAAATCTAGCTTACTCTTTAAACTTAATTTACTTTATAAGGATTTAATATAGTTTAATACTTTCATTATTTCTTTATAGCGCTAATTAAGAGCAGTTCAAATTTGAACTTTTTATAAATATAAACTAGTTATAGTTTTTTAAATTAAAGAAGTTAAAAAGTTTAATATTTTTATAACTTAGAAATTTAATAAACAAGTCCCTAAAACTAGATATAATAGCCTTATAAACCATTAATTTTTAAGGATTTATAGGGTTTAAAAACTAGAACTTAATTAATAAATATATAAATTCCTTTAAAATAAAATTCTATTTTAAGAACCCTTTTTAATATAAGTTAAAAAGCGGATTATTATATTATAAGTCTTATAATATTCTGGCTTATACTTGTATTTAAAAAAGAATAACTTAAGGTCTTTAAAGAGCTTAAGTAGCTAATTATAAGTCATTACGATTCCACTTTTAAAGTCCGTGTTTTTACGAGTTAATGCATTTTACTAAGAAGCAAATGCGAAGCCCAATATTGTGCCTTTTATATTATTCGCTAAATCGCTTTACAAGAGTTTTAAAACTCACACTAGCTTCTTTAATTATATACATATAAATTATAATATGCTATATTTAATAGTCGTTGCATATTTGTCAAGTGAAGTGAGAGACTTTAGTTTTGCGATGCCTGAAACCATTGCTAAAAACACGGAGTTTGAAGCCAGCTCGTTACCTCGTTAATACCATAGCCCCTGATTGACACTCGTGAGGTGTCGTTTTACATTTTCCCCTTTCAATAGCGCTTTCTTGCGATTGCTTTTTGTTTTGTTTAGTGCTAGCGCCTCTGAGTCTTCAAATCATCGTTGGAAATTAGTCTGCGATTACTAATGCGTGAGGCCCTGGCTCGTCGTCCTGCCTCCCAACCGAATTTCCTCAATCTCCTAATTTATCGAATTTGGGCTTCGCTCCTCTCCACGTCTTACCTGCGCAATGATGGCTCAACGAAAGCCCTACCGAATACAGCTTCTTTACGTTCCCGATTGCCCGTTGGTTGAATCGGCCCGGAGCATCCTCAAGAAAAGTCTGGCCGAAACTCATATTGACGCTGTTGTGGAGGAACTGGTTGGCGATTACAGTTCTCCAACCATTCTCATCGGCGGGTTTGATGTCACAGGACGTTCACGAGAACCAGAAAACCAAGCATCATGTCGACTTGACCTTCCCACTCACGAGCAGATCCTGGTTGCTCTTCGAGGTCTCTCGGCTCTCAATTGTAAGGGCGCAGGAGGCGCCGGGGATCCCAGAGACGTGGATACCGGCCATGCAAGCGATGTCTATAGCTGTCGAATCCAAGCCGGGTATGAGCGTTCCGTTGCGTGCGAGGGCAAGAGTTTTAATCTTACGGATCCAGCTCGTATTGGGGGACCAGTCAAAGGCCAAATATGTGAGCCTGTGAAGATCTGCTTTAGTCAGAGAACAAGATGCGACTGGGGGCTAATTACTAGATGCAGGAGCGTCCAACCTTATCCGATAACATGAATTCACTCCATTGTAGTATCACTTACTAGGGTCGTACACTTTGCTATTTAATTATAAATAAAATATAAGATTAAGCATTTCTAAGGAATTACTATTTTCTCGTATAATACCTCTATTTTTATTTATGTTTGATTAACTTTTCTTAATAAATTTAACTAAAACCTGTTTAATTTTCTTTAAAAAACATTAAGCTTTAATATTATATTAAAGTAAAATAATAGAGATATAATTAAACTATAAATTAAATTAAATTAAATTATATATTAAATTTAGAGAATTATTTATTAGTTACTCTTTTAAAATAAACCTCTCTTTTTATTAATAAATTAATAAGTAATATATTAATTACATTTTTAAAAAAATTAGTCTTATAAATATTCTTAATTATTATCTTTTCCTTTATAGTTTTATTTTGCTTTTTTCGTATTTTATTTAATATATTTAGCCAGATTTAATACTTTTTATTTATTTAAAAGAAATAAAGGGCCTTAAAGAAAAGGAAAAAAATATTAGGTTAAGTAACTAGTATAAGTATAGAATAGAAGTCCTTAATAGTTATTAAGCTACTTGTAGAGGTCAGCGATTACGTGGTTGTAATTCGTTGAATTATCTAATACAGCCCAGCCCGTAATTCAAGATTTTAGCGCCAGACACTACCGTCCTATTCTCTAGGCTACATACACAATTTTCATATCAATATAATTACAGCTTAATTCATTCCAGTGGATTAATCATAGCTTTCTTTCTACAAAGGCACACTTGAATCCACGACCTCTTTTTTGGCCTCAATTTTCTCCAGAAGACTTTGGGTTTCAGTATTGAGGTGCAGGTACGCGAGCTCAAGCTCCCTATACTGCTGTGTCAGATCTGCCAGTCGTTCTTCGAGACTCTGAACGAGCGTTCGCTGCCTGGCTCGAAAAGCACGCTGTGAATCTCGGTTTTGCCTTTTTCGTCTCTGAAATGCGTCAGCGTCCGAGGGGAATTATTTTCACATCCAGGTGTCTTCGTACATCGCTTACGCGCCCTCCACCCCTCCGAGAAACTGAGGTTGTAGCCATGAAGTCAAACGGCAAGTTCCCATAAGGAAAATGGATTGCGTCTAGGTCTTGATTCAGGATATTCTTTTGTCGACTGGGTATATCTGCTTTCGCTTTCCGGGCCGATTCTTCCCAGACAGCCACAGGTTGCTGCTCATCCTGCTCTGATTTAGCATAAGGTTTCTTTCTTCATTGCATGGTTTAGCAATGAGCGTCAAGATTTAGAGCATACATGCGAGGAAGAGACATCGTAGCTGCTAGGAGAAATTGCAGCAACTGGCCATAACCCGCCACTGGAAAACATCGTGTGCTGTAGTGATGTCTCCAAGTTAAGTAAGGTCTCTTGTTGATTCCGCTTCAGGTCATCATTAGTCTTTTGTTTGCTCATATTTGAGGATGTTGTTCAGTGTTCCACACACCTGATAGAGGTCTGAGTCGACAGGACTGGGGACTTGCCCGCCTCCATCTCTGTATTCGGAGGATGAATCTGTCTCCATACTGTAGCCGAGAGGCATTATTGGTGAAGGTATTCTAGGCGTAGCTTGTCGTTGACGAGTGACGTCGTGTTGAAGATCCCTATTGAGAGAAGAAACGGTCCGGCTACTCTTTAGAAGTTGAGCCACACTGTATATAGTATGGGCCGCTCAATTGATGGAGTTGGGTTCGATAAAGCTTCAATTATAATCGTAGGCAGCTCCTCAATAATTCACTTGTACCACCAGCGATCATTCCTGAGAGGGAAGCCACTGATGTCATAGTGTTCTGCTTCCTGCAAGCGGCTCCAGTCCCGAAGTTGTCCAATTTTCTCAAGGCAACACATCTGACAATGTGCAGCATGTTGGGAATATAATCCTGTGGAATCCTTACTACTCGGTAATTGCGGCGGCATCGGAGACGTGGAGGGTTCCCAGGTTAGAAGTGCCTAATATAGAGTCGGGCGAAAATCTTGCGTCAGGGCTAGCCTCGTTTGGGAAATCGCTTGTTTGGTACTCCGCTGTGGCGCTCTCTAAACCCGGTTGGGAAGGCGCTCGTCTTCGCTAGACAGTTTAAACCCGATTGGGATATCGCTCGGAAGCTTCAATAACCAGTCACTTAAAATCCTCTTGAGGAGGCTCTCGCAATTCATTCTTCTAGCGCAGAAAGTCCCTATTAGGAAAGCGCTGGTCAAGTGACTGACAACGGCTTTGCTTTGTCATGATTCCCCCGTCCACCAAAGCCAAGCCAGAGGAAACGTCTCAAGAACTTTTTCGTTCCCCTCTGATACAGTACCTTCATTCAATTTCTCGGAAATCCAACCACCGTTTTCAAGCTTTACCTCCACACACACATGAGAACTCAAAAGCCTGGGATTTCTGTAACATCACCTCCATCTAGAAGCCTCTCATTCTTCACTTCATCCCAAAGACTGCTCCCGCCAGCATCACAAGCGCTTTCGAGCCACAAATAGTTTTCAGCTTCCTCTGCAATGTCCTTCCATTCTGTCAAGTCCAACGCATTCGACAGAGCTGCCAAATTCCGAACATACCAAGCCCTGTGCGTTGTCTCTAAGGCAGCAATACCACCCAGAATCAGCATCCACAGAAGTGTTTTCGGGTAAAGTTGCCAACATGGATCGAGTTTTGATTTTTCCAGGATGTCTTTCAGACTACCAGCGAGTTTTCGGAATATGCCACTAACAGGAGGTAGGGGAAATGTCACCGCAACACTGTAAATGATTGCCGCGTGGCGAATCGATTCATAGAGGCATACGCTGCTGATTTCTCCATATTCCAGTTCATCCCCGGTCGGCAATGACATGAGACTATGTTGTATGGTATTTCGCTTCTCGATGAAGACTTTGAGGTCCGAGATCAGGTTAATTCCTCTGCAGTGAGATTCGATGTTAAAAGTAAGGTCAACCATGGACTGGAGTACATTGGCCGCATTGATGTTGATTCCAAAAGAAACGAGCGTTTGAAATGCCTGTCCAAGGTTTCTAGGCGAAACGCTATGAGCGTCGTCGGTGGTTATAGCCCGTCGGAGCAGAGGCCAGTATGGTTTGCACATATGCTGTGTAGATCCTAGAATATCGGACCTAGAGTTCAAAGCTGTTACCAACATGCCCTGTATATACCTTTCGTTTTGACGAAGTGTAAGTCCCCCATGAATCATTCAAGAAGTCTGGAACTAACAGTGATAAGACTTCCGCCAAACCATGCAGTTCGATACTTTCCAAGCCGCCTCGGCGACGTACTAGAGACCGCATGGCGACAACGTGGGCCGGAACAGAAGACATACTTCCATAGACATCGAGCCACTGAGCGCTAGACAGCGGCGAGTTGAAAGGTGCTCGAGTCTGGTAGCTTGTATTCTTCACCATTGTTTCTACTTCATTCGTTCCCAAAGCCAAGACAGATAAGATAACATCGTCTAGCGGCATCTTCTCAGGGCTTCGGAGCTCCTCTTTCAACAGCTTCATCGTTTGCACTTTGTGGTGTAAGCGGATCGGGTTATCGAGGTTTATTCGCGGCCGTCGGAGGACGTCCATGTGAACGGCTGCACCAAATAGCAGTGCGTGCATCGCAATTGGTCTTTGGTACGTCTTCGCAAGCCATGCCGAAGGAAGTTCCCTGCCCTGATCGCCACGGACGCGAAATCCAGGCCATATCGTGGTAACAGCTATTGGCACCCGGTATCAGCAATGGTCCTGGGAGATTACCAACCAAAGATCTTCGTTGCAGTGCGAAACAGACTTACAGTGGTCAATTAGTTCGTGGATATAAGGGCCGGTGTCTGACGAGGACGTTCGAAAGGGGTCTATTCGTCCAGCACCCAGAAGGGTAATCGGACTGGTAACTGGGGCGAAATCTCTTGGCCTCCGATCACTGAGAGCGTTACCTTGATGAGGAGACTCGCCAAACCCAGAATCAACGTCGCTGTGGTGGCTGTGGGGTGATGCGCTCCGCAGGGACGCCTCGAATCCAGAATCAATATCACTGAGGTTGCTGGAGGGAGATGCGCTTACCAGCCATGAGATATCGGAGATATCGACTTCAGATGCCCAAGCATGGCTCGATTCAGGCGTTTGGAAGTGCGCTTCAGAGTGATTGCACCTCTTCCACTCCGAGCGCGGCTGTACGGCCCTGGCTCTATTCCTGATCTTTGTCTCCTCGTCTTTCGTTCGTTGAAATTGTTGTTTCTGACGGTAGCTTCTCATGGCCATTGAACGAATAACCTTCTGATTCATCTGCTTTTCGGCTTTCGAAGCAACATTCATGTTGACGAACTCCAGGTTGAATGGCGGCTTACCGGACACGCCGCCGGCGGCTCCATTGTCGACGGCATGCGCTCTGTCATTGCGCATGTTTTTCGATGAAGTACTCATCACGCCAGAGCTCGCTGGAGAGGCGCGATGTCGGCATTGAGGATATTGAGGATGGATTATCGTAATGTCGTGACATCTGTATCCTCATGAAGTCTTGGGAATGATGGGATGTTGTGATCCCTGCCTTCCTTCGGCTTTCGTTCGGCTTTCCCGTCTCTATCTGTTGGCGTTTGGCATGTTACACGATCGCTGGGCAAATCAGGCGGCGAAAGAAACCGATCGGTCTCTATTACTTCTGAAAACTTCAACCCTCCCTTCACAGCCATCGGCTAGAACGGCATTTATCGATGGACCCCCAGCGACGGCAATTTGGGGAGTTTTTGATCCCGTGGGAGAAATCGGTCCCGGGCAGCCGCTTCGGCAACCAAATAAATTCTGCACCTGCGTGGCAGGCAGCATCAATGCCATGTTTTCGATCTCAAGAGGCTTTAACTGAGGTTCTGATTGATCTTCTAATCGACCCTCCTTATCAGTTGATCAACTAGTCATTTTGCCTGGCCATTGACCTCTAACTCGACACCACTTTGACTTCCGCCGGTTCCGTTTCGTTTTAATCATGATGGAGTTTCACGGAAAAGGGTGCTTGTGATCTTAACTTCAGAGTAGGCGGCGCGATGGGTATCTATTGCCCCCACCGGATATCTCCGATCCCTTGAGGTTCGATCAAACGTTATTCGAAATTAATATGACTATTTCTTGTCAAGAAACTGATGGTACTAGTAGTCTGTACATTTTCAGGAGGTGCGGGGTAAACTCGCTTCATAGCGGGGTAATGTACACGCAGTGAGTGCAAAATAAAGGCCCACTATGTGTGCTTAAATCCTGACTTGTATTAACAGGTATCTATTTAATACGCTGCTACTAAGTTTGCGCTTAACCAAGGCAGCTTAATATTATTCTAGGGGAGTCCCAAAACCACGATTCTTTATTTATATATAAATAAACTACTTAATCACTAAATTACTTAATATATTTCCTTATTATCTAAAGATATTATATTTAATTCTACTAATAAATGGTGACTGTGCGTGTTAGCAAGTCCATCTCATCTTGTATTTTCGGAGGGGGATTGACCTAGCCATGGTGATCTTTTAAAGTTTGATTGTCTTTTGCTTCGGTACTCGATCTTGTGAGCTATCCGAGTTAGGATTGATGAATGAAGTTTGGAACATGTTTTCCAGAAGGAAACACGGTGTATTTTAGCTGGGCCCGTCGTGGGTAGCTCAGATTGAAATGCGGTAGCAATGGTTGGGGTTGGGGCCCACAAAAACACCAATCGCCAAAAAGTATCCCGAGGCACTTGCCACACGAAAAACCGGGCAACAAACACAAATACTCAAGGCAGTCGTGATTGAAATCAACCAATTGATTCGGACCTAGCAAGCTATTTATAGTACGCAAACATCATTGTCTAAAGCCCAATCGCAATTGCAGGAGCTTTTGTCTGCCCGACCATGAAGATCAGACGACTCAGACAACGCCAATTTTTCATGCCCGGCCACTTTTCAGCAGCAACACCAGCAAGTGCCGCCTCCATACTCCATGCTCAAATCTAATCCGTACTCCGTCCAAGATGACAGTAACTTATATAACAAGATGCCCTAGTGAGGATGCCTCTAACCCAATCGAATGATGAAAGACGCACCCCGGTTTAGAATTCGTATCTCGTGCCCTGCCGACCCAAGCCTTTCTGCTTCTTGCCCTTCCCCTCACTTCGTGTTTGCCGCTCCTCTTCAACCATAGGCGGTGGCGCTGCAGCCTTCTTCGCTGGCTTTCGTGCTCGCGGTTGATCTGAATGCAAGTGCCCTAGTTCGTCCAGGGCTATCGAGTTGTGCCAGGACAGACATCGATGAGCTGTGTGATCGACGTGTTGCTCCTTCCGACGGGTCGACATGCGCTTGGGACCTGAATCGACCGACTTGTCTTCCGCCGGGTTGAGGTATTCCTTTCGCTTTTCCATGTTTCGTGCAATCCTATCCCGGTAAAGCTTGAGTTCCTTGTGCAGCTTCACCTCGTTGGTTCCACGAGTATCAAGCCATGAAATTAAGCCATCAAGCGCCTCCGGATCCTCGATGTAACCCCATTGGTGTGCAGTGAAGAGACTCGTGGCGCCTTCCTCCATTTTCTTTCGCTCCGGAACCGACATGCCAAATTTCATCCGGTACTCGTTCTGCCAATCCGGCTTCATGTCAATATATCCCTCTCGCTCCAGATCATCAGGACCCTGAACCCAAATGCATCCGTTAGCATAACCTGATTCCGCTGTTGAGCTGTTTGGCATCCCAGCATACGGCATGCCATTACGCTCAAACCAATAGTATCGATTCCAGAATCGGTCTTTGCCCAGAACACGTGTTCGCGGACAATCTGCTTCTCGAAGATCGTTGTCCAGGATAGCGATCTCATCTTCGCAATCCTTGATTGCCTCTTCCTTCTTGGCGATGTCCTTCATGAGTTTCGTGAATTGCTTCGACTGCTTTGGAATCTTCGCCTCGGCTTCAGCCTTTTCCTTCTTCTCTTGCTCGAGCTCGCGCTTTCGTTTCCTCTCTGCAGCTCGGTCAAGACCACGTCGTAACGATCTTCCTAGATGTGGATCTTCATCGGTATCGATGATCTCCTCCTCAGTCTCGTCTCCGGTCTTTTCCTCCACCCCTGTCATCTTGACATCTCCATGCAGAGGTTTGTTCTCTGGAATCGGGGATGGCGGCAGATTCGCTGGGAGAAGAATCTTGCGCTCCTCGTTCAATAGACGGAGTTCCTCAAGTCTGTCTCCGGTCAGTATTAAAAATAAATACTAATCACGTGGCTACTTACAAGGCTTTTCGATCACGCTGGAACTGGATTTTCTCCTTGCGGAATGAGGTCATCTGCTCACTGCACTCCTCCATATAATTTCGGACTGCCTTTGTCTCTGCAATCAGCATGCAGACAATCTGAAGGGCTTGGATTCTCAGGTTAACGTCGAGTTTGGCGTATTGTTGGCGGGCAGTCTCAGAAGTAGGTGGCATATCGAGAGGCGCAAGCTCTTTCAGAAGAATCTCGCAGGATTCGAAATTCCGAGGGCTCTTCGAAAGCTGATGCAACAGTCCGACCATGATGATCTGCCAACCACCGTTCTTGAAGTCACGCTTTCTCAAACGATCAATCCAGCCAATTTCTACTTGCATCTCAGCTGCTCGATGAGGGCTCTGGGGTTCTGGGGTTGGTTCCTTCGCGGGCTCCGGCTCAGCCTTGAGTGCCTCGGCCTCGGCCTTCGCCAGACTGCTCCGAGTTGCTCTTCCTTTTGGTTTCGGTTCAGGTTCAGGGGTTGGTGTCGGAGCAGGGCTGGCCTCTGCAGCAGAATCCTCATCGTCACTCTCCTCGTCCATATCTGGTAACTGGACGTGAATCTTTCCACCTTCCGCCTCAGAACTAACAAGCATCTTCAAGGCGGCACAATGCGTCTCTACAAATAATTCGCAGTCAACATCCTCTGAAGAGAACTGCATCGCCTCAACAAAATCGTCAAAAGTAAACGAGTCTAGCCTCAGAATCTCGCAATAAACGTTCAATGTATCCCAACACTCCAGCAACGGTCCAATAGACCTCATGAGAATGCCATTTCCTTCCCCTTTTGTCGTGCCAATGTCTGAAGGTGTGTCTTGGGAGAAGAACTTGAGTGTCGGTCGCTGTGGCGCATTGTGTCTTGGAGCAACTTGCAGATCTTCGATGGGGTACTTGATGGGTGGAGGTGGCGGAGGAGCGGGTGGCATCGAAGCCAGCGGTGCAAAGGTAAAGCTGGCGTTGTGGTAGTTGGTGAAATGGGGTCCATGGGGTCCCACTTGCGGAGGTGGGCCGACAGCTTGGAATGTGTGAGATACGTAAGGAGGTTGAGGAACGAATTGGGGAGGAAGTGGATTGTTAGGAGCAGGATTCAAGAATGACTGCTGCTTACTCTTAGCCAACTGACCTTGCTGCTGTTGCTGCTGCTTGCTCTTGTGGCTCTTCGGTGCTGGCTTCAACTCAGGTAGTCGTGAAGCATTTCCTTGAAAGCTGCCAACCATTCCATCGTAGTCTGGCTGGCCATTCTTCTGCTGCGCTTGCTTTTGTTTTCGCTCTGCGGCCTTGCTCTCGTAACGAAGATGTGGAGGCACTCGAGTGTCGATATGATAAACTTGGGCAACTTCCGGCTTCACCAACCACGGCGCACCGGTCCAGGCCTCTCTCGTAACCGTCTTCTTGATGAATGACCGCAGAACCTGCTTTGTGAAGATCTTGCGATCCCGTGTGATATGCGCGTCATCTACGACGGCTTCCTCGGTAGGGCGATTGTCAAGGCTGACGAAATACCGTGAGAATGGTGCACTAACCGTGCCATCTGGTAGAACCTTCGATCCAAAGCGTGTTTTATCCCTGACAATTCCTGTGAGTCGTTCGCCAGTGACTACGTGTACTGTGACCGCCTCGCCCGGGTAGTAGTCGGATCGAAATTCGTCAAAGATGAGGTCGACGAGGGTATCGATTCGAGATATAGTTTGGAATTGTACGCGTCTTAGAATCGGACCTTTCAAAGCTTCGGGGAATGCCTCTTCAACTTCTTGCGCGCCTGCAAGCTATAGACAAGTTAGCACGGCCCAAAATACAAGAATAGCTAACGGGACATGATGTACCTCAGACTTCAGTGCTTCAAAGAACGACAATCCAGAGTGTCCAGTGATTTGGCAGATGAATCGTCGCTGGAGATTGTTAGAACAAGTCGGGTATTGGTATTAGGGCAGGGGTTCTGCTAACCTGCTTGTAAAAGTCCATTCTGCAAAATGTTAGCATATCGAACAGCAGACGTGGAAAAGAGGTGTATACCGAGCCAGGTATTGCTCATAGTCTATAAATATCTCTCCAGTGGCCTTGATCACCCAAACCTGTCCCTGGAATCAGCTACCGCATACTTGCCTTATGTCCTCCCCGGATTGCTTACCTCGGTCTCGTCATTTTCAATGTGCGGCTTGGGCTGATATTGGACCGGCTTTCGCTTGAAGAGAACCTGATTGCATGAGCAGATGGTCCAGAGACTCGGAAGTAGAGGGGATGGTACCATCTTGCTGGTTGTGATAGGTGGAGGAACTCTTGACTGTGCCGGAGGACCTGCGGGAAGAGATGTCAGACCCCGCCTGCCCCCTAGATGAAGCAAGATGTGTGCTATGAAAGCCAGATACTGCGTTTTGCAGAGGCGCGGATGGTGATGGGAGAGATAAAAGTGGGTGTTGAATTGTTTGGAGGTCGAGCGGGAGGCGCAAGGGAGTGCCTGGGAACGATTGCGTAGTGGCCAGGGTGCATATCAATCTGGAACTTACAGATTCCGGCTCTCGACGCGTCTGGGCTCCTCAAGGCGTGTTAAAGGGGGCGCATTAAGTCGTGATGGCGGCGTGGTGGAATTGTTGGTGGATGGAGGCGGTGCCACGACGCGTTGGCAGAGGAGAGAGAAGATTTGAGGAGGGAAGACAGGATCGGGGGAGAGGGCTGTTAAATTCAGAAAGGTGCTTGCTCGGCTGCGCTAGTCAGGATCCCTGTCGACAGACGAAGGAGACTTGCCCAAAGCTCGACCCCCATAAAACCCCATCTACCTCGAATGCGATCGACAGGGACAACAACTCTTCTCTCAGCCACTTTCTTGGGCTCAATTTGAAGCCGCGAGCGCGCTCAATAAATCAAGTACTCATATGTCTGTATTATATGTATAACCCCAAAGTCGCGGTCCCGTACGAATTTTCCGAGATATATGCGAATTGGTAGCCGCATCCTCAGAAATCTGCCTCGATATCACCATCAGGGGACGTGCAAACTGAAGACCATTTATTGCTATTATTTACACGAGTTCATTGTGTATCTGCAGTCTCGGTAATCTACAGGAACGATCATAGCCACTCTTATATTTGTGGGTTGAGCTGTGGGATCTGGATCTCACTTTGTTGACGTGGTAAGGGGTCCTCAGATTCAGGGGTGAGATCTGTTTTGGGACCAAGATATGTCTCCTCGAATAAGTGCATGTCTAGCTTTTTCCCTATCGTATTGATTCGAGGTGCTGGTAGAAAGGTGAGCATTCAGTCCTGCAACCGGCGGGAGGCCTGATTTTCTTACGTGTGGGATTCCTTGGAGAGTGCCACGCACCAGACCGGGCGCTAGCGCGAGGGATTAGCCGAAAGAGACTAGTGTAAACATCACGTGCTGGCTGAGTCGCGACGTCCGACAGTCGACCTTATCAAATTCTTTTTGCCAGCCCACTTCTCCGCAACTTTCCAAACCAAGATTCTTTCACCGGGTATCTCGTTTGGCAAAACTAATGCACCAATTGCGAAGAAAATGATTGTTGGAAGCCATCCTCCATCATTACCCCTAAGTCAGTGGCTCTCGTCCGGGAGGATGAGGCTTCCAACATCTGCCGCTGCTTCCGGAGAATCCCTCTTCGTATTTCGCAATTAATTCACGCTTGCTTCTCAAGTCTGAAGTGATATTCTTGGATTGCTAAATCATGGATTTGAGCAATTCAAGATGCCAAGTTCTCAGATTAATACACCCTCATCACATCATTTTCTTCCTCCTGTGGCCCAACCTTTGAGAAGGACCTCGTGCTATTCAAAATCGAGCATTCTCCAAATCGCGAACCAGAAGTCCCCGTTCTCGTCATTTGTTGTTCACCGCTGGTCCCAAATATGTTCGGAAATACTTGTAGGAAACCTCTGACCGAGGGCTTTTATTTGTGGCAAATGCGACTTGGTGCCGCGGGGAACTTTCCCTATTTCACGCAACTCTCAATTAGGTGCAAATCTTGAAGTTGAGGCTACTATAGACGGCAATATTTGGCATATCAAATGACCTTTTCACCCCAGTGGGACTTCCTCTCTCCCGATCCAAACCCTCTTCACATTTTTGGTACCTGCGATGTCGTCCGCCGGGTTCCCACCGACAAGGACCATATCTGCTCTCTTCCCAACAGTAATCGCCCCTCTATCGCTCAACCGAAACCATTCTGCTGTCAAGCTTGTTGCAGCTCTCAGAGCCTCCTCGTTCGACAATCTAGCATCGACGAGGAGTTCCAACTCGCGATGAAGAGCTTCGCCATGCTTTACCGCAGCCATGAGCGACTAATTTGCATCGATTCCAGCCAGAATAGGCACACCAGCTTTGTGTATTCGGGTGACTGACTCTTTTGCCGCGGAATATTTCAAGCCAGGAAACACTTTTCCATTCGCCATCGTCCCCTCCATGACAAGAGTGGGAACACAAACCCTCCCTTCCTCCTTCATCAACTTCGTAGCAGCATCTTCAAGTGGGATGTCCAACGGGACATGAGTAACGATATCCACCTTTCCTTCCTGCGCCATCTCGAGCGCTCCATTCCTAGCCGCATGGGCCACAGTCAACATCCCACGTTTCCGGGCCTCAATGATTGCGTCTCGGTCAGTCTCGAGGGTATCGATCAGCGCCGTGGCGAGAGTAATCTCCGTGGTTATGCTCTCGGCCATTGCTAAATTGATCTCGGTTCGCGGGTCCAGGAGATCCAGGTTCGGGGCGGTATGGTGGAGATGGTCCCTGGTGGGATGGCCCGGGACGTTGCTGGCCGTCAAGGCCATTGGGAGCGGGTACCGGCGTTGGTATTTCTTCGGACGGTCCGTCACGGAAGCGTGACAGGAACCGGAGGAAGCTGTCCACCTGGCTCATTAAGGATTTCTGGGAATGGATGATTTCTAGGGCACGGTCATTGGCGACTTGGCGTCTGCCCGCATCCATTCCTCGTAGGATACCGCGGGCTTCCCTAAAATCGGCGTCGGTGAGGTGTGTCTGGAGGTGGGGAAAGCCATTGCGTTGGATCTCATCATATAGTCGGGCAATTACGGCAGCATCCTGTTTCCAAGCGTTCTTGGTATAGCGAATATCGTTATTGGGGGATTGAGCCCACGGGGCCTCGTATGGTAGTAAAGGTGGTGATGGTCGGAGCCAGACCGGGTTGGTATCCTCAGCTACCCCGGGGTTTTGCCAATCAATCCGCTTTTGGAAGCAAGCAGAGACAGTACCGGTAGCTTCTGTGACCGCTACGGCCGCTCGCGACTTCCTGACTCTGACCAGGCACATCAGCCACGACCTTGATATAATCGGCACCTCATGCTACCCTATCTTCCACGAAGCGGATAGCTGCTTGAGGGATGTCAATCAAGCTTGCTTTGGAAACTCCCGGGAATCGGGATGAATGCTCACTGTGCTGGTTGCGAAGGTCCCGGTGAAGCGGCATCTGCCATTACAGAGCTGCTACGGAGCGAGTCTTGCACAGGACCAGTGAAGTGACCCATGTCTAGGGCTGTGGTCACACCTGCCTTGGCTAGTTGGAAAAGGAGGCGAGACACTTTCTCAATGTCATCGTCGAGATGGACGTGGCAATCTATGAGGCCGGGGAGGAGAGTCAGCTCTGTACCATCGATAACCTTTGCATCGAATCTATCTCCAGAAGGACTGATGCTGGTGATGAGGCCGTTTTCGGTGGTGACGGGCACTGACGGCGAGGCCCCCTGTGGAGAGAGCTGCCGTCGAAAACGAGGGCTTTGGTGATTACTGTTTTATCCATGACTCCGAGTACGAAATGATGAGGGAAACCGAAGAGGCGCAAGGAAACTTGAGAAGTCAAAATAACGATAAAACTTGGTGGCCTTGAGGAGGAATTGTGGAAGACTTGAGTCGAGGGAGGCGGCCAAGGGAGTCACGACGCCCACTTATACCTTGGAAGTCCACACCTCAACGAAGCTCCCGAAAGGCATTGATCGACCATCATACCAGGTAATAGTCACGCCCACCAGCAGCATCGATAATTGCAGACAACTCCTTGAAGAATTCTCGAACCTGATAGGACGGACAGGGTTGCTCGCCCATTGCTCCCTATTCAATTTAGCGCCGACCGGCCCTGAAACGCACCTCTTCCCGACAATCCCTGACTTTCTCATCGACTTGTACCCGCTCCCCAAGCAAAAGAACATGGTAAACATCGCTGGGAGGTCAAGAGGCTGCTCAACCTCCCGCCGACGTCGAGTCAAATGTGGTACGTATGGGGACGCTCTCCGTTCATTGGACAAAAGTCTAGACTAATCACCCACCAGATAAGAAGCGCCCTATTTGCAATCGCTGTGAAAGACTTGGCTTCGAATGCAGCGGCCCGAAAGGGGTTGCCTTTATTGACCACAGAAAGAGCTTGAAGTCCTTACGGTCTGGGAAAGGCTAGACTAGTGCTGTGACGACATATGCTTTAGCTAGCACACTTCCTCTTCTACTCTCAGCGAGTCTGAAAGGCTTTGAAGTCCAAACCTACACCTTCTACGCAAAAGAGTACCTACTACGCGGGGGCTCTGTCGATACTGCATTGCAGAACCTCCAACTTAGCGACCTATGCGCCTCTGTCCAGAGCAAGAGCGGCGCCCATCTCCTCCATCTAACCATCCTCAGCCTTGCAACAATATTCTTTGGCACGCGGCATAGAAATACTTCAATCACCACCCCTGGCTATCTCCTGCACGGAATAGCTCTCAAACAGCTCAACACCGCCCTTTCAGATCCTCAATGCCAGTTTCGAGATGACGTCCTTCATTCCGCCATGTCGTTGGTTCTTCTGGAAGCTTTTGTACCCACCTGAAGGAATTATTATCTCAAGCGTACAGATGGCCTCGAAAGGTTACTTGGGCTGCGAGGGCCGGGTATGCTTTGTTCTCCGGGATCCTTTTTGATATTCAAAGCGGTGCGGAAAATGATAATCCTTGCGTCCATCAGCAGAAGGAAACCATCACTCCTAGCGAGAGGAGCAAACCCCCTTTTTCGACACTCCTCATCTTTCAGAGCCCCGCCGCTTCAACAACACTAATGCTATACAACACGTCTCTTATTTATATCCTTCAACCCTTACATCACTGGCACCAGCACCTCCTGGAGTCCTGTCTGGCGAACACTCCCTCACTTAGGTCATCCTAACACTCCCTCACTCAGGTCATCCTAACACTCCTCTCAGTCGTACTCATACAGGATACCCAGCAATGAAGCGCTACGCAGCACTAGAGATCTGCCTCTCCATACTATACTATCAATCCCGCAAATCCAGTTGGGATTTGCGGGATTGATTGACCATTGCGCACTTGGCTGGACAGACTGTGTTCATGGCCTTTGGCGGAAGCGGCTCTTTGGGAGGGGAATGAATGGTGCATCTACTTAACGTGGGAAGGGGTGAAGTGTTTGCCAGGGGTCTGTGGACTGATTGATAGGAACAATTTTGTCTCCCTCAGCCTTGGGAGGTCACTTCGTCCTTAATCAACGTCCAAGGTATTCCTGCAAGTCCACGCAAGAGCGCCGTATCCGTATATCAAAGACCACCACGGGATTTCCTTTTACACAAAATAATTCCCGGACCTTTTATCCATTCTCTGCAGTAGATCAATTGAGAAAGCGGCGAATGAGTCGACCCCCCCGCGCCCCCTCTTCGACTTTCCTTCTTGGGACGTTGGAATAGGCTCGGATAAACTCTCATCTCAAAACATGCACATAATTCTCTCGCTCATTGCCAAGACTCACCCGTAAACAGCAATTCTGCATGGACGACGTTCTCATATACGACACAGCTTGGAAACGCCAAGACACCGCGTACCTCGTCTCCTCAGTGCTCGCCTCTGGTTTCCTCGCCCTCGACACCTCAGCCCAACCCAGCCAAAGCACTACCAGGAAAACCTAGTCGGAGAATCTCTCCGCGCCTTCCTTTCCATCCTCCCAATAACTCTTCAAGACCTATTTGTATACCCCCATCCCCAAGGTCAGATTAGCAATTTACAAAAACAGATAACTAACACCACTACATCAGATCCAAACCAAATTCACTCGCCCAACAGCACAGGACCCACCCTATTGCCCCTACTCCCTTGATGCTTCACTAGAAACACAAATCCACATTTCGCTCGCCTCTTCCCTGCAAAGCCTGCGGCACTCCTCTGACCCATCTGTTTCGTACCTCGACGCCCTTTTGCTGCATTCCCCGTACCCGGGTTTCTCAACCATCTTAGAAGCGTGGACCGCCTTCTCTCCACGCATGTCCCGTCTAAAATGCGTAGGCTGCGGATAACTAATATATCACTTTCCCCGCTCTTCAAAGACGGTATGATGCCGTGGACGTGAATCCAAGTTTCGTGCAAATTAGATTTGTGCCTGAGATGTGGTATGTAAAGAAGATGAAAAAAAAAATTGTAGAGAGAAGGGGATTCAATTCCAGGCGTATCGAGTGTGGAAAGGGAATCAAAGGTTGCTCGAAGGTGCAGTTGTGAGGAGGAGGATGAATGAGGAGGTTGGGATAGGTAGGGAGGGAGATGGCACCGTTGCTTTTGTTGGTGGGCTTGGGGATAAAGGTTGTTAATGGGCCGAAGGGGGCGGAGCTTATGAAAGCGGATGTGGATGGGTTGGGACGGTGGAAAGGGTGGGTGGGAAGAGGAGGGAAGAGAGAGATGTGGGAGGGGTATATGAGGGGCTTTGAAGGGGAGATGCAGGATAGCATCAAGTTGCCGTCTGAGATTGCAGTTAAAGAGCCCTAGCAATCTTATTATGCCTAAGAGAAAGCGCTTTGAAGTTGCCAGAGCATGGTGATCACGTGATTAGAGGTGCATCGAGGTCGAGGCTTCGGTCTTGGGTTCGCGGCAAATACTGAACAGTCCGTTACTAGGGGCTCAATGATAGATAACCTAGGCTGCGGGAGCTGCGTTTCCAAATGAGCACTTGTCGTCACACCGCCAACTCTGCAGCTATGTGATGATGGAAAGGGAGCTTTTATCCAGTGGGAAGTGCAGACTCAGACAAGACTCACACGATACGGCACCGCTAATAATATGTATTTAAAGCAGTGAGATTATATGGGGTGCGTAAACGGAGCTCAATACCAGCCACTGTTCCACCGTTTGTACGGCCGTATACCATCCTACATAGTACTCACCGGCGAGGGCAACCTTTCGGGGCTTGGGGGAGGCCTTGGCTGATAGGAGGCTTGTGCGGGAAAGGCTTCCATTCTGGCAGCATGATGTGTCTCATAGGTGGCAGAAGCCGGGCCAGAAGTGATAGGAGCCCAGCCGACGATCTTGTTCCCCGATAAGATTGGGCCAAGGGATAAAACAGCTGCGTGGGAGGGGATGTATGCGGAAAGAGCGAATGGTATTGATACGATTAAAAGGGTAGAGAAGCTGTCGAACCCTGCTTCAGTCTTCACCTCTTCTGCGATGGCTGGCATATCTCGAAGCCATGAAGCGAATAGATGTTTGATATCGTCGCTGGGTCGGAACGTCTCTCCTAAGCGCACAGCAAATGCTAATCGGGGAAACCCTTCCGTGGATCGGAAATTGAGTTTACTGGTTTCCTGAGCTAGGCCAGTATTCAGGATACTCCCCGACACCAAATCGGGTGGCAGTGGTTCCGTGCCATCAGTTTCTATTTGAATGGGACGTACATCCGCGGAAGGTGGCAATGGCTGCACTGAAAGTTGAATGCTCCTAGGTCTCATAGTATCTTGTGTTAAGACCAGGTGAATAGGAGCAGGGTGTCTCTCCCAATGTCGACCATCTTCCGTTCTCATCGTCGGCAGCCTGCTTTGCGTTCGGAGAAACACATTTTTGTACAGCTTCCCACACTAAACGAGCGCGGGGGCTCAAGAGTTGCAATTCAACAACCAGCGCGTTTGTGAGAGAGTATTCCCCGACCCCATTTGCTGTTTGATTCCAGACACAAGCCGTTATGATCTCAGTGACTCCGCTCCCCTTGGAGGTATTCGCCGTGCCAGAAGCACAACAGTCGAGTAAGATCAGGGCATCGTTAGGTGATTCTTCGATAAAGCTTTGAATTGCCCCCCATTTGACCATGAGGCATCTGGAATTCTTCTTTCGCCGACTGGAATGGATCAAAATTAGTATTCGTAATGTGGCATTTCTCAAGCTGGGAACTAAACATCTTCAAAAATAGGTATTAAAACCGCAATCTTACCTCGTCAATGCCAAAGCTCTTGTATCCAGGAGTCTCGCATGTCCTGCATAATAAACAATCTTCAGCTGAGAATTGCTGTCATTCCTCGGTTCAACGAACCTCATCACTTTCGTAGCCAGCTCAAAGTGACAGTTCTCATCTGGAATTTTCCACTGCTCAACGTTATAATGATAGCAATCTTTGATGACGTTTACCAATTTCTGGACCTCCAAAGATACAGGGAGCAGAGGATCTTCATCGGCCCGGCTAAGCATGAGCACAGACACCTTCTCATACCTAGATGTCTTGTCATTGGGAAGCACTGCGTTTGCTGCAATTTGAAGACTTTTTGAGAATGTCTGAAGGTCGGTGTGGTAGGTCCATCGATCAATATCTTCCATAGTTCGAGGCGTTGAAGCGAAAGTCTGGGAGGTAGCTAAACTGTTCACTGTCGTTGTCATGGGGTTCTTTACTAGATGTTGATGGGTCGTCGTCCCCTCCTTTGGTCTCACTCTCCGGGCTCAAGTTTTACTTGAACAGATCTTTTGCTTTGAGACTCTCTCCTTTTGCGATGGGCTGAGCACTACTCTTCTCTTGACTGATGAGCTTTCGGAAGAGCCTCGTGCTAACCTCGTGTCGTCGCGGTTCAGGGTTGTCACTCGTCGATGGCACACCTCGCGTCCATCCCCAAAACTTTCTCCAATCTGGCATCCTGCAGGTAGTTCGCTTTGAAGATTCTTACGGGAATTAGCTAGATGGTAGATATAGCCTTCTTTGCGGTTCTGCCTTGGAGAAGCGGTGCTGCAGAACAGTGCGATGGCATGCAAGGTTTCGACAATGTTGGACTTCTGGATATCGGGGCGGGATTCAAGGTCATAAAGAACCTTTCGGAAACAATTTTCAGGACGAAGAAGAGAGAAAAGTGTGGAGCCTGATTTTGTAGAAGGGATCCTGGTGTCGGTGACGAAAATGGAAACATCGTCCCAGCCGTACCCTAGTTTCAGTCACACCAATCACGTCAACGCCCTTGAGAAATTCCAACGGCGGTACAAGAAATACATATTGCAAGGCCATCGACGCCGTAAAGAGAACGGGTGTCTCTTCTGCTCGAAAATCATTAGCAGTTTGCTGATCCGATAAACTTTTAATCTTGATCACGTGATGAGGAATAAGCCACTCGACTTACGCAGGCAAAAAATTGTGAGGATGACGAAAAGGCTAGCAATGGTGAAAAACCAGAGTGTATTAGATATCCGACCTTAATGTTCACAATCTAAACAAAATATAGCGCCTTCATGTCAAACCCCGGCCTAGATCGAGCTCCTACCATGTAAAAACCTACAAGACACCTACAACATAGCCAGAGCGCCAAGCATCATCGCGCCGACCATGGCACCATTAGCAGTCAGTGCCGTCGCAGCACCCGGCTGGGCCGTCGTGCTCACACTCGTGGAGCCGGCTCCGGAGCTCTTAGTCGGCGAGCTTCCTGACACGCCGGACGTAGAAACTTGCTGAGTGGCATCGGTAGTATATGTAGTTCCATAAGCGGTCGCATAAGTGGTAGCATACGTGCTTCCGTCCCTCGTCACTGTTGTGGTAACAGTGGTTGCAATGCTAGTTGTGACACCCGTTCCTTTTCCTTTCACTGCCAAGATACCTCCGAGCGGTACGGTGTTAGGTGGTGAGGTGGAGTCTGTAGCGTTGCTGGCTTTCAATGTGAATGCTGCGAGCGTGTTGCCCGTCGCTGGGGCGTTGATCGAAGCTACCATGCCCGACTGGCAATGGGACTTAACGGTCTGTGCGCAGTAGATCCAAATCGGCTTGGTGTCGTTGACAACGATTGTGAAGGTCTCGCTGGATTCGGAGGAGTTTGTGGGGATGAAGGTGGAGAAGAAACCGCCTGCGAGAGGATGGCAGGGATCGGCGAAGGAGGATTGGGTTACGGAGTGGTTCTGGGAGAGGATTAGTTTATGTACGAGGTGAGAAGATGGAAAGGGAGGGGGGCGTACTTTGGGGAAGAAAGAGAACTCGATAGAGTCGCCGACGTTGGCTTTGATGTCGTTGGGCACGAATGTGAGGGCACCACCCTTGCCGACTTGCACGGGGATGGTGATGGCAGCTTGTGCGAGAGCAGCAGAGGCAGCGGCGAGGTGAGCCGTTGAGAAATACATGTTGACTTGAGATCTTCAAGAGAGTGTTGTTGAAATATGCGAGGTACGGCTTGAATAAAGACGGAAGGAGAGAGATATTAAGGTATAAATGGGATGCTGATGCGACGAAAGGAAAAGGATCTAATTCCCAGGACCTTCGCCTACCTTTATATCTTTGCCGCGCAGACAGGAAATGGGTGTTGCCAGGAGGTGGTGGTACAGAAAAATCCTTCTATATTAGAGTGCAGTCGCATCTTGCACAGCCGGCTGGTTGTGGCTTGCAGGGCAGTAGGGCAATTGGGCAGGTGTTTTGGATTTGACGATTGCTTACAGTGCCACCGGAATCAATAAAGTTGACGCCATTCAGTCAGCGCAGCCGACTATCGTCTCCAGAATAGAAGAATGGAGTAATCTGCATCATCCTCACCAAAATATCGTTGCTTCGTCTCATGTCGTGGCAGAATTGATCGTTGAATAATGCAAATAATCGGTGTTGTTGTTGATGTAGGAGCTCGGACGCCGGAAGACGGAACATCTAATTTGATCTTGAAACAAGCGGAAATAGATCGGCTAATAATAAAACCCGCGCGCTTAATTTGGCCCCTGTTGATGCGGCCGCTCGAATGCTTCCTCGGCAATCCACCGCCAATGGCCTAGTCAACTTCACGCACAACTAAGACAAATCAGCCTCTACCGCCTGCCTAAAAGATCGAGAAGCTCCAACGGGCTTCGCCGCCCTGGACGCCCCTTCCCAGGATCCCCAGTGCTTGAAGGGGAAATCTCAAGCCACAATGGGTATATCACGTGCTATCTGACGCCTCAACTCTGCTTCGTTGGCAGCTCTTCACGGCTTGTAATCCGCCTGGAGCTCCTGAATGGGTGAAATTGACCAGGGAGACCCATAGGAACAGCCATCCGGCGTCACGGAAGTCCACTTGCCGGGACGTGGCTCCCTGGCCTTTGCTCAGTGGCTCAGCCTTCACGCTTCTCCGGCTCTTCGCGACGCCGGGCTACGGTTCGTTCGCAAAGCAGATTTGGATGGTGTGAAGCTTGATTTCTGTGCCACGTTTTCTGCGGGACATCTCGCTCTTTTGCTCCAATAGAACACCCTTCTTGCTTCAAGCGATATCCCCAGCCTCGCCGAGCGTAACTTGACCCCAGCTTCTCAGTTATATATAACGAGACCCGTGGCGTTGAAGTCCAAAATAATAGTGGAGAAGCAGGTGCCTCGGTATTTACTATTAGCTCCAAATCCTGCCGTAAAGTTATAATTTAACTGGTAGCTTAATCTAGAAATATTATACTATAAAAATAGCAAAATTATATAATTTAAGGCTTGAATATATAATAATATAATATAATCTACTCTATATAATTATATTAATATTATTTCTTTACTAAGCTTAAATAGGGAACTCTAGCTAATAAAAGCTTTAAATAAGAATATTAGAATTTATATTTAATTTATATTTAAAATAAATATAATAGATATTTTATAACTTAATTATAATATAATTATATCGGATTTAAATTTAAAGCTAAAAAGAAAAGAAAAAAGAAATAATAATAATAAATAAATAAATATACCCAAAACTATTAAAATACTAAGCTTGATTTAAATCTTAGCTAAAATTAATTTATAATATTTATATAATATTTATTATTATAACTTTAATTATTTTTTGGTATAAATTATAATATTATTATTAATATAATTATAGTAAATTAAAATCTGGTTTTTATATTTAATATATAATACTTATATTAGATCTTATAAACTTATTCTTATATAATTATATTTTTTTATTTCTTTAAAATTAGAATTTACTTTTAGCTTCTTTTTTTTAATAAATTCTTCTTATATTAAGAATTACTAGTCTTTTTTTATATTAAAAGCCTGGCTTATAATATTAGAATTTATTTTTCTTTAAAAATCCCGGAAATTCTTTATAAAGAAATAAAATAGAAGCTTTTAATTTCTATTTAACTATTATTTTTAAATAAATAAATAAAAAAGAAAAGTTTTTATATATAATAAAGCTAATAAATAAAGCCTATAAAAGCTTATAATACTTATAAAAACAAAAGCTTTTATAAATTATAAAGCTAATAAATAAAGCTTATAAAGGCTTTATAATATCTATAAATACTATTAGCTATATAGGCTAATAAAAAGTATTTAGATCCCGAATATTTTAAAATAATAAGGAAATTTCAATTAGTAATAATAATAAATAATAGCTTTTATTAAATAATAATAAAACATAATAGCCTAAAAAGACTTTAAAATATTTAATAATAAAAGTAATAAATAATAGTTTTTATTATATAAATAATAACTTATAAAAGCTTTAAAATATTAGAAGTTTATAAAAGTCAAATAATATTTATAAATACTATTAGTTATATAAACTAATAAAAAATATTTGAATTTTAAATATTCTAAAATAATAAAGAAATACTACTAATTAAAATAAGCTATTAAATGCTTTTATTATATAATAATAATAGCCTATAAAGGCTTTAGAATATCTAATATTTATAAAGATATTTAAAATACTAGAAAGCTTATAAATATTATAAAACCGGATTTCTAGACTTAAAAAGTAAAATAGAATAGCTTTTAATTCGAGAATTCTAAATTAAAGAAAAAAGCTCTAGTTATATATATTATTATATAATTATATAATTATATAATACTAAATTTACTAGTAAAGTAATAGAATATAATATTATTTTTTCTTTTAGGAAAGCTTATTTCGAATACTTTTAGATTAAAAAACAGGCCTTTTATAGCTTATAAATTATATAATCTTATATATTCTATTTCCGGTATTCCCTATTTATATATTTTACTAGTTTTTAATATACTAGTTTCTCTAAATCCGAATCCGAATTAGAATTAGAGCTATAAGATCTAATTAAGTAATTAGAATTATAGCCTCTATTAGAATTATAGCTATTAGAATTATTAATTATATAAATTCTGACTTTTTTATTATTCTTATTTACTATAATTTTTAATTCTAGTAGAAGTATTTTCTTATATAATTAAATATTATAATTCTTTATCTAGTATTTATTACTTCTTATATAATAAATTACTTATAGTATAAGATATTTATAAGCTTGTAAATAGCTTATATACTTTTCTAATTATTCTTTTTAATTTAGATTAATTAGAATTCTTTTAATCAGATTTTTTTTATTTATCAAATTTTGAAGTTCTTCCTTTAATACTGTCACGAGTACAAGATCTGGGGCCTGGAAGGCGTGGTTAGACTGTCTCTATTTCGACGATTCAAAGCTAAAGAGAGAAGAGGATCTCGAAGGAGCCTCGGATCTAAATAATCGCGAGCTACGCACGGGCCCACGTGCTAGCTTAAGCTCGGGGTCACGTGTAACCATCAGGTGACTACAGATGCCAGATGCCTCGCTAGTTCTAGTCTAACCCCTACTAGTACTGTGGTGGGGATTTTACCCCTATTGGTCACGTGGCGCGGTCATGTGACCTCCGGACGTCCGCAGTCCGCAACCCGCTTATATATTACCCCTCTTTCCTTCTTAGTTTAGAAATCAACCAACCTTCACTCTCTAATTTCACGCCTCACTCGTACGCTGTAATCCCACGCTGTGGAAGCCCATTCTACACTCTATATATTACTCCGTGTTTTATATCCCCATTACAGTACCGTATATCATAACAACATAACAAATACTATTTTCTCGCTTAGAAATTTGAGGCTATTTCCTAAGTTCTCAGGATCTTTAAGTCTAACTTTTATAATTCTTAACTTTTTAAAGCCATTTAAATTCTTATATATATATTAATTATAATTTATATAATTATAAGTATTATATTAAAATGCGGTTATATTATAATATATTCAGATTCTGGAAGGAAGAGAGGTATGGCACTAATGGCCAGAGCTAAATACAGTGTGCATAGTTACATGTGCGTGGCTCACGTGACTAGCCTGCAGTTTCTATGCAACAATAAGTATAATAAGAGCTTTAATAAGCTTAGTATAGAAGAGAAAGATTTCTGGGGAGACCCTAGTAAAATTTAAGCGAAGCGGCCGCAAAGGCTCGTGCACCCCGAAGGCTCGTGCACTCTGGCTCGTACACCCTCGACTTTTCTTTGCCTTTATTTAAGAAAATATTAAATTTAATTACTTATATAAGAATTTTTTAAAATAGCCTTTATTAATTAATAGAGAATTTAATAAAGAATTAAATGAATTAATAGGAATTTGAATAATTACTTTATTTAAAAATCTCAAAATTCAAGTGCAACATGCGAATGCGCAATGTGCAATGTGCAAATGCCATGAAAAATCGAGGTTTGGCAGTACAGGCATTGGAGGCCTCGGTATCTTCCCTCCTTCAGCCGTTAGCGACAGGTGAAACATGCGAACGTCAATCTAGCCGGAACTAGAAGTTATTACAGGGGCGAGAGTATGAATGGTAAACTGGGAATGAAATTTCAGGCAGAGGCCAAGGCGGGGCCAAGGGAACTTACTCAGCTTGAGCAGTCTCCTTTCTCAACTCTGAAGGAAAAGATCCGGATACGAAAGATGAACTCTCTGTTTTGCTTGCGCCACAGTCAAAGCGCACGAATGACTGTTTTTACCGCCCTGCACGAGGTACAGGGGAGGGGCTTCCTCAATTCCTTACAGTGCCAGCAGAGGCCCCGTGGGCGGAAAATCTGATATACCCTGCTCTGGTATCAGTCAATCTGACATACCTTCTCCACCCGCCCCATCATGGGAGATGCGGGGTACGGGGTACCGGCGTTTTTGCTCCCTGCACTTCACAGCTTCGCCGCCCAACTCGATTAAACGTTGCTTCATCTCCCTCCACGTTTGACTTGCCTAGTTGTATCCCACCGGAGACTGCCGTACCCTGCCGTTCCTATCTATGGTACTGGGTTTTCTCGATATTAATGGTCCGATACCTCTACCGTAAGTCGCACCAGTCGTCCCGGCATCCTCGACCAAGGCCCTCACATGTCCGCACAAATGGGCTCGCGTGGATTCACCTACGTTGCAGATGTTGCAGATACCGCGGGCGCTGCTGTCAGCCAAATTTGGGCTGTCAACACTGCTACTGCTACTGGCTGGGAGCCACAGAACACCGAGGTGGACCAGATGAACCGGAGGGATTTTATGACGCAGATCGAAGTCCGAGACCGTCATCAAGATTCAGGTGAAGATGGGTCGGCACATTCCTCATTACCAGAAGAATATCAGGACATCTGTGGCACCGCTTGGCCTGCAACACTACCCGGCGACAGAGACCTCGATGTGCGCCAGGACCCCAAGCCTGCAAAGAGGGGTGTACATCGAATGCGCACAAAGAGAATCAGTCGAGCGTGCGACCAGTGTAATGCTTCCAGGATGAAATGCGATGGACAACAGCCATGTGCCAGATGTATTGGTTAGCCTCCCCCTTCGGCATGTTCTTTTGCTCTGCAATCTGCCGAATTATCTAGACGAGATCCCCTCTGTAACACATGCTAAGTGTATTTTGCTACCAACAGATTTCGAAATGGACTGCGCTTATATGCGTCCTCGGAAAAAGAGAGCGAGAGTTTCAATGAAATCCGCAGCTATCACCATAACCCGGCAGCATAAACGTCCCGCCACCGTTGCGATCATGGATGAGGCTGCTTCATCAGCCCACTTTCAAGAGCTTTCACCGAATCCAGGCCCTCGTGGTGACCGTGCAGATGATGATGGCTCTTCCATTTCTGATGACCCCAGTATGGTCCCGCCTCAGCATCTGCAGAATTCTTCGAATTTTGAGTATTACCAAGATGAGCGAGATCGGCTCGATTCTTTTATAGAATCGATGGGAAATATGCCTTCAAATACCGTGGATCTGTCGCAAGGTTTTGCACTGCAAGGGCACAACGCACACAATAGTCTGGATAATAGACCTCCAGGTCTTGCTCCTAGTTCAAATGACATCCAAAGCAGCATCACAATTCAGAGTGAGGCGCTGCCAGCAACAATGGAGCTAGGTATTAGCGGTTTACCCGGATTGTATTCTCCAATAAGTGACGATGCATTGGATCCGAACCTCCAGGGACCGAATCCTAGGTTGCAGACGCAATGCTCTATGGGAGCTCAGCCAGAGCTGAAATATCCTGTTCTACTACCATTAGTGCCTTATATGACGCACCCGCTCACAGTCCCATTAGCATGCAATCTTCTCGAAGGCTACTTTTCAACTATCCCTGGAGGTTATGTTCCATCTTCGCCTTTTTTGCTCGGACATATGCTACGACGCCATTCATTTTTGCGATCCGACACACCTCGGAAGTGTAGCCCTGCTCTACTCTCAAGCATGCTTTGGGTGACTGCAGAAACGACGGAGGAACCATTTTCTTCATTGTCGCCTACAACACGGTCAAGAGTTTGTCAGACGCTTCTGGAGCTTACTTTGACATTTCTACAACCTGCTGTCCAGGTACAAAATGCTGGGGAGGCTCGCAATGGGCTGCCATTAACGGAGCACAGCTATCTCCGTTGGCATGCTGACGGTGGAGCCTCAAACGCTACAGGATCCTTTGACGATGTTATTACATTTGTGCATCTTGCTACTGTGGTTTCAGCAGGCAGGTACAAATCAGCCAGTTTTCGATGGTGGCATTCAGCTCTGCAACTCGCCAAAGAACTGAGGCTCAATCACGAAGCATCAACGTCCTCGGTCCAATTCAAGGACATTCCTACGCAGAACGATCAGTGGAGCGGATTTTCTAACAAAGGGGGTGATACAACATGGTACAGCGATGACTCTCCATTTGTATTCGCTGCTCCAGGTCCATTACTACGAAATATGACTAATGAAGTGGTCTTTCCATCAGCGCCTTGGCATCTAACGTTGGGTAATTCCCAAACTTTCCATACTGCCGAAGAACGAGAAGAAAGGCGGAGAGTATGGTGGACTTTATATATTCTGGATCGTCATCTCGCACTCTCTTTCAACAGTCCTCTTGTCATCCGTGAAGTGGATTGCGAGGGGATGCTCTTTCCAGACCTAGATGTTCGCTGGCAGACACCAGAAGTCTACTCCGAGAATGAGAGAGCGCTTACTGGATTGCAGCAATGGAGCAACTCTCAAGGCGCGCACAAAGTCTTCAGCGTACAGGAACTTACTCAAGGAACTTTTGCATTCTTTATTCCGTTAATGTCGATCTTGGGCCAGATAATCGACTTTCAACATGCTAGAGGGCACCCTCATCTGGGAAAGATATACCGAGGAGATGATATTCAAAGTCGCTTCATTCAGGAAGTGAGCCAGCAATTGGAAACGTACCGGCATAGTTTGAACGAGCTCACCAACAAGCACTCCGGTACTTACGGCGAAAATGAGATATCTGAGGGAAGTTCGGACGTCAGATTCTCTTCAAACATTCCCGAGCGACTAGAGGAACACCATGCACAGCATGAGTCCGACTTCGACCTCCAAAAACATACCGTCGCCGCCTACGGCAACTTCTTTGTGCACGTGATGTACATTCTTCTCCACGGAAGATGGGATCTCATTTCTCTCTTCGAGGACGAGGACAGCTCGTGGATATCTCAGCCGTCGTTCTTCCAAACTTTAAACCATGTCATTGCCGCTGCTAATGCCCTGGACAACATTCTCGAGTTTGACTTGGATTTCAGTTTCAATCCTTATCTGTTGGGAATTTACCTCTTACAAGGTAGTTTCATACCTTTCGTTGTTGCTGCAAGGTGTCAAAGGACCACTAGTCCAGAGGTGTTGAAAGCGTGTGAGAGCTTTGTTCGGGCCCATGAGATCTGCGTTGTCACTCTCCATACGGACTACCAGGTTAGTACTTTCCTGATGTTATTATCTCAGCTGTCGGCCTCTGACTCTGTTTACCTGAGGCTAATTGAATATTCTGCAGGGGAAGTACCGAAAGCTCATGCGTTCCACAATTGCGATGGCAAAGGGCCGCAATAGTAAGTTATCCGAGGACGAAATGAAGCGCCAGCGAGAGGTTTTGGCATTGTATCGTTGGGCTGGGAATGGCATGGGACTTGGAGTTTGATGAGAAACTCAAAAGGGGCGAGGTGTTTTAGTGGGCAAATTAATAATTAATACCTATAATCAACGTTTTATTATCGCCCTCAAGGTATACTTGTTTACTGTTCGTGTACAAATTTTGCTTAAGCTTATGAAAGGGGGAGGGGGATGTTCCAAAGGTTGTATATCTTCTGAGACCGTGCGTGTAGAACAGGCAAAAGGGAGTACTTCGCCTAATGTTAATCTGGTGAAGTGGGTCTTACCAGTAGTGTGGCTATCCCTTCGTCTGGCGAGACATAGTCCACGCTAGCAAGGGGGCCTGGCACAGGGCGAAAAGGCAATGAATGACTAACCAAAGCTACGACTTTCCAGTCTGAGCCAGGCCCCCTTGCTAGCGTGGACTATGTCTCGCCAGACGAAGGGATAAAGTAAGCTCCAAGTGTCACCACGAAGTATCCGAGAGAAACTCTCAGCACTCAATCTTTCAGAGGATAGATATTTTTGCATAACATTGAGATTCAATAGATGACGTTATTCAAATTTGTTATTATAATGCTATCTCATTTTCACCGAAATTATTATATTGTCCACCACTGAAAACCGCACCCTCAGCCCTTTCTGTACGACTACCTCTTCAGTTCCATGGCTGCACTGCATGCAGCGATTATTGCCATACTTATACCTTCGGGGTAATATCCTCTGTATGCTCAGCGACCGTCACATTCTCTGTGAGCTCGATCTTGAGTGGCTCATTCATGTGAACGGCGACAAAGACATCGCCAAACACCTCGCTGATCTCCTCCAGAGTCATTCCCCTGGTTTCCGGCAGGAAGAAGTATACAATCGCCGCAGTAACCAAGTTGCATACGATGAAGACAAAGTAGTAGCGCCAGCCGATGTTCTGGAGAGCAGAGGGCGATGCCTGGGCAAGCACAACCTGGATGACGAAGCTGCAGAAGGTGGCTATGGCACCACCGGTGGCACGGATTTGCGTGGGGAAGATCTCGGTGCAATAGAGCGGAGTTCCGGAGTTCCAAGAAAGTGAGAAGATGATGCCAAAGGAAATCAGGAAGAAGATGCCAATCCCGTTGGCGGCGACGTCGGGCCCACCGCCATATACCGCAACTAACGCCATAACGATAGCAATATCGGCAGCCATGGCAAGGGATCCTGTCATTAGAACGACACGACGGTTGAACCTGTCGATGATGAACATCAGGCAAAAGATGTTGGCCAAGGGTCCAGTAATACCCCAGACGCCAGCGAGGGCAAGAACAGTAACACCTTTGATACCAAGACTACGATACATTTTCGTCTGGTAATAGTTGATGGCTGAAATACCAGAGATCTGCTGACCAATGTGACTGAAGCAGCCTAGGAGGAGTCGCTTGCGGTAGGAAGGCTTGCGAAGGATGCCCATGAGGGAACTGAGTTCGTTTTCCTTCTCCCATGTAATCTGGTCACGCATCTGTACTGAGGCCCACAGCTAGCTAGCGGACAAATCCGAGAAGCGAAAAGTGATTTTCTGATTTTCTGATTTTCGCACTGGCGCCCCGCACCACCCCCCCCCTCCTCCCCAAGGCAGAATTCCTAATTAGGGGTATAGCACCCACACGTGACTTTCGGCTTAGATAACGCAATAATAGTAAGGCTGCTTACTTGTCTAATTAACGAAGTGAGAGCCCATACTACTATATGAAATCGTGCCAAAATTAGGCCGGGTAGTATAATATAAAATTGAGTATTTATTACAAATTATTATAGTCAGGTAACTACAGGCTATAAGCCCTTCTAGGATAATACTATTAATAGGGTCTAATGACTTCCTTAATGTTTCCGAGATTAGAAATAAGAAAATTAAATTATTAAAATAACTAAGAAGCCGGCTAATTACTTTTTTTTGGTAATTAATTAATAAAATCATATAAGAGTAATATTATTCGAGTTTTTTAGTACTTATATTACTAAAAAGTACGTTATAATAGTAAAGTATACCCTAAACTTAATTCCTATTAAAATAATACTATAACTTTTAATAAATCTATTAATATATTATAAAGCTATTACTAAATAGGCTTATATAAATATTAATTAAGAAGAAATTATAAATAGATTAAAAGATTTATATAGAATCTTAGTCGATCCGTATATAGTCTAATAATAACTATAAGAATGAAATATTCAAATATATACTTAAATAGTAGATATGCCTTTCCTTTATATATAGATTATAATCCTATATTATCTGGGAGATATAGATAAGGAAATACTTGAAGATTTTAAGAATTATGGTTATATAGCTTTAATTACTAGAGTTATCCGTATATATAAGAAGCTTGGTCTTATTTATTATATAACTATAATAGACAGGCAAGTAGTAGACAAGTAACTATTTATAATACTATAGAATAAGCTAAATAATAGGCGGGTTATAAATTATAGATAATAGTATTTATATATATATTTCTATTAATAAAGTTTACTAGTAATCTAATTAGTCTTTCTATATTTTACTATTTTGCCCTAGCTTGGAAGGTTAGGGCCTTATTTACTAATGTATTTTATTATTTATAGGGAGAGCTTATATATAATATTATAACTCCTGGATCCCGAGGTAATTATATTACAAATATAATAGATATAGTCTAAAAAGAGAGAATATATTATATCTGGACTAGACTGGATTTAGTTAATTAATAAATATAATAAGCTATTATTATTTAGAATTAAGATATATATTTATATTAATATTTATTTATATAATATTATCTAGATATATATTGGAATCTTTAATTAAATTACCTATTTAGTTATATAATAGTATCTTTAGATTTATATTTAAATAGGCTATTGCCCTTATTTCTTTAGGGCTAATTGAGGCTCTAAACTCTTTCTTATTACTAAAGTATACTTTATATTCTTATAGATAGCCGATTTATTAGTTATATATATAAAGAACTATTTTATTTCTGGGAAAAGTACCGAGAATTAGTAGGTTAAATTCTGGTAGTAAGAGCTTTAGAAAAGCTAGCTATACTAGTAGTATATAAGTAATTCTGTTTCCCTATATTTGCCCCTTATTCTTTCTATTATTGGGAGGAAGTATTAGGTACTAATAATTATATTACTTTTTATTAAGGCTATTAGGTCTAATATTATAGTACCGGATTATATAACTAATTCCGATTAGTATATATAGAATTATTTTTAGGAACTGGCCCATATTAGGGGTTATAATTACTAATACTTATAGGACCGGATTACTTTACTAGTATTTTATATATAATAGATCCAAAACGAGATATATAGGTTTATAGACTTATAGAATATTTATAGGATTAGAAAAAACAGATCTAGGCCTAATATAGTAGCCGGCAAGCCATTTAGACTATATATAAGGCCCCCAGGCGAAATATAGTACTAGAATTACCCTATAGATATAAAGCTTTATAATATAATCCTTAATAATTATTTAGTTTAGGATAAGTAATATAACCTTATATAGCTCTATATAAATAGTTTACTTATATACTAATATAAATATTAATAAGTTTCTGCCAAGAGAAATACTAGAGTAATACTATTAGAAGCTTATATCTTATAATATAAATATAGCTAATATTTATATAAGAGATACTAATAGAAATAGTAACTAATTATATATTTAAGCTTATTACTAGCTCTAATATATAGTCTAGGTATATATAGCCTTAGGGCAGCTGCTAATATTAGGAGAGTTTAAGAAGCCGACTAGTAAATATAATATTACTATTATATGAAATAGGATCCTTAAGTAAGTTATTCTAATAAATATAAAGTATATAAATAATATATAAGCCGGAAAAATACCTATATAGTTTCTAATAATCCAGGACTTTATCTAGGAATAGCCCTTTATTAGTAATACTCCTAATAATATAAGGTAATTAAATAAGCCGGTTATAGAGTAATTAGATATATTAAGATAAGTATTATTTATTATTAAATATATTATTTTCGAAATCTCTTTTTTATTTTTGAGAATAGTACTAATAGAATTATTAAGTTTATTTACTATATAAATATTCTATATTCTCAAATTCTTATTTTTTAAAATAGTACTACTATTTCTTAAAACCTGCCCTAATACTATATATCCTATAGCTAAATACTAGTATAGTAATATCTAATATTACGAGTTCTATTAATCTACTAATAATAAATATAATATAAAGGCCGCTGCTTTACTTGCCTAGAGTAATAATACTAGTAGACTTAAACCTTATAGCTCTGAAATTCCGTCTATATCTATTTCCTTTTTTATACCTGAAATATTTCAGATCCCTAGCTTTTTTTAGTATTCTTATCCTATATCTTTTCTTTTAGGAATATCTATTATATTTATTCCTCTAGTTACTATTATTATATAGCCACTAGATACTAGTTCTGTTTTACTTTAGGCTCCTCTTACTCTAATGGCCCTATAACTACTTCCTTCTGTATTTCCTTTTATTATAAGCTATATTACTTAACCTAACTACTCTTCTAGTAGTACTTATATTATTATATAAGCTTAATAGACTATAAATATAAGAGTTACTCAGGCTACTACCCAGGCCATAGCTTTTTATACCGGTAATAGGCTACCTAAAGCCTTTTAAGGTTTCATGAATTAAAATATGGCCGGATCTAGTCTTATAGAATTACAGATTATAGTTTTATAGCTAGTTCTCTATAAGTAAATATTTAATAATATAAAGAATTAGAGAGCTAAGCAAAGAATTATCTAACTTTCTAAAGAAGTTAATAGTAAGTTTTCTCCTATTTCTTTTACTAGATTCTTTATATAAATTCTAATAGATATTTTTTAATAAATAGCTTTTAATTTAAAATAAATAATCGAGTTTTTTTCATTTTTTTCTAATATAGTTTCTTAGTAGTTACTCCCTTATTTCTTTCTTTATATTAGCGAACCTATCCGCTATTATTAATTTATTAATAATATAAATAAACTAGTATTCTATATTAGTCCTAATAGTAAAAGAGTCTAGGAACTTATAGTCTTACTAGGTTCTATCTAAACTATCTTTAATCTTTCCTACTATAATATATATCTGGGCTCTAAGAATATCTAGATAATTTTTCTTATTTTATACTAGGATAAGACTTTATATAAAGATATTTGTCTTGAAATTACTTATAAAAAGCTAGAAAATACTTAGAAGAAGACTTTATATAAAGATCTCCGTTTTAAAGTTATTTATAAAGAGCTAGAAAATACTTAGAAAATATAGTAACTTGAGAAAATTAAATAATAGACTAAGAAGGCCTAGAGAGCCCAGAAAAGTATTATTTGCTAGTATAGGTATAAGACTTTAAGAGTAAGAAGGGATCTAATAAACCGGTAGGTAAATAAAGATATATATATAATTCTTTCTTTTAATTCTGGCTTCTATTTTTTATTTCTTCTATAAACTCTTTTTTGTTATTAAGTTTAATTAACTTATATATATTAGGATTCTTTTCTATTTACCGACTTCTAGAAGCTATAAGATAATACAGAAAGTACTATTAAAAGTATTACTAAAGCTAATCCTAATAATAATAATAATAATAATAGTAATAGGCTATTAGATCTTCCTTTAATTTTACTATTCTCTTTTCTAATAAAGGAAACTATAGTTAATTTTATAGACTATATAAGTATTACTTTATAGTAACGGGTATATTAGAGATATAAATATACTATTTCTCTTTTTTATTAAATATAAAGAATTAATAGATATAATATCTTTAGCTTTATAAGTAAAACCCAAGATATCCGGGCTATTACTAGTATTTTACTTATTATCCCGGACGGAAGTCTAACTATTATTATTAAACTTCCTAGGCTAATTAATCTTACTTCTCCTAAGTAAACCTATTATATAAGGTCTAATAAATTATATATAAATATCTGCCGAGGTTAAGGTAATTAAGAAAAAATAGGCCTAATATCTAATATACTTTTTCCTATATCTTATAATTAGCTTAGTACTATTTTAGGTCTTATTTCCTTATAAATATATATATATTTAGAATTTATAATTAATGCTTTAAAGTAATACTTTTTAATTAGTTCTTATATAATTTAAAAGTCAGGCTACTAAATTTAATACTTTTATAATACTCAAATTTACCTAAGTTTATAAAGTCTTATAATTATTAGGGCCTTTATAATTCTTTGCCTTTTAAGTTTAATACCCAAATAGTATTATATATTTTGCCTTTAGTATAGAGAAGGCTTCTAAAAGTCTAGGGTTATAAAGGAATTTTTATATTAAGGATATATTATATTATAATAATAAAATTATAAGTATTTATATATAAATATATAATATATTAGATTAGCTATACTAAAAACTATACTATATCTATATATAAAGTTACTAATTACTTTATATTAATACCGGACTCGTATAATTATATGACTTTATATAATTAGCTAGCTATAGAAAAGCCCTAAAGCCCGAAACTCACGAAGAGTCTTAAGGGCTTTAGGGCTTCCGGACTATTACTAGTATCCGGTACTTTTTGGGAAAAAAGTATAATATATTCTATAATAGGCAACCTGTTATAGACTACTTAATCTTTAAGTTAAGCGGGAAATCTAAGGGCCGGGCTTGTAATTTAAGTTTTATTAAGGTTATTAAAGTCTTTACTAGCTAGTATTATAGATTTAATAAAAATATTACAGGAATTCTATAGGTTCTATTCTAATCTATCTAGAAAGTATATATAATATATTTCCTTATTTATTCTAATATTTATATATGATTTCTAAGAGCCGAACTATTACCTAAAAAGGAAGTAAAAAGGCTAGACTAATATCTTTGAAAACCAAGGCCTTAATAAGTCTATCTAGAAAAGCTTACTAATTCTTTTAAAGATAATCCAAGAAAAGTTTAAATTTATTATATATTATAACTCATATAACCAGGGACAGGAACTATTTTAATAGGCTAGAAAGAGTTTCTTATATGGCTTATTTATATAACCAGGGATAGGAACTTGAATTTATTATATAAAATTACCTATATATAGAGACTCTTACTATAAACTCCTTGTTTGAATTAATTAATTAAATCTATTTTTAATACTAAGTCTTTATTAAGGCAACTTCCCGTTTCTAGAGACTTTAGATAAAGTAACTAATAAGTTTCTTAGCTATTAGCCAAAACTTATTAGCTAGAAAATCTATAAGTAATAGATAAGATTATAAAGCAGAATTCCCCTAACTATAATACTAAGACATTTTACTATAATATAAAGTAATTAGATATAAAAGCCCTATTAAATATAATATATCTTAAACTATAAGTTTATAAGATAAATATAGGGAGTTTTAGTATTTAACTAGTACTATAATCTAGCCCAAAGGCGCCTGCTATTCTTTATATCTAATTTAATAAAAATAAGAAATACTTATATTTTAACTCGAGAAATAATTAGAACTTTTATATAAACTTAGGATAGCGGTTTGTTTTATAAAAAGAAAATAGACCAGAAATACTTATACTATATTAATTTTTAGAAAGAGTTATAATAAATATTATAACTCTTGAAATATTCTTAAGAAAGCTTCCCTGAACTAAAATAGGCTAGTTTATAATTCCGAAAGATCTATAGAAGTCTTATATACCTGAGAGTATAAATACTTAAGGTAAATACTATTTAAGTTCTAATCTATAATAAAAGGAAAATAAAGTATATAAAACAAAATATATAAAGTAAAAGTAAAATAAAATACCCGGGTATTTAATAAATAGAAAGCCTAATTATAGGTTATAAGAACTAGTACTAACTAGGTATATATATAATAATATTAAAAAAGAAGTAAAGTAAGGGAAACTAAAAAGTAAGTTAGTATATATTTCGTAAAAGCAAACGGGAAGATATCTAAATAGCCTAAAGGCAAGAAATATATATTAAAGAAATCGAGATTAGAGAAAGAAGGGCTATTTCCTATAAGAATAAGTTAGTATATATTCTAAGATAAAGAATAGAAGTATTTAGTAATAGCCTAAAGGCTTTTATAAGTATTAAAGGAAAGGAGGAGATATTAAAGTTTAGAGAGATCTAAATAGGAATTAGCCTCTTTTTTGGAAATTCGAGAGAGGGTATTTCTAAAGGGCCCAAAGGTATAAAAGGTATTAGAAAAGAGAAAAAGAAAATATTAGAAAAAGAAAGAAGAGATCTAAAATTTAGCTTTCTAAAAAGCAAGTGGGTTAAAGACTTATAATATAGAAGTTCTAAATAAAAGTAATCCGAAAATAGTAATTAGGTACTAGCTTTTAGTATTATTAGTAGAAGTATTAAAGAAAGAGGGATTCGGAAGAGAGGTTTAGAAAAGGGGTTTAGAAAAGTTTAGAGAAAGAAAGAAAGGTTATAAGATAGTTAGATACTAGCTCTTAGTATTAATAGAAGAAGTATTAAAGGAAAAGAAATAAGGAAAAGGGATTTAGAGAAAAAGTAAAAAGGGATTTAGAGAAAAAGAGAAAGGTTATAAAATAGTTAGATACTAGCTCTTGGTATTAATAGAGATATTAATAAAGGTATTAATAAAGATATTAATAGAGAAGGTATTAGTAAAGGATAGAAGCTTTTAGTATTAATAATAAAATCAAAAAATATAGAAGAAAAATAGAAGTTTTAAAGTAAAGATAAAATAGAATTATAGTTTTATAAAAAATAAAGTTACTAGTATAGGATAGTTATATTATTATATAATTTCATATTTACTTTTATTATTTATTAAGGATATATACTTTTTAGAAAAAAGTATTACTTAGAATTCTTAAGCTTCTCTAATTTAATAATTATATATTTAAAAAATAAGAAATAAATATAATTATATATATTAAAATAAGGAAATTCTTCTTATTTAAAAATTATAATTATAATATTACTAAATATAAAAATATAGAAGTTTATATAATAAGCTATATATAGAGATTTAAGGAGATTTAAATTACTTCGAATTATTTATAATTAGTAAAGTAAATTAGCTAATTATATAAGTTAAATATAGTTTAATTATTATTAGTATATTTTAGCTTTTATAAATTAATAAAAAAAAGAATATTTATATTTTTATTTTTATAACTATAATACCTAAAATTATAATTTTTTTAATATTTAAATATACTTAATCTAGGGCTATTAAGTACTAATATTTCTATTTTTAGGTATTATTTATTATAAATTTATTTGGATTTAAATAATTATATTAAATATATATTTTTATATTCTAAAAATAAATAATAAAGATATAGCTATATTAGCTTTAATCTTAGCCTTAACCTTAACCTTAACCTCTTTTCAAAAATAACTTTAATTCCGATATATAATACTATTATTAAAGCTTTCTTTTATTAAAGATATATTAAATATAGCTTTAGATAGCGGCTCTAGTAAAGATAAAAATAGTAGAAAAGGTAATAAAGCTATAAATAAGCAGAAAGATAATATTTATAATATATTCTCTAATAATCTAGACTTAGTTTATAATATTTTCTTCTATTAATATATTTAACTAATAAATCTCTTTATTTCTCGATCTTCTCCTTATATATAATCTTCTTTTCCTTTTCTATAATAATACTTTAATCTCCTTATATTATCTAATAATACTACTAAAATAGTAAAGCGAATTAATAATAAGGCTAAAGTTAGAGAGATAAAGCTATACTAGAATAGGGAGCTAAAGGAATTAGAGAAAGGCAAGGGCAAATCTGGAGGCAAGCTTAGTATATACTTGTAAAACCGAATTCTCTTAAGCTTATATTATTTATAGTAATAAAAAGAGACCAAGGGGCCCTTTCAAATACTATATAGTTATAGAAAGCGAATTTAATAGTACTTATATAAATTACAGATATAATAATAATAGTAAAGTCTATACTTTCTATTAACTTAATACTAATTCTATCAAGTCTGGAAAGCCTTGCTCCGTATCTGTAAAATCCTTTATACTAAAGCCTCGACTGCCTATAAGATATAGAAAGCGAGTATAAAGACAGATATAAGGTCAGAAGGTAATGGGGAAGGAGGTTATAGTAGAGGAGGGTAAGGATACTAGAGGAGAAGGGGACGAAGGAGATATAGATAATTCGAGTAATATAGGTAGTACGGAGGATATAGAGAGTGAGGGAGATGGAGATGTGGCCTCGTAATCCATGGGATTTGCCTTACGGACCACGCAGCTAAGGGGGGGTTAGGAGTAGTCGAGAATAAGGCGTGTATGCTGTACTTTTTTTTTTTGGTGAGGTGTGGTGGGGGGGGGTGTGGGCGCCGAAAATCAGAAAATCAGAAAATCACTTTTCGCTTCTCGGATTTGTCCGCTAGCCCGCTAATGGCCTTAGTAATCTGGGTGAATTCTTTGTGGACAAGCTCATCGGAAGTGCCCTCTCGGCGGAGTCTCTTCATTAGCGCGAGAGCAGATTCCATCTTGCCCTCTTCGATGAGCCAGCGAGGAGATTCGGGGATGTAGAAGGTGCAAGCGAGGAGGATGACACCAAGAACGATTTGCAAACCGACAGGAAATCGGAACTGTGGCCAGTCAGCAGAGGTACATGATATAAGGGAAGGAATATTGACAGTAAATGCTCCCGATGAGTAGTATACAGCAAACCCAATCCAATTGGAAAGAGCATATCCAAAGCCGATAAACTGTGCATGGAGTCCAACAAACAAACCACGATGCTCCGCCGGGGCCAGTTCGGACATATACATCGGAATCGCAAAATAGATAATACCAATCGCGAGGCCAGCAATGACACGGCCGACGATAAGGAGGGGGACATTGAAGGCAGCGGTCTGGAAGGTAGTCCCGATGATGGAAACCACCGCGCCGATACGAATGGTGTTACGACGGCCAAAGTAATTCCCAATGGGCATGGAAAGAAGACAGCCAACGGCACCCCCAGCTGGATAGGTAGAAACCACAGCCCCTAGCGTTTGAGCATTGGTCTTAAATTGTTCTGTGAAATAGACCTGGGCCTGCGCAGTCCCAAAGATGCCGGAATCGTAGCCCCAAAGCAGGGACCCGATGCCCATCATGAGCGCTGCGAGTAGGGTCAGCGTCTTCCCAGTAATTACAAGCAGACGAGCGACATGGGTAAGCAAGTTGATATGTCTTACTGCAGGCATAACTGTAGGCGGACGCCGTCTCAGAGATAAAGCGTGGGCGATGCATGTTAGCAGCTTTTCTTGAGCTGGCTGAGGACTGAGGGATGGTGTGCAAAATACAACAAGAAGGGGAGCAATTCCTCAAGGCGACTAAACTCTATCGAGGATGAGAGAGAGTGAGGAACAAACAAGAAAGAAGAAAAGATTGAGGGAGTATTTGGGGGCATTCGAGTGTCACGTGCTACGAGACCTCAAGGCACGTGCGTCTTTCGTTGTCCGACATCCTGGCTGTGGCTTGACCGGTCCAGCGCCCGAATTCCCTATTTCCCTTTTACCCTTTCTACCTTCTCCCTATCTCCAGCGGCTCCTACGCCCCTCCCCTCCCCCCCACGCTTCCCCAAGTCTTTCGCGGGGTCGCTTCCAGGAATGGCTTCATTGGCTTGGACCTCCACGCCAGCGGCCTGTTCTGCTTATGCCGAGGCTTTTTGCGCGCAGCAAGTGAGTCGCGGTGAGCTAGCTTTTCATGTCAGCACGAGATTGTACGTAAACACGGTCCAAGCCGCCTTCTCCTTGCGCCAGAGAGCGCCAACTCTTTGCTTCTTCTCTTCTCAACCTTCACACCCAATTCCGTGTGTCTCGACGACGTCTCCGTCACTCGCCCAGCATGAAGTTTACCCATGGCATCTGGTTCGATCGTGAGGACACCTCCATATATAATGCAGTGGAAGTTGGAGATGTTACACGCTCCAATGGAAATGAAATACGCGCGCTGTGCACAACTCGTCATGTCTGCCATCGTGGGGATACTCTGAACCACCCAACAATCACTGTGAAATTGTCTTCTCCAGCACCAGAAATTATTGCAGGCACCGCATACCACTTTAGTGGAGCTGGATCTAAGTTACCGCGCTTTGAACTCTTTCCAGAGGGCTTGCCAATAGAACTGGGTAGGGTCACAGATGATCCTCAAACCAACTCGGTTTCTCTGAAGTCGGGTGGTGTTCGGGCGGTGCTGGATAAGAACCCAAGATCTTTCAACATATCTTACAGATCGGAGGAGAGCGGCGTAGAATTGACTGATTTGGGCATGTCATGCGTTCAATATATTATTGCTCCTCCACACACCGAAGCCTCTTATCCGCCTCTTGCATCAACGACGATTGCAGATCCGTATTATCGTGCTCCACTTTCCTCCTCGAAGCGACCGTACATGGCTCTCTCATTCGGACTTCAGGTCGGAGAACTGGTTTATGGTTTGGGAGAGCGGTTTGGACCCTTCACAAAAAATGGCCAGCACATTGACTTGTGGAACGAAGACGCAGGGACTGCTTCTCCGTACGGTCAGTCACCATGCCTCAAGTATCTGCTTATGAGCTAAACCGTGTAGCATACAAAAATATACCGTTTTACCTGACAAACCGTGGGTACGGGGTATTCTTTGACCACAGCGACGCTCTTTCCCTAGAGGTCCAGAACGAGAAGCAAGCGAAAGTGCAGGTATCAGTACAAGGAGAAGAGATTCGTTGGTATATCATTCATGGGCCGACGCCGAAACAAGTGAGCAGTCTACTAGCATCTGCCTGAACTTCTATGTGAAAGCTGACGAGAGATTCAGATCTTAGCAAACTATGCAAAACTTACCGGTCGTCCTCCCATCCCGCCTGCATGGAGCTTTGGGTTGTACCTTTCTACATCTTTTCTCACTGAGTATGATGAGAAAACGGTGACTTCCCAGCTCGATGGCATGGTAGAGCGCGGCATCCCAATGTCGGTTTTTCATTTCGACTGTTTCTGGATGAAAGCCCACCAGTGGACTGATTTCACATTTGACCCCAAGTACTTTCCTGACGCAAAAGCTTTCCTTGGCCGAATCCATGAAAGAGGTCTCAAAGTCTGTGTATGGATCAATAGCTATATTGCACAAAACTCGGAGGCCTTTGAAGATGCCGTTTCCGGCGGATACCTTATCAAACGAACGAACGGCGATACTTGGCAGAGCGATATCTGGCAGGCGGGCATGGGCGTTGTCGATTTTACAAATCCTGCGGCGGTTACTTGGTACAAGGCACATCTCAAGCGGCTGCTGGACCAAGGAGTGGATTCATTTAAGACCGATTTCGGAGAACGCATTCCATGGGAGGATATCACCTACCACAACGGAATGGATGCCGTCGCCGGACATAACTACTACGCTTACCTCTACAACAAGACCGTCTTCGATGCAATTGCCGAAGTACGTGGGCCTGATCAAGCGCTCCTCTTTGCCCGCTCGGCCACAGCGGGTGGTCAACAATTTCCCGTACATTGGGGTGGCGATTGCGAATCCACATGGCAAGGCATGGCGCAGTCCCTCCGTGGAGGTCTCTCTCTGGGCCTCAGTGGCTTTGGATACTGGTCTCACGATATTTCAGGCTTCATGTCCGAGGGACAGGCACAGACCGGACCAGCGTCTGCATTGTACAAGCGTTGGGTACAGTTTGGGCTGCTGTCCTCGCACAGCCGGCTGCACGGGTCCAAAAACTACCGCGTTCCGTGGCATGTTGACCATGAAGCAACTGAGGTGCTACGCAAATTTTGTCGCCTGAAGAATCTTCTTATGCCTTACGTTTTTCGCCAGGCAATAGATGCACACCAGCAAGGCCTGCCGTTGCTTCGTGCAATGCTGATCGAATATCCCCAAGACAAAGTCTGCCAAAACCTCGATCAGCAGTACATGTTTGGCGACAGCCTTCTTGTAGCACCCGTCTTCAGCGAGTCCGGTATTGTGGAATTTTATGTGCCGGCTGGGAAATGGGCGTCTATTCTCGATGGACGAGGTTACACGGGCCCGGCATGGTTTACGGAGAAATATGACTACTTCAACCTTCCGCTGCTGCTGCGCGAAAATAAGGTGCTGCTGGTTGGGAAGCCCGACAAACCAGATTACGACTGGGTAAAGAATATTACTCGTGTGCTTGTTGGAACGACTACCTTAACCACATTGAAGGTTGAGGTGCCAAGCTTCTCGAGTCCTGGGGTGATAGAGGTGGTATTGGAACTTAGTAAGGGGTTGGAAAGCAAGATTTTCACTCTGAAAGGTGGAATCGATTCGTTGCAGGTTGAAATGTTGTCGGAGGGGTGCCATTTGTGAATGAAAGAGTTAGCAAATAGAATCAGTCTACGATGAGGCCCCGTTCAGTTTTACAAAATTGATTAATGAGGCTATAATCGACGGTGAAACAATTCTCTTTACAACTGGGTCATGATACACGAAATTTGGCTAACAATCACTGTGAAATTTATACTCTATCGGTATGCGCACATCTAAGTTACAAAAATGATCGACTTTGTACCTCATCCACGGCCACAACCATACTCTCATCCACTGGTGTTCTCGGCGAATGGAAGTAGTGATTTAGTCCACTAATCTCAACCGCCTTGCCGTGAATGGCGGGGTCATCAAGCAAAATACCCACTACATCTACGAGCTTCTTCATCGGTGTAAGATGAGCTTTGGGAAAGCGAGCCCAGTTTTTCTCATCTGTGAGCCCAGTGATGATGGTTCCGGGGCAGAGAGAATTAACTCGGATGTTCTTTTCCTCCCAAGAGTATTTGGCAATGCTTTGAGCGAAGCCAAGGACCCCATGTTTTGATGCGGAATAGACGGGTACTGCCGCAGATGGATATAGAGAGCCGGAAGATGCAGTGAAGATCAGAGAGCCACCTCCGTTTCGGGCCAGGTAATGTTGAGCCAGGTACGCCGTTTGAAGTGTACCTATGAAGTTTACTTTTGCAGTCATCAAGAATGCAGGTATTGGTAGCGACTCAAAACCATCAGAGCTGACAACGAGTGGCTCCTCGTCATAATAGTGTTCTTTTTAAATAATACCGGCATTTGCAAAGACTAATGAGTTAGCACAATAACTGCGATAATGATAAAAAGGTATATGCACCAAAGTCTAGGCGGTGATACTGTTGCCATGTGAGGGCGAATGTTTGTGCCAACTGGTCGTAATTGGTGATGTCTGCAGCGAAGAACTTGCATCCCAGTTCTGCAGCGGCTTTTTCTCCAGCAACAGCATCTTTGTCACTAATAACTACCAACCAGCCTTGCGATAATAGATACGATGCAACTGCGAGCCCAATGCCGGACCCTGGCATTAAAATATTAGCTCAAGATAGAGATAACATCTGAAATCGATACGTACCACCACCTGTTATAAATGCTACTTCAGATGCTGTGGTAGAATCTCTTTTATGGGTTTTGGTGTTTCCCTCGCCTCTTTTCAATGTCCCATTCGCATCGTAAACTACCGCGCCCCCCGTCGGCAATTCTGAATCTATGCCCATGTCGTAAATCAAATCTCTTTGGGAGAAAAGCCAAAAGATGAAAGAGAATGTGTTCAGGTCGAAGAGCGGCAGAAGTTAAAAGGGGTAAAAGATACAAAAGTACAATAAGTAGAAGACGAAGCCTAGGTACGTGGGTACCGAGTGAACATATGTCAACCTGGATGTGAGATGATCCGGAGAAACGACAAGTCGCGCGAACATGAGCCGAGCTTGCCTCCTCTCTCCCTTTCCAAACAGGGATCTCTAGAGGCGTAAGTGCAACAGCCGATAAACTAACTCTGGCGACTGGTTTAACTGCGGCTCATCGGTTGTTCGGTTGTAAGTGCGACAGCGCATGACCGAGCCTAAAGGCGGCTGTAGAGTAGAGAGGCATCGGGATTCCGGCGCCGGCCTCAGAAGACAGGGGAGCTGAAGCTAAGCCGAAACCGGCTATTTTGTCCGCTTTTCAACCCAAGCCTACAAAGGGGTTCAATAAAGACATAACGTAACTTATTAGACCAAATCTGTATTCATACTGCTGGAAACAAGTTGTTAAAACGGAATTGAAATATCGTCTCTTCCTTTGTGAAATATATCAACTGGAACACGTGTTTTAAATGCATCATGTAAAAGTGTACTGCTTGCTTTTGCAGAGCTTCGAATTCGCAACATCAAGCGCAGGCTTTGGCCATTTGAACGACCTGTCAATATTTCTAAAGGCTCAGACAAGAAGGTAGGGGTGAAATGAGGAGCAACGTCGACTTCGACGCCAGCGGGCGGGGGCCTGCATTCGACCGCCACCATCTCCCTGCGCCTCCCCCGGACCTCCCCCGCAACCTCTGGCATCCCAACCTTTTTGATCTGATCGATACTCCACCTCATTTCTTTTTGCTGCACTCCTTCTCCCATATTCTCTTCCTCCCACTGCCTCCCAAGCAAGCAGTGCGGAGTTCCGACATGCCTACCAGGCTTGGAATCTAGATTCTTACAGGGACGAAGTTTGTTTGCCTTCAAGCCGCCGGCCTCATCACCCCATTCTTCCATGTCTTCATAGTGTCGCCATTGTACGGCTACCGCGTCGGCGATCAGGGTCTGTTCCTTCGGCTCTCCTCGAGTGTCTTTGCCCCACGATGCTTCCTGTCTGTGCGCGGAGCTGTGAATCTATAAGGTAGGGCCAATCCAACTTATGTTATATGATTTTCTCGGTGTCATCGAGCAAATTGGCTTGTCTTCAATATCTGCTTCCATCACGGGCATTATTTCTACCTTTCTTTTTCTTCGACCTAACTTCTAGCTGTTGGTGCCCACCGCCTTGCCTCAGCAGTCATGACCCGCTCATGGTTGCTTGCTGGTTTCGCGCTTTTGTCTGCTGTTCAAGGGTTGGATTACTATGTCTCCCCACAAGGCAGCGATAGTAACTCCGGAACTATTGCAAGTCCTTTCCTGACTCTCACTAAAGCTCAGGCTGCTGTTAGGATTGTAGTTGCGACGGAGCCTGCGGAAGCTATCACGGTCAATATTGCTGATGGCGTCTACATCCTCAACACTACTCTGTTGTTAACAGCAGAGGACTCAGGGACCAGTGGCTACCCCGTAGTCTGGAAGGCCTTGGGCTCCAACGCCCTTATCTCTGGAGGGCTAAAACTGACCGGATGGACTTTGAACTCGACCACCGGCATTTACAGCACCACTGTCCCCGTCGGGACACAGTCGCGCAATCTTTATGTGGGAGGGTCTGCGGCACAGTATGCACGCGCCTTTCTTGATAAATCAAGCTTCGGTTTTACCAACACGAGTATCACATGGACGGACTCTGCCTATGATTGGCTGGCAACACTGCCAGGAATTGGAAAGGCGGAAATCAGGTCAATGAACTCGTTCACGGATCGGTACGCTCCAATCCAATCATCCACGACAGGTGCGCTGATAATGGATCAGCCGTCTTGGATATGGAATTATCTGGGATACGATGCATTTTCTAATCCTTGGGGAAATTCTGGATTCTGGATCCAGAACGCGCTGAGCTTGCTCACAGAAGGGAGTGAATTTTTCCTCGATCCCTCTGCGGGCAAGATATACTACATGCCCCTTCCAGGCCAGGACATGGCAACCATCGATACGTATTTGGGAATCTTGGACGCTATCGTTGCGGTTGGTGGTACTTATGACGCGCCCGCGCATGACGTTACTTTTCAGGGCTTGAACTTCGTACGTCAATAACCATCAGGTCCATTAATTATTTTGTCCTTTATAAGACTGATAATAGCTCTTTAGGCCCACACCACTTGGAATTTCGTGACCACACAAGGATATTGCGACCAGCAGACTGGTGGGTTTTTGGGGAACTTCAACATCACCTATCCTATTTTTGAAGCATCGCGTCCGTATTGGGACCAGATGCCAAGCGGGATTCAAATCAGCGCCGCGTACAACATTGCTTTCACTGGCGGGAACTATACTCAGTTTGGTGCTGGTGGGTTTGGCATCGGGAACGACCCATTTTCTCACGTTACGGGCATTGGTTACGGAGCTGAGAACATTAGCGTCCTTGACGGATATTTCACTCAAGTCATGGGAAACTCCTTTACGTTAGGAGGCATTCAAGCAAACGGCCATCATCCCACTGATCCAAGAATGATAAACTCGAGGATCACCGTCTCAGGCAATATCTTTTACAACACTTCCGCCCTCTTTAGCAGCACAGTACCGATATTCACCACCTACATCCAATATTCGACGATCTCGAACAATGACTTGTCGCACATTCCATATTCTGGAATCTGCCACGGATACGGCTGGGGTTCCAATGATCAAGGTGGAAGTCCTGAATATGCCTCACGTGGACTCTACAACTATCAGCCCCTGTATACAACGCCTACGACGTCCTTGAGCAATGTTGTCAGCAGCAACCTGATTCACGACTTTGGACTGGCACACCAAGATCTGGGAGGTATCTACACTTTATCCAAGAGCCCCTCGACCATTATCAGAGACAACTACGATTATTCGTCGACATGGTTCGGCCTTTATACTGATGAGGGCTCCAATTCGCTGACAATCCTGGACAACATGTTCTTCCCTGCTCCGGCAAGATGGTTCAACCCAAACCAACGTACTGGCCTTAATACAGCCAACAACACCCTCAAGAATAACTTTGCTGCTGTGGGTTCCGATTACGTGAACACACCTAATGGTACTGGACAATTCGGCAATACCTTCGAGAGCAATTATGTTGTTCGTGATGCTGTGACAAATGCGGCAGTCACTGGTCAAAGGACAGCGTATCGAGCAGGTGTACTACCCGGTCGGCGCGCAGGACGACCTGTTTCTAATCCCACTCTCGCCGATGCATATATTGCTGTCATATTTCCCTCGAACATTGCTACCGACTTGATCAGGGTCAATATCACCAATTTCGATGACGTTCCCCTTACTGCTGTTTCCTTCCAGACGTCAATCTCATCCAACTATGCGTTGACTCCGGTCTCGGTCCCGCAGTCCATACCAGCCAACTCTTTTGCCATTGCTACCTGGAAAATTACTGGCAATACCTGCACAGCACCAGTCTTTGCTGTGAATGTAACATACACCAATTCTCGATTGAGTAAGCAAGGGTCACTTCGGTCCAACACTACCCTACCAGGAACTGTGACTGGAGCCACGACGCAAGGATGGACCACATCTTCATCCTGGCCTGCGCTATTTGGCGCAACATGCCACACTGTCGGTATTAGCACGTCGGGGAGAGACATATGGAAACCATACGACGATTGGGGAGCAATATATACTCCCGCTCTTATCTCAACCAGCGGCCACTTCAGCGTCTATGTAAATTCCCAGGACAGTATAGGGGATCCATGGACCAGGAGCGGCGTTGTAGTACGCAACAGTCTTGCTTCAAACACCCGCTCCACAGGATACGCGACCCTTCTTGTCACTCCCGGGCAAGGGGTTGTATTCTCATGGGATTCGAGCGGTGACGGTATCGCCGACAGCATGACGACTATACCAGGCATCCGAGCACCGCTTTTCTTGAAGCTCACCGTCAATGGATCAGCCGTTGTTGGCGCTTACTCGTACGATGAAGTCACCTGGAAGCAGGCTGGGAACGCTACACTTTATGCTCGGGCTGCAACACTCGATGCGGGCATGATTCATACATCACATACTGCTTTCACAAACTCTACTGCTATTTTCTCTAGGTTCAACCCGTCGAATGCTTAGCTTCGAAAGGGAACTCGAACGTTGTATGAGTTGGAGGAGAGATTTGTGGAAGGGACAAGACGATGGGTCTTCAAAGTAGTGATATGTCACTAGGAATTGTTAATACTAGTTCAAATAATTTTTTGTTATATAATTTCTATAAATGAGCTTTAAGTCAAGGATGTGTGATTTTCCGAGGCAGATTTGAGCCTGGGTATGTAGATACCTGAAGAAAGTGAGAGCCCATCTTCGATGCCCACGACCACAAGGGGATCCGCAATTCGGGTGGTGAGGCAATGAGACATTGTCGGCCAGGCTCGGCAAAAATTCCTTAATTTCCGGTATCGATAGGTATCGATGCCAGAATCGTAAGGTATCGATAGTATCGATAGTAGTATCGATTCCCCGAACCCAATTCCCCCCTTTAATTGCAATTAACTTTAGAACCACTTCTCTTATAAGAAAACTTTTGGTAGCGCAAATATTCTACTTGATTTAGGCTTTCTATTTAGCTACTTATCTTATATTTTAGACCGAAACTTATCTCAATGCGGCTATTTTAAGTAAAAATGAGCTTTTGAGATTTTCGTGAGGCTCGCTTATATATTTAGCGTCTTGATAAGAAATACGAATACGGGGCTTAATTCTCCGAATACGAGGGCTATTTTAAATTTAAGATATTATTAACTTTTATTAATAATAGTAAGTATTTCTTTTAATAGAAAGACTAGAAATTAAAGGAATTATATAATAATGTATTATTACATAATTTAAATAATAAAAGAAAGAGTTAATTTTTGGGGTAAGAATCGATTCTGGTATCGATACTATCGATTCCTTGCGATACCTGAAAAATACCTCTACTATCGATACCGGTATCGATGCCTCAGGTATTTTTGCCGAGCCTGTTGTCGGCCATGCCAGAGGAGGTTAAGGCGTAGATTGATTACCTAGAGGTTACTGCGGTAGTGGTCGGAGGTCGAGCTCGTTGTAACTCGGTTAGATGAGTGCAATGCTGCCAGCTTGTCTGTTGATCGGCTCATAGACCGTCGTGAGTACAACAGTATCACTAACGATCTTTAAAATCGCATTCTTAAGCGAGGAGATTTAGGGGACATCCTCACTATCGAGGACTTCAGCTTGCGTTTTAGTGCAGATGCAGGCAACTGTTGTTTGGTTGTTATGCCTGTTAATTTGATTTCAAGCAATACAAAAGCAGCCTTCCTCATCCGTTATCATTGTTATCTCGAGGGTAGCCAGCGCATCGACTTCTTCTTTTTTTATGTATTAACTCAAGCCTATTACAAAAGGTACCGTTAAGTTTAGAACTTCTTCCTCGCCACTTTTCACGAGATTAGGATAACTTAACCGATTATAATATAGTTCCAGACATAGCTCAAATGTTTTATTAGATTCTTTATTTATAATTCTCCTATTTACTCGCAGCTTTAGAGGTTTTTAGAAGTTAGGCTTCTACCATAACGAATAAGCGGCAATTACCTATTATATTCTGCTTATATTAAGTATTTGAGGCAGTATAATTAAATCAGATATTATAAACCCGCAAATATATTGTGGTAGGAATTGGGCCGACATTTGGTATAATTACATGTTCTCACGTGATCCCTTAGTTCTCTCTTTTTTTGTATTTAGCCCTCGCCCTTCTCACGAGAGAGACATCAAGCAACCCAATACACACTTTATTAATACAATGCCTCCTTGATTCGTGATTACTCCTAGTTAATTCCCTATTATATATTATATTTCCTTATATCTCTCTTTATTAGTAAATAATACAGGAATAATTTTAATACAAATTAACTTTTTCGTTTAAGAGAATAAACTAATAGTTTCTCGATATTATAATTATAACGAAATCTAATAGGAAAAGAAAGAAACAAAAAATGAAAGACTTAGTCTAAAGAATAGTAAATAATACCAAAAACCCTAAGAAAATCAGAGATTATAAAAAATAAAATAAAAGAAGAATTAAAGTAAAAACCGAAGCTTATAAAGCTAATATAAAAAAAAACGAGATATTTAATATATTCTCCTAGAAATAGTATCCTAAAGCTAGTATTTAGTAGTTAAAATAATATTACTAGTAGGTCTAGTATTATAATAATAGTAGCTAAATAGCTATATTAAGAAATTCGGAAATAAACTAAACTCGAGAAACTTCTCGAGTATATTATATATAAGCTAACTTAATTATTTTTAGTTATAATTATAATATTAGCAGGAATAATTAGGAAAATTACCGAGATACTTAATTACTTAATTCGGAATTTATTACTAAGTCTGGTTTAAGAAGAAATTAAAATAGTAATATCCTGAGAAATAAGAAGTTCCTGAATTTAACTTATAAATAATCTATTTAGAGATAATTAAGATTATAAAAATACAAATATTTTTCTAATATTACTATTTAAAGAAAATATAAAATAGTTAATTCTCTAGTTAAAAAGAGATAATTATAGCCTATAAAAAATATATCTAGTCTAAACTCTCTTATTTTAATAATTCCTTATAGAAATATATTAAGTAATTTTTTATTTTTTATTAGAACCTTTTCTCAAGAAACTCTAGCTAATATATTTTTGAGTTTAGTAAATTTACTTATAATATTAAGTACTTTTTCTTTCTATTTCTTGCTATTTATATTAAGCTCAAAAAGAACTCTAATTTTTACTAGATTTAATATTACTAACTTTATTAAAAAAAAATAGTTTCTAATTAAAAAAGAAAAATAATTTATAAAAATATTACAAACTAGAATATATAATTATTAGATATTATTTATTAATTATTTATAATATATTATTTGAAAACAAATAGATTTATAAAAAAAAAAGAATTAGATAATTAATTTTTTTATTATATTTTTATAAATTATAACTAAATAAACTAGTAACTAATAATTGAGATATTTTATTTATAGAAATTAGTTTATTTTATTTATTTTATAAATACTATATTAAACTAATATAGCTTTAGAATAAAATTAATAAAAAGAATAAATAATATTATATATAAACTCTATATTATATAAGAATATATATAAGCTATAATAGTAATAGTTTAATAATTTTAAAAGAAAGATTAGATCCCGGAATTTAAAGTTAGAAATAAAATCTAATTTAATCTCTAGAATATTTAAATAAATAAACTAATTAAAAAGCGTAATATAAAATATATTAAGTATATAATAGTTAAGATAATAAAAAGCTATAGTTTTTAATTTAATTCTTTTTTAGAAATATATAATATATTTTATAATAAGCTTTTTTAGCTAGTTATAATAAACTTATTATTAAATTAGTTTTAAAATAATTTATAGCTATAACTATAATTTATAAATAATAAAAACAAATATAAAATTAAACGAATTCTTAATAAGAAGTATATAAAATATAATTAAGAGCTTTTAAAGAAACTATTTATAAAATAAAAGAATTATATATATTTTATATAGGAATTATATTTTATATTTAAGGAAATAATAATATTAAAAACTTAAAAAGAAATTATCTAATAAAATAAAGCTTTATTTATATATTTATAAAACCGATATTTATAAATAAGAAGAAAAATATATAATAGATTAAAACCCGATTTATATATTTGGCTAAAAGCTTTTACTAAGTTATATAATAAAAGCTAGTACCTTTATTATATAATATATTTTCTTAGATTAATAAAATAACTATATATTATTTAAGAAATTCGAATATTTTAGAAAATATAATTTTATTTCTTTCTGTTTTTTCTTTCTTTTCTTCTTAAAGAATTCTATTTAATTAATTAAACTACTAGTTTTCTTTATATAAAGGCCTAGCTTATAATAAATATTATTAATTAAATTAGAATTCTATATATTTTCTTATATTACTAAATATTAATAGCTTTAATTTTTTTATTTAATATTTAATATATAATTATTAAATTAAAGTCTTTTATTTATTTAATAAATATATAATAAAAGAAATTAAAATAAATATAAAAATTCTTATAAAACAATTTAGTAAAAAATATAAAAAATATAAAATTAATCTTAGTATTTATTTCTAATAAAATATTTTAAAACTATAAACTTTTTAAAAGTATATTTAATAATAATTAAATTAATAATATACAATTTTTAGAATTATTAAATTTTAAAATTAAGTAAATTTCTTTTAAAAAGAATTTTTAATTTTATATTTTAATTTAAATATAATATTATAAAATTGTAAACTTTATTAAAGCTTATATTTATATAAAAAATTATTTTTTAATTAAAAGAAAAAAACAATTATATAAAATATAAAAGCTTTTATTAAAAATATTAGAAAAGTAGAAAAAAGAAATTAATTAATATAATAAAGTCTTTTAATATTTATAATTATATTTGAATTAAACTAATTATATAAAAGTATTTTTATAAAATAAACTTTATATAAAATTAAGAAAACTTTATTTTTTATAATTTAAAAAAGTTAATATTATTATAATTATAATTTCTTAATTATATATAATATAATTACTTTACTTAATTAAGTATTATATATATATTTTAAAGCTTTTATATCTTACTTTATTTTTCTAGCTAGCTTTTTAATTAATTCTTTACTTTTAATATAACTTATTTCTTTGCTTAATTTATATATATAAAATATTAAATCCTAATAAACCCTTTTTAATAATGAAATATAATTCGCAAATTTTAGGTTATATATTAATTAAAAGAAATCTAAAGTTTTTTTAATAATACTAATTGTATTATTATAACGCGAGGTGTATTGCATATTAAATACTAATTAATAGGTCAATCCATACTTCGATTTCAAAGTCTGCCGCATGTCACTGAAACATTTCTACGTTCGTAATAACTCTATTCTCTGTGGGTTACGAATATGACGAGTTCACCCAGCCTGGGATCATTATATCCGCGGTGACTCAGATCCCTGACGACATCACTCTCTCCTTCCGGCAGCAAGTAGATGTCATCACGGTCTTCAGATCATATACCAAATCCGTTTCAGGTATCGAAGCCCAGAGTTTCCCTCTCCCAAATAGAATCTTAACAGCAAACATGGTAAAATATCACAACTTTACTTTCCAAACAAAACCAGAGAGCGAAAGCTACCGACAACCAGAAGATGAACCCTTTCTGCCATCAGAATATTCCCAATACAAGACAAGAAATACATGGCACACCTACTTCACTGCTTTCCACGTAGTCCTGACCACAGTGCTGGCTTTTGTGTGCCTTGGACTACTCATGGAACCTCATCCCAGTAAGTTAGGGACATATGAGACTGGATTTAATACTGAGTTAAGTATGAGTTTATCATGTGCCAAGTTCTCGATCTATCTAATAATGGTGTTTATAGCTGCTATTTTACCTAGCATTGAACTTGAAACGCGGACTTTCCATTTCGTGACAAGTGCTGAAGAAGGCTCACATCGTGAATATGTCGGTTCGAGAACACCAGATATTGATCATGCATGGAATAGATTGTTGCATTGTGAGTTAAGTGGATTGGATCGAATGATATACTTGCTAATGAATATCATAGCTGCAAATCTTGACCTGACGGACGAGGAAGCTGGAGCGAAGGTCTGGAATACTACTTGGAAATGGGAAGATACAGGGTTGTGGTTTTCTGGGTAATATTTCTCGATCTCCAACATGTTGTCTAGTATTAATCAAGTTTCAACAGCGTTTCAATGTGGCACCAGTTACATTGTGTAAATATCCTCCGAGAAGCAGTTCACCGGGATACGTACAATGGGCCGCCTGATTCTGGCACAGAATATCATCTCGGTAAGCAATAGGTCTACTAATTTGAAAATTTCCAACTCATTCCATGTACATGGCTGACTATTCCGAGATCATTGTTTGAACTACCTTCGACAAGTCATCATGTGCTATACCGACCTGATACCTATGAGATATGACTGGGACCAAGGGGCGGGAAGGTTGATGTTGCAAGATGAACCCCACACTTGCCGCAATTACAAGAAGATTGATGAATGGGCGAGACCCAGAGCTAGCTGCCATGTACCTGCTCCTCATCAGCCAAAAACGGTCAAGGCGCCTCCGAGGGGAAGTTGTATCAGGGGTCCGTATTTTGCGGATGAATAACGTGGCGTGTCTGGACTTGGGATTACGAGGGTTGAAAGATTTTGTAGCGTAGCGAGTGGAGATTTATAGTAGGGAAAGGCTAAGCAGCAATTGTTTTGTTATAATCTTCTAGCAGTGGCAACAAATAATATCTTACCCACCGAAGAACCACAAGGCTTAAGTGAGTTGTATTTCTGATCAGTTCTATGCAGTCAACTGGATGCCTCTAACATGTTCATCATGATCCATCCATCGCCTTTTAACCGAGAAGTGAAACACCCGCTGTGGAGAGCCAAAAGATCACAGGAATATAAAAGATTATCAGTTTCAGTAAGGATATAACAGCCTTAAAATGAAGCAAGCCAAGAATGAGTATATATTCAAGGATTTGTGCAATTTCACAGGCAACCTCATGTATAATAGCAAACACTGTGGGTCTTGAGTGCACTTTGTATCGTCGCCTCATTCCCGTGTCTTTTCAATTCCAGCGTCACTCGACGCGTCCGATTCATGATTACACACTTCCATCCTCTACCTTAGTCGCATTCTCAAGCGTCTCAACAATAAAAGTCGGCGCAGGAACAAACTTCCCATAGTCCGGCTTCACTAAATCCAACTCCGAAATATTCGAAATGGCCATGCTCCGATACTGTTCCAAAAAACTCTCAAAATCCCAACACCGACTCCAAATATTCGTATCCGCAATCGGCATCGGATACTTGTCCATCCACCTAAACAGATAAATCCCTGGATCGGGCTCACACATTAAATGTTCCAATAACACCTGAATACAATGGCTAGTATGAAGATTGAATAGAGGATAGGGGTCACCATCGGGGTAGTAGTAGTCTTTGTACAGGGCTTGTCGGATGCTGTTTAGGCAGTAGATGTGATGAAATGCGAGGGCTTTTCCGACGTAGGCATTTTCTCCGTACTCTGGTGGAAGTTTGGCTACAACCTCAGGGTCTTTCCGCATCTTTAAAATGTCCGAGTGAGAGACGGACCAGATGTGCTCGGGGCTTAGGCGTGACCAATGGCATCTACTTCTGGACTTGGGGGGTCGCTGTAGATTGTGGAGCCGCCATCTCCGTATTGTGCTAGGCTCATGCGAGTTGTGAGGGGGATTTCGATGGCGCTGAGGAGGGGAGCTGAGTACTTTGTAAATAGCTTGTTTCCTTACAACGTGGTTGCAGGGACACCCAAAGTATAGTGACAACGTCTTCAAATTCTCATTTATATGGATCTTTTCGCCTCTTTTATAGGTATGGAAGAGAGCAGAGCCTGAGAAAACGAAAATTACAAGATTGGCAATGATTACGAGCCACGAGAAGAAACTGACGCTATTGAATCCGCGTTTCGATAATAACAGAAGTGTGTCGCTACCGCTTTCGCTTTCTATATCATTTTCGCCGCTTGTTAAAGGCTCGTATTGTGTTTCTCGTTTTATGAACGCATTTGGGGGGAGGAATTTCTTTGAAACTGAAGACGCCATCGCCATAGCAGGTCTAAGCAAGTAGTGGTGGGATTGTTGATCGAGCTCGCGAGGAAACGGCGAAGCGACAAAGGCTGCTTCGGGGGCGGTCAAGAAAGCTGCTCTGCGTCGATCCAATTCAAGAGGAGAAAAAGTGAGGGGGAAATCTCATTCCCACGAGTCCTGAGTTAGCCATGTGCCTAAGAGACGAGACGTATCCCATCCGTTTTGCCTTTTATCTCCAGTATCCAGTAAGAAAACTTTACTGTAAAAAGTGGCGAACACCATCCGCCGACATGCGAGGTACGAGTAGAGCCATGTTTGTTGTAAAGTTTGTCACAAACCCTCATTAGCAATCCAACAAATGACAAGCAAATAAATCCCAAAGCATAATTTCTAATGGTTCATTGATAGCAGGTAGTGTTAATTGAAGTCAGCTGGCAATGTAGCAGGCTGTCTTCAAATTTTCAAGCTCGTTTGCAACTTAGAGTTTATAATATACGAATTTGAATTGAAGGATATTAAGGTTCATAGGGGTACGCTAATTCTTTAATGCCTTTATTTCTCTAATACCCTAGATTCGTCTTTAGAGTTGGCCGATAAAGTAAACGTGGAAATTTAGGTTTGCAAAAGTTATGCTTCAGTAGTGGGATGTTATTATCCAATGCAGTTCTAGCGTTGAGAATTATGAAGATAATACAGAGGATTGGTGTGCCGTTTATCCGTGTACTGAAAGTCGGTCCGACCTAAAAACAACAAAATGGTCACCCTTTTACACCCATTATAACCTTTTAGCTATGACCCTAATTAATTAATACTAAGTAATATGGTTATATAACAGAACTAGGCGAATAAGACATATTAATACATTTCTTCGCATAATTCCTAGTTAATTTATAATTAAATTCTAATATATATAAACCATTTTAATTATTTTAATTTTTAATTTATAAAACGCGAATAGTTGCTCGCTTAGGTCACGTGCGCTTATAAATAAGAAAGCTCGCAATATATTATAATATATACTAAATAGCAAGTAATTTATTTATATATAACCAGCCCTAGTTATAAATTAAATAAGGTTTACTTGAGTTTTATAACTGGTGTAGAGGGTCACGTGATAACCAAAAAAATCGGCTATAAAACGCAAAAATAATTACTCGCTTAATCACGTGCTATATAAGTCACGCAATATTAAAGAAATTAAAAATCGGGGAACGTAGAACTTATTACATGAAAATAAACTATAGTTTTAATTAATGTGATTTTTATTAATTAGTATTATAACAGTGTTTATCTTTTTTTTTTGTTTTTTTGGTCGTTTTTGGGTCGGACCGACTGCAGACGGCTGCTCGGACATGTGCTACTCTTACAATATCTTTAGATCAAGACGTTATAATTTACTACGCCTTATAGCTACTTCTAATCAATTTTGTCGTTGAAAGCCAATAAGCTGTGACATCCACACTCTCCGTTCCCCATTTCACCTATTCGTCATGATCTTGCAGACGCTAAGTCACCACTTCTGGGGTTTGGTTCTCGCTGGTTTTGGCTCTGTATGTTTTATTCTCAGCGGAACCAGTAGGCGCTAGGGGCCATCCTCTGACATATTTTCAGGCTGTGCTGTATATTTTTGGGCTATGTGTTTACAGACTTTACTTCCATCCACTATCCAAATTTCCTGGTCCGAAGCTTGCGGCTGTTTCGGACTTTTGGATTTGTTCTAGGTGGTATGGATCTAGCTCCAAAGGTCAAATCAAAGGTCGAAAACCTGATTCAGTTCAGGATAAGTGGTTATTGGCCACGTGAAATTGAGAAAGTCCATAGAGAATATGGTAAGTTGGAGGTTTTCAAAGTCCGAACATTGAGTAATTACTGTTCTATTTAGGTGACATTGTACGAATCTCTCCGACTGACCTTTCCTTTGTCAGAGTAGACTCCCTCAAAGGTACCTACACCCCCGACCTCCAGCATAACGTCGAACTCTAACGAGACCCCAGATATCTACTCAAACTTCAACATAAACTCCACTCACCAATTCCCCAAATACGCCACATTCTACCGACAAAGCGACGTCGGCTCTTCCGTAGGCACAGAAGTCGATCCAATACGCCATCAAGAAACACGCAAACTCCTCGCTCCGGGTTTTAGTGCTCCTGCTTTGAAAGCTCAGACTTCTATTGTGGTGAAGTATGTAGATCAACTTGTGGAGCAGATCAAGAAGAAAGGGGGGACTGAGCGGGGAATGAATATAACGCAGTGGTTTATGTGGACAGCGTTTGATATTATTATGGATTTGTCGTTTGGGGAGTCTTTGAGTATTGTGGAGGAAGGTTCGTGATCTACATTCTTAAGTCACGATGCAGCGAGAAGAACTGACAGTGTGTTCATTGTAGGCAAAGGTCACGTCTGGGTAACCATGCTCTCTGGCTCCGGTTTCCAAGTAGCGCTCGGCTACATTATGCGCCGCCAACACCCAATCTTCGTTAAAACATTGACCCGAATACTTCTCAACAAATCCAGCAAACATATGCGGGAACAGCACGTCTCTATGAGCCGAGGGATGGCTATCAAGCGACTGAACAACAAGTTTGCAGATCGGGTAGATCTGTTCTCACATCTCGTGGGCGACAAAGCACATAATACCACCGTGGATTTCCTAGCTGCTCAGGGTTCGACATTGGTAGCAGCGGGTACGGAGACTACGTCGACTTTCTTGTCGACCTCGACATATTATTTGCTGAAGAACCCCGAGGTTTTGGGAAAACTAAAGGCTGAGGTGAGGAGTGCGTTTGCGAGCAGTGGTGAGATTGATGGAGAGAATACGAAGAAGTTGTTGTATTTAAATGCAGTTGTGGAGGAAGGGTTGAGAATCTTCCCGTCAGCGCCATTTGGGCCTCCTAGAGTCTGCCCGGGAGCAGTGATTGATGGAGTTTGGGTTCCTAAAGGGGTATGTCCTTCCCGAACATGTACAGCAGAGTTCTAACGGAATAAATAATAGACAATCGTAGCAACAGCAGCTCACGCTACAGCAAGCGACCCCCGCTATTTCCATCTGCCTCGGGAATTTCACCCAGAAAGATGGCTACCAACCGATCATCCAGACTATGATGCTAATTTCGCTGGGGATACAAAAGAGGCTTCGAAACCATTCTCGCTTGGTCCTAGATGGTGTATTGGATCTTACTTATCATACCTTGAGATTCGGTACGTAGCTTCGGCCATCCTTTCTATCGTTTCAATTAAGGGGTAATCTTGGGCATAGATCCTGAAATTCCTTAAATCCCAGGAGCCCGTCTAATATCTTGGGTAAAAGGGGGCTAACATGATCCAGGATAACAATAGCAAAACTGGTCTGGAATTTTGACTGGAAATCCGCTCTTGATGTGAGTGGGGACTTTGTTGAGGACGTGAGGCTGCTAGGCCTTTGGAGAGCACCCCCTCTTATGGTGAACTACACCATTGCTACGCACTGATGGAGTGGGCTTTCTTTTAGTAGAAGTTTCGTTTTTTTTAAGGCATTTGCTAAGTGGCATATTGAGATGGTGTAGGACCGGTCCGGGTATTACTTTTAGCGGCTACCACATGTGTCACACTTTTAGGAGTGCATAGTCAAGCTTTTCTTCTTTCTGTCCCGACCCCTCACTACCCTTCTCTTTCGCGATCAAGTGATTCAATTCAATCCTTCCATCGTTTGAAACTGAGGCTTTTGCTTCTGGGTCTGTATAGAAGTCCTGGGGTGAGTATACGACTGAGTACAGGCCTGAAATGCTTCGATATGTGACTTGTAAAGCTGGCTCTCTATTGTTAGCAAGTCTGCTCAGGCAACAAATGAGTAGTGGAACATGGGTTTTACCAGGCAGTAGTCCATATACATTGGCAGCTTCGGGTCATCTGTATACCGTGGGAAGTAATTAATTACCCGTGGACTGGCCTGTCGCCGAATATTACTGCTTGCATTCTTCAGCCTTCAATCCGTGAACTGGTTACACAAGTCAATCAGAAGCGGCAATATTCTTTACTTCGAACAATCGGACAAGGCCAGCGATCTTCAGTCTACGTCTAGTCACAATACAGAAATTGGAGACCCTGCCAAGCAAGCCACAATGGTCTGAGTGACGGATTAGATGGAGATGACCAAAAATCCAAGGCAGCAAACGTTGAACCGCTCATGGCAGGACCAAGCCCGCTGCCAGAACTTTACTTGCTTGGATGGAACCTGTCGCGCCCTGACCTTCTTCCGAGTTGTCTGAGAGCATATCAATATCCACACAGGGTTACAAGCTTACCAAGGAACTGATACGGCTGTACAGCCATCCTGACATTCTTTTCTCCACCGCTTCGGGTCTCCAGTAAGGTTCAAGCTCGAATACGATGTATACTCATTCGGCTTGATCCTTCTAGAGATCGAATTATGGACGACGCTCTCTTTTCTCCACTCACGGTGCTCCTCAGACGACGAGTTCCGGCGAAAAGTATCACAAGAATATTGCGACTGTTAATGCCGAGAATGGGTGAGACTTACTGGCGAGCAATGGAACGGTGTCTTTGCAACACCTTTTACCAGAAATTTCCGACCGGGCTAACGCCAGCGGAGAGAGAAGAGAAACAGCAATTGTCGGTAGCGTTCGAGCGTCAAGTTGTTAGCGAGCTCGAGAACTGCAGCGTATAAGAGAAAGAGTGGCAAGTTAATTCGATGAGAGACTATCGCCATACTACAGAAGGTTGGGGTCTTAGCGGTTCTCCTTAGGGGACGGGAGGGGTTGCGAGCCTGATCGCATAAATCTGTGTTTTTAGTGCATTTCGCTAATAATTACTCACTGAAGAGAATGTTGACAATTTTAACTTATATCGCAATTACTTAGAATGAGATCTCTAAACCCGATTTAGCCTCCCTTATCTTAAGCGCTCCAGTTTAAAGATAATATGCTTTGTAGTTATATAATAATTGTACGGTAAGGTCTTTTGGACTTGGGTTTCGCGAGGCCTGAAAATGACACTAAAAACACAGACTTATGCGATTAGGCTCGTTGGGGGTAAGGTTAAGGGTTAAAGGGATAGGGGGTCTGAGCGAGGAGTGCCGAAGGCGTAAATTGGGGTTTACGGAGTACGGCGAAACTTGGTACGGACTGATAGTTGATATGGTCGCTTGCGACATCAACGGTTCGCCTCATCCTCCTATATTCCAAAACCAAAGCCACACTCTCCAATGTCACAGCGCTAGACAACCACCTTAACACATCCCCCTCATCAGTCCATTTTCACCACCCCACCTCAAACGCAACGCATAGTCACTGTACGTTAGTGATGAGGGCCTGTCATTTTAGCGAGTGTGGCGTTCGGGAAGGGAAGAAGATCACCAGCTTGTTAAGCGAGGGAGTAAAGGGGATTGGATATCTTAAGAAATCCTAGCTTTCAGGGCTTCGTGGGTGGTTTAAGAGTATTGCTGGCTTACTGACATGAGTATGAGGCGGTTCAGTGGAGATTCATGCCTTTCCTCCATCTTTTCAAACTTTCGATACTGAATTGGGTTGGTGCGGCTTCTCACTTCCTAGCTTGAAGCAAGTGACTGACTGAGTTGGGTGTCAACACAACTAACGCGGCTTTCCATTACACCCCTTTTAAAAACTCTGGGCCTTATGGAGGTGTGGTGGGTCACAGCCAGTGCCAAAGAAGACAGTGGCAGCAAAATCTAGAGCAAATCAAGAGCCGCATTGAGAACGAGTGAGTGATGCTTGGCTTTGGGATATGTATCTGTTGTCTCTGTCGATACGAGTAGATGAAAGATGTTCTTACCTTCGAACTTGTGGTGGCAATTGTGCTAGTGAAATTCAGTTTCTTCTTAAGCGCCATTGAAAGATCCGGCGTCATTGTAGTTGAGAAATTATATATCACGTGACTCGACCATGTTACTCCCGAAGAAAAGGAGAGGCTTCATTCGCACTGATCTATCCTAGGTACTCCACTCCTTCTATTCTTTCTTCAAACCACAGGCTCAATCGTATCGTCACTCAACACGTTTCCACCATCGGGGCCAAATCTTATGCCCGTAGCCTGCTCTCGGTATTACCGGTCATTTATGGGGAGCATTTCGGATTTGCTTATTCATCCATCCCAGGTCTTTGGACGAGCCAATCAATCAACAAGATTGTCGGACTCCGATGCTGAAATTTTGTCCGCCCAAGTCCAGCTAGTTCGGACCTCGTCCCCACTCAAACAGCTTCCAGACCGCACGATTCGACCATCCTGATACTCATCATCCTCGCCAAGCGCGGGATCTCCACTGCGCTAGCGGATTCGTCATGACTTTAGACTTTGTCAGATTTGTTTTCACGGTTCGGCCTCAAGTGAAGGCCGAACCTCAAGAAGATCTGCCTGCAGGGCCGGATACAGGAACTCTGCCATCCGTAAAGATGCGCGTAAGGGGCGCTTCCAAGAGCAGTCTGCGTCGCGCTTCGGACTCTTATTCCACCGGAAGTGCTGCCCGCGATCGTGTTCTATCAAATGTGGGTCGATGTGTGGCCGCGTGGAGACCTACATGTATCGAATGCTCCCCCAATTCCCGGCATGAGGTTTGCATATTTCTTTTCTCCAATCTCTTTCTACGATTCTTTCTTGGAAGCTCAAAGATTTCATTTAATTGTTCATTTATTCATCATTGACAATGGCTACGTCCGAGCCAGAGGCATATGCCTCAGTGGTCAACCATTCACAAGGAAACGCGCTCGCGCGCATTATCTCGAGCGCGTCCCAGCTCTCAAGACGGCAATCCAACAGGGTATACGACAGTTCAGACGAAGAAGACCGGGAACCAATTTCCAATGACTGGAATATGATGCCAGAGATCAAGGCGCTGCAGCAGCAGGGAGAGAAGGATCAAGTCAAACGGCGAAAGCTTGGAGTCACATGGACGAACCTGACCGTGAAGGGGGTCGGTGCGGATGCAGCCATCAATGAGAACGTGGGTTCACAATTCAACATTCCACGAGCGATCAAGGAAGGAAGACATGGAGCCCCACTGAAGACAATTCTGGAGGATAACCATGGATGTGTCAAGCCAGGCGAGATGCTTCTTGTTCTCGGACGACCTGGAGCTGGATGCACAACTCTTCTCAAGATGCTTGCGAACAGGAGGCTTGGGTACGCAGAAGTTACTGGGGATGTCCACTGGGGTTCTCTCGACGCTAAAGGGGCCGAACAGTACCGGGGCCAAATCGTTATGAACACGGAGGAGGAACTTTTCTTCCCAACCCTCACTGTAGGACAAACCATCGACTTCGCCACGCGCATGAAGGTACCATTCAATTTACCTTCCAATCAAGGATCGCCTGAGGACTTCCAAATAGAGAGCAGAGACTTCTTGTTGAGGTCAATGGGCATTTCCCACACGCATGATACCAAGGTCGGCAATGAATACGTTCGCGGAGTTTCCGGAGGAGAACGAAAGCGAGTCAGCATCATCGAGGCTCTTGCGACGAGAGGCAGTGTATACTGCTGGGATAATAGTACCCGGGGTCTGGATGCCAGCACGGCACTCGAGTACACCAAGGCTATGCGAGCCTTGACAGACATTTTCGGCCTCGCTTCTATCATCACCCTGTACCAAGCGGGCAATGGCATTTACAATCTGTTCGACAAGGTTTTGGTTATTGACGAAGGCAAGGAAATCTATTACGGTCCAATGAGGGAAGCAAGACCATTCATGGAGGGCCTGGGATTCTACTGCGATGACGGAGCAAATGTTGGAGACTTCTTGACCGGTGTTACCGTTCCATCAGAAAGGAAAATCAAGCCTGGATTCGAGGAATCATTTCCTAGGACCGCAGAGGACATCCGGCAACGTTATGTCAAGTCAAGCATCAAGACGAACATGGAAGCCGAATACACTTTCCCAACCAGCGACGAAGCGAAGATAGGCACAGAAGATTTCAGAGAGAGTGTTCAACACGAGAAACACAAGAGCCTGCCCAAGAAATCGCCTCTCACTGTCAGCTTCATCACTCAGGTCAAGGCTGCTGTCACTCGTCAGTACCAAATCCTTGGGGGGAACAAGGCAACCTTTCTTATTAAGCAAATCTCGACACTGATTCAGGCCCTGGTCTCAGGCTCACTCTTTTACAATGCTCCAAACAACTCAGCTGGTCTCTTCGTCAAGTCCGGTGCACTCTTCTTTGCTCTGCTGTTCAATTCTCTGCTGGCAATGTCAGAAGTCACGGACTCGTTCTCTGGCCGTCCAGTCCTCGCGAAACACAAATCATTCGCTCTTTACCATCCTGCTGCATTCTGCATAGCCCAGATAACGGCAGATATCCCGGTTCTCCTCTTTCAGGTTTCAATATTCTCTGTCGTACTATATTTCATGGTCGGATTGACAATGGAGGCTGGCGCTTTCTTCACCTTCTGGATTATCGTCTTTGCAACTGCCATGTGTATGACTGCTTTATTTAGAGCTATCGGTGCAGCATTCAGCACATTCGACGGAGCGAGCAAGGTTTCTGGATTTATGATTGCTGCTTTGATCATGTATACTGGATATATGATCAAAAAACCCGCAATGCATCCTGTAAGTTGTCCAAACCTTGAGAATCAGGTGCACTCGCTAATCTTCTCAACAGTGGTTTGTGTGGATCTATTGTAAGTACCACTCCCATCTCATCAGATTTCATCAGTCCCAGCCACCATCATCGATCTTTCCAGTCACCACCTGAGCCCAACTAACATAATATAGGGATTGATCCATTAGCCTACGGCTTTTCTGCCATTTTGGCGAATGAATTCAAGAATAAAATCATTCCTTGCGTTGGAAACAACCTCGTTCCCAACGGTGAAGGCTACACAAACCCGCTTCACCAAGCTTGTAGCGGTGTCGGAGGCGCTGTAGCCGGCAGTACAAGCCTTACTGGAGACCAATATCTTGCTTCTCTCTCGTACTCAGTCTCAAACATATGGCGAAATTTCGGTATCCTATGGGCTTTTTGGGTTCTCTTCGTCGCCGTCACGATCTACTCGACCAGCAATTGGAAATCACAATCTGGCAACAGCGGATTCCTCTTGATTCCTCGAGAAAAGGCCAAGAAGAACATGAAGCATCTGACTCAGGATGAGGAATCTGGGACCGCTGTTTCCCAGCCAGTTGAGGAGGAGAAGGCACCGGTTCAATCAAGTGGCTCATCTTCCGAGGGTACCATGGCCACCGAAGAGCAATTGGTCCGCAACACTTCAGTGTTTACTTGGAAGAACCTCACATACACCGTCAAGACACCATCTGGCGATCGTGTTCTCTTGGATAATGTACAAGGTTGGGTCAAGCCTGGTATGCTGGGGGCACTTATGGGCTCATCCGGAGCCGGAAAGACTACCCTGCTCGATGTTCTCGCGCAACGAAAGACGGATGGTACTATCAAGGGCTCCATTCTCGTCGATGGCCGCCCGCTTTCCGTCTCATTCCAGCGTTCAGCTGGTTATTGCGAACAACTTGATGTTCATGAGCCGCTTGCTACAGTCAGAGAAGCCCTTGAGTTCTCTGCTCTCCTCCGCCAGCCACGAACAACACCGAGAGAGGAGAAGCTCAAGTATGTTGATACAATTGTTGATTTGCTCGAGATGCACGACATTGAGAATACTCTCATCGGAACAACAGGAGCTGGCCTATCAGTCGAACAAAGAAAGCGACTCACCATCGGTGTGGAACTCGTCTCGAAGCCCAGCATTCTCATCTTCCTGGACGAACCCACTTCTGGTCTCGACGGACAGGCAGCGTTCAACATCGTCCGATTCTTGAGGAAGCTCGCAGATGTTGGTCAAGCCGTCCTTGTCACCATCCATCAACCGAGTGCCCAACTGTTCCTCCAATTTGACAGCCTGCTCCTCCTCGCCAAGGGAGGCAAGACTGTCTACTTCGGCGACATCGGTGAGAACGCCACAACCCTCAAAGAATACTTCGCTCGCTACGATGCCCCCTGTCCCAAAGATGCCAATCCCGCCGAGCACATGATCGATGTGGTATCAGGATCCCTCTCCCAAGGCAAAGACTGGAACCAAGTCTGGCTCGACTCCCCAGAACACAAGCAAACCGTCGAAGAACTTGACAGCATCATCGCCAACGCCGCAGCAAAGGAGGCCGGCACCAAAGACGATGGCTTTGAATTCGCCATGCCGCTCTGGGAACAAACGAAGATCGTAACGCAACGGATGAATGTCTCTATCTGGCGGAATACAGACTACATCAACAACAAGTTCGCCTTGCACATTGGCTCTGCGCTCTTCAACGGCTTCTCTTTCTGGATGATAGGCGACACGGTTGCTGATCTCCAACTCCGGTTGTTTACTGTCTTCAACTTCATCTTCGTGGCCCCTGGTGTGATCGCACAGCTCCAGCCTTTGTTTATCGAACGAAGAGATATTTACGAGACGCGAGAGAAGAAGTCAAAAATGTACTCCTGGATCGCATTCGTAACCGGTCTCATCGTCTCCGAGCTGCCCTACCTCTGCGTCTGCGCCGTCTTATATTTCGTCTGCTGGTACTACACCGTCGGCTTCCCCACTGACTCCAACAAAGCCGGCGCCACCCTATTCGTCATGCTAATGTACGAATTCGTGTACACTGGGATCGGACAATTCATCGCTGCCTATGCTCCCAACGCTGTCTTCGCTTCTCTCGCTAATCCCGTGATCATCGGAACGCTTGTCTCATTCTGTGGTGTCTTGGTCCCATATGCACAGATCCAACCGTTCTGGAGATACTGGATCTACTATCTCAATCCGTTTAACTACCTCATGGGCTCCCTGCTCACTTTCACCACTTTCTCGGCGGCTGTTCACTGCGCAGAAGCAGAATTCGCTATCTTTGATCCACCGTCTGGACAAACGTGTCAACAGTATCTGGGCCCGTATCAGATGGGCATGGGTGCTAGAACGAATTTGATAAATCCGGATGCGACAAGTGCGTGTCGGGTTTGTGAGTACAGGAGTGGAAGTGATTATCTTTATACGATTAATTTGCAGGACTATTACTATGGTTGGAGGGATGCAGGGATTGTGGTGTTGTTTGCGGTTAGCAGTTACGCGATGGTTTATTTGTTAATGAAGTTGAGGACGAAGAGGAGTAAGACGGCGGAGTAAAGGGCTTGGGAGAAGTGGAGTTGGGATAAATGGTGATTGGTAATGACAACATAGTGGCGGAGGCTTTCATTTGTTGGGTATAGATTGTAAGAAGTGGAGAAACGTGTGAATATACCATAGACGGATAAGAGATAATAGATTGGCTAGATTAGAGTGAGAGGCGTTCATGAGACCGTATTTCATGTACCCAAGTTCGAGAAATGCAAGATGCGTACAAATGCAAAGGGCATGGCTGATTGGGGTAGAAATAGGCCGAGCAAGGAATATTCTGTCCAGGACGGAGAAAACTCGGTGCTCTCGAAGGTGGAGTTGTAAGCTGAATGTGGTCTTTTCAAGGGTGTATTTTGCATTCAGTCTGCTATTCTGATGCTACTTCTTCTTCTTGCCTTCCCGTTTCCCGGATCTAGCTTTGTCCAAAGGTACCCCACTCCCTACGATGACAGGGTCCAGTGCATTCCGGGCCTGGTACAATTTTTGCTGGGATTCATCGAACCTTTCTAGTATCGCGCTCAGGCTATTTTCGCTTCTCGCGAAGCGTTTGGTAGTGACCCTTTCCTTAGAGAAGTCGTTTTGAAATGCCCAAGTTTCTAGAGCGACTTTGCACATCTTCACCTCGTAAGCCGCGTTTGCTACACCAGAGTCCCTCATTTCGTACTCCGGGATAGGGTGGTGCCGAAGGATGTAGTGGTGCTTGTTGTGATATTGAGCGCACTCCTGTTCTAGCAGATCATCTTCACACCATCGCTTGAAAAATAGCAACAAGCTTTGGACATTTGTGATCAAATGGGTGAGTCGTGAACGAACGCGCTCATCTTCAAACAGACGATACACAAAATCAAGAGCAGCTCGCGTTCCAAGTTCGTGCAGAGATCGTGCCTTCAGTTTTTCAACAGCCGAAGTTGTGTGCCAAATCCACTCAATGTTCCGCTGTTGTAAGTATAGTGACTTATCCAACATCCACATTGAGTTAAGTGTGGCACTTTGGTTTTCTTCGCTTTCATAGGCTTGCGAGTGTTGTATCCCCTCCCGAACCCAACAGTAGAAGTCTCGAAGCATTTTGCGATAGAAAGAGAGGAACTGCAAACGTTTCGGAAACCGCACCCGCTCAAACGCTCGTCGTACACGAACATAGTAAGTACTTGCATGTGCGACTAAACGCTGGAATTCATCTGCGATGGAGAATATATGCGTTGGAGATGACGAAGGCTTGATTGTGGCTTGTGCCTGGTCATACCAGCGCGCGAGGCAGAGAATCTCGTAGCAAAGGGAATGGGGGTTGTATATGCGTGACGATCTCGCCGAAGGCACGCTTTCACTGTAGAAGAGAGAAGGTTCAATGATGACTGATAACGAATACCAAGCCCTTGACCAACTTCGAAAATATTTGTACGGGCCTAACGACCAATGTTTTACACCCACCAGAGTTTCTGTGTCTCCCATGAAGTAAAAGTCTGAATCATAGTGAAACTGTGGAACCTTGGATATATCAGCAGCGGATACACTTGGTTGGAGTGATGTTCCCGATGATTCTCTGGCTACGGTTTTGGCATTTCCAACAGCTCCTTCGATCTTGCTTTTGTCGAGGTTTTCTACCCCAAAGAAGATTGGTTCAGAATCATGGTCTGTTTGGGATTCAACTGCGGCGTTGATACGTTTGGAAGTGACAGGCGCATCACCATCAACTGATTGCGCTTGGGGATTTGACGAGTCTTCGAGATTGTGCTGATTGCCGCATAATAGTGGTTCCTTATTGTTAACACGGACTCCATCGCCGTTTGTTTCGAAGGCGGCACCCGGATCCGATGTCTTTGTGTTCCTCTGTAATCCAGGTTTGCCGTTATCGTTCGTGATCTCCTCTGCGGGTATTCGGTCCGATTGTTGCTCCGGTTTTGGACCTGAACACTGCTCTGGAGTTTTTCCTGAGCCATCCTCTGATGTCTCATCTGAACTCTCCACGGCATCGGCTACTGCCGCTTCTTGTGGTCCAGGCTCCGAGTTCTCGACCTCCTTCTCCTCCTCTTTTTCTACTTCTTCTTCATTCCGGTCTTCCAGCTCATTTCTTCTGGCCATACCGCCAGTACCTTCCAACGGCAAGCCCCCAGCTCCAAAATCATCTTCAACATCATCCAAAGCACCCCGATCCCCAAGTTCCATCACATAATCCTTGATAGTCTCCTTATGCATTTGCAACACCTCGCTCGAAAACCCTTCTTTAATCAATTCCCTCCGAAAGTCCTTCCAAATCGCCTTATCATCGCCAGCATAAGTCGTCAGTATCGATCCTTCCCCGGCTTTCGGAGACTTTGCCTGCATGGATGCAGTAATCCAATTCAAGCTCCGCCTCATTTCCCTCAATTCATCGCCCTGGCTCTCCATATAACTCTCCACTTTTCCTTGTGACGCAATCGACAAAAGATTCAAGAACAGCGTCAAAGCAGAAGTACTCGTTGTGATCTTGACCCTCAGCTCCGCCAAATCCAACATCTCTCCATTTCCAAATTGCACCCTCTTCCATAGCTTCGTCACACTTCTCTTCTCCTCCGACAACGCATTATATTTCTCCAATATTCCATCAAGTACCCTTAGTACCCTTTTGCAATCGCTAGACAACTGTGCAAGTTCTTCTCTTCGGTCGAGGCTGTCTTCGCTTCGGGTTAGGATTGAGTTCGGCTTGGAGACTTCGAGCTCGAGGCGGCGGAGAACGATGTGCAGGCTGGCCACTTCGGTGGTGAGTTCGTCGTGGGCGCCGCATGCCTTGCGGGAGTTCTGGACGACGTCCCAGGCCAGCTGCGTTAGGAGGACGAAGTCGCCTAGGGCGTAGCCGAAGGACATTGTAGTGGGTGGTGTGAGGGGACGAGGCTGTGGGTGCGAGGTCGATGTGGACGAGTTGCGGCTAGTCAGCCTGCTCTATTTCTTGAAAATAACGTGGCTAGATGAGCTGTAATGAGTAGGGTCCATCTTTTGAGAGGAAAGGGAGGAAGACTGGAGAGGAAAGAGGGAATTGATTGAGAGAGTTAGTTGGAGTGTAGAGCCTGAGGAGGCTGAGTACGCTTGTCTTGTTGCGGATGACCTCGACGCCACAGCTGCAGCTCAAAGCATCATCGTGGATTATGATTCGTTGATGCACCCCAGAAACCATCCCAGCAAAACTTTACAGAGTATGGTCAGATCAATTGAAAAGGTGCAGTGTACTAACAACTTCCTCAAACCGGCTTCCGAATTACCATGGCCGATGCCGAGTTTGAGGGAGCAGTTGGGGAAGACCGCGATGACAATGACGGCTTATCGGCTTTGTCGATACAAATGAGCTCTTGTCAACGATGAAACAGTAGAGCATCTTGGCAACGGCAAGGCCAAGCTCTGCTAGCATGGCTCAGGAGGGCGATGGTGGAACTCGAGATATCAGTGCTGCTGATTCTTCCCGCTTACAGAATAGAATGAAGCAACTACGGCGAGCAACGATTCCACATGAAGAGAGATCTGGCTCTCTATCCCTAGCAGCTGGTGAACAGGCAGACGACCAGGGAGTAGTATTCTAGGATGATTTTGACAGTAAGTAAATCAGCATACTTGATACATGATTCAGTTATTAGAAGGGGGAGTTACTACTCTTAGCTGTCTGTAGCCAGCGTAACTTCCCAACGGTTGTTTATCTTACCTCTAAATGGATGCCAAACAAACCCTCTCCCCGTAGGAGATCAGAATATAGTGACGCCGTGAGTGGTACCCCACGACTCAAAGCCATTCTACAGTATCCCCCAAATCTATGTGAAGGCCCGTTGTACCTTAAACGTCACCAAACTCGCCGAGGACTGATCCTCGCTCACCTCGTGCTTCTTACAGCTCTCCTTCATGCCCAAAAACGGTTCGTCCACCCATCTGTTAATATCGGAGCTAGTCTTGTTAAATAAAGAAATTTTTTAGGGGGCATGTTGGGAGAGTAATGAGAGTTGCAACCCATCTGAAAGAAATATATTTGAGCTCTGAGAAGACACTTACGGCCCATAACGCGCAAACACTTCCGGTATCACATACCGCGACCGGCGCTGCCAATCAATTGTCCACTGCGATGGATTAAAGAGATACCATTCCGTGAAAGGAAACTGCCACACATAAGGCCAGATATCGTTGGCTCCATAGACAACCCGTAGCTGATACCATAACGCAGCCCTGATCATCCGTTCCCCCAGGCAGGCCCCCAGAACTGGTGTCAAGTACGTCGATATATACATCGATCAAAGCCATAGCGGCGTTCCGCATTGTCTATAGTGCATATCGGCATCTTGGATTACGCTGCACATGGTAGGGCAAAACTGCGGCCGGGGCGGTCAATCTCAAACTCGCGCTTGCGGCCCGCCTACCAATGCGGATCCCAGTTCATATACTCAATTGGACTCTGGGTAGCTTCGCTACCAGCATGGGAGGCCCTACTACCTCCTTGGCCAAGCATTTGTTCTATGAATCATGGGCCAGAAAGGACGAGAATTAACGCGAAATTTTCGACCTTTTGGTCATAATGCCATTGTGAGGTAGGCTTCTATTAGGAGCAGTCGTGGATAGCTAGGAGTCAAGAAATTATTTCTAGTGAGTCGCCCGGAAGTTCAAGTTTCTAGGCAGGCTCGCCACAGGTTTGGACCTTGGCAAGAATTGGATCTTAAGGCTCAACATAATATGAGGGTGGAATGACTGATTTCGACTTCTGTCCCCGGGCCAGTCGATAATGTGTAAACAGGTGGTGCCTAGTACTACTCTGATCCCAACTGAGGGGGAGCGTTCAGTACCTATTGTAAAGCCCGTGAGCGAAGTACGGAGAAAGGAAGTGAGAGTGAGCCTTGACAGTCTTCTTTTTTTGCGATTGTTAAAAAGTAGTATTCTCTAGGAGGACAGAGGACGAAGAGAAAGAGCATCTGCTAACGTGGTTCCCTGTGTATGTGCAAGTCCGTGTAGAGTGGCATGCCTTCCGCTTCCTTCAATTTGTGCCACCTGAAGAAGCAATTTATACCTCTTATTCATGCACACCCTTTCCAATGTGGTCCCTCCGAATGAAGCGAGTCAAATTCGAAGGCAATGATTCGACATCCGGCAACTCTGCATTGGCGTTTAGCGGACATTCTGGAGTATGGATACACGGTATGGCTCGTAGTTTCTAAAAAGTGAAGTTTGAAGGAGGACGCACACTCGTTAACCGGCCTGTAGGATGGCCTGGATTACGCCCGAAAACACGCCAAAGCCTACTGTATCCTCTCTATAATATCTCAAATTATATCTGGCCTGCGAGTGTTCCTATGATCCTTATCGAAGATCCCTATCGAGTGGTGAGATTTCGCCATAATTCTGGAAAGCTTGGAACTGTTTGCCTATTTAAGCTGGCCCGCTTCTACACACCTCTCAGGTTTCTGGCCATAAACATGATATCTACACTATGTTAGCTGCTAAACATCCACCCAATACGCGCACGAAAGGACAACTCACATATCATGACACAACCCCTCCCTCGGATCCTGCACAGAAGCCCGACACTTCGCCACCAACACCAAAATCTCATCATTCTCCCACTCCATAACCGTCTTTAGCCTCCTCTCCGCAAAATCTCTCAACCCCGTATCAATCCTCAACTGATTCCACGCTCCCAGCTCCTTCTGCCTCTTATCCTTCGGCCACTTGCCAATCGGCACATTCGTTTTCTTCTCTATAATATTCACGAAGCCTGCTTCTTGCATCGCGGATTTTAAGCTGGGAGCAATGTCGAAGGCAAGCCCGGATTTCGCGTCTATGGCGGTGAAAATGCTGTACCACATTGCCCACGGGTGCGAGGCCGGGAAGGCGTAATGAGTTGAGCCGAGTTTTATGGCGGGCTCGGTGCAGTCTATCCAGCCGCCTGGTTCGAGGGCGCTGTTCCATCCTCAGCATCAGTCACTGTCTCCCCCTTAGAGTCCAAAGCACTTAAAGACGGGATGTGTTGATGATAGGAGTGCTTACGCATAAGCCTTCTTGAAGAAATCAACCCAGTTCGGTATCGTGCCAAGCAGTTCGCGTGTGTGTACCAGGTCATACGAATTCTCACGCCCGTACTCCTTGTTAAAGTCGTCTATTTCGAAGTGGCAGTTTGGTGGGACCCAAGAGGGCTGGATGGGGGAGAGGTCTGTTCCTGTAATAGTTGCTTCGGGGAATTCGTCGCCCATGGCTCTGCGTTGGATTAGTTTATGCTGTGTCAAGGAAATTTTGAGAAGGAAAAGGGAAGTTACGGACATGGCCCAGATTCCGGTGCCTGTTCCGAGGTCGAGAACCTTCTGCTATTTTGTCAATGATTGACGTTGAGTGGTGGGCTCATAGTTGTACCTTCGGAGGTTTAATTGGAGCTAGGTAGAACTGACCCTCGAGGAGCAGAGTCCAGAAGTGGTGACTGAGTTGTGTAAGATGTCGTCTTTGTTAATTCTGGAAATCATATACCTTAGATCCTGCTGGTCTTTAGCAGCCTCGTCGTTTGGTCCCTAGAAATTATCAAATGGGATCAAGACTGTTCCAATCGTAGTGAAATACCCAATGTTCCGTCGAACCTAGCAGGCATGTTAGCTCCAACTCGGAGGAGAAGAAGGCAAGGTAGGTTTACCGTAAGAATGATACGTCCTCCCATTCTCTTTGCGATAATTCAGAATCGATGAAGGTAAGGTGCTGGCCCGTCTCACCCTTGTTGGCCCCGGATAGCCAGAATCGGCATCCTCAGCCTCAGCGTTATAGAATTCTAAAGGAGCCGCGACAGGAGCAGTTGGGTCAAGCGTGGGGGCCTGGCTCTATTAGCAGGGAAGTTCCTCGGAATTTGATGTGGCTGACAGAATAGGCTGGAGCCTCGTCGGCCGCTACTAATGGTGCTCCAGTTTCTGCCATCGCAACAGACTCGAACTTGTTTCTTCAAGCTTAGATGAAGAGAAAGTAAAGGAGGGACTGTCCTGCAGTGCAGCGAAGGTAAGCTTGAAAGTCAAAGTGCGGCCACGTCTGAAGTGGGGTATTTGGGCCCCTCTATGCAAAACAAGGCCATGCTCTTTCATGTACGAGTGACCACTCGCAACCCATGCTGTGCCTGCCGAGACTCGTTCCCTGGGAATATCCGCCATTGAAAAAACCAATTAAAATGCCAGCGTGTTGATTTTGGCAATGATGGTGGCTGGAGGCGCACGGCTGAGAGCGCCTCGTGTGGTGTATCCTGGAGGGGACGATTTTTATGGCGGTGGTTTGGAGAGGCACACCTCGCTTAGGAGGCCTGCGACGTTAAAAAAACAAATTCTAAGGACGTATGCTATCTATGGCTTAATTACTAAATTTTAGCGGACTCCCGACCCCGCTACTACCGCCTCCCTATATCCGTATTATACCCTCGCACGCTGCTAAATATTATGTTTACTTACTTATATATTTATATACTTTATTATATATTTATCTTTATTATTAAAATTAATAATAAGTAATATAAAGGAAAATAAGCTAAATAAAGGCAAGAGTAAAAGCATATTAAAACTTATTAACTAAGTCTTACAGTTACAGTAGTTTATATGCCATAAGAGTATGGACTGAAATTTAGCAATTAAGCTATATAGTTATAGCGAGCGTACTTGGTGAATTTGTCTTATTGGGGTAAGATTACCAAGCAAATTGCCTTACCGCCACAATAATCGTACCCATTACCCCACATCATCCCCGTCATATCGGAATGAGTGAAATGCGGGGCGAGGCCAAGCCCAGATCGCTGAATTTCCTATTCACGATAACCACAATTCCTGATCACTCGATCATATTTCGCCAGAGGGCTTCTGGTCAGATATGCGCGGCATCGAATGAAGCCTGCGCGATGCGGGGTTGTCTCGTCTCGTTGAGGTTATTCGTGGAACACAACAAGGGACACACCGAAATCAACAACGGGGATGCCTGCCAGCATACGGAACTCTCCGCATGGTGTGCCGTGGGGGGCTTGTGCTTGCATTGGACGAAGGATACAGGGCTGATCCCTTCCCTGGCCAACGGCGGCAAAAGCGGCTAGTAGAGTCGGTACTTAACTCGAGTGACCTTGTTCTGAATATGGAGAAGGAGGGGTATGCATGAAGGCTTACTTGAATGAAAATCATATTGGACCTTAGATGATATCTGGAATGAAATACTTTCAAACATTTAGGAGTCAGAACGGGATAAGTTTTGCGCTTGGCATCGACGCAGCCCATGGCTGGAGGGGATTTGACCCGTCAATTTGATCAGATGTGCGTAACTCTACTTCCAACTACCAACATACGTACTCAAACATCTGACTCTCCTGTCATCCGAAAATTTACACAGAAATGCTTCTGATTGCCAATCAATTCTCAAAGAACTTTGTCTCGAACTTGAATCCAGCCCCATCGAGTCGATCAATAAACTTCTGGCCCAAGCATGCAGGAGTGTAAATCCCACCAGAAAGTTTGTGATTATCTAACAGAATCGAGACCGCCGCCTGTGATAGCGAGAGAGCCGTGACTACGCAGGTTAACCTTGCACAGGGCCCCTAGAAATTTAGAAATGAAGACTTACAATCATACAAATTACCCTCATACCGAGCCGTGCAAAAAGCCCGAGGAGGTTTCGGGATCTTCACATCCGGCGTTGCAATGCCCCTATATTCGACTCTATCATTCTTGGACTCCTCTTTGGTAGGGCCGTCGCCGGGCTTGTAAACATAGCTTCTCGCCATCTTTCTGACGAAAGGAATGGCGATCATGAGACCTCCGAACACTAATGTGAAATGCGTGATGACGGCCGTGAGGTAGTTGCGAGACTTCAGGAATTCGCTGAACCGGAAGTTGGGGCCGTAGAAATCGGCCCCGCCCAAGAGACCCCAGGAGCGCTGGACGATTGGTATGTCTGAAACTCGTCCCATGGATGTTGTCAGGATTCCGAGATCTGGGACGACACGGACTCCGAAGATTTTGGTGATCATCGAATTCGGATCGCGGGTCTTTGGGCCTGGGATGGGAGATATGGTGTAAGGCACTTGGGCCGCTTCTAGTTCCTTGAAGCTGTAGTTGTCGAAGAGAGTGAAGATTGTGTTCAGGGTTCCGCCAGAAGGTTTCGCACTGTAGAATGAATAGTTGGGCTTCGAAATTAGGAAGGGAGCTTACTTTATTTCGTGAACAGATACAATAGCCTCAGCTGTTGGTGCAGAGAATCGGTTCCGAATCATGTTAACCAGCGTCCACGTGACCAGATCCGCTGGTGCTGAATCAATGCCAATTTGGGGGACCATGATGGCTCCTGTTGCTTGGGCTGTCTTCTCATATTTCTCGATCATGTTCTTGACATAGAGTACTTCGCCAGTGACGTCGAGATAGTGGGTGCCATTCTCTGCACACGCCTTGAAGGCATGTTCTCCGTAGATGCAATATGGACCGACAGTTGATATGAAGAGCTTTGCCTTCTTGGCCAATGCGCTCAACTCTGCATCTTCCAGATTGCAGACTTCAATGGCTATGGAAAGTTAGTTTCGACGTTCGATCACGTGTATGGCCGATACTTCCAATTCAGGGGCAAACTGACCGGGCTGCACTCTGTCGGGGTTGAGAACTGTGCATTCAGCAGCAACAGCTTCCAATTTGCTTTCTGAACGTCCAGCAAGAGCCCATTTCAAATCCGTAGGCAGTTCAGTGGCGATATGTTCTGCTGTAAGTTTCCCAGTGTAACCTGTGGCACCAAAGACTACGATGTCGTATTGCCGAGATGCTGACATGTTTGGCTGTGTTCTAATGGGCCAAAGAAAAATAAAGGTGACTTGAAATATCTCAATTAAACAGACAGAATAAATTCATTTAATGATGATGGCATGATTAAGAATGAGGAGACGGTTCAACGGATGCCTCACATGTCGTCCTTGACACTCGGCCGACAAGAATCAATCGACGCTTCAGGGGTACGGGCTACAAATGCGGTTAGATCGCCCGTCTCTAAATCACGTGAAATTTGGTGCCTGATGAGCCCAGGCATGTAGGGCAAGTCGCTTAGCCCACTCAGAAATATCGTCAAAAATCAACATCGTCGAAAGAACTTCCAACCTCAATCACCGTTCATCAGCGCAACCTCAGCCAAGATGACGAAGCGAACCAAAAAGGTCGGAGTTACCGGCAAGTACGGTACAAGGTACGCGTTTGCTCCCTTCCAGCGCGCTCGAATGTCGAGGGGCGGCCTCCAGACGGCAATTCGCCATATCTTCACCCTAAGGAGCCATCGACGTCCGCACGACGCGTATCGGCTTGAGGATGGAATCAGAGCGCATGGCTGACAGGTTTTTCTCTCAAATTATAGATATGGTGCATCGCTGCGAAAGCAAGTCAAGAAGATGGAAATCACACAACACGCCAAATACGTCTGCACCTTCTGCGGAAAGACGACCGTCAAGAGACACTCTGTGGGAATCTGGAACTGCAAGGCATGCAACAAGACTGTCGCTGGAGGAGCATACACCGTATCGTACGTCTACAATCATCTGCTGGGTCTGGGTTGATAAAGGAGCACTGAACTTGATCTGGCACCTTAATTTCGACACATACGCTAATAATTACCTGCAGAACGCCCGCCGCCGCTGCCATGCGATCGACTCTCCGAAGATTGAGGGAAATTGCTGAGGTTTAGATGGGTTGGGATGGATGTGTTATGGTTGGCATTGCTGGTGTCTGGGAACGGTCGGCTCTCACGCGGAGCACGAGCTTCGACGTCGCTTTCGATGAGGACCTGAATAAAGCAATTCACAAATCACGCCCTTTCCCCTCCTTACGTGCCTATATCGCGATCGTCCGATTCGTTCCAAATATTTCGTGAAACATGAGAGCTGTTGGTGATTGGGTATTTGAGGCATCTAATTGAATTTTGATAGGCAACAGCAGGACTTCCACCGAGCATCGAAGCAGCCGAGATCTCCCGGCAATTTACAAGTCGTCCAAACTCTTTTTGGGCTTCACGCTGGAAGAGGTAGGGCCAAAATTCCGAGCGCCGACTTCGATAAATCTCTCCACCTAATGCAATTTACAGGGGGAGCGGCGCCTCTGTCGAAAGTGAGGCTCGCATTTTAATGGCCAACGCAATCGAGTTACGACCCGGAGGCGTCGCTTCTGCCATCTTGCAGGCACCCTGGAAGGCAGGGCGAGTCGTTGCCTCCCTGGTTGCCTTATCCGCACGGGCTATTTAAGAGGAGGCTGGCCCCGCTGTTAAGTTTGATTTCTTTCCTTCTCTTGGTGACTCACTTTCGCAACTAGTGATCCTGCCTTGATATCAAATGGGCACCCTGGCCTGAATTTGGAAGGTAGGCCACATGACTGGTTCATCGAGGGCTGATATAAAAGCCCTCCACGCCTCTTATTACACCTGCAACCGGATCCAACAAGGACAACTGCTCAGAGAAACGTGGTCATTGGCGAGTCAGCAAGCCAGGCACCGTCATCCATGACGCTTGACTGTCATACGCTGCAGTCACGTTGCCATAAGAGAGTCTCACACAGGGACAAACCTCACCGCACACCAACATTGCGGATAGATAAATTTTTTGTCACAGCGGCCAAGCACCCACCACCGGCTCAACACGATCCACCTTCCTGAGCCCATAGGGAGCAGACCACATTCCGAATTTTCGGGGAGGGTGGTTTGACCGCTTTCCACCTCACTCGAGCGGGGCAGAAGCACAAGAGGTGTCCGCGCTGCTGATTGGCTCGGGCCACTCAACCACGCTAAGGTTTAGCGACTGCTAACTCAGCTCAGGCTGCGCCTGCCAGGTCCTCTCTCACTCACACCTTCTCAATCATCCAAACCTCGCTTTGCTCGCAGTCGTCCAGCACCAACACCACCTCCTCCAAAACTTTGAGCTCCAACACCGCCCCAAACACCCGCGCTGCTCGACAATTCCTCTTTCTTCGCAAACCACGTCTATGACTTCCTCCCCAATCATCCACGACCAGTTTCGTAAATTCCTTTGTCAGCATGGCTGACCAGTGTATTGTCTGTCTGGAGGACCTGGATGTCGTTCCGGACCCCAGCGTCCACCATGCTCTTCGAGATGCGGGAGCAGTGGCGGCACCGACCGAAGACCTGCCAACGCCCCATCCCAGCACAACCGCGACCCCACAACCTATTGCTCTCATCAAACCCTGCAATCATGTTTTGCACGATGAATGTTTGAGGGAATGGTCGCAGAAAGCAAATAGCTGCCCTATTTGTCGCCACGCATTCAATGTCGTCGAGGTACTCGACAAGGTTGGAGGTACGTTCCCCCCTTTCCCTTACCTTACAACCATTTCTTCTCATCATCGCATACGCTGCAACCTGTTTCCGGGACTTCGAGTGAATCGTGCGGGTCATTTTTGTTCTTTATGACCCAAAAACTCCACTCCCCAGAGCGGAGTTATTCCCGGACACAAGTCACCCCTCAGAGGGGCAGCTTCATAAATACAGAATAATTCAGCTTGCTAATTCTTTTCGCCAGGCACCGTCGTATCCGAATACCAAGTCGAAGACAAGAAACAAGTTGCCGAATTCGACCCAAATGCTTGGATCGAGGACGAATTTGAAGAGGAAGAGTCCCGACCCTGTCCCATCTGTGGCGACGCCGATCACGAAGAGATCCTCCTCCTCTGCGATGCATGCGATGCCCCATACCATACACACTGCGTTGGTCTCGATCGTGTCCCTGCTGGACACTGGTTTTGCATGGAATGTGCAGATGATGGAGCATATGCTCGACTTGCAGACGCTGCAAATGCCCCCAATCGCCCAGAACCGATGTCAGGCAGATTGGCACCTAGGACACAAGCCAGCGTTCGCCGTACTCGACAAAGATTGAGGAATGATCACTGGTACGGGGCTTGGAGTATTTTCAGCAGTCGAGTCCACGACGTCGCCGGATTGGACCTCGACTTTTCAGACGATGACCAATCTATGGTCAGCTACAGGCGATCGCAGCGCCGAGTTGCAGAGGACACAAGAAGATTCAACGAGTGGCAACGGCGATTGAATATTGCTGGGCGCCAGGGAGCTCGCGATGTGTTTCGCGCTGCGGCACCGCCGAGACTTCGTGACCGAACCCCACCAACTCCAGTTGAATCAGTGGAGGAAACTAAGGCTTGGGGTGCATTTGAAAAGGCAAAGGAGATGGATACTGCGTCTCCCAAAAGCCGAAAAAGAAAGTCTCGGTCGGCCACCGGCTCGCCTGCTGAGAAGTCACCTCCCAGAGAACCCGAGCGCAAGCTGAAGCGACCGAGGACCCGCAGAATATTGGACCAGCCAGCATCATCGTCTTCCGCATCGCCAGTCATCACAAGCTCAAGCCGGCAACCTAATGGCCGTGACCGCCCATCATCCCCAACCTCTCGCATACTCAATGACGCGAATGGAGAACCATCCTTCTTGTCGTCGCTCCTCAAGGAAGTCGAAATGGCCACGACGTCAGATGATGACACTGCAAGGTCTGCCTTCAGCGCAACCACAGTCTCAGGACCCAACCGAGTCACCAGCCCATCCCTCGACTACTCATCTCCTGCTGCATCGCCAGCTTCCTCCTCCTCGTATCCTACACCTCGAGCCATGTCAATCACCCCGCCGCCACACATCACCAAGCGACCTGGTTCGCCTCTTCCACTTACATCTCGGGTCGAACCTATCTTCCCGCCTGCAGATTACTCCCCAAATCGCTCTCCGCCAGAAGCCAATCACGACCGGTCCTCCCCCATCACTGAACTTCGTCAACCACGACCGAGAAGACAAAGACCTGTAGCACTACCACGCTCGCAAGACACTTCACCTGTACGTGCAACCATGTCTATTGAAGCCAAGGAAGGCATCAATAAGATCGTCAAATCTGCTTTGGCACCCCATTGGAAGTCCGCCGAAATCACCAAAGAACAATATGCCGAAATCAACCGCGATGTTTCACGAAAGTTGTACGAGCTTCTCGTCGATCGCAATATATCCGACGAACGAGAGAAATGGGCATGTGAGAAGATTGCTACGGCCGAAGTAGCAACTGCTGTAAAATCACTGATGGCTTGAAAGAGATAGCGACGATATAATGCATTTATGACACTCGGCGAACACGGACGGTTCATTCATTTCGGGGGCTCCTGGCGCAAAGAACTCAGATACCCGGTATACGCATTCAATTGGTTTTGGGGGATCACCGGTGTTACGCATGTAAGATGGCTTGAGTGCTGGAGATAGCAGTCTCTGGGACTGGATATTGAAGGACCAACTGCGGCGTTACTTTTGCTGGGATTTATGTTCGCCTGGCATTTGCAAGATCCTGCTTGCTTGCATGGTCTTGCAATATGATTTTGATAGAGAAATCAATTCAGAGAGATTATACCATACAACTTGTGATTGAAGTAAGTGAAGTGAAATATAATCCCATTATGATGCAACAAAAATTGAGAAGAGAAAGTGGAGATTACATATGCTGCTCGGAAGGGCAGCACGCCGCTTAGCGCATGCTCCGTACTTGAGCCTGGATAGGTCGAAGGAGGGCAATTAACAAGTCGAGATGCAAGAAGATGTTCGAGTAAAACATCTTCGGGCATGTCTCCTGCCCTCGTGCTGCGCAGAATCCAATGCCAATACGCTCCCATCAGAGCACAGAGCATCAGCTCTCAGCGCCACCTGCGATCAATCTCCTCGCCTTCCTTCCATCAACCTCGCCCTCGCCCCCATAGTCCCCAACCCTACCCTCCACCTCATCCACTTCACGCGTCTACAACAAATGACGATGGAAAGAGGAATGTTAACAGAAGCTATCTAACAGTTCCCGTAAGACGTAGGTACCGCTAGCGAAAATAAGCCTGGATAGATCACTCTAGGCACCGATAAATGATCAGAACGTTCTGGGGTGAAACGGGGCCTGATGATAAGGATTTGGTGTCTTGGTGAAGATCCAAAAGCTTTTCGCGTGAGAAATTTCGAGGTGGGCGAGAGCGCGCTAGCGTGGCGGGCTGTGATTGGTTGGATGTTGGAGGTCAAGTTATGTCAGCAGCTGGAAATTATTTTGGGGAGCACCGGACGAGACGAGAGGTTTAGAGAGATCCAGAGAGGAATTGAAGAAGAGGGAATAGGGAAGCTTGAAGAACAAGATGACGGCAAGCAGTAGAGGGAGCAGAGCTGCTGCTTCTGTTCTCCGTGAGTGTCCCATCCCCATATTGACCAAAAGAACATTACTCACAAGAAACAAAGGATCAACCTCCTCCCGACCAAGACAACCCATCTGCGCATCATGCTCCCACTTCCAGCCCTCAAGACGGACATACGCCGTCGCAGCAGCATCCCTCAAGACCCTTGACAACACGCCTAACTCCGAACCTCCTCAAGTCAAAGCAACACCCCCCGTCACAGCCTCAACACCGCACTACACAACGAAAGCCGGCATCCTGCTCACCCGCCCACCGCTCCTTACTCCTCCGTTGACATCGTTTGAGAAGGCGTATTTCTTCTACCAGAAACGATTAAATGAACGGCTCGCTTTGCCGTTCACGAGATACTTTTATTTCAAGAAAGGCACGCCCGCCGACACGGACTGGAAGATCAAAGCTCGAGAACGGAACGGTGTTGCGGCGCGGGAGCTGGGAGGATATAGAGCGTATGGCGAGGAGGCGTGGAATGACGAGTTGCTCGTTAATGACCTCGAGCAAGAGAGCGGGGAAGGGGAGGGCAAAAGTAAAGGGAAAGGGTTAGGCAAGATGGGCCTCGCAGAGCCGAGACACGTTGTTGATAGTCTGGTGAAAGAGGCGCGGGTTCGAGCGATAGAAGGGAAAGATGGCGCGGCCGTGGAGGTGCAGGAGGGAGATGAGGTGCATGTTGATACGAATGTTGACCAGCCGCTGAAGCGCTGGACGGACGCGGATCGCAAGCGGGATGTGAGGAGGCTGGATAGGCAGCTGGCGCGGACGCTCTACTTACTTGTCAAGAGGGAGGGAGGAGGGTGGGGGTTTCCGGCTGGTGAGCTTGTTGGGAGGGAGAATTTACATCAGGTTTGTTATATGCCTCTTCTTTCCAAGATGCAGAGATGGCGGGGCTAATGGGATGCAGGGCGCGGAACGAATACTCGTCCAGACTGCGGGTGTCAACATGAATACCTGGATCGTTGGACATGTCCCAGTCGGGCACCATATCATCAATCCACGCTTCCATCCCGAATCGGGAGACCTCGAGAAGCAGGGAACCAGAACGTTCTTCATGAAAGGACGGATCATGGCTGGACAGGCGAATCTGGAGGGGAATATGTTTGGACTGAGCGATTTCAAGTGGTTGACGAAGCAGGAGGTGCAGAAGCATGTTGCTGATAAGTACTGGAGTTATGTGAAGAATATGATGGCTGATAGATGAGCCGAGAGGGAAGCGAGGCTTGTATAAATAAAAGGGAGCGGGTATAGCATACTGAACGGTGGGCATTGTATTGTAGGTAGAATGTATCAACTCCGTTGGAACATTGAGTCTCCAACTTCTTCATTGAGTCGATGTTCTTTCCGGATTTGAGTTGGTTATGATTATGTGCAACGTTCGGATCATTCGTGACTTTCTCTTTTGCAATGTAATCTTACCATTGCCTCCAAGTTGGTTGAGCAGTTATTAAATCCAATTTTTCAAAGCTTATCCTTCACTTATTCATTTGCAATATACGGTACTCCCCGGTTCAATCATTGACCCTTTGTAAATATATTGTACCAACACTTCAAACTTCATAGTATCATATATATCAATTTGCATTGTACCACAATTCAAATAAACTTTCCTCTATTGTCTATGACTATGAGCCTTCTCTGCCATCATCAGACTAGACGAAGGCTATGCAATCCACTCCGTATCACCAGTAACGCCACGCCTGAATGCACCACGCCAGTCATGAACCATCAAAATCCTCAGTCGTCCTCCCCATCGCCCTCCTCACCTTCCTCAGCAATATCGGGACTCGCCAGGTCGCAGACTCCCCCCTGAACAGAGTTAACACGAAGCTTGTTGATATAGACATCCCAGAAACGGTCGTCTATGTCGGGAATCCATTGCTGCACCTTCGGTTCGGTGGCAGCGAGAGCGGCCTCTTCATCGGTGTCGCTGATGATGGTAGCTTTGGGGTTGAGCTGTGTTGCGTGGTAGGAAGGGGGTAGGCTATCCTGCATGGTCATTGAGCCCAGGTCCGTGTCTAGGAGGTGTTGAGGCTGTATGTACTTGGGGGCCAGTGCGGGAGCGGGAGAGGGGGCCTTGACGGGGACTTCTGTGTTGGGGGACTTGATGGGGATAGCGAAGGAAGGGAGTGCGGCGAGGGAGTTGGCCGGCTTAGCAGTCATAGCAGACATGGAATTCATAGCGACCGTGAGAGCCTTGGGATCGGCGAGTGCGCCGCCGCCGAGACTGGTGTCCATGGTATTGCTTTGTTTCTTGAAGGATGTGCCTCCTCCGAGGTGGGAATTGGTAGTATTAATTTGCTTTTTGGCGAGTGCGGAATGAGAGCCATTGTTGTGACGGCCAACGCGACGAGTATTGATATTTTGGATCTTCTTCGGCGAGGCAGAACGAGGCTTGAGAGCTGCACCGCCGCCCGTAGAGGAGTCGGACTCATCATCAGAAGGAAAGTTCAATCCACCCGAGTAATGGACCACAGTGGATTCAACGTCGAAAGAAGAGTTGCCGTCGAAATCATCGTCGTCCGAAGAGATTGATGGCTCGTAAGCGGAGTACAACTTAGCAGACAACTTGACGAAGAGTTCGGCTGTCATCCAGGAGTCGAAACCAGCTTCGTGCTCCTTTCCATACGCAGCGCCGTAGGCCGTATGCTCTTCGTGCAGAACGATGAGCGGGACATGGACTTTCTTGAAGGGGTCCAAGAGGTCCTTCAAGTTTGCTCGAGGATTCATGGCGTCGGTGTTGTGGGTCGCCAGGTATTTAGTATCGATTACCACGGGGAAGTGTTCATGGACCATCTGTTGAAAGTGACCAACTTTTGCTGGAGGAGCACCAATGAAGGTCTTGTAGATAAATCCCAGATCCATTAATAAATTATGGCCCACAATGACGTGCTTCTTGCGCATTAAAGTTGAAATGATCTGAGCAAGCTCCTTCTTGATGGCCGGTAGTTGATCTTTGGGGTTGTCACTAGTCTTGCTCGCGAACCAGTCAGGATCGATATCGGAGAGATCACCACCAACCAAAGCCTCGAAGATCCATCTCAAGCCTGTGGTTTGTGAGAAGCAGATACCAATACTGGGAGAGACTACATACCTTTTTGCTTCGCAATCTGGTCGTTGAATCCACGGAGCTTCCTAAGTTGATACTGCAAAATGTTAGAAATGCTTTGGGGACTTGTTCTTGATGATCGGAATGCGTTACCTGCGCTTCCTTCTCGTCGTCGACTTCCGTAATTTGCATGAATGTCCCGTCCTTGCGGGCCTGGGCTTGAAGTGTGGGGAACTCATTTCGTACCAGCTGATAGACCAGACGGCGCTGGAAGCCATTCAGAGCCACGAGATTACCGTCCGGGTGGCTGATATTGACGAAGTCAGCCTTGGGCTGCTGAGGGTCAGCAAGGATTTTCATTGTTGAAGTACAAGGACAAACCTTTCGGGTCTTGTGCCACATAGTGATCGTTCGACGGATACCGCGATAGAAATCCAGCGTAGCGCTGTCATCCGAGGCGATTGTGATATTCTCCATCTTTGCCTTCTTATCGGCTCGCTGGTTGAACTCCTCGCGACATTCATATTCCTCATCACGAGACATATATGGAACTCCATCGCTGAAGACCTTGCCGAAACTGAAGTTGTTTTTAGTAAGAAAATCACATGCGCTACTTGAGAATGAGAACACGCGATCGAGTTTCAGATCAACACCCTCGGCAGACTTTGGGCTGACGTAGAAGTTGTAAGGGCGGGCCAGGTAATACTCTGTGAGAGAAGTGTCAGCGTTCGAGTTAAACAATGGTGACCAAGTCAGCACATCAGACGGAACTCCACAAAGGAAGACCAGCGAAGAAAGAACATCAGCGAAAACAATTCTCTGTCCATCCGGAGGCACTGTTGACAAGTCGAGATGGATACCACTGAAAGTGGATTCTCATTGTGGAGATTCTCATCCGTGGTGTGTTCCACCCAGCTGATGATGGACAGGCACAGTCAATGGAGGGGACATTTGGGGGACAGCTTACCTTTTTCTCGATCCTCTTCAACACAAGTAAGACCCATCTGGAGAATCTGGAACGTCTCCGCTGCGCTCTTAATCTCGTCGTATTGTTGTTGGAGCGTAGCTTTGCCAACATCATATGTGCGGTCACCTGGTTTGGGTCTCGTCGAAATTCCACTCATCTCGAGATCGAACGTAACAAAGCTGGCATTTGCAATGCTCCGCAAGATCCCCAGCAACTTCTTCCGGTATTGGGAATGGTCGATATCCATCGCTGCGAGGTGGTGGTGGTGTTGGTGATGTCACAAGTCTGTTGTTGTCGAAGTTAGCAAAGGGACGATGCAAAATCGAAAGTGAAGGGGTTTTGGTGAAGATGCGACAAGACGACAGGTCAAGAACTTCCTTTGTGTGTTGGTCTCGTCGCAATTCGCAAGTTCAAAATTGTGTCTTGGGGTTGCGGACGGAAATAAGACTTACATTTGTTGAAGTTGGATGGTTGAGGGAAGGAAGCAAATTGGGTTCAAGAGATCTGAAGAGCTTTTGCTGTGCACTGAGCGCGGAGCTAAGCCCAACGAGGACGAGAGACAATCACCTTAACTCCAATCCTCTGAAATAATGTCGACTTGCAATAAAAATTGGCAAGATGCAGCTGGTTCTTGGCGGAAGGCAAAGGAGAAAAGGAAATAGTCCACGGACGGTGCCCAACTATCTATCAATAACCAGACGAGCTACTCTCATCCTATCCCTCTTACAAAGGAGATGAGAAAGAAGATTACAACTTCGACCACGCAAGACTTTCAGCAATAGTGCACTTTGACATCAGGTGAAAACTTCACCCAAAGTACAGCAACGAACAAGGCAACAAGCAAGCTGGACGAGAACCAGCGGACCTTAAATCACGGAAGTACAGCAGCACTCGCACCGTTTGCACTCCTCCTTAGCCATCAGTTTCCTTGTTGTCAAGTGATGTGTCTGTCCATCTGTTTGGTGTTGATGATAGTTTGTTCAGCCTCGCCCGCCTTGCATGATCAACAACACTTTGCACAACTGCCATTAGCTTGAACTGCGACTCCCTGTTGTTTGCATAAGGTTCTACGCTAGGCACGTAGTGACGATCGTTCAGCCAATCGGCGGGTTACAAGCTATGTGCCGAGGTCCTCAACATCGAGTCCGTGACTTTCACATTCGCGAGATCACGAAACTCCATTCCAGCTCTTCAGCGCCCCCCTTTCCTTTCTTCCTTCTCTTCAATTCTGGCAGCAAGGTCACGATCAGCCATGACTTCCAACGGCTCCATCGCGACGACGCTTGCTCCAACACGGGAGACGCTCTCCTCATCACAACTCCTCTCCTCCTCGATATCGTCCCTCAACTCCTCCTCGACGCGGCAGGCCTCCTCCCAGATCTCCAAAATCTACAGACAAGCATCAACACTCTTCCTGACGCGTCGCCTCCCCGAATCCCTCTCTACCATCCTCCCCGTCATCACCCCACCTCCTGCCGACGACACGAACTCACATGCTGCCCCCGAGCCCGCGCCCATTGCACGAGCAAGCCGCAACACAAGAATAAAGGTGTGGAGTCTGTACCTGACAATCCTGAATGCAGTCGTCGAGCTGGATCCAGACGAGGGGAAGCAGGCGTTTGGGAGCAAGGAGTGGAGGGGGCTGGTGAGCAAGGTGCGAGATGGGGATGTCTGGGAGGAGGTCGTCAAGAATGGATACGGAGGGGTCGAAGGGGACGTGGATTCTGATGTTGTGATAAATCTGTATTCCTCCCTTCTTTCTCTCCCTCACCCCTATCTCTATACACTAAACTGACAATGGCACCAGAGCAACACTCCTCCTCGCCCACGCCCGCACCCAAAAGACCAACCAACAGCGCCTAGAAAACTACCTCGCCAGCTCCACAACCCCAAACCTAGACATCTCCTCCCGTCTGCAAACTCCTACCTCCCCCTATCCACGATCCCGGGGCGCCAGTCCAGTCAAAGGCTCTGGCACAGACACACCACGAGACCTCAACGCGCGCGTCAAGATCTTGGAACTCTACACATTACACGTTTTACTAAGGAACAACGAGTGGGACTACGCTCGAGACTTTATCACTATTTCCTCAGTGCTGGATGAGGAGAGGAGGGAAGCATTTTTACAGGCCTTGCAGAGTTTACAGGAAGAGCAGCAAGAGAACGAGAGGAGGGAGAAAGAGGAGAAAAGGTATCAAGAGGAGCAGCTAAAGAAAGACATCGAGGATGCACGAAGACGTCGGATAGAGAATGAGGAGCGGGAGAAGCGGATAGAGGAGGAGAGGAAGAAGGAGAGGGTGGGAGGGAGTGAGGTCGATTATGGCGTTGAGAACTCGCCGCCCAGGCCGGGGAGCAGCAAATCGCGGTCGAGTGTGAAAGGTGGTTCAGCCAAAGGGAGCAGATCAATGCCTTCATCTTCGCCAACAGCGAGGTGTTCTGTCCCAGCGAAGAATATCAAGATCCCGTCGAGCTTAATGACCAGGGCTAGCAACGTAGTCATGAATTTGAGGAAGTTGGTGGAGAGTATGGCAGGAGGGTTTAAGACAAGACCGATGCTTCTGATGCAGATGCTTGCGTTTGTGGTGGGGGTCTTGGTACTGTTGTCCAGGAGAGAGGTCAAGGAGAGGGTGAAGATGATATTGGGGAAGGGGTGGTTGAAGGTCCGCCAGACGGCGGGAATGGGCGTTAAGGTTAGCTATATTTAATGACTCGATTGTACGATATTATTCCGTCTTGTATATAAAAGCATGGTACGGTGTTTTGGTCTATTCATCCAAATGGCTTTTTGAAATCATCACAGTGGCATGACATACGTGCAATGGCATATCTTGATTCATTTGTTCGCTTCATCGCTCCGTGCCTCGGTATCAACATGCAGAACTCCGTTACCCATGATCCACATTTCCCTTTCCCATTCTCTTTCGTCTGGTCCTCACAAGTATTTCTTGGGCGCATTCGCTTTTCGTCTCTTGTACACCAGGTAACACAGCACCAACAACCCGTTGCTGCCTAGAACCACGAGCACGAACTTCCCTAGTCCTGTGCCCATGCTCGCTATTGTGCTTAACATAGCTGGAATCCTGTTAGCCATTTTCCCACCAGCTAGTAGAGCAAATGAAGATACTTACTACTATGCGTACTCCTAACTTCCCCTCTCAACCCGGCCACATGCCTGTCCAACGCATTATGCAAATCACTCTTCGTCTGCCTAACATCCGCCTGCACCTCCTCGATCTTCTTCGCCAACCTCTCGATCCGATCAAGCGTGTTGTCCATGCGTACAATATGCCCCATCATCTCCTCTTGTCTGACTTGCGCTTGCTGGGAGTGCAGATCGCTCGTCTTGTGCACGGCGTTGATGTTCCGCATCAGGGACTGCAGTCTGTTATGCAAATCTGAGAATTGCTCAGCCGAGCTTTGATACTGGGAGGCGGGGGCGTCAGGAGGGTCGGAGAAAAGGTTGTCGTTTGGTGAGGTGCCTGCGTTCTTAGCTTCATTTGGGGTTGGGATCTGGTTTGTAGCTGGAGGAGGCGACATCCCGGCGTTCTGGACACCGGCATTGGGGTCTTGGATGTCGGGCGTGTGAGACTCGGTCGTAGTGACAAACTTGAAGACTTCGAAGGAATCAGGGTTCTCTGCGCTGGCGGCTGTGATGCCGAAGTTGTAGCCAAGGGGGAGCTTGATCTTGCTGGATTCGAAGCAGAGATTTCCGTCGACCTCGACACGGAACATGTTGTCTGAGTGCTTGAGCATGATTCGTGAGGGACGCCCGAGGTTGCGGAAGGAGTAGTCGCAGTGCCCAAACGCCAGGGAGTCGACGCTGTGGTGGTGACTGTAGTCTGTTGTTCCGTCGTTGAGGAAGCCTCTTATGAAGCCAGCCTGGTTCTTGAGTTAGCATTCCTCTTGGACTTGGGGAGGGGAAGGAAGCTTACGGATCCAGCGTACTGGTCAATAACCAGTGCTAAACCATCGAAGCGTCCAACTGTGTATATGCTGCTCGTCCCCATATCGTTCTGCCCGTTCTTCGCGTACCATACCTGCAGATTCCCTCCTCCTCTCTCTGGGCCCGTTGCCCGGAAATCCACATCTACCGCCCAATTCGAGTGCAGCAGAGGCTTTTCTGTCCATATGGCCCCGCGCACATTCCCTGGGTAGGGAGGCGTAAGGACCAGCTTGTCTTTCAGGATATCCGGGGCGTTGGGTTTGCCAAGGAGATGCCAGTTAGGAACGGCGCGTAAGTTGGGAGAGATGCTGTTCAAAGGTCAATCAACTGGGAAAAGAGAAGGAATAGTTGAAGGGAGGAACTTACTTGCCATTATGCCCAAAGCTTAAGTCGTTACTGAGGTAGGAAGCTTGCGCATAAGCAAAGAAGATAGTAGCAGCAAATGACGAAAAAGGCGCCGTCCAATACATCTTGCTCTCTCTTAATCCCTGGACCAAAAGAGAAGGAATCCCTGAAGCTCAGCAGAAATCAAGACGAAAGACAGAGAAGCAAAATTCTTTTCATGGGTGAAGCTTTTTCGAGGGGTATTTGCTTGCTAAGTGCCGTCTTCTGTACCTCGCCGGCTGTTCTTGAGGACAGCTTGCAGCGACACTCTCGCAATATCACCCACGCAATATATCACAACCGTGGCAAGTATCAGTTTCGCGAGCGGCCGTCCCAATGCCGTGATCGAGGGCCCGATCTCGAGCGTGAACTTGTGCGAGACGAAGTGCTTGACTACGATTTCAGAGGGTACGAAGGCAGCGTCCATAGCAGGCTGGGAGTATTTACAGGAGGGAAGCTGTGGCGGTGGGCCAATGAGGCGCTTGCAGCCCCTGTCTCTGGTGCAAGGCTACGCGGCGCGGCGCAGCTAGCTGGGGGTGGAATTTAGAGGCCAGACGCGTGGGCGGAACGAGATGCATCTCCCCTAACATCAAGAGAAAAGACAGCAGGAGGAGATGTCTCAATGGCAGACCTGTATCCCTCGATAGCCCAATGTGCGATCGTGGCCACTGCCTTCAAAGTGCTGCTCTTCCCAGCCTAGTACGTTTTCTTCCCGCGCGAATTGATCAACATCTGATGAAAGAAGCAAATCCACAGATTTCGAAGTCCATAGGAATTGGCTGGCTATCACGAACAGCTTGCCAATTCAAGAATGGTACTTCGAAAAGACTTCGGAATGGACACTCGATTACCCGCCGTTCTTTGCGTACTTCGAATGGTTCCTCTCGCAGTTCGCAAAGGCGATGGATCCGGCGATGTTAAGGGTGTATAATTTGGAATACGAGAGCTGGCAGACGGTATACTTCCAGAGAGCGAGTGTGATAGCCACCGAGCTGGTTCTGGTGTATGCGCTGCACCTGTAAGTCGTGTCTGTAGTATTCAAGGCCATCTCGCTGATTCCCAAAGCTTCGTTCAATCTGCCCCGCCAGCCTTCAAACGTCCCTCCCACGCCGCTGCCCTCTCGATCCTCCTCTCCCCAGGTCTCTTGATCATCGACCACATCCATTTCCAATACAATGGCTTTATGTACGGTCTACTGATTCTTTCTCTCGTCCTAGCGAGGGATAAATCGGCTCGCTTGGCCAGTGGACTACTCTTCGCCGCTCTTCTCTGCTTCAAGCACATCTACCTCTATCTAGCCCCGGCATACTTCGTCTACCTCCTTCGCGCATATTGCTTAGGGCACAAATCAATCTTTCAAGTCAGATTTGGGAACGCTGTGAAGCTCGGGACTGGGATAATCGCCATTTTTGGAGCAGCCTTCGGACCATTTGCATTCTGGGGACAAATACCTCAGTTGTTGAGCAGACTGTTCCCCTTCTCTCGTGGTCTTTGTCACGCATACTGGGCCCCTAACATCTGGGCGATCTACTCTTTCACAGATCGCCTTTTAATATTCAGTAGATTCCCCTTCCCTCCTTTCTGACACCTTCTGACAATCATCCAAGTTGCGCCCCGCCTCAACCTTCCCGTCAATGAGGAAGCGCTCACAAGTGTAACCCGCGGCCTCGTCGGAGACACCTCCTTCGCAGTCCTGCCCGAAGTAACAGCAAGAACAACTTTCGCTTTAACCCTCCTCTTCCAAATAATCCCACTACTAAAGCTCTTTTTCGACCCAACCTGGGAGACATTCATCGGCTCTGTCACCCTCTGCGGCTACGCATCCTTCCTCTTCGGCTGGCATGTCCACGAGAAAGCTATCCTGCTCGTCATCATTCCATTCTCGCTCATCGCACTCAAAGACCGCCGATACCTAGGCGCTTTCCGCCCGCTCGCGGTTGCTGGCCATGTCTCGCTCTTCCCTCTTCTGTTTACGGCAGCCGAGTTTCCTATCAAAACAGTGTACACAATTTTTTGGCTCGTGGGGTTCTTGTTAGCCTTTGATCGCCTGGCGCCAGCGAGCAATAAACCGAGGGTGTTCCTGCTGGATCGCTTTAGCACGTTGTATATTGCGGTCAGCATCCCGTTGATTGTGTATTGTAGTCTGTTACATGGAGTTATCTGGGGCAGCAGGCTAGAATTTCTCCCGTTGATGTTTATGAGTAGTTATTCGGCGGTTGGAGTTGTTGGAAGCTGGGTGGGGTTCTTGGTGGTTTTCTTTACAAGTTGATGGACTGCGTGAGATTGAAAGCGACGTGTGTGTTGCTCGAATGATACCCTTCATGTGTTCGCTTTACTTGTCCTTGCATTGTGAAAACCCCTTGCCCTGCTATGGCCTGCTATCGATACCTCGCCTTAGTGGTCGTATCCTAGCCACATATTTGTCGTCTTTTCTGAGCAGGAAATCCTGTCCGAATTGACCGAGGCAGAGCAAATCGGGCTGGCGGTGCCAAGTAGCCCTGCGCCCGACTTCACATAGGTAAATCTTGTTGTTCTCTCCAAAATTACAACAGCCAACTCAATGGAGCAATAAGTGCAGCTACCTGGGCTGTCTTTCGGGCTTCACAGGCTCAAAACATGTAACGCAGGAAAACCAAACTGCTCGGAGAAAGAGTATCTTTCGGACGTACTTCCCACTCTCCAGGGAAGAGCCTACACTCCTTTGCTGCTGGCCACACAATGGCACCTCCGCAAAGCTTATCAGCTGCCATCTCCCACGTTCTTGTCATCTTCGCCTTGATTCTTCCCGAAGCCTACGCCGGTGGCACAGTCTCCCTCACCAAAGCACCTGCCTTTTTCTACCGTGCGACTTTATGTGCAGGCCTGCATCAATTGTGGCGAATACTGGCTTCTCAATTGTCCCGATGGAAGCAATGGAGCACGCCATCGTAGTTGTAGTAAGTATCATGGCATCGAAATCAGATTCGTCGACACTGACGACAAGCATGAGTGAGTGGCCTCTGAAAATGATGGTCGTGCTAGTGCGCGCTGCTCTGGTGCTCAGCGGTGCGGACTTGCTTTGGACATGAGTATGAATGTGCTGACGCAAACATAAGCAATTACTTCCTCTGTGACTCCAATCTCGTCTTTTGCAATTCATTCAACGCTGGCAGTACCGGGGTCAGGAGCTGGGACTTTCTGCAACTGGAGGGAGTGGGGGCGGCATCGGTGGATTGTCATCAAGCGAGAAGATCACAATTGGTTGTAGCATTATAGGAGTCGTACTTGCATTCCTTGCACTCTTCGTGGGGTGAAGATGGTGACACCGCTGGGAGATATTTCATCAATGATATTGCCTAGTTGCCAACAAATACAATATGTTATCCCGTAAAGTTCTAACAATAACTTCTTTTAAACCCAAATCTCATGACTTTTGACGGACAACTTCGACATGCTTCTGTTATGGGTGTAAATAAACTTATATCAGGATCTGGGATATCAGGACTTTTTTCATGCACGCAATACCAAGATTTCAAGTGTTGGATCAATTTGATTTTTTCAAAGATCTAAACGAATGGGTATTGTGCGTCGAACTAGATACATGTATTAGATGAGATATTAAACATTAAGTCTCGGCCAGCCGCCATCCTCATTATCCAGACTCCTCGCTCTTACTCCCCACTTTTCATTAACAAGCGATCTGCCTCTGTCCACTGAACCAAGCGGTTCCCCCTTTCACGCCCCTCAGGAACCCTAAACCGTCTGCTCATCAGCAGCAACGGGAGCCGGAGCCGCCTTCTCGTGCTCAACGAGATCGGGACCCTGGGCAACACGCCCATATTGCGTGAAGTAGAGATTCATCTTGCGGTAATCCCATCTTGAGCTCAGCACAATAATGCCAAATGCCAACACGGGAACAAGAAGCACATCGAGGATGCCGAAGAAGACAAATCCATCAGTAACCGTAATCTTATTTCCGCCGTCATCAAGACCATAGGCGATGGGGTACAGGAGCCAGAGGAAGACGGCCCAGCCAGCGAGCATCGTGTAGTGGCGATGGACCTCCAGACGCTTGGCCGTGATAAGGCCGGTGCCAAAGAGGGAGGCGGCGAGGAGGAAGTAGGCGACTATGCCGTAGGCGAAAAAGCCCCATTTATAGTTCGTCGCGGTCATGGCGCCGGAAAGCCAGGACGCAACCCAGGTCCAGCTAAGAGCGACATTGAAGGCGATGGTTGCCCAGCTGACGCCGGAGATAAGGCCCAGGGCAATGACCAAAGGGGTCCAGCCCACAAACCTTTAACAGGACATCATCAACATGCTGCTGTAAGGTGGAAATAGGAAGGGGGAGAAGAGCATACCAGTTGATATACTTGGGATAAAAGATCTCCCGGAATCCAGGCGAGGAGAGGTTGTCAGAAATATGGACGGCAACAATACCGAGATCAGAAGCCATAGCGAAGTATGCGATAGCACCGGTGAACAGAGAGATCGTGAACAGGTAATGGAAGATCCTTTCACCGCTCTTGGCGAAGTATGTCAGGCCGACGACGACGAGGAAGGAAAACGAATAGATGGCACACACAGCCCAGAGCCAGTCTGAACCCCCAACAGTGAGGTGTCGGTTGCCGACTGGAGGATTGATGTTCAGAGCATCATTGCTGCGAGTGAAGAGACTCATCTTGATTGGTTCTTCGCGTTGTGTAGGCTGAGTAAGTATGTGATACAATTTTAGGAGAGGGTTGTGATCTCTGAACACGTAAGGAGGGGAAAGGCTGCAATTATATAATTTCCACCAGATGGGAAAATGGCCGAGTATTGGTGGGCATCACATAATGAATCATCGGAATTCGGCATCTGGGAGACAGGCAAGCCTTGCCGGGAAAAACTCTTGACTGGCTTACTTTGCATTTGGCCCTCGAGACACAGCGAATCTCAATGATTGGAAACCACAGAACTTCCTGGGCGAGTTTCATGCTGGGGAGCTCCACAATCAGACGATGAAGGGCGGTAGCTGTGGCATGTGGGAACATGTGATGAAGCTATTCAGGAAATCATGGCGGCCAATCTGCCTCCGCGTTGAACGGCACTGAAGCACAATTCGTCGGAAGCGACGGTGAGATGCTGGTAAGATGATCTGAAAAATTCTTTCTTGATCTCTGAGGTTCTTGGGGCTGGGTCTCCGAGCTTTCCGAACCCTCTCTGTGGGCACGGGATCGCAAAATCAAGCCACGAGGGAAGTTGATTGGCATTAGCTTAGATGCCGGCATAAACGCGAGCAAGCATTACTAATGCCGTCCAAGGGTTTCTGAGCATATTGCAACCTCGTTCGAGGGTTCGCAGTATCTGCGGCGGCTCTCATTCGATGCAACGCGACGATCAACAAGTAGGAATAAATGCTCCGGTTCTTCCGGCACTTCACTTGATGCCCTGTCTCTGTGTATGCAGTGTGACGAGGTCGAGGGAGTAGCGAGAGGTTACACAGAAACCTTCTGATTGCCTCGTGTCGATGGAGCACGAAAATGTGGTGATTGTGGCGAACACCTTTCTCATCGATCGGCAATTGAAGTATCGAAATTAGGCGGTGTTACCAACTGTATTACGCAAAAGGGTTTCGTGAATTGGAGATGGATGATCTGTCAGATGGAAATTCCATCTCGTAAGGGGAATGATCGAAGGTACATTGCAGTGGATGATATTCTCGATGCGAAAGAAGTGCACATTTCATGTTCGGCAGCCTCAAGCGTGATGGAGTATACCGATATCACCAGTTTTCAGTGACTTTTGAGGACACCGAATTCTCGCCCCACCACCACCACCCCCGTGACCCAAGCTGCAAGATTACCCCGCCAAGTGCTGACCGAACCTAACCGAGACAAAAAGGGGGACCGTGCGATCACATAACAACAGAAATTTAGACCTGGTGGACCGAGGGTCTAGAACCCCGGTAAGACGTTACGTGAAACCTCGATGTGAGGATACCGAAATTGTCCCCAAAAACTAAGGATATACCGAGGTATCCTTATAACGAGGTGTGGCACACAGCAAAATCAATCCCTGCGGGGCTAGCAGATGTATCCTTATATCGAGTATCCTTATATCGAGTATCCTTATATTGAGTATCCTTATAGCGAGGTTCCACTGTACTGCCCATGGCCGCTTTCCCTTCCAATACTAACAAGACTCTTTCCTCTTCGGACACCGCTGAGAAGCTGGAATACGCGAAGAGCGCGAAAGCATGACCTATCATCATTCAACTTTCACATTCCTAACGTTCTTCGCATAAATCCCCTGTCTCCTCAAATGCCACTTTTATAAGAGCAGCCAGCTCTCAGCTCTCGCGCATATCATACCGATCTCAAACCCTCCGTCTAATCAATCAAATCTGTGGACCAACTCCGAGCCAGGACTTCGGACTCCCAGAATAAATGATTTAGTTAAGTCGACTTTTACGGCGCCGCGCCCCGAGGTTGCTGGAAGGACTTCGCCATTTTTTTAAAATTCTGTGCCGTAGTCTTCAAGCTCCAACTCGCACTTAATATCGTATTTCTTTAATCGCTTTCCCAAGAAACGGGGTGCTCGACAGAACTCACCTCGCGCGTTCTCTTTTATAGGGAGGTCTTTATTTGGATATGAGTAAGGGGCGCGAAAATTCTCTTTGCTGAGATATGATAGTACCCCCAAGGGTCATTATCTCATCCGGAGTCTTCCAAGCTTTGTGGTCCATTCCTAGGTGAGCTTGGATTTGTAGACAACGAAGTTGTATGTTTAACAGAGGAAAGTAATGCGGAACTGCCGTTTTCTTCTATCTCACTCAACGAGGATCTTTTCGATTGGCATTAGACCTGCAAAAGCACTCCTTCCTCCCACCTGTTTAACACATTTCAGATCCTCAGCTGCCGCGGGTAACAGAAATCATAGAGTTCATTCCGGTTCTTTTGGGAGAGTCTATAAGCATGATAATACCGGTAGCTGGAAAGACTAATGCAGTTAAGGTTTTGATGCTCGTCAACGGTGTAGTCTACACTTGGAATATGGAGGTGGCGCACGGTGGCGATAGCAAAGGGCAATTACTTGGCAGCGGGGTGCTCAGAATCGGGGAGTGTAACCGGTGAACACGTGTAGCGCACCGCGCAACGTTTCGAATCACTCTATATCCTTTGAAATTGCACATAAGACTCTTCAAGCGAGAATCACTTGCAATTAAGTCATGAAAAAAAGTCGATCAAGAAGTTGGAGATTGGAGGTCCTCATTTAGAATGCCAAGCTGTTTTGACTCACTTTATGTTATCTGACATGGCAACTTCGCCGTTTCTTTGCCTTAGCGTGTAAGTACTCTCCTCACTGCAATTCTATTAGATCACGAGTGGATATGAAGTTACAGTTGGCTCCTTGTCTATCCGACAAGTCCATTTACCCTCTTTACTAGAATACTCTCACAACACGAGTTTGCAGATACAGCGTTGATTGACTGCTTCTATGTTCGACAAGTTTACTCCTCCTTTCCTATCATCGTATAGAAGTGGCAAAGATGAGATACAATTCAATATAAAAGGCTCTATGAACAGTATAGTAGGAATTATTAAAATTACTCACCTCAATCCTGTCAAACTCAGACGAGTCTTTCCTCCTATCAGCACTCCTGCTTTTCAGAATGATGCAATCGCGCTTCCTTACTCTCCTGTCCTCCCTTTTGGCAACTGGGGGTACGTATATCTTCCTTCCGATGCAAATTTTCTTGTCATAATAATCTCTTTGTACCCACTGTTATATCTTCTCAGACGAAACATCCGTGCGGCTTCAAGAGCCGTCTGAGTTGAGCCAACATTCTGGGCTCTTCTGTTCCAACATAGATCAGTTCATCTGGTGCCACCATAGAGCTATTCAGTACGGGATTAGTTATTTGCGCGGAGTGCCCAGGTCGCATGGTATGGGTCCCGGCCCAGGAAACTTTTGTCGAGCTAGCTGTTCTTGCCAATCCGCTATTTGGTGCTGCAACGGCGTAAGACTTGCTTCTTCCATTGCTCCCTATTACGGAACATTAGTAGCTGACAGATGAACTGTACTTTAGAACCAAATTCTCCTTTTGGCCATCATGCAGCACTATCACCGATTGTCCTCAGGTGATACTTTAGGCGGATAGCTGTTAGAGATGGGAGGGAAAGGGTTCGGGCACTCCATGGTGAGATGCTCGGGGCCTTGCTTGCGTTGCATGGCTGTTTGGTACAGCGGCTCACAGTTGGCGACTTACCGCATAACTTTAATTGTGGTATAGGTTGTCAGGCAATGATATAAGGTTGGGAGCTTGTATCGGGTAGCGAACATTGTTGTCTCGGATCGACAGCATCAGCCAAGTGTTCTGCTCTTCTGTCAAGTTGGGACGAGGTCACCATGCGAGTTCTGAGGCATCGAGAACTCATACTCAAGCTCGCAAAAACTGGCAGGTGTGAACTTCCACAATCCGAATCCAACGTCAGTGCATCTATTGATGCGTGAGCTCAGACGAATTTATTCCGAGCAGATAATGTTGAAACACTGCTCCAGGAATCGCCCCTGGCAACAGTAATTATCCGATTGCAAAGTTCTCACGCGTTCGTTTCCAGTCCTAAAATAGGTGTTGATCACTCAGCCCGGTTTATTTCGATAGACTCTGGGTTGTAGAGGTTCAGTGGGGGTCTTGTGGATTTTTTTTGGTCGTCTGCTTCATTCTGTTTACGTGGGAGCGAGCATCTAGTTTTGGAGTGCGGATCGGAGCAGCATAGCTAGCGCTGAGTTTTGGGAACAGACCATCTACGATAGGAGTTCAGGATAGAGTGTAGATTGGGTGGATGTACAGAGAAGAGTGCAGCTATGTTACGCATTGTAATAGGCGTTAGTTTTAACCTTTGTATCATCTAGAATCGAATTCATTTCACCACAAATCGTCCATCAGCACGTGACCAAATCCTTCAAATCCCGCCCTCCGCAAACAGAGAGAATTTCCTGAAAACATTACGAACCCCAAGCAATTAGCTACGCGCCTCGCAGTTCATCAAACTTGCAAGCCTCCACGAATTGAATTCTCATGACTTGACTCACCATCCCACCTCCCTCCCTCAACTTCTTAAGGGCGTCCAATCCCAATCAAAAACGACGCCCTCAGCAGCGCTCCAAACACCAACGATCCATAATTAACCCACTCATCGCTATTCCAGCTTGCAAACTGCACAATTCGCTCCGGCGCAATCTCATACGCAGCATAAATATGCCCCACATCGCTCACCAACATCGCAGCCAGCACCGCCAAACAGACACTCTTCTCCTTCGTCAAACGAAGCGCGATACCTTCAATGATGGCAAACAGGCCGTAGAGAGCACCGATATTGAGGAGCATCATGCGGACGAGAGGCGTGATCGGGACACCAGAGGAGCCGGATGAGGCGGCGAGGTAGGCAGGCACTGGCATCATGGCGCTGAGGATGCGGTTGGGCTGGAAGATGCAGAAGTACATTCCTCCCAGGGCCGCGGGGGGCTCAACGTAGAGGAACCAGATCTTGTAAATGAGGGCGATGCGGCTGGTGAAGGAGGACTTTGGGGCCATGATGATTGACGGAACGAGGCCTTGAGTTGTGAGATGGCTTCTTGATGTGATGGATTGCGTTGAGTTTGATGGAGTTTGGAAGTCAGTTTGTGGTGTTTTGATGGATGGATGGAATAGATGGATGTGCAAACCTGTGAAGTTTTATCCTCTCGCGTTTGTGATTGTGGCTTGAGGCTAAATAGTCTGACATGCATCGATCGGACTTTGGCGTTTTCGGATGTTGCGTTAAAGTTAGGTCTAGCGACAGCGCTAGCCATAAAAGGAGGGTTTAGCCCCTGACATCGCTAATCCCCTGGTGAACTCATGAAGCGAGAAGTAAACATTGGGGTAGAAATTCTACTTCCCCTTAACTGAGGCTTCCATAAAAACATTTCTATATGAAATTTGTTTTCTTTTAGATCGAAACCGAAAAGTAGCTCTCTAGTTATTCTGATCAAGATCCCAAGCTCAATAAATTAACCAGGTTTTATGAATTAAAAGACCGCAAGACCCCCAGTCCTCATTTGCCACCGTTGAAACTACTTCTCAATCTCAGAGGTCTGAAGTTATTGAAGCTTATGCCATCTGCTGATTACAATGAACTAAGATTTAAAGAACCAAACGCTCAGCAAGTTAATATTGCCAAGACCATACGGTTTCTTGACAAGTACAAGAGCAATTTTGGAGGAAGGTCTCCGCTTGTAATCACAGGAAGCAAAGTCTCTGGAAACGTTGAGAAGATTATGAATCAGTGAAGTCTGTCGGATATACTGGGCTTGGGGAGGCTCGGGGGTTGTTAAATACTGAAAGAAGTCATTACTGAGGTCAACAGGAAAACGTCTTGATAGAGGTTTGAGCACTAGGGAGGGATTGACTAATGCTAAACTTAACACTTCCTTGATGAATAGATAACTTTAGTTTAGAGGGCAAGAATAGAATCATAGCTTGTTGCTCTCTCGTTGCAGGGGGGGGGGGGGGGGGTAAATTCTCATCGAAAGGATCAGTTACCCAAATTGCCTGTGATCGATCCAAGAAGTCTCGGAGACTTGATGTGATTGGAGATGAGGCTCACAGTGCCACCTGGTCTCTGGGGCAATGTCCAGGTGACGATGATGGAAGGATGCGGTGTCAATCTTGGCAGAGGAAGAAAGTTTATTAAAGGTTGTCGAGATTGATCTCAGGTGTAGTCTATAGCACGATTATATAGAATATTGAACATAACTCACTAAAACTTATAGCTAGCACATTCTCAGAATCCAGATTTGCAAGGCTAAACTTATGGATCTGTGATAAGAGAGCTAATTCACTAGAAGACGGTGCTCGGACTCTTAAATTCAAGGCATGCTACCTTTAGTGCTCCCAGAGTTCACCTTCACCCCTATTCACAAGCCCCCTAATGGCATATCTGTATAATAATACTCTTGGATATCAAGCCTCGGACTCCTTTGCTCTTTCACTGGCCAGGACTGGAATATTTCCCTCAAAGTTCTCCCGATTAGCCTTGAAAAGGCCCATGATCTGCAACATAACGTGTTCCTGCCGGCTCTCGTAACACTTGCCAAGTGCTGGTATACCGAAGGGACAACAAGCCTCAGCACTTGCAACCCGCGGAATTCGTAGCTGATTTGTGTATTTCGGTTCTGTTCCGAGGGTAATGGCACTGCTTTTTATTGTCTTGAAGACAAATTTGTCCCCAAGATTGACCCGCCGACCGCAAGGGAAACAGAAGTGCTAGATCTTCTGTCTCATTTCCGCTTGTAATTTGGGAAATTGGGTGAACATTTCGAGATCTTTGCCAATATTGTCGGGATCTTGCGTAGGGAGGCAGCTGCTCGATTTTCATGCATGTTCGCCATTCTGGGAGTCGAGAAATGATGAATACTAGTCGTGTTAATCAATAGACTGATAATGACGAAGTACAAGTAGATACCCACAGAACAGTTGACGGCTGAGCGACGAGGAACAGTCGAACACGGAGGAACACTCAACAGCGACAGAACAGTTGATAGCCACGGAACAGTCGATGTCCAAAACAGTGGAAGACAGAATGAAGAAGGTGTTTTCTAGTGAAAACTGTGGCGATCTAGTCAGAAGCTGATGCAGAAACGGTACTGCATTGCTTTGGGTTTGATCGTGGAATGGTTGTGTCAACTGTGATTGAGAAAGTTGGTCGATGAATTGACGAATATTGCAGTACTTGCACATTTTATCATTATGAAATAGAAGTTCAAACAGATAGGCCACTGACTTTGGATTTGTAAATTTTTTAGAGAAGCGAATCGAGAACGTGTGCATTTCTAAATTTCTCTAACTTATTTGTTTCCAGGTAATTTACCAGTTATCTTTAATTTAAAGTCCCGTCAACAAGAACATATGCAATTCACGCAAGTAGAAACTAAGATTAAAAGCGGCTCTTGAAGATTGTTAAAGTTAGAACGAGAATCAAGTTAGTGTATATGTTGATTCAACGAAATGGTTTTGCTACGAGGAGACCACATAGATCTTGTGCTCTCATGCAACCAGACACTTTTCCAATCCTCGCACCGCCAACGCCCAAAACCAAGAGAAAAGCCGAAGAAATCTTATTAGTGCGAATATTATACAGAAAACAACTCTACCCTAGTCCATCGCGTTCCGGGACGATTAACAGCCCCTATCTTTGTCATCTAGCTCGCACTGAAACCTCCCCAAAACTCCTCTACAAAAACCCCCGCAAGCTATCTAAACATCCGCAGCATCTAAAAGCTAGTAAGAGCATACGCCATTGCTCGTCGTATACGTGATTTACCCCACCTACCCCACCAAAATCGCGATTTTTTAGCCCACACTTCTGGTGCTTCACCACAATTTTTAATTTTAATTAAAGAACTATATTTATTAAGGCTTTAGTATACAGTGGCCATTCCCTTACTAGTAATTACGTCTTCTAGCTTACAAGTGAGCCTCTCTGTCAAACATCGCTAATCCGTTAGATTAACTTCGCTCCATAGCTCTTGTAAAACCTCCTTTATATCCTTAATTAAAGTAGGAATAGTTTCTAACTTTATAATCTCATTTTTCATCTATTGCCATACCTTCTCAATTAGATTCAAATCGAGAGAAGAGGGAGGCCAATCAAACCTACGTAATCCACGCAACTTGCGGGGTAGCTTTGCCATACCCTTGTGGATTTTTGCCCCGTCTTCCATAAACAAGAACTTCTCCTTTTGCTTCGCTATTAAGGAGTCAAACCAAGGAAAAACAATAGGATTCAGGACTTGGTTCAAGTAAGCTTGACTGCAAATTCCCTTCCTTCCTTCCTCCTTTACCAAGAAAATAAGCGGGGATTTCCAATCCCAGCCAATCGCTCCCCAAACCATTACGCTTACTCTTCCACTCCTGTATATAGATTATATAGAATCTGGGTAATTCTTCTCATCCGGCCGACGTATGACCCAAATTCTCCCTCTCTTTCCAGTCTCAAATATAGCCTTATCGCTTCATATAACCTTTTTCTAATCTGCTATACCCCACTACTGGTATTTTATCGCAAATACGAGTCGTCTCGCAGCTTGTTGCTTGGAAATAAAGGGACGACGGCAAGTGATATAACGACGATATCCATGCTCCTTTATAATCCGGCGAATCGTAGTAATCGAGGCTTCTAATTTGAGCTCGTGCTTAATTCGTCCCCAAGACTTGGTGCGATTAGTCCAAGACTGGGAAACGAATCGGAAAATACGCTTTATATTGGCTTGTTTAAGAGCGGGGCGCTTGGTGGCAAGGCCTTTTCGCGTCATACGAGAGGTTAGACCCTTGACAATATACTAAATTATGGACCTGGTAAGGCCTATGGCCTTCCTGATTTGGCCATAGCTCTTCCCTTGCCGGCGGAGCGAGCGAACGGTAGCACGAACAGGAGTTCTCTAGTTCTTATTGGGTTAGTGGTCCTTAAGAACGGACGGAGAGAGGATATTTGAGATTTCTGAGTCTGAGTCTGAGTCTTCCATTACTTGCACAATAATTAAAGAAGAAAAATGGTAGTTTGTGGGAAAAGAAGCGGTGAAGTGTGGGTTTTGGTGAGGGGTAGTCACGTGTTCGCTTAGGTGTACGACGAGCAATGGCGTATGCTCTTACAAAATCCTCCCTCTATCTCCAAACACCACAAACACCAAGCTATCAAAATTCCTATTTCCACTTCTAATCACGTGTCGCCCCTCGTTCGGTGTAAAATTATCGTGCTGACCCGACCCAATAATGCCGGGCCGGGGTGCATATACGCGTATCAACCAAGCTCAATATCTCTCTTCTTTGTGTTAACCTCAATCTCAAACAAAACCCACCTCATCGAACAGCCCTCTTTCTTCCTTCCTTTCTTTCTTGCCCGATCTATACATCAACCAGAGCCAAGCCTCACACAAACCCCAGAACTCGTCGTTCGCTTTCAGCTCAACAAGTAATCTGCTCCGCAACTTTAACCATCAACCATCTTGACAGAAAGGAAAATCAGAGCCTGCGTCTCTTCAGCAACTCAACTTCCTTTCGGGTTTTGGCGAGTCTCAATCTCGAATTCAATCAGGAGGTTAGCAATGCAACGAGCTCTCCTTCCCCGCCTCGCTCTCGGCCCGTCCTTCGCCACAGTTCGAACCCCATACTTCTCATCTCCACCCCCAGCCACACCTCACCCCCTCCTCTCTCACCACCCTCTCTTCCCCGTCCACCTCTATTCCACCGGGCAAAAACCGCCGCCACCGCCACCGCCCAATCCCAGTTTCGGCTCAGCATCATTCAAGGACCTCGGCGCGAACAGGACCGTGAAGATCGTAGTCTACTTCTCGTTAGGTGTCATCGCTACGCTGGAGACCGTGGCTTGGACGAAGTTTCTTTGGGCGAAGTTTGGGCCTGTAGCTATGGAGGGAGGAGGGGAGGAAGATTGATAGAGACGGGGATGAGTCGTTGGTGAGGGCTGAGACGAAGAAGGGGGTTGGAGAATGAGATCGTGAGGGATGGTGGTATTACGAGGAAAGATGTTTGTCTGATTTTAGGCGTCTGGGACTGGCTGGGAGTGCATCGAGTATGGATGGGAATGAAAACTATCTCACTCTGGCGTTGAAGTTTAGATTGGGCTCTTATGCATGCATTGAGACTGTGTTTGCAAAGAGAAGAAAAAACGTCGCTCAATAATTGTAAAATAAATACTCAAATCTTTAAGAACAGAAAAGGGGAAATCTAATTTCTACTTTTATTTACCCCAAACAATCGTTTCTTTCGTATACTTTTAATACTCCAAACAATCGTTTCTTTCATATACATTTTACTCCTTCACACGCACTCTCACTCTAACCTTCCACCATCCCCTCCAACTCCCCCCTCTCCCCACTCTGAGCAACCATACCTTTAAACACCCCCTCTTCAATGTTCAACAATTCCCTAGGACTTCCAAACTCCGCAGCAACACCATCTCTCATGACAAGAATCCGATCGAAATCCATCACCGTACTCAGTCTATGCGCCACAACCAGTAGCGTCGTATTCGCAAACTCCTCTCTGATGCTCCTCTGGATCAACTTATCGGTGTTTTTATCCACTGCACTTGTAGCTTCGTCTAACAGTACGAGCTTTGGGCGGGACAAGATGGCGCGCGCGAGGCAGAGGAGTTGTTTCTGGCCTTGGGAGAGATTGGCGCCAGCGGAGGAGATGGGAGAGGAGAGCGAGAGGAAGATGTTTGTATTTTCTTTTGCCGCTGGCTCTGTGGCCGTGAGGGAGGTAGCGCTGCTTGCTCCCTCTGTTGGCGTTGGAGATTCCGGGACAAGCAGTTCGGGAACCGGCGTGTTGTCAGCAGAAGGAATGAGATGCACGCGCTGCAGCGCTTCGTGCAGCTGGAAATCAGGGAACTGGTCAAAGGGGTCGAGATTCGAGCGGATCGTGCCGGAGAACAAGACGGGATCTTGCGGGATGATGGCCAGGCGTGTGCGTAGATCATGTAGGCGGACAGTCGAAATGTCGACCCCGTCGATGGTGATGCTTCCTTTTCGCGCCTCGAGGAAGCGAAAGAGTGCTAAAGACAGCGTAGATTTGCCTTTATTCAGTTAGCGGAGTCGGAAGCGGGGTGGGGGAAACTTACCAGCGCCAGTCCTTCCGACGATTCCAACTCTCCCATTCATATCTGCGTGAAAGTTCAAGCCTTTCAGAATTGAAGGCAGACCTTCTGCATACCCCACTTCCAGATCTTTGACTTCAAGTTCTCCTTTTTCGGGCCAAGAAGCACGAACATCAACCCCTTTCTCGGTCTCGATATCGAGAGCAGAGTACTCAAAAATTCTCTCTGCTGCGTTCATGTCAAGTTCGGTAGCAGCGACCTGACGGAGAGTCATATTCACAGCCCTACGATACGACAGCGCAAATGCGAGCGCGAACCCTCCCAAAGAAGCGCCAACATGCGGGGTCGACACGACGAAAGCAGCAACAACACCCGAAAAGATGGAACCAATCAAGGACATGTTGTAACCAACCCAGTTATGGAAGAGCCAATTGTGCCATGTTGCCGTCGAATAAGAGTTGATCAGATCATCCATCCGCTTCTCAAAGACTCCTTGGTTGGCGAAGGCGCGGATGGTGCTGAGTCCTTGCAGAGAAGCTGTGAAATGAGAAATCATGGGAGACTTTTGAATAGACTCGAGACGCTTGATTGAACGCGCTCCTCTGATGTACCGGAGCCCAACACGACCGCAAAACCCCAAGATGATGAGTGCTAGTATGATGATGTACGGTGATATGATAAATGCGGAGACCATGATTCCGATAATAGCGAGGCACGACGCAGCAACGGATGCAAAGTTGGATGAGAGTTGAGAATCCACAGCTTGGAAGTCGGCAGTGAACCGGTTCAGGATCCGGCCTGTTGGGACGGTATCGAGCCATCTCAATGGTGTTCGAAGGACTCTGTATGTAAGTTCTTGGAAAACCTTTCGCGAAGCTGAAAGGGAGCCTCGGAAGACAACGTAGTAGCGGCCAACGTCGATGAGTGTGGACACCAGCGAGATGATTACATAGCCGACAAGGTAGAAAGCCAGGTTACGGTTACTTATCTCGATTGGGAATGTGGATGTTGAAACTGTTTGCGAAGTCACAGTAGCCTGTGAGCTAGGGATGGCGTTGGAGATAGAAGATCCGATATATCCTGTGAGCATGGAGAACGTACTTGGAACTGACCAAGAGGCAAGATCAGCGTAGTTTCCTCCTGGAGATGTCGTTGTAAATGATGCATTGACGGGTGGTGGTCCCAAAATGCCGGTGAGGTGTGTCTGCAGGTTATAGATCTGTGCAAATGTGCCCAGTCCAGCAGTTTGTCCAGTGCTGGATGTCCAGATTTTGATCCACCAAGAACGACCCAACGTAAGGGATTGCGCAATAATGTAGAAACTGAGAACGAATGCCCAGAACGGAATGCCACCAGTTGCTTTGAGATAACTCATATAGACACTTCGTTTGACCGCGCCAGTTTCACGGGCTTCATCCTCAACAAGCTTCTTTGGAACTTTCTTGTCGTCCTTGGCCGCGGTACCGTTAGTCTCTCCGTCTGGGGCTGCCTTGATATTGTCTTCCTCTTGTCCAGTGGCCTCTCCTTCCTCGGCCTTGAGGATATTCTCAAAACTGCCTGTCTTCTCAAGGTCCACCGCAAGACCAGCATGTTCCAGCGTCCCATTAGCAGACAAGAAAACCGCATACTCAGCCCTCGCAAGAGTTAGCGAGACATGATGAGTAGCCAAAATCCTCGTCCGTCCCTCAGAAAGCTCCCCCATAAGCGCGTTATCGTAGATATGTTTCCCAACATGCGTATCAAGAGCCGAAAAAACATCATCGAGAATCAGAATCCCAGCCCGAGAATAGAATGCACGAGCGAGAGTCAGACGCCATTTCTGACCTCCACTGAGACTGATTCCTTGAGCTCCAACTTCTGTCAAATCGCCGTCATCGAAGTGGTCGAGATCTTTGGCGAGAGCAACTGCTTGGAGGACTTTGTTGTAGCGAGTTTTGTCATAAGGGAGGCCGAACAAGATGTTGTCTCTGATTGACATGTTCTCGATCCATGGGGTCTGGGCCACAAATGCGATGGATGAGGGAATAATCCAATCGGCGGCAGTTGCTTTGCTGTCAAATCGTTGGTCGACTGGAGGTGCTCGCGGAACAGTAATGGACCCTTCCAAGACATCAACCTCGCCCAGAATGGCAGCGAGAAGCAATGACTTTCCTGATCCAGTAGGCCCTGAGATAACCGACAGGGAATTGTTAGGGAACTCCAGATTGAGATCACGAAGGACGAATCGATTCTCCAATGCTAAACGAGCGGCATTTGCTTCCTCTTCGTCTTGATCCTCTTCTTTCTCCCCAGAATCCCCTTTCGACGGGAAGCTGACCGTGGCCTTGTTGAAGATGACCGAATCACCAGGTAACGTATTTTCTGGTTTCTCGGGGGAGCGCAAGAAGTTATCAATGCGATCGCAAGAGACTTTAGCATTGATTCCCAAGACTAAAAGAAATGGGAGCATGCCCAAAACACCTTCGAGCTGCATCAAGACGCCTAAGGCCGTGAAAGCCACGGATGGAAGTAGGGTGCCCCGGAGCCAGGCAAAAGTCGCCAGCGTCGAAACAGTCAACAAAACTGGACCAATCTCCGCTCCAAGCATCATATACAGATTGTTCAACTTAGTCTGCCATAATTGAGCGAGCTCTTCATCACGGGCTTTGTTGATCTTGTCAGTCCACTCCGGTTCAATCGCTGAGAATTTGATCTGCCTGATTCCTTGCAATGCCTCTGACACCACCTTGGTTTTCTTGTCCCGAGTTGCCATCAATTTCTTTTGGAAGGCTCCGTAGCGGTAGGTGAGCCACTTGTTCACTGGGAAGACCAGGACGACGGACACCATTCCAGCCAGCAAACTCTCCCAGCCCACCAAGTACCACAGAAAAGTGACCGAGACAGCGAGCTTGGAAACAAACAGCAGGTAGAACTGATTGATGGCTCCGAAAACACCGACTTGATTCGTATCCACAGCGAACATGTTAATGATATCCTGGTCACTTTGAGCAGCCTTTTTCTTTTTTTCTTCCTTCTTTTTAGCATCAACCTTCGATTCTTTGGGAACCTCAGCTGGATTGCCATTTGCATCCTTGTCCTTGTCTTTCTCATCTGTTTTCTCTTCTTTCGGCGGTTCCTTGCAGTCCTTGATCTTCATCATCTTTTCAAACATTAGAGTCGTGAGTGTGGTTCGGATGGGAATTCCAAGATCGGACCACATGAGCCAACCAATGCGGTAATCAACCATTGTTTCGATAATAGTGGCTAAGAAGAGTAAGACCACACAGACCCAAGCCTTGGAGTCGATGATGCCGGATTCTTTCCGTTGCTCGAGGTACTCCAATAATTTCAGCATCGAGATTTGAGGGAGGACGTCTGCCGCGGATGAGACGACACACATCACTGCTTGGTATATCAATTGCCACTTCCATGCCCAAAAGATCTGAAGCCAAAGAGACACTGTAGGCTTCAAAACAATCGACCGGAATGTGTGCTTCACATCCTTCGCTCGCCTGTACGAGTCCATTGCGGGTAGGTCAGAGAACTCGACCAACTTTTTTGCCGATATATCCAAAATGTCAGAGCTCCAGTCATAAGAGTATTTCGTCCAGAGTGAGGCGGTGTACTGGCGCTCGACGACCTTTCCTTCCGGAGTGAAGACATCAGGCCGGCGCTGGATGGAGACGAAGCCAAAGAAGACCGCGAGAGCAGAAAAGATCTGGATTGCGCTTGTTACCGGCAAAAGTATATTCCCAGGAGGGCCTATAAGTGTGTCCTCTCTAGAGAGAATGATGCCAGTGAGTGCGGCAAGGAAAAGGTAGGAGAAAGAAGTCCGTATGCCTTTTTGATATCGGGGCACAACGCGGGTCTCTCGGAACGTGTCTAAGGTTTGAATGAGTGCTAAAATCTACCTTTTGTGAGTAAATTCTTTCCATACTTGAGGAGGTAAGGTATGACTTACCCAGCACGCAAAGGTAACCAGTATCAAAGCCGGGTCATGGAATTCCAAGATCTGGGCAAAGGTGTTGACGACGAGAGCAAGGGAAGCAAGCAGCCCGATTCCAAGGCCAATGAAGATCACGATAAACTGCTTCTTCGTCGAATAAGCTGCCATCGACTCCTCAGTAGCCTTGCCATCTCTATCCTCGTACAGACCCTCATTCTTAGTCTGCCGTGGCCGTCGTATGTTCTTGGCGAACTTCCAGACCACGGGAATCGTCGTGGCCACGATGAAAGCCGGAGCTGCATATGTTCCAAGCTTGAGAAGATCCCCCATCGCAAGTCTCGTCAGTGGCACGACGATCAAGGTGAGGAGTTTGAAGGCCTCACACTCTGGACGTCGAAGTAAGTAAATATGAGCGGTGAGGCGAGGCCCACAGGCAGCGGCGACGCGCCTTTTGGCGCAATTTTTGCGGTCAGGCTCGCGATCTTCGGACGAAGCTTATTTCACCCCTGAAGGAACCGAGGCCGTGCGGGCCGGGACACCTTGTGTTCTTCCCGATAGGTTGAAGCGGGACGTCCATTTATTATCCCGGCAGCGACAGCACGCGGCATATCTGCCTTGGCCATTCGATGCTTCCACTATTTCGAAAGGACGTGAGAAGGGAGCGCTTGGTGCAACCATCAGGTCGTGACCATCAAGGTGTAGCCATCAAGGTGTAACTATCATGGTGTAACTATCATGGTGTAGCCATCAAGGTGTAACTATCAAGGTCCTCCCTCGCGATCGTGTGAATCCGGCTCACCGAACCTGGACTGATGCTGCATGGCTCGAAGCACGAAAACCCTCAACAGAGAGTTTCATGGCGCGAGCCAGCCAACAAGACGGCTCCATTCCAAGCGGTTCATCACGTCAACAGTTACGAGGTCTTGTCTGCCCGGATTCTGACATCGGCAGACTCATGCGGCTACCTTCAGAAGATAAGGTGTGTCGGGCATCAAAGATTGATGTTGCAACCATGGTGGACCGGCCGAGGATAATGGAAAAGGGAGGCGGGTGAGAGATCGACAGGCATCGAATGGTAGAGTCGTTTACGCGTATGGGAACTCCGAATCACTCCCAACTGCCTCCTCCAACTGCCTCCTACCAAATGAGGAGGCTATAAATTTTCTTTGTCATACACGAATTCAAGGTTCGTCGTGCGACCTAACTAGGCCTGTCTGGGTCGGACTCTGTTGATATCTCCTGTGGACGAAGAATGTTGGGGAACGAACTGTGCCACCCGAAATGGGAACTCGACAAGGACAAAGATGGAAAATGACCACAGGTGATTTCTGCTCGTACAAACTCCAACTCGTAAGACTTGGGAATCCTGGCAGAATCGTTGCACTTCATTGTTGTCAAATATTACTGAAATTGTAAGAGCGCATGCCTTTACGAAGTTCACGATTCACGGCACAAAGTGGCGGGATTCTTGGTGCATGCATAAATATAGGGCCACTGATAGGCCCTGTAGTGTCTCAGCAGGCCCTGTAAGCCCTGTGAATACTGAAACGGAGGCGTAAGACCCCTAAAGACCCACTGTAACCTTATGCAACTCGATTAGGGGAGTGCATTCAGCCACGAGGTTTCTACAGGCCCTTAGCCCTGTGTTTTTAGGCCTGCGTCCGTAATCGGCAGCGGGGTAAACGAGCTTTGCGCCCTTACCAGTCCCCCACTCCCAATTACTCTCTTCTTCTTTGCTCTTGCTTCTCATTCAAAGCTAGTACTTACGGCTACTTTTAGTAGTTTATTTGACCTTCCTGACTTATTTGATAGCTAATTAGGCCCCCCTATTCTAATCCTTCTAATCCAGACGAATTAGAGTATAGTAAAGCCCCTAAAAATTAAAAGTAAGCTTGGTATAACTTATTATCAGATTTTAAAGATAAAAACAACAATTAATTTGCACTAAGCCTTATTCTCTTTCTTTATTCTCCTTTTGGTACCTTTATAGCTTTTATTATACCTAATATTATATATAAAGAGTACTTAACTAATATTAGAAGGCTATTTATATACTTGAGGAAAAGAAGTCTGCTATATAAGTAAAAGCAGTTACTAGAGTATTTAAAACTCGTATCTATTAACTCGTAATTATTACTAGAGAGCATAAATAAAGAGAGAATAAGAATATACCTTAGAAGTTTATTACAAGTTTATATTTTTATTATAATCTAGTTAATTAGCTATTTCTCTTACTATAATTAAGTGTTTTTAATTAGTTATTCTTTAATATTTAATTATGCGCGGCTTCTTTTATATTATAATTATAAAGGTAATAAGAAAGAGAAGTTATATATTAATTAATTAAGCAAGTAAAACCTTTTAGGGAATAAGTAAGATCTTATAAGGCAATTAGTAAACTATATAAATTATAGCTTGTAATTCTATAATATTATATTATAAACTTTATACTTTGCATATATCTAATTAAAGACTCTACTATATTTATTCTCTAAGCAAGATTATATCTCCTAATAAATTCTAAGGGGTATATAATAGGGTAACTGATCGAATTTGTTCTATCTTCCTTATAAATTAATAAGGGAAACATGGGCAGTCAGGGTAAGTTTGGGTAGTGTATACAGAGCAATGGCGCGAGCCCTTATCATGAACGACCGACTAATACATCCTAAAAGCAACGAACTTCCCTTCAAAAAAATCCACCTCAAAACCCTCCCCACCCTTCCCCTAGCACTCTTCTCCTTCTCGCTCTCGATCAAATCCTCCTCACTAACAACATAAACATCAGTCTCGAGATCCATCCCCTCATACGTCGGAACCTTCGTCCTCTTCCACGCCTTCCAGCCCAACCACATAATCGCCATAACCGGCAACTCAATATAATAACTAACAAAATCCACGCCTGAAAACTTCGGACTAAAGCTATTCCATCCCTGCACTAAAACAATCACCACGTTGAGAATAACGGAAAGCCAGGGACCCCAGGGATATGTCCAGTTTTTGAAGGGGAGGAGATGCGTTCTGTTCTGCGCGGTGAGAGCACCGCGGAATCTGATGCTGGTTACACCGATGGCGGTCCAGGCGAGTTGGTTTGAGACGCCGACGAGGTTTTGCAGCCAGGTCCACAGCTGGCCGGCACCGATGAAAGAAGCGCCAAAACACAATCCACTAATAGCAGAAGTGGCCAGGACCGCGACCCAGGGTACACGATTCCTGCTCAGCTTCCCGAAGACCTTGGGAGCATGCCTGTCGACGGAAAGTGCGTACAGAAGCCGTGTCCCCGCGAATAAGGCGTGGTTCCCAGCCGAAATAACAGAAGTGAGAATCACGGCGTTGATAAAGGAGCCAGCTGCTTTTGCGCCAGCCATTTGGAATACGAGGGTGAATGGCGAGGTGGAGGATTTCTTGGAAGAGAGGCCGGGGGTGTTGTAGGGGACGTTGAGGCCGATAAGGAGGACAGAGAGGATGTAGAAGAGGAGGATGCGCCAGAATACATTCTTTACTACGCGGGGGAGGTTTTTGGTGGGGTTCTTTGTTTCGCCGGCTGTGATGGCTATGGATTCTGTGCCGCCGTCTAGGAAAGCGGGTCAGTGGGTCGAGAGGGGAGGGGGAGAAGCGGGAACCCACATGCGAAGGATGCTGTTACGAAAACTGAGGCAAATCCGCCAATGCCTCCGACAAAAGGGGCATCTCCTATGTACCAGTTATGGGCTCCGAGGTACTTATGTTGGGTGTTGCCCCCGCAGTTCACAGCGATACCCAGAATGATGAAGATCTGAGAAATGTCAGTACTCATACCTCAACAATCTAGAATTTCTGGGAGCTAACCGTGATAGTAATGACTTTGAGGAGGCTCAACCAATATTCGAGCTGTCCAAATCAGCTTCAATTCGGCAAGGAAGGCGGAGTGGACACACTTCGCCATAAGCCTTCACAGTAATAATATTCGCCAAAATCAACAGCACCCAAAAAATCAAACTTAGGCCCCAGCCAGGCAAATTCGTATCCCAATACGCAAACACCAGCTGTAGTGCAACCAAATCCGCAGCCGTTGAGACCGCATCATTGAACCAATAATTCCACGTCAAAGCAAAACCCAAACTATCATCCACATATCTGCCCACAAACGTGCAGAAAGAGCCGGCAATGGGGACGAAAGCAGCCATTTCTCCAAGGGCGAGCATAGTTAACATCACGATGCCACCGACGATGAGGTAGGCGATTAGCATCGAGGCTGGCCCACCTGTTGCGAGGGACTTTCCCGTGCCCAAGAAGAGGCCTGTACCGATTGTACCGCCGATGGCAATCATTTGCACTTGCCGTGCTGTGAGTTTTCGGGCGAGTTTGTCAGCGATGATGGGACGATGGTCATTGATTGCATATGCTGGCTCGGAGGGAGAGTCTTCGAGGTCCTTGTCTCGTGCATGGTTGATCACGTGGGCGTCTTCCGGGTCTGAATGGGGGGAGGCCATGATGGTGACAAGGCAGGGTACGAAGTTTAGAGAGGGCGCGTGGAAGCTAAGGAAACATAGTAATGAAGAGGGAGAGTACGAGAAATGGAATAAAGCAGAGAAGATAAATGCAAAGTGAACGGTATGCTGAAAGGTAAGAGATCTTCAAGTGTGACATTCGAATCCTTGGAGCAGATTGCGTGCTCGAGAACTTGTCTCTGAGTGGGATGCTTGACGTGATGGATACCTGAGGCGACTTGGCAAGGGACCAAAGTCAGCTGTCAGATCTGGAAGGCTGACTGAGCCTTTGTTTGGCAGCTCAAGCTGTTCCTGAACAATTTCCATTTCTCTGTTTCTAGACTTTTGGCAATGGAGCTTTCTATCTTCGTAGCTTTTAGAGTCTATTGAGAAAGTGAAATCAAACTTTAAGATAGAGCCTTGAGAAATTGAGAAGTTTGTACTAGGGCAGTACCTGCCACTCGGCCTTCCCGCCTTCCTTTCCTGGTTTGATGGTGTCATGGTTTGGAGATTCGGGCGAATTTCAAGAGTTTTCTCCCCAGACTACGGAAACCTGCAGAGACAGTTGCTGTCAATTCAATATCACGTGTTTTTGTACTAATCGACGTGCATCGACGTCACGCCATCCTCAACCCATCGTTCCGGAGTCTTCGCGGATGAGATTGTTTACCTATTGTGTCCTTCCACCAGGTTGATAACAAAATTTTGTAAGCCCGGCTTATTTCACAATGTCGATCGACTCCTTCGCCCTCTCCCGCAAAAATGCCAGCCAAGAGCTCGCCCAATTGGCTGAAGAGCACATGAAGCACGACCTCCAGCAATCCGACCGCGATGCTTTGAACAATGCTTCCAAGCGATTCGGTTCATATACAGCGATCGGCTCCCTCGTTGGACTGGGACTTGGTGCGCTTCTCGCCTTGAGAGTGAGGAGGGCGAGGACGGAGTATTTCAAGGCTTTCCGAGCCATTGAGAAACCTACGCACGTGAAGTTTGCCGATGGGAGGGAAGGTAAGCTCTCCCACAATTTGCGTTATCATCTTTCCGGGCTCAATGTTGACGTTGGAACAGAGGCGCTACCTGATCTCAGCAATTTGCTGAGGCCGTCGCCTGTGGGAGATTTCGCGGCATATGTCTTCTTCTCTGCTGGTGGTCTTTTCATCGGTGGTGAGCTTGGATTATTGGCTGGTTCTTGGTCTGCAAAGAGGGCGGTGACGAGTGATGAGGAACGCCAAAAGAGGATTGAGAGAGCTGTTAGGAGATATAGGGCGGATGTACTGAGACGAGAGGTACAGAAACTTGAGGCCGGGGATAAAGATGGAAAGCTCGTCAAGGTCTGGTGAGATTCGTGCCGCACTGGCAGAACAATATTCTCGGTTAGGAGGTGTTGGAGGCGCTCGCATCTGAGAGCATTGAATGAGTGGTAATTTTGGTCGCGTCCAGAAAACGGACCAGCTACCGCTTCTTGGCACTGGCAGTTACAGTCTGCTCCGTAAATGATGTCCAACAACTCCCGGAATCACCACTGTACCCTCCAGCTTTGCTTTCCGTTATCTCCCTTCGCGCGTCGTTCTTCAAGCTCTCCTTGACTTCAGGCTTCAAATCTCTTCTCAGCTGATTCCGGACCTCGCCCCGCATCTCGTTCCTCAAGCTCTCTGTGGCTTCCGCGCAAGTCTGTCATTGCTTCGGCGATGAATGAAACATCCGTCCCAGACCGAGTCAGTCCTGCTCGAATTTTCCGTTCGATATGCGTCGTGACTCCGTCCCCCACAGCACTTGACTTCTTCAAATCCTTGGATAGCAACTCCTTGGCTTCATTCCTTAACCTTCCCATCATCCGCACATTTGTTTCCACTTCCCCTCTTAGGAAGGTCCGCACCTCGCCCTCGACCTTTCACCTCATACTCTCCCGCAATTCTGCTTCCAATGCGGCGCGAATCCCAGCAGTCAACTTCTCCTCGAACGCCCCATCCACATTCGCGTCTCCCTTTTCAGGTTCGATAAATCGAATGCCAATTTCAAACACATCCGCCGCACTCTATAAAAGAAAAATTGGCCAATTGGCTCAGGACTTCCGGACGTCCGTCATCTCGTGCTGCCGTCCAGGATGTAAAAGAGTAATAAATCGATTCCCCGATGCCGGCGACGTCGGCTGCGGCGCCTACTAGTGCGCATGGTAGGACGGTCGTGGTGTGGCAATGATGGTGGTTAAAATGGTGAAATTAAAGACCAGGTTGCCGGATTTATTCCACGCAGCCGCTCCGGCCCTTCCCGCTTTTGAAGATGGAACCAGTGCAAGAGTGGAATTCTATGCTAGAGCTTTTTTTGGGTAGGGAACTTCGTATACTCCAGGATAACTCTTTTTATTAACTTGGTCAGAATTCCTTGCAAGTTTGAGGGTTCGAATGGCTGGAGCATGACAAACGAGCGGAATTGACAAGACAGGATTCAAGATACTTGACAAAACCCGGGTATGAATGCCCGCATGCGCTAAAGCATTATTTTTGGGTAGTTTGAGGATAATTCCAATCTTTTCCTTGCGCGGATGGTGCAAGTCAATCCCCGAGAAACTTCTCGTGGATCCATCTCTCATGACACTTGATAGAGGACACGGAGAGTTAGATGATGGAACCGTGGAGATGCTAGTAAGTGATTTTTTTTGGGATTTTGAGCAATTTCTCCACCAGTGTAGAGGTAACCTTAATCTGCTCGACCAAAGTTGAGATGAAAGCAGTCTCTAGTTCTGGTCCTTCTGGATGTTTATCGGCGAAAGATGGTCCCTAGACGGCCCAGGGATCATATATGTATATTCGAAAGGGTCTTCTATTTGGCATATGTCTGTTGATAGTGGTATTGGAGTGGTGAGAGTGGAGAATGGTCCCGAAAGAGTGTGGAGATGTGCCCATGGAACGAGCCTGTTTGCTGACTTTATATGCTGAGATATTTGCGAACATGACGAAAATGAACGCTCCCGCAAAAGCTGCAAAAAAGTCTGCCCAAGAGCAGCCGCCGATGGCCAGAAAAGATGGCAATATTGGAGAAAAGCAGTTGCAGAAGAGACGTCAAAATTCCCGAAGTCAAACACACACGTGACACAAATTTTTGCGATGAAAGTTAACGGTGAGCTTCGTACACAACTCAAAAGTAATGCGCCCCAACTGTTGACAGATGCAACCCTGTTTCAAGCTGCATGGCCTGCAGCAGGAACTGAATAGATGTCTGTGCCAGATCCACAACGAAGACAGGACCCAAATCGACGTGAGAATCCAGCGCGCAAGACCCAACATTCCCTTGCAAACGAAATTCCGTCGCTGAAGAACGCGACGCAACCATCATCAAATCAAACCTCCAACCCGAGATAGTACGAGCACTTCGAAAACGATACCCCACGTCCTGCGTCGACGGTACAACTCTGCAGCGTTGTCCCTGCGTCTGGAGCTGCAAAGATGACTGGTCCAGTCGCCTCGATTGAGGCGCCTGGAATCAAGATCGATGGGGAACTTCTCTTCAACATGCGTACAGAAGTTGCGTGCCTCCTGGACAGGAAGAACACAAGCTTTCCGGGAGCCCAACCCGTAAGCTTTGCGCGGAGACATTTGGAAGAGTTAACAAAGCAAGAGTGAGTCTACTCTCCTCCCTTCGTTTCCAAGCTAACCTCTCCAGCTTCTACGTCTGCGAGAAGTCCGATGGCTTTCGATATCTGCTATACCTCACACAGGACGACCAAGGAGGAGAAATACACTACCTGATCGACCGAAGTAATGATTATTGGTTTATACCACAAGGAGGGCTACATTTCCCTGTTCCTCGCGACGTCGAAGGCTTCCACACCAATACCCTCATCGACGGGGAGCTCGTAGTAGACAAGCTTCCAGATGGCACTACACAACCCAAATACCTCGTCTTCGACTGCATGGTTTTAGACGGAAACAGCCTCATGAACCGCACGCTCGACAAACGGCTCGCATACTTCAAGGAACGAATATTCGACCCCTACAAACAGCTACTGAACCAATATCCAGAAGAAAGAAAGTACATGCACTTCATCGTCGAGCTAAAAAGCATGCAATTCTCCTACGCCGTCGAGATGATGTTCCGGCAGATCCTACCCTCTCTCCCCCACGGCAACGACGGCCTGATCTTCACCTGCAGAATGACAGACTACAAACACGGCACCGACCAAAACATCCTGAAATGGAAACCCGAATCAGAAAACTCCATCGATTTCCGCCTCTGCCTCGACTTCCCCATTATTCAACCAGACGAGCAAGACCGCGCCGAAGGCATCACAGAACCGTATCCTGACTACGATGCCCAGCCCATCTGTAACCTGCACGTTTTCGCCAGCGACGGACATGAAGATCCTTACTTCGCCATCATGCACCTCGAGCCTAGCGAATGGGAGTCGTTAAAGTCCCTAAACCAACCCCTGAACGACAGGATCGTGGAGTGCTACATGGATTCCTACAAACGGTGGAGGTACATGCGGTTCAGGGATGATAAGAAAACGGCGAATCATACGAAGACGGTGGATGCGGTGATTGAGAGTATTATGGATAGAGTCACGGAGAAGGATTTGATTGCTGCGGCGAAGGGGATTAGGGATGAGTGGAAGAGGAGGGCGGCGGAGGATAGCGCGCGAGAGAAGAAGGAGATGGAGAGGAAGAGAGTGGCTATTGTGGGGGTGTCGAGTGCGAATGGTGTTCAAGGAGCGAAGAGGAAGGCTGATGAGCAAGGTGGTGGAAGGCCGAGTCCTGGGCCGCCAGGGAAAGGTTGATGATCGCTGGGCTGATTGCTTCAAATGGGTATAGAGGATGGGAAAGAATGTATTGATGGCGTTTTCAGTCTGTATTCTGCGGGCTGGCGTTATGGGGTCATGGCTCAGGCGTCTCATGTCAGGAATCAAAGGAAGCACGATTCTGCTCTGCATCTCGTCTGCGGGCTTCCGAAACCTAGTATTTAGAAGGACCGGTTTGGGTGGGGTATGGCTGGATTGGGCGATCTGCCCTGGTTGGAAGGGCGATCAGGCGCCTCACAGCTTGAGTTTGAAGAATGATATCATAATTTGGGGATTGCATTCGCATTATCCTATCTACTCTACACGATGACTGAATCCATTAAAGAAAGGAAAGGAAAGTGAAGATTCGATCAACCAAGCTCTCTAAAAGGAGGAAGCCGGCTTTCAAGGAAAGCACTCTAGACTTCGTTCTTGGTTATGTGAGCATCATCTCTATGTATGGTGATGGCTCCTGCTTTTAATGAGGAGGAATAATATAAGGAAAAAGGAAATGGAAGGATATTTGCATGGCACGACTCTAACAGGCTTTCCACCCTAACAACTTGAAAAATAGAAGCCCCTTTCAAAGACCCCTCTCGATGAAAGCGTTCAACCCCAACTAACATCAATATCCTTCAGCTCATGAAGGCCACCTCAGATCCGGAACGCCAAAGCGAGCAGGGAAGCCAAGAGTGCAACCTTGTACTCAACCCCACCACCCATGAAAACTGATTGGCTTCCCGAACTTGTAGCACCAGGCAATGGAGTAATAACCAATGGCATAACGCTCCCCATAGGCGGCGCACTCTGGCCGGAACCCATCCATGGTAGCTGCGGCGTAGGACCTGCGTACGTGCTTCCTTCTACTGTAGCTGTACCGTTGACCTGAGTCTCGGTTGAGGCAGCGGTGGCTGCAGTTTGAATCGAGGCGTACATAGATGGGCCAGCTGCGGTGATTGACAGGGAGAGGGTGTTTGCGCTCTCTGGGGAGGAGACAGGAGGCTTGGAGCCGGGGGTAGGAAGTGTTGGGAATCCGGTGGAGTTTGTGTAGCTAACAAGTGTGGACGTCTCGGAGCAGCTCTCAGTGGAACTTGGGAGAAAGTTTTGTGCGGTCGATGAAGCAGGGGGCAAGGGGGAAGTCTCGATGCTGCTCTTGGTAGAGCTTGAGCGGGTAGCAATATCTTGTGCCGTGAATGAGCTCAAACCCGAAGTAGATGTCTCGCTGCAGCTTTCAGTCGAGCTTGAGAGAGTTGCAGTTCCTTGTCCCGAAGATCTGCTTGAAGGAGTGGCATCAGTCTTGCTGTAATCCTCGGAGGAACTCGGGAATGTAGCAGGGCCGTGACCGGTGGATGTAGCTGCAGGGAACGGATAGATGTAGTGACTATAGGAAGTCGTGGAAGTGGCAATGTCTTGGGACGAAGATGGATTCAATGGGATAGGAAAAGTCTTGGTTTCGGTGGAGCTCGGAACGGTGGCAATGCCTTGGTTGGTGGACGCACTCGAGGGAAGGGTGGTTGATTCAGTGCAGTCGGTGCTCGACTTGGAGAATGCGATGCCGCGAGGCTCAAGGTGAACCATAGGACCATCAACGTCGATGGCTAGAGGGTTATTAACACTGAAGATGTTCCATCCGGAGTGATGCTGCTCACCTTCACGTCCTCCCATCACTTCGATGTTGCCATTCAAGAGGACTCTTCCCTGAACGACCCCAAGTGAGACCGCCAAGGAGCTAATTGCAATCGAGAGCTTCATCTTGCGACCGAGTTCTACCTATAATTGATGATGGTGAAGTTTTTCTTGAACACAATATGTCCCTTCGAAAAGATAGGGACAGTAGCTGCGATGATGACGCGTTGGGATCAAAAGGGGGTGCTTGGAAACCTTGGCTGATGTTTTCGGAGATGCGATATCGAGAGTAAACGGCAACGAACGATGTAATTGAAGCGCGAGTGCGTAGTTTACAATTTAAGGTGTTGGTGGGGGAAGGATCGTGGTAGAAGTTGGAGTTGGGATGGAAAGATTTTGGTTGTTTGTTTACTAGCCTATCTTATCGAGCACAGCACACAGTGAATATCCAACGAAGTCAGATTCAAGGCCATCTGGCCTGCCGATTAGCCGGGACTACTCACAGAACATTTTTAATATGAGTTCCCGCAGTCATCTCCAGCTTCGAGAATATGGGGCAGGACCTGTTCAGTCATGACTGGAGAAGGGGCAAACCAGCAAAGTTGAACTCGAGCAATAACATAGAGAACCACGAACCCAAATATATCTTTGTAGCTAGATTTCTATCAGCAATAGTCTTCCTTCTGTCATCAATCATCGCGCCGAGGAGAGCAAAGGGGTCGGAAGTGGAAGAAGGCATGCACACGTGACCTGGCAGTAGAAGGTTCAAACCCGATGGCAGCCAGCATTGAGGGAGGAATTTCTGCTTTTTGAGACATCAAAGCGGTCTTCATGAGAGCATCGTAGAACCAGAAATTACAGCTTTGCAGCGGTTTCAAGGGTCAAATGCCCAGTGAAGAGATGACTGGGGCTTTTGCTTCAAGAAACGGCCAGCAATCATCAGCTGTGATGCTTTCAATGACTGTTAAGGAGAGCACCGATGAAGAAAGACAAGACATCAAATGCATGGGACAGAGTCAATTACACGCTGAAATCAATCTGCTATCATAAGCGTGGACTTTCCAGTCATTTCTCCCGAGTCCTCGGTGAAGTGAGTTTGGGATCAATCATAGGGGAGTCAAAGAGCAATGCGCTGAAGTGTGGCCAGGGAGACAAGCAGACCAGAGCAGAAGACTTCATAGACAGACTTCAGTAAACCTTGATACAGATTTAGAGTTGCGAAGGTGAATGATTGAAGTTGACGTCGGCTAGCGTGTTCGCATCATAGCTTTCTCGGAAACGCGTCCAAAAATGGCGGCGCTTGTGCAACGCGCGATTACTCCAACCACTTTCTACCCAACACCTCCTCCAATCCTCGACCAACGCACGCCCATACGCCCAATTCTCACGGAAAAGACGATATTTCTCGTACCTACAGCTCCGCGACTGGCATTCTCCCTTCCAAATGGCTCCGCGCCGCGGTGCGGACATAGAGCCCGAGGAGCCACAACTCGGCGGGTTGGTCTTCAACGAACCTCTATCATGGCGCGCAGGCAAGCCCATTCCCACGGGCGAACTGCTGCGGCGACTCGACACTCTAGCCACCGAGCTTCGTGAGATGGACCAAGAAGAAACGGACAAGGACTCATTGACCAACGTCGCGAAGGAACTTGCGGGGCAGAACCTCCTGGGTCACAAGGACAAAGGCGTTCGCGCATTTACAGCTTGTTGCTTGGTGGATGTGTTGAAGATTTGTGCCCCAGATGCGCCGTTTACTCCAACACAGCTCAAGGTATGCCGGATCAAGCTTGGCAAGTGCGCAGCTAACGCTGGGAACAGGACATCTTTACTCTCTTCATTACCTCGACATTACCTGCTCTCTCTGACCCCTCACACGCCTACAATACACAGCATAAATACGTCTTGGTATCTCTTGCCGAAGTCAAGAGCATAGTTCTCCTCTGCGATATTCCCAATTCAGATCCATTGATCATTCATCTATTTACCAATTTCTTCGATACTATCTCTGGCTCATCCAAGTCCTCGACAGGCGAAGAGATTTCCCGAGATGTGCAATACAACATGACGCAAATTCTTGTTACATTAGTCGATGAAGCCCAGAGTTTGCCCGCAGAAGCCGTGGACGTCATTGTTGCCCAATTTCTACGCGCAAGCACCCCAGGAGGTGGCAAGAAGGGAGAAGCGCCGGACGAGAAGCAGTCGACTCTCTTATTAAAAGAACTCCCAGAAGCATACAACATGGCCAAAACAATCTGCAACGCCTGCCCGGAGAAGATGGCTCGGTATATCAGTCAGTACTTCAACGATGTGATAATGGATGTTTCTGGCGACGCAACAAAGACGAACGGCCACCGGAGGAAGAGCGATGTGGCCCCTGACTCCGACGATGAAGATGTTCCATCTGGTCCTACGGAATCAGATATGATTGAGCTCCGGAAGGCTCACAAGTTATTGCGGGAATTGTGGAGAGCTTCAGCCCCTGTGTTACAGAATGTCATACCTCAATTGGAGGCGGAACTGTCTGCGGAGAATATTCAGCTTCGGCTTCTAGCTACCGAGACGTTGGGGGATATCATTTCTGGTATTGGAGCTGCTGGGCCACCCCCTCCTCCGATTATGGACCCTGCCGCATACCCACCTGCCAAGCTCGATGACAGTTCCCCACCCCCCGCCAACGAAAATATCCTTACGACTCCGAGCTCTCCTCAGTCATTCGCACAAACCCACCCCGGCGTTTACCAGAGCTTTATGGGAAGAAAGAATGACAAATCATCAGTCATTCGAGCAGGATGGACAACCGCCATCGGTCGAATTCTGGTTACTTCGGGAGGTGGAATTGGGCTGAGTTCTCACGAGGAGAGTGCTCTGGTTAAGGGACTTGGAGAGAAATTGAGCGACGCTGATGAGAAAGTCAGACTTGCTGCTGTCAAGGCCGTTGGAGAATTCAGCTTTCGAGATGTCATTGCCAAGCTTGCTCCGAACGGAAGCGTGAGCAAGTCTGGATCGGTGCTGTGCACTTTGGCAGACCGAGCTCGAGACCGCAAACACGCAGTAAGAATCGAAGGCATGACCACGCTGGGCAGAATTTGGGGCGTTGCTGCGGGTGAAATTGCTGCAGGTAATGAGGCAGTCAATGATGCTCTCGGTGGCATTCCAACCAAGATTTTCGATGCATTCTATGCCAATGATAAAGACCTCAATGTTCTTCTGGATCATGTCATGTTTGAGCAGCTCATTCCTCTGGGCTACCCACCTGCGAAAGCAAAGGGAAAGGCCGCAAATGGAGATTCTCAAGTCAATGGCGACGGACCTTTTGATGCAGACAAGATCCGCACTGAGCGTATTCTGCTTGTTGTGAAGTGCCTCGACGCAAAGTCACGAAAGGCTTTCTTTGCATTGCAAGGTCGGCAACCGACCTTCTCGAAAGTGCTGGAGCAATTCCTCAAGCGCTGTGAAGAGTTCAATGGAGGCGTGATGGAGGAAGACGCTCAGGGTATCAAGAACAAGCTCGATACATGCGTCAAGTGGTTTGCTGATCTTCTCCCTGACCCTCTACGGAGCATTCACGATTTGCACAAGTACGCCAAACTTCATGACCGACGAAGTTATCAACTTCTGCGATTTATGATCGCTCCTGCCAGCGACTTCAACACCGTCTACAAGGCCTTCAAGGAGTTTCAGAAGCGAATTCAGTCAGCAGCTGGTGCTCCAGCTGGCCTTCTCGATACATTTATTCCCATCATTTACCGTTCTGCTCACCTCGTCTACAACAGAAGTCATCAACCCGTCATCCTGCAATATGCTCGGACCGATGACAAGGAGTTGGGTGCAACTGCGCATATGGTGATGCAGGAAATTTCAGACAAGCACCCTCTGATTTTTGAGGCGAGTGTCAATGAACTCTGCAAATCTCTTCAGGAGCAAGCGCCATCCGAAAAGAAGCCGAACCTGCCGGGGAGCGTGGACACCCTCAAGGCGTTGGCCTCGTTTGCCAAAAGCCCCCAAAACAAGATTCCCAAAGACCGGAAATTCGTCTCCACACTCCTCGGTTTCGCGAAGTACGGCACCCCACCAAAGGCGGCTAAATATGCCGTTTCCATCTTGATGGCGTCTACGGACCGAAAGGAGATGCATACGAAGGATCTGCTCGACTATGCAACACAGAATTGGGAATATGGTGGCGATCATTACTTGACAAAGCTCGCAACAATCTGTCAATTGACGTTGCTCGATCCCAAGACGACCGAGGATTCGAATGATGAGATTCTCGATATTACTACCCAGCAAATTCTCCTGAGGACACGAACACCAAAATTCGGTGAAGACGAAGCTTGGCAGTCGGATGAACAGCTAGACGAGGAGTTACAGGCGAAATGTTGGGCATTGAAGACTCTGGTTAATCGTCTGAGAACCACGACTGACCCTGAGACGGCCAAGAAGCTTGCTATCCCGGTTTACAAGCTCCTGAACGCGTTGATTGTCAAGAATGGCGAATTGTCTAAGCAGGCCGACACTCCATCTCACCACAAGTCGCGATTACGTTTTCTGGCAGCCCAGCAAATGCTGAAGGTGTGCACGAACAAGATGTTTGATGAATTTGTTTCGCCCGTCGAATTCAACCGTCTTTCTTTTGTTGCGCAAGACGCTACCCCGGAGGTTCGTCGAGGTTTTATCGAGAAACTGCAGAAGTATATTGTCAAGGGCAAGCTTTCAAATCGCTTCTTGACTATCATATTCTTGACTGCTTTTGAACCGATGAACGACTTCCGAACTTCGATCATGACCTGGATCCGTTCTCGCGTCAAGGTTTGCCATGATGCCAAGAACAAGGTCTTTGAATCTGTTTTCCCTCGTCTCATTCATCTCCTCGCACATCATCCAGATTATAGCACGAGCCCTGGGGAGCTTCAGGATCATGGCAGATATCTTCTCTACTATATCACAACTGTTGCTTCGGAAGACAATCTGGCTTTGATCTACAAGTATGCAGAACGAGTCAAGCAAGCACGAGATGCTCTCTCTGGTTCGGACTCAGAAAATATATACGTGTTGAGTGATCTTGCCCAAGCACTGATCAAGAAATGGGAGGAGAAGAAAGGCTGGAGTATGCAGACATGGCCTACCAAGGTTGGGATGCCTGTGGGTTTGTTTTCCGGATTGCCAAGTCATGAAGTCGCACAGGAGATTGCGGAGAAGAATTATCTACCGGAAGAGATGGATAACCTTCTTGATGATCTGGTCAGAAATGCAGACAAAAAGATTCGGGTACGTATCCTCCTCTCTCCATCTTGAACACTACTAACATTCTCCAGCCACCGAAAGCACAAAAACAACCAAAACGCAGCCGCGACGACCAGGATCCCGACGCCCACCCCGCAAAGAAGGTGAAATCGGAGCCAAAGCCTAAACCCACGAAGAAGGAGAAGCCCGCCAAGGAACCCAAGACGCCGAAAGCATTGAAAAAGAAGCAACGCAGCAGCGGCGCGGCCCCGAGCTCGACAGAGCGCAGAACCAGCCGCCGTGGTACGAGTGCGCGCAAGAGCTATGCGGATAGAGATGATTCCGAAGATGACGAGGAGATGTGGGACGGTGTTGCGGAGTGGGAATACCTTTCCGGGGAGGAGGCTGAGCGGGAGCAGAAGCTCGCTGCTTCCGCCAAGAAGGCTCAAGTTCGGGATTCCGACGATGAGGAGGAAGCTTCATCTCCAGAACGTGAAGCCGAGGCCGAAGAACCTGAAGTGGACGTTGAGCCTGGGCTTGATCCTGAAGCCACGCCTGAACCTGAGGAGGAGGATGAGGAGGAAGAAGAAGTCGTTACGCCCCCTCGATCGAACGGTCGACACGCAAAACCCCGATCCTCGGCTGCGAAATCAAGCCCAAAGAAATCTTCGCCTCGAAAAGCGCCGACCCCGAAGGCGAAAGTGGCTCCTTCAAAGGTTCTGAAGACGAAGGGAAAGAGCCCGCTTGTCAAGGCTAAAGGGAAGACGCCGATTTCTGCCGCGAAGGAGGTTGCGGCGAAGAAAGGGGCCGCTGCAGCGAAGGGGAAGGGGAAGGGCAAGCAGAGTAAGGTGAAGGATATCTTTGACATGGATGAGTCGGAATGATTTGTCTGTATCAAGTCGGAGGAGGAATGAATGAATGGATGGATTTGTTCGAGTATGATTTGGATGAGGGAGCACTGACTTTGCTGCTTGCTTGCTTGGGATATGATGCCACGCGATACCATCTTGCAATGAGTCTCATGTGTTTGGACAGCGAAATGCGTGGATGGATAGCATGGGTGTATGAATGAATGGGAGTGAAACGATCCATACATGCATACATACCTCTTTAATGCGTGATGCGACGAGGGTTCACGATGTGATGAGTGCGAGGAGTCGAGTGGATGAGGAACGAGGGCTGGGATGCGATGTGATGTACTGTACTTAGCTAGCTGCCGAGCGAAACTCTAAAAAAAAAATGGATCTCTGCCCAGCATTCTGGCCGTTCCCGTGATTTCTGCCCTCCTTGAATTCTCTGATCTCATCATCCCCTGATCTCGATCGAACCTCTGTGATGGGATGTCCGAATCCGGATACGGGTGCATGTCATCGGCGCTCATCTCCGAGCGGCCGACAGCTTCATTTCATCCAAATCCGAGGGTTTTGAATTTGGGAATCACCATTCTCCGTCGTTGAGACGGGAAGACAGACAGGACTTGGCAAGCGTCGACTACGCGTGGTATATTGAGGTTCGAGATGCGCCAGGATTTGGGCGGGGTTGTCATTGTAGGCAGTTTCCGGGAGAGGAGGGACCTGCCTCGAGCCTTTGAACTAACTCATCACAAGCATCACCATATCACGAATGCGAAGCACAAGAAGTGTCTAGATATCTCCATTGCTGCTGATTCTCGCTGCTTCTCATCTCTCGCAACAGCTCAGCTCCCCGGAGAGTAGATATGCCAAGTCTAACAGCAACCTACAATCTCCTCCCCTCCCCATCCACGCGTCTATCCCGACAGCTACAATTTACTCTCACAATCTCTACCGCCCTGTCTATGCTCATCGCAGGCTCGCAGCCCCAGAAATCTCAGAAGAGAATCGAAGTGTGGTATCCAGTCGAGAATACGAACGTATGTGGTGTTGCGCAATGCCCATCAGCCCACCCGACGCCGAAATATGATACAGGTAACAGGACAGTGTGCTCTTGTGGGGGATGCATGCAGGTGGGGGTGATTGATTGTGATAAAGGGAAAAGGGGGAATCATGGGTCTCTGTCGGTGATGCAGGCATTGATAACGCAATGGAACATGCCAAATCAGCTATGATCGAATGATCAGCTGATTCAAATCCGATCGTGCATCATGAGATGGAGCCAATATGAATCACCTGATAAGCTCGTACAGAAATGCTCGGTATTTTTGCCGAGGAAGTTTCGGTGATAAGGAATCCAACATGCGCTCCATCGGAGCTGAGTCCGGAGTCTAAAAAGGCTGGGATTCAACGCCGCTTCAAAGCAGCATCTCCGTGTCGTGGTCTTCATCCTGGACTTGAGGCCCGACGTGGTTCTCGACTACGTCCTCGTCCATTTTCTCAGGCTCGGGCTCGGGCTCCGTCTCTGTCAATACTTGGACAGGAGCGGGTGTTGTCTCGCGGACTGGCGATGCTTCTGCCTGGACTTCGACTGGTGCGGATATGACACACTTGACGGGCTCTGCCTCGACGGATGCTGCCTTGAGGGGTGCTGGCTCGATAGGTGATGCTTCAGATTGTCTTAGTTCAACAGTTGCCGCATCGGCAATTGTTTCCTCAATCATTGCATCCTCGACTATGGCATCCTCAATGGGTGCTTCCTCGATAAGTTCGAGGCTCGCATCCTGATGGGTGACATTTCCCGGTTCAATAGCAGCTTCGGCTTGAACCAGAGCCACAGAAGGAGCTGGTGTCGCTGAGTTACGCGCTGAACCACCAACTGAGGCAACAGGAGCCGGCGTCACTGAACCACGTACTGAAGCTGGAGCTGGCGTTGTTGACCCGCGGATCGAAGCACGAGCTGAAGACGGGGCCGAAGCTGGAGCCGATTCGTGCATTTGATGATCCTCGGCCTCGGGAGTAATCTTTGCGTATAGCTTGTCGAACAGATGCTTCATCGAAGTGATAACATGCGACGGCAGCTTCTCCGTCATCTCGTCCACCTGGTCCACAGCCATCAAGTCGATCACTTGCGGCGGAGCCTCGGCCTGTGCCCTGGTTAGCATTTGACACTAGTTACGTCATGAGACACGTAGTACGAAACTCACAAGGAGAGTATGGATGAGCTGGCTGAGATCGCCAGTCAGAGGCTCTTGTGCTGCAAGAGATGCGAGATTTAGAGCTGCCTGTTGCTGGTTGACAGATCTTTGATTCCAGGTTGGTCGTGGTACTGGTTTCGGCGGTCTGGTCGCGAAGCGACTCGGGAGATAGCCTCCACCCTCTCGTTTGACCCTGAGGAATCGTTAGTTTGATCAAACAATGTAGAAGATCGACCACCTACTTGGAAATGAAATCTAACTTGATCCCCTGCTCCGGAAGCCTGTACACGTGACCGTACTCTCGCTGCTCGTAGAAACCTTGCTCTTCTTCGTCCTCACTTGGCTCACTCTCGATTTCGATGTAGCCATTGTTCTTGATGCCTCGAGAAATCGCTGGCTTGATCACCGATGCTCCCTTGATTCTTCGGAAGCGATGGGCAGGAGCAAGAGTAGCTGGAACCTGCAGAAGGAGATCATCGACATGCGCCGGACATCGCCATTGTCGTCCTGGAGAGGGCTCCTTAGCTAAAGGATTTGGGAGGCAGTCAAGATGCCAGGAGAGGCCACAAAAGGTGCAGGGAATGATCATGCGATTGGGAGGTGATGCTGCACCGTGACAATTGTGACAGAGAATCGTCTTTCCTTTGGCGTCTTTCAGGCGGTAGTAGTCTGGTGCTTCATCATAGCCTCCACGATTGTTCCTGCGGTGCTGTCAGCATGGTCTCGTCAGACTTCAGGATGTTTTAGGGCTTACTTTGGCTTCGCAGTACCAGCTTCCTCGTACTCGCCATCCGCGCCCGTCTTAACATCGACGAAATACTCACGAATGGACTTTGGCAGGCGGAATGCGCTGGGGTTCTTCTCATCTAGGGAAAACAGCAGTGGGCCAAAGGTGCCAGGAATCGGATCTCGTGCGCCAGGTTGGCGGGACTGGCAGACGTTGCAGAACCACTCGTCGGGGAAACTGCCCTCGATCATGGGCGGATCGACGCACTTGAAGTGGAATGATCGAGTGCATCCATCGCAGCAGACCAAGTCACCGTTTCCTCCGCACGCTGCGCAGTAATCATCATTGTCATCCTGTGGCGTGAGTCAGCATTGGTGTTTGAAAGAGGTTATCAGAAAATGAGGACAGCTGGGATGGAGAACTGGGCAGGGTGGCGAGTTTCATGGATGGAAGGATGATGGATGATGGGTGATGGATGATGTGGGGGGGGGGGAGTGTTGCATGGTTGGTCTGCTCGGTAAGGGCGGAGTGCTGAGCAGACAGTGAGATTGCCGCCCGGGCGTGTGCGTTTTTCGCAGGCCACAGCAGCGTGAGGAATCAAACTTTTGATCCGTCTCCCCCATCGAGGCCCCCGTGAAGCCATCACAAAAAGTCTCATCTCAGGGGAACAAATGGAAGCAGCTGCGATCCAGAGATGAATCGGGATGATGCAGAATGGTGCGAGTCTTACCTGGCTGTGAGAAAAGGCACCGTTGCCGGTCGGGCTGTTCCTCTCACCGCTTGCTCTGGGGATGCCAGCTGGAAGCGCGCCCTTCTTCTTCATCGGGCTGTCGTCGAAAGATGTCGCATTAGCATAGTCCTCAGAAAGACGCGTTCTGATGATGAGATCGCAAAGTGAGGCGTGGACACGATGAGGGAGGGGCCGGTCGCATTGTGCGACGGCAATCCGCAACGCTCGAGGCAGGAAAACGGCAAGATTGAGCGCGGACAGGAAATACAGAACATGAGGCTCACGAGATACAAGACCGCGATGGATGCTACAACGCTGTGAAACATAAAGAATTGATGACTTACGATGTCTTGACACGTAGACCGGTGCCTGTCCGCGCCTTTCTCGTTGGTCGACCGAACGTGCTGGGAGTGCCAGCGCGGGAGACAGAGCGAGAGCCCGGCGCGCCGTCTGGCGGGAACGCGAGCAAGGTCGGGGAGCTGAGGTCTTCCGAATCATAGTTGTTTCTCTGTCGAGTCTCGCGGGTCTTGGGCTTGTTGAGCAGGCGGACCTTGGGCGGGCGCCTGGAGGAGGAGGAGGAGACTTTTGAGGGCACGACGGAGTCGCCACCATCAGAGTCGGTCTCCTGCGCAGACGCGACCTGGACCTGGTGCCGCTCGAAGCTGTCCCGGATGTCGCCGGCGACGGTGTTGGTGGTCTCGCGCGCACGGCGTCTCAGGCGGCTGGTCTTGTCGTTCGGATCATAGGGGTCCCCCTTGATCTTGGCCAAGCCCTTTGCCTTGAAGGATGACGGCAAGTGCACGAAAGAAGTAGCGGAGCTGTTGGAGGAGGAGTTCAGCAGCGCCGCCGGGGCCATCGATGTCGCCGTCGATGTTGCGGCGGGAGGAGGGTTGTTGTTGTTGTTGTTGGCGGTAGTGGTCAACGTCGACGTCGACGTTGCAGTGGTGGGCGATTTGGCGGAGGACGAGGGCGCGACGAGCGCGGGAGACGCAGGCTGAGGCAGCGGCAGAGGCACCGGGGCGACGGAGGGTGTGGGCTGGAAGATGTAGGTTTTGGGGCCTTTCTTGAGCGGCGCCGTGATTGGCTGCGCCTGACTGCGCGCAAGGGTCTCGGCAGACGACGCTGCTGCCACGAAATTGTTGTGGCTCGTGTAGGGCGAGACGTGCGGTTTGGCGGCACCTCCCAGGCGCAGCCCCAGCCCAAGCCCCGCCAGTGGGTGGCCGCCGAGCCGGGTCAGAGAAGGGGCAGCATGGGCAGCATGGGCAGCATGGGCATGGGCGCTGGTATCGGTAGCTCGTGCATCTGCCTCTGCCTCTGCCTCCACACTGCTGCTGCCAGCCCCAGCCATCGGGTCTTCGCCCTCAAAGGCATCGGGATCGACAGACGACAGTGATGAAGAGGTTGATTGCGAGCGTGCTCTGCGCGACTTGCGGGGAGTAGACTTGGCCGAGTTCGTGCCTCCATTTGCTTGCAATGGTGAGCCCGCTCTCGCAGCCTCGTCTGCTGCAGCCGGAGTCCCGTTCACTTCAGCGTTGACAGGCTGGAAGCTGTTCGGACGGCGCTTCTTGCTGATGTGCTCGTGCTCGTGCTCGGCTTCCTTTGGCGATGCAGTCACTGGCGGTGCAGAACTGGCGGAGGAGCTCCTGCCCACGAGCGAGAGAGATTTTGGTCCCATATCTCTGTAGGGCGTGACGTAGGGACCTGGAGGAGGCTGAATCAGTTGAATAGGAATGGCGGGGATGACTGGTGTTGGTGGTGTGGCCTTGGCGTTTGGGGCTGGATCACTTCCGTCGCCGTTGAAATAGTACTCGCCAGTCCGGTCCTTCTTTCCTTCCTTCTTCTTCTGGCGCATGATGCCCTTGAACTCCACGTAGCTGGCCTCAGAAGCCCGTCCGTTGTAGATAGCCTCAATCAGACGAACAATCTTGGGATTAGACCGGTGGTCATCGTAGAGAGTGCGGAGAGCATACGCTGTTGGCCATCGTTGATGGTCTACAGCTTCTTGCACAGCCTCCTCGACGACTCGATCCGTCTTGTCGAGATTGATAAGGGGCAACCCATCAGCGCCCAGGGTCGGACCAGGTGTTCCAGCTATTTGTGCTTGGGGAGGAGCTTGAGGTGTTGGAGGTGTTGGGCGAGTCAGATTGGTGGTGATAAGGATAGGAGACTGCTGGAGTTGGAATACCCCTTGCCCATTGTTTTGAGGGCCAATACTCTGCCGTGAGACGCTCTTTCGTGCACTGGGAGGTGCTTGTGGGGTCTGTGGTGCACTCTCCACCTCATCGACCGTCTTGATCGAAGCTGAACGGTTTCGTGCTAGGTTTGTAGGTGGCTCGGGGGTCACTACCGTCTCGCTTGGGGTCGAGACAGCAGAAGGCCCTGATCTCCTCGGATTTTCTCTGCGCCCCAGTGGGATTTCGTCTGCTCTGCAAGCCATCTTCATCGCCTTCTGAGTCGGATGGGTCCCAAGAGGTGCCATGTTCTGCACGACGCCATGTCGCTCGATCCCGGCGTCCACGAAGCTGGCCCGAGGGGTAGGCAGGGGAGGCTCTTGCCAAACCCCGTCCAACGCGGTCTTGGGCCTCTGCGAACCGTCTGCCATTGTGATTTTTCCGTCGGCTGCCGCATTTGAGGGTGCTGGCATAAAGGGGCTTGCCCTTCGAGATCGTGTCGGCCTGGGAGTTGGCGTCGACATCGTCGCTGCGGCTGGCGACCACCTCCCTCCCTTTCTTTGCGACCGCGAGCCCGCCAGGCGAGGCGACTTCGACAGATCTAAACGGGGGTGTTAGTTCAGGGGCAAGCTATGGGGGAGCAGCGTGCAACACTTCTCAACTTCAAGGATACATGCACGCCCGATACGATCGCGATTTGGGGTGGTGGACGCGTTGGAGTTTTGGTGAGGAATTGGAGATGGGAGCTCAGGAAGAAGGGGAGAAAGTCTCGCTTCGAGGGTCCAGCTTCGCTTACAGAACCCCCTAAGGGCAGGATTCTGCCCGGCACCTCCCACGCCAAAACACCCGGCCAGGGGAGGCGGAGGGCGCACACAACCCGAGGGAAAATGTCGGAGGCAGGGTGAAAATTCCAGCAGAGGCAGCAGAGGCTGCTTCGGGCCGCAGTGCAGTCAGATAATGTATTTCCAAAATGTCAATATTGGTCAGGAGAGCGGCGGTCAGGTGTTGCGAGCTGAGGGGCTGGCTTTCTTATCAATCGGGGCGGCGGCGAAAAAAAACAAGGGGCTTGGACTTGGGAGCTTGTGTGCAGTGAGTGAAAGGGCAGAGTGCTGTGCAGTGGTTTGATGATGTGACCGATATTTAGGCCGGCCCTCGCATTCAACCCTCGGCTTCATATTACGACACGATGGGTCCCAAGTCCCAAGTCACTTTTCCAGATTTACTCTCGCATTCCTCCTTACAGTAGATTTCCTGGATGGTTAGTGTCCGACCTGACTTATCCGAACCAGATCTCACTCCTTTTTGCGCTGCCCGCGCTAGCCCCTTTTCGCACTCATAGCCTGCACAGAGAAAAAACAATAACGCAAGGCGCATCCGGGATACATCAATCATGATTTGCTGCATTTCTCTATTCTTCGAGAAGCATGAACGCTCAGTAATATCAACGCAACGAACCTCCTAGCCATTTTCAAAGTTCAGAGACCCATGACGAATGTCCCGCCATCTCCTCGACTAACGAGGCCAAGCGCGGCTAGAGCAAACGATGCTTGACAAGCCCCATAGCAGTGTCCGCAGCAAGAAATCAGAGATGAGAAGTCGTTGATAGACATTGAATAGATGAGCCTCCTATCCATCGCAGGAGGCCATTCCTGTGCTCACCTCATCCTTCATATCTTTTACTCGTCGTCACTGCTCTCCTCGTCATCATCTGCAGCCGCAGCCTTCTTCGCGGGCTTCTTCTTCTTCTTGTTCTTCGACTTCGTCTCCTTTGCGAGTGGTTGCTCCAAGATCTTGAGGACTTCCTCGTCGGTAATTTTCTTGTCGGTTTTGAGTTTTGACAAGTCAGGAGACGGAGGAGCCGCGATCTTCTGCAGACCATTCTTTGTGATAGCTGAGAAATTAGTTTTGCTACGGAAATGCTGAAAACAGGGCTTACCAATGGTGGTCAGCAGTCTAGCAACAGGATCTCCATCCTTGTCTCCAACCACTTCGTATTGTCGGAAAACGTTGCCTCGAACACACTCTACAACACCCACCTTCGCATCCCGCTCGTCCTCCAACTGCCGTAAGCTGAAGGGGAAAGTACCAAACTTCTTGACGACCTCGTTCAGGATCTTCTTTGAGCTTGGTCGCTTCAAGGCGTAGGTGAGAGTGGTACGTCGGTGGAGAGTTGTCCTGTTCTCGAAGTTCTTGATCTTGCCCGAACCTAGACTGACACCCATCTCAACGCCCCAGACTTCACCAACCTCTGGAATGCCTTCGCCTTTTGCACCATCTCCAGGAGCCAGAATAATCTTCTTCTTACCCTCAATCTCGTTGCGCTCGAACTGCCAGCTAGTAGTCGACTCAACCAGGTTGCAATCGTAACTCTTGACCACCTTCTCGAGAAGGGTTGTGATCTTGCTTTGAGTTGGGGCCTTGACCTTGGCAGCTTTGGCCTTCTCCTCATCGGTACCAGTCGCCAAAAGTCCAGGAGGAACCATCAACCGTAACAGAAGCTCGTTTGCATAGTGGCATGCCAACAGCAGATCAGCATCTCGGCCTTCAACCACATCGCTGGCATCGTCGGCCTTAGGGACGATGATTGTATCGCAGACTATTGTTCCAAAACCATCAATCTGGGCACCCAACTGGATCTTGATAGCCTCTCCCTCCTTGAGCGTAACTGCAGCTTCGGCTTCGTCCGAAGTGAGTGGGGTGTATGGTGTGACAAAGGCGGATGGGGAGACGGTGGTCGGGTGGGAGATGCCTGGGATTGTCAGTCAAGAATAGTGGCGTGATCTCTGCGGCGTACCCTTTTTGAGATCCTTCTTTCCTCTATAGACCTTGGAAATCTCCTCGTCCAACAGCTTGTCGCCCTTCTCGCAGATGGTCACGATCTTCTCGCCAGCAACGCAGAGCTTGGTGACCGCATCCAAAACCTTCTGGGAGATCTGGGCGGCACTCTTATACTTTGTGAGGGTATCGGGGTTGTTTAGGGTATAATCTGGAGGGAGAAATGTCAGCACGTGTGCTTCAAGATGCTGCGACTTCATGGTCCAGCAGATCCTTCATCCTGGGGCCCAAATAGCGGGGTATGGTAGGCTGTCTACAGCGCTGGCGGGAAGGAGGATGGGCTTACCGATCTCCTGCTCGGGTTCCTTCTTGTCGGCCATGGTGACGGTATTTCCAAAGGAACGTGGGTGCAGTCGTGAGGGCCGTGATCGAGGATTGTGGTGTTTTGAGAGATGCAGAGACAAAAGATGAGGGCTCGAGTCCGCGTGGGCCTTGTGTGGGCGTTGGTCTTGCACCTGCTCGCTTACCCAAGGTCCTCCCGCCGCATCCCTGCAGGTCAAGTCAGCGAATGCCCCCAGCTGGCCGCTGTTGACCGCCGTATTTTGTCTCTCAGCCATTCGCAGCAGCAGCGCAGCCTTCACTCAAACTCAACGCGCCTGCAGCTCGCGCTTCAACCTCATCGTCAAGTACCGCTCCACCAACCTCCTCTTGCCCAGGGCGCCCATCCAGCATTCCACACCTGTCGCACTGCTGTCGCGAATGTGTTCGCGATGGCTCCCGACCCTCAGCAGGCATCCTCGGACGCCGACGCCTCAGCGCCTGGCTCTTCTGCAGTCCTAGCCCACCGCCAGCGGACCAAGGAGGACTTCGACAAGATCCTCCTCGATAAATATGTCAACCGGGACCTCGTGCACACGGCGGCGATGCTGGACGATGTCGCCAATCGGACGAAGAACTACAAGCACATGCGGAACGAGGCAGACGACTACAAAAAGGTGCGCTCCGAATATCGACAGTGGTTCCCCCCTAGTCGACTCTACGGTCAGGGCTATAGTGGTTACGGCAATGGACACACAGATGGCACGCCCAAATTGGTCTATCCCAACGCGAAGCCGCGGCTGGGACACAAGAAGACGACCAGACTTCGAATCAAGCGCAAAGAGTTGCAGGCACAGGCGGATCAGGTTGAAGAACTCGTACCCATACGAATAGACGTCGATTGGGATAAGCTCAAACTGCGAGATACCTTCACTTGGAACCTGCATGACCGAGTTGTGCCTGTAGATTTGTTTGCGGCGCAACTGGTGGAAGATTTGGGGTTGGCTCTCCCCCAAGCAAATCCTGTACTGGACCAGGTCCAGCAGCAATTGCAGGAGCAACTCACGGACTACTTTCCAACAATATATATGGAGGAGGATGCCCTTGACCCTGAACTGCCGTACCATGCGTACAAGAACGACGAAATGCGGATACTCATCAAGCTCAACATCACAATTGGCCCCCATACATTGGAGGACAAGTTTGAGTGGGAGATTAATAATCCTCTGAACTCTCCAGAAGAGTTTGCTCAAAGCCTTGCAAGAGAACTATCATTAGCTGGGGAATTTACCACCGCCATCGCACATAGTATACGGGAACAGAGCCAGTTGTTTATTCGGAGTTTGTACATTGTTGGGCATCCATTCGACGGGCGGCCACTGGAGGATGCCGACTTACAAGCAGCATTTTTACCATCTCCTCTGCCATCAGTCTTCCGGCCACAACAACAAGCTCGAGAGTATACGCCGTACTTGTACGAGATGAGTGAGCAGGATCTGGAAAGGAGCGAGGTGATCTATTCCAGAGAGCAGAGGAGGCAAAAGAGATCCGTGAATAGAAGAGGAGGTCCTACATTACCGGATTTGAAGGATAGGCAACGTACAGTGCGGACTTTAGTTGTGTCTTCTGTTATTCCTGGTGCTGCAGAGTCCGTTGAGAAGAGCCGATTGTACAAGCATGTTGGTGGGGCTGGGAAGAAACGTCCTGGTGTTGGCCTTGACCTTTCCGAATCTTCAGAGAGTGAGGATTCTTCGCCAGAATCGCCAGCTATGTCGAATCTTCAGTCTGGGACAGCAAGGACGAGAGGGATGCGCGGAGCAGCGACTGCAGCACAACAAAGGATGGCGAATCTTGGAAGGTCAGAGACGCCGGAAGCAACGATATTGCATCATCATGAGACTCGGACGTCTGCAAGGAGGTTTGGTGGGACTGCACGAGATGAAAGTCCGGACCCAGACAAGTTCATCCTCAGGCTTAAAGTTGGAAGAGAGAGGTTGAGGAGATGGAATCGGGAACTGAAGGCTGGGACTCGACCCGCGAATTTGCAGCACACGCCCACTTTCAACCGTGCCCAGTCTTCTGTTGGTACTCCTGTGCCGGGTTCAATGGGTCCTCCTTCGACTCCAGGTCAGCAGAATACAACTCTACAGCCATCAACAACTCCCGTACCTCAGGGGCAAATCGGCCGGGTTGAAGCACCACCGCCTCCAGCTCCTGGCCAGCCAGCTCATGTCCCTGTAAGTGCAGCCTTTTCCCTCTCACAAATTCTTCACTGACAATATCTAGCCTGCTCCACCAACCTGGCTCACCCAAGGCCTTGCCGACCTCCTAAAACAATACCCCAACGATCGCTTCGAAGGCGTCATGCGTTACTCAGCCGTCAACACCGCCACCGAGCTCCCCTGCGCCGCGCCCCCAGCCGGCCAACCTACTCCGGAAGGAGTAAAATACATGTATCTGCCTCGCATCCGCTGCCACGACTGTCCTGGCAAACTGTACACCCCTGGTCCCGAAATGACTGTAGGCAATTTCGAAGTCCATTTGAAGAATCGGCAGCATAGAGAAAGGGTTGATGGCAGGGTTGGGGTGGGTCCGTCGACGCAAGCGAGTTCAAGCGGGAGTGGATTTTAAATGCTACGAAAACAGGGGGATGTACTATATGAAGACAAGATTTGGATGTAGGCATACTTGGTGTCTGGTGTGGGGTCCGTGGGGTGCATTGAATAAATGACTTGTTATACAACGGGAATGTTGACGCTTGCGCTCGTATGACCAGCGCCGCCTTTGCTCAAGCCCAGCTCAACTTCCGCACAGCTTCGGCTCAGGTCTGCTCAAGCCTGCTTCGCCATATTTATACGACACTGCGCAGCCAAGACTAACCTCACTAGAAATTATCAGCTTTTAACGCCCGAAAAAGCGTCTCTCCCAGTCAGTGATCCAAATATGTTCCTATACCACCATACTGACAAATACGGACACTATAATCCGGGGGATGCTTTCGCCCCCTTATTCTAAAAATGGCCGTTCCTTCTCGCCTTTGAAGCTTCCCTCTATATCTTCTCTCCCATCGTCTCCGTAAGGGCTAGGAACCTGTGATTGAGCTTCGGTCACATGACCATCGCATCCCTCCTATCTGAGGCGTTCAGTCCCTTACTTTGCTGGCAAGCATACAGCCTTATTCCTAGCTTCATTCTTTAGCTGGAATGTGGGCTAGCTGACAGCATTCATAACGTAGTAATATAAGGAATATGGGGATACAAAGGCTGAAGGATACCCGGTTTACAGAGGGATCTTCTTTCCTTAGGTTATTCTCCTCGTAATATCGACGGTCTTGCTAGTTGCCTATTCCGCCTCGGACCCGTAATACTTATAACTATATTAATAAAAATAAAAATAGTAATTTGAGAGGTTATTTTCGTCCTGTTATATATTTGTATAAGAAAAGAGTAAAATATCACTAAAAGATATACCTTATATTTTAAATAAGAAGACTATTGCGTGGATTTTAGAATTTGTTGGTGTGAGAGAGATAGTAAAAAGAGTATGCTAGCACCACGCAACCAGCAGACAGAGTTTTTCTATATAGGAGCATGTGCCATAAATTTCCTTAATTAAGGGACCGCTTGTCATCAGATAATCGAAATTGTGAATGCACTACTACCATCAAAAGACTCATACTCCAGCCAGTCGTGGTTCTTGATATTCGTCCAAAGAGGCCCTCCTGCAATTTTTACTGCCTTGCCAAATATACTTAGTCGGCCACACCTTCTAAACTCCCCCTTCGACACTCCTGTCGGTTGCAGCAACAGTCCTACGCATTGTGAATTTGCCATGTTACTGTTGTAAAATGGCATGAAATGCAGGAAAGGCACATCTGCATCGCCCACATCCATATCAGGATAAACAAAACCTCCGGTATGTTGGCCATTGAGCAACGCATCATACGCCCTGGATCTGCTCAAAATAGAGGAAGTCGTTCTTTTGATTGTCAGGGTTAACAAAGGCCCACAAAGTCGAACATAGCCAGCCTTGACTTGGGCAAATGGATCGTCCGTTACTTGCTCCACATGTACGTCAATCAAAGTGACATGAAAGTCAAAGACCATACTTGTGCTGGGAGCTGGGAAGTCTATGTCTACCTTCCCATCGAGACTAGCCCAGGACCAGGACGGAGCTCGGTAAGAATCTGGCCGGGCGCTCGTTCTTGTATCTGTTGCATAGCCGTCAAGTCCATGATACCATAATAGCTGATAGAGTATGTGTTGCCGCCACAAGCCTGCCAGATACCTGTCCTTACTTCCTAGTGCTTTGTGGATTTCCTTGGCTAATCCAGAAATAGCTACTAACTTATCCTCTGCTTTCGTTAGATTGCATCGCGAGTAGACTCCTACAAGTTGAGCCCAAACGCCATACAAATCTCTAACTCGTGCTTCTGGATCATTATGGGTTGATTGATTGCTGCCCATGTCCCACGTCTTGAACGAGCTGAAGAAGTCGCTAAAGCCGTACCAGCCACCCCAGCCCTTCTGGGCCACCTTGAAACCTGAAGGATAGGTTTCGCAGAGATCCCCAGTTTTGCATTCCCAGAATACTTGATTTCTGCCAAAGTGTATGACACGTGGCGGTAGAGCCCGCTCTTGAACTATCCAACCACGAGTGAAAATTGTTTGGTCGTTGTGAAGACCTGCTTCTAAGTAGTCTTCTAGCCGAATATGGTATTCGCCGTTAGGGCTGTCAGAGAACTCCGTGGTGATGATACACGGCTCCACTACCTGTGGATTCCTCATGTGAAAGCACCCGCCATTACTATCGTCGGATCCAGAAGCTGCAATATTACAAAGAGCGCCCTTATAAACATCGCCCATTGTGGAAGCCTCCTGTCGCCAATCTTCTAAAGAATCTTGGAGTATACAAAGGGAGTCTATCCAGAGATACCGTACTCCAAGTGTTTGTGTAATCATAACTGCATCTTGGAAGGATTGGGGCAGTACATTCAGATGAATACCATCCAGAAGTTGCTGAAAGGTATCGGCAGTCAGTTTCAGGAATTTAGCCGCTCCCCAGCAGTGACTCAGAGTTATATAGGGGTGTTTGTTTGAAGTTGGTGCGGCAACAGAAAGCCTAAGGTGATCGCGATGGGGGACACCCAATTCAAGAAGTCTAGTAGGCATTTTCATGCTTGCCGAATCCACGTTACAGTCCGGATGGCTAGTAGTGCAAACCTTGAGCCACGTGGACACGAGGTCTAAGGTGGCCGCCGAATCAGTTCGGTTTTCATGCAATCTGTTCTGCATCTCTGACAAAACCTCTGGCAGAATTTCTGAATGCTATTAGCATGTTATTCCCATTACCTTGGCTCAAGGATGGCTAATCAAAGGATACGTACCACAGGTAGGCCATAGCCTGAAGTGTTCCTCTACCTTCTCTCCATTGGATAGACCGTACTTAAATGATAGCGCTACCGGAATTCCCGAACGCCATTTCGAAAGCTTAAGGCCGCATGTCTCAAGATTCAAAGTCATAGATGTGTCTCCACCCCGACGACGAATTAGGTGCCATAGCCTATCGCATATATAACACCCTTCGAGAGCACTTTGGCGCAGATCCCTCACCTCATGATGGTGATCTCGGAGAAAAACAATATCTCCCGATTCAGATACACGCTCTGCGACCAAGAGTGGACCTCTGAAGATGTTTTGGCACGTTCCACAATGCATACCGCGGATCCTTTGATGCCGGGCGCTGTTAGCGATCTGTATTCTGCACGATATAATTCAAGAAGCGGTAGATTGAAGAAGCCGGCTAGTAGGTTGCGGAGAAGGCTTGTAGACATGAATATCAGAATCGTTGCAGAGTTGCGATATGAAGGATGGACTGAGGTGACATAATGGTGAGTCATCATACGCATTCCCGAGGCAAATTACGATTGGTTGTTATTTAATGAGCAACTAGAAGCTGTCTTGAGAGCAAAAAATTGACGACTCATATGGCAAAACCAGCCATTAATGATTGCACCGGAAACAGAGGAACAAGGGAGAAGGTTTTCAGGGCTGAGCAGATTTAGCACATGGATTTAAGCCAACATCGATCCCAAAATAGTTCTATTGAAGCTGGGCGAATGCTAGACACAAGGGGGCCAAATGAGATCTGCGCTAATGACGAAAGTGTAACCGAGCCTCCAGGAAACCAAAACGAACATCTTTATGCGGTAAGATGGCCTTTTAATACATGCTTAGGCCAATTGAACGTGTGCTCAGGCCGTGCTCGGAAATACTCGCCGTCGACCTAAGCTTGCTCACCCATTGCTCAAGCTAAAGCAGCAGCAGATCAGGTTCAAAGATGGAAATGGAAATTCCATGAAAACATTCCCATGTAAATTCCTTGTTTTATCCCTCATCTGAGGCTTGCATCCGGGTGGCAATGCTTTCAGGCATGGATCTTCATTTTTGTTACAGATATTAGAGGGATAGTCGTCCTTTGTCATCTTCTCGTTCTTGTCTACGTTTTCTCCTCTGCCAAGCAGCGCCCCTCCGCTGAAACTCCGCAATCGAAGGTTTCCCAAGTGGCGCTCCCGCTCCCGCCTACCACATCTTCGCGTAGATTTTATCCGGGTCACATGATCCCCCTTTTCATGCTCTTGTCAAGTTGAGAATTGAAAATCTATCTTTCAGCTCACTCATAATATTTCGAGAATGGAGCATTCAGATGGTAAGCATGGAATGAGTTGATGGACGTCTTGAAGTTGTCTTAAGAGGTCTATTCAGTGCATTTCTACTTCCTAGGAAGTTGCACCGATTCGTATCCCCACCAACCCCAAAAAGCAGCCACTATCATCTCTCCATTATTCCCTCAGATGCAGCCCTGCCATGCAATTCAAGGCATCTCAGAATCCTCGCCGAAGCAACGACCGACATCCACTCAGAATCCCTGGCTAGCCAACCAGTCATGAGCAATGCCAAACGTATAAGAAGCATTATTATGCAAATGCCAACAATGCCCTGCATTCGGGAACACGACCTTGAAGTCGCTCGCATGAGGATACAAAGTCGCCGCCTTCCCAACAATGCCGTTCGCACTCATATCACACAACGGCGTGCCCAGCAGAATCTGGACGTCGATATTCAACGTGCTGCAGTAGATCGAGTCGTGCTGGCCCGTGATCACCATGACAGGGCCTGTGTACGTGGTCTCGATGCTGCCAATCATCACGGATGCTGCTTCACCTAAGGAGACGGTGCCGCGGGTTGCGAAATCGACGTCTGCCATGCTCTGGGAGAACTTCCCGGGCGCGTAGAATAGGAAGGTGAGGTAGTTCTCGTTGTTGAACTCGAGGTATCCTGGGTTGTAGCCGGCGAAACGGGGGTCAAGGAATGCGGGGGCGAGCCAGGACTGCACGAAGACGCCGGTGAATTGTGGGGGGAAGAAGATTGCATAGCCTGTTAGCAGGGTAGCGTCTGCGTCGGACGGGTATTTGGCGTTGAGGTTGTTGGTGACGACGGAGCCGAGGCTGTGGCCAGCGAGGATGATCTTGTCGAAGATTGTACCTGTGTATGGGGCAGGCAGGGGAAGGGTGCCACCTCGGGCCATAACGATTATTTGGTGGACCTGTTCGGCTTGATAAGGCAGCTGGACGATGGTTATGGGGTCTGGGTGGGATGAGTCGCCGTTTCCGACGCGGTCGATTGTGAGAGTTGCGTAGCCCTCGGAGGAGGCGTAGGAAACCCAGCTGTTGTCTGGATTGAAATATTCTCCAAACCAGTATGCCTTTGTGTAGCTTCCGCTGTTCGAGGGTGTCAGTTGGAACACCGGCTTCACCACTAGAGGAGAACTTACCCATGTATCAAGATTTGAAGAGTATTCGCCCGGGTTCCAACTCCGGGGCAGTAAGTAGCTGCGATGTTGTATGTACCAGATGCTACAGCATCGAGGACTCTAGAAAGGATTGGATTGACCAGGAGGAGGAAGTTTGCAGTTGTCAAGTCGGGTGGAAGGGGTATGTTGTCCGAGGAGGACGCGGTGACCGAGATGGTGATGTTGGTGCAGCCGGCGGGAATGACCTGGCGGTTCTCAATGGGGGCAGAGAAGGCGGCTCCTGCGAGGAGGAGTACAAGAGCAAAGAAGCTCGTGATGTGCGTCATCGTGGAGGTTTCGGTGTTGTGATCTTTGTTCGTTGTGTCTTGTGAATTGGTGCAAGAAGTCTTTTGTGCGATTTGGAACTTCGGATATCAATTCAATAAGGAAGCAATTTCAGGTGAATGGGAACGCATGTCAGTAAGAAAGTGAATCCATTCCATCAGTGATCGAGTCCGGCTTGACAAGGTTCGCAGTGGATATTCCGTTAAATCCTAAAGAATGAGATCATTTTCCGGTGCCATGGTCACGGAAACACAAAGGGGGTCTACATTTTGAATTACTTGATTTAACTTCCATAAAAGTGGGCCGTAAGAATGTGGCAGTGCCAGACCGTAGTAGTTGCAGGAATAGTTTGTCCAAAAGGAGGAGGATCAACGTGTGCTGGCGGTAGAACAACCTGGTAGCCTTCAGAAGTCCATATCTGCCAGGGTTTATCATAAAACTGCGAGACATTAGATTGAGCCGACGGATACAGATAACTAAAGCCTGAACGACAACTAGGATGATTGGATTAAATGAGGCAGGTAAACAGTAAACTTACCTTGAAGTATCCCTCTCGAAGTAGTTTTAATAAATATCACATCTAACGCTTCTTGGCGGAGCTAGCAGTATTCCATTGGCGTAGTGGGATTGGGACATTGGTTTTAATAGAACCACGTCTGAACATCCTTACTTGGATGCTAATGCATATAAGCAAGGCAGCCAAACCTACTACTTTTGCAGTAAAGTCTATAGAGAGTGTGGGGAATAATAGCCCAATTGTTATGACTATATGGCTATGCATACTATATACTCATCCGTAGAAGCGGCCCACCTTATCTCCTATTTAAAGTAAGCTGCAGGGGTTCTCCTATTTAAAGCAAGCTGCAGGGGTTCTTCTATTTAAAGCAAGCTGCACAGGTTTCGCGGAATTCAACTCACGAAATGCCGCAGATCCGACAATTGCTATCCCCCCCCTAAATAATTACTAGCCCGTATGTTTTGAGTATAGGTGCGAGTGGGAATCCAGGGTATTAGGCCGGTGAGGAAGTACCTTTTGAGCTGGCTGAGAGCCACTGCCAGGGTAAACGGTCTTCGTGAACCTTTTACGCACACCCCTGGCTTAATATACAGACCACTTTTTGCTCTGTGCAATAGATCCAAAAGCCCTCCAACCAGGCTTATAACCACTCAGAATAGGAATTCTGTTCCTCTAATCCATATTAGGTGCGCTAGCAATTATTTAGGGGGGGGTAGAAGTATCCACTGGCTAACTGCCCATACCCCCAAACGCCCACCCTAAAAATAAATCGATTTTTAATTATACCTTCATTATAATTGCAAGTCCTATTGTATATCAATATATTATAGCATTTTCGACATCCTGACAATTATATATTTATTTTGACCTTGTGGTGCGGCTATAATTGCCCGTAAGATTGTATATATATATATATTTTTGGTATGTGCTTGTCCTACTAAAAAATGATTGGAACAGGCATATACCAAAAAAAAAAACACTATCTTAGCCATGCTTTCCGTATAGTATCTTCGCTCTTTACCCCATACACGCGTGCAGCAGTGGTAAGACTCTCCCCTGGGCTCTCTTTTAGGAACTGGATAGCCTCACGAAGCTTATCCTTCTCTGGTATATTGCACAGAAGCATGTGCTTGGGTAGGTTGCTCAGGCGAGCTATTGCAATTAAATTGGACAACTTTTTAGGGCTAGTGGTGCACAAATTAATTGATTTTTACAATGGGTGTTGCATATAAATCAAAAATCTATGCGTTTGGCGCGGGCCATCTCGCTTTCGCGGGCCAATTCGCTCTCCCCGACTAGAGGGGCCCTACCCTCTAGTCGCGACGTTAAGTCCGACTATTATATTCCGTCCAAGTTCGTGCCCCAAGAAAGTAAACCATTTTCCTCTATATTGACCTTGAATATGATGAGTTGCAAAATAAAATCCAAGTGAGCTTTCAATCCTGGTGACAAAAAGCGTCATATGCCTGCCTTGGTAGTCTTTGGTGCGGCATTATGATAGAGTTGACAAAAGAAAGCCCAAATGCTTATTCGTGGCGGCTGAAAGGCTTCAACGGACTAAGATCCCAAACTTAAAAATAACCCAGATCTTACCACGTCACATGTTGAGTCGGGTTGCTTGCGTCGTTGGGTACTACGTGAGGCCCGAGAAATTCGAAGGGCGCAAGAATTGAGTAGAAGATATTGCTTCCCTTGAGCATGAACGTTTCCAACAGAAGCAACTCCGAACGCAGGCGCGCTGACTTCAAGAACTTGAATAGAATCAATGCAAAAAATCAAGCATCAGGCAGAGAGCACGCAAAACGCGAAGGAATGTTCAAATGACTGTATTTGCCACCCTGCTTGGGGATGAAGTAGCTCCCGACTACCTATGATACGCCACGCCCCGAGTCCCTCAATATCGACCAGGCCGTAGCCGGATGATCCATAACGCCAGCATGCAAAATCCGTGAACCTCCGAGAGACAAAACGCCGATTGAATGCTCAACCCATTATGCACATCCGAAGAACAGAAACATGAACGCCATTATCGTTGATTCGTGCCGGAAGGACGTCGCTGCGGAGGCAGTTGCATATTGAAGCCACTGGCTCTACGAGCAGCAACTCCGTTCATGCCGATACCCAAGCCCTGGCCGTTGTCGATCTCGCCGTCGGCGTCTCCTTCTTGCTCCAACAAACCCGGATGGCCCGGCGCAAGAGTTTGTGCACCATAACCGACGACCTTGAAGATGTTGACCGTGAAGCCGTTGGTGGCGTTGTGGAGTTGTTCGTAGAGGCGTTGGCGCATGTACTTCTTCTCGATCGGCTCGTGGACAAGAGGAGGGACAACGGGTTGAGGGTTCCAGTTGGAAAGACCATGCATGACTGCAGTGAGTTCTTCATCCGAGTCGACAGGTCCATTGCCAGCTTCCTCGTCCTCGAGTGGAGCGTTGGCGTCGATCGCGGCCTCTGTTTGGAGGGTCAGTGACATGTTGACGCGTCCGAGGAAAAGGACTTACTCTGCTGCTTCGCCTGGTTCTTCTTTTGATATGCTGCGAGAAGCATGTCGTAGGGGAGAGAACGTCCAGCAACAGCGCGCTTAGCACCCATGGAGTGGCTCTTGCAGGTCAAGGATCGGGCGCACGGGACACCGTCCTTGCTCACACCGCACTGACGCTCAACATCGACAGGACCTGCGAGATTGTTAGCAAGAGAGCGAGACAGTTGTAGAAAACCCACGACCCATAAACCACAAGCCAAATACAAAAAATCCATCAAGAGGCTCGTCCTCCAGATCAAAGACTGAAGAGAGATCTGTGACAGTGCCTCCATCGGACACGTCTTCTTCACCATCTTCTCCAGACAAAGCCTGGTACTTGAGTTCTTGCTTGATCGCACTGGACAGTCTCATCGACTTGCAGAGCGAGTCCGTGGCAGGAGCCTTCCTGCAAGGCTGGTACGCCATAGCAGCAGCCAGGTTGCTTGTCTGATGTTTGGAAAGAAAGGATTTGGAGAGGAAGCAAAGAGAGCCGTCCTCTGATAAGAAAAGAATCTATATCGATAGCACTACCACAACCACAACCACAAGGCGGCGATGCTTTAGACTCGGAAGAACGGCAAGAAGCACTGTGCAAATTTGGAAATTTGGAAAATAGCAAAATAGAAAAACAAAATACCTTTTTGCTTCGGTGCCTTTGGCTTCGGCTCTTCCTTCTTCTTCTTCTGCTTGGGTCCTTTCTCCGCATCTCCGTCCGCCTTTCTCTTCTTGCCCTTCTTGGTATCATCAACCTCAATTTTCTTGCCCGCGCTCTTCTTCGTACTTTTCAAGCCGCCGGGCCCTTTTTTATCCGCCGCAACATCCTCGTCCTCATCCTCATCCTCCATCCTGGTGTCTCCCTCCTCGTCCTTGTCTTTGTCCTTGTCCTTCTCGTCTCCCTTCGCCGCCAACTTCTTCTCTCGTTCCCTCGCTTCCTTTTGTTCTTTCTTCTTCTTCAACTTCTCGTTCTTGGCCTTGATACACGCTTCGACGTGTGCAGCACTCACAGTCTTCAGTATACCCTTCTTGCAAATCTTGCACTGTTGCAGCTCAGTCGGGTCTTCAAGCGGTCTTCCAGTGGGGAAATTCTCTCGCACAGAGTCATCAAGTTGATTGACCACCGGGCCAGGGCTCGCAGGACCAGAGGCGCTGTTGGGAGTATCAGTGCCTTTCTTTCCATCTACTTTACGTCAGCAACGCCTGTCGCACGTTCCTTGGGACAAACCATCAATCACACTCCCATCCCGCCAATTCCCCGGCTTGTTCTGCTTTGGCGCCGGAGTCTTCAGTTTGATTTTCCCAGCAGGCTTGTCCTTCGCAACCTTCTTGGGCGCAACCTTGATCGTGGAGTCATCGTCGCTCGCGACCGAGGCTGGGTAGGTTAGCTGTGCCCTGGATAAGTAGCGCACATGGAGAAAGACCTTTGCTACTGCCCACAGCTGCAGCCATGATGGCGGCGATGGATGCGGGGCTGTGGTTGATGGATTATCGCGTCTCTTGGCTCGAGTGAGGTTGAGTGATGTGATGCGAGGCGAGGCTGCATACCTGTTACAGGGATCAATATAGGTTAAATTACGCAAGCATTGCCGCTTTATACACACCTCACTCTCAGTCCACAGGGGCAAATTACTGCAATTGAAGCTATTCAGACAATTCTACCACTTTGTCTCCATTCCATTAGCTGCAATTACATCCAGACAACGCTGGTGCATCGTCCTTATTCTCTCTCTTACCTCTGTAACTGTAATTGTCTCCCATGCTCTTAAAACAGCTGCCCGGAGCCTTGCTTTATTACGGTACACGCAGGATCTATCTCTTCTAAGAGATCCTTGAGACGGTCCCATATATTCTTAATTGGGGACAGATCTGGAGAGAATGGTGGCCAGAAAATCAGCCTCACATTCCAGCTCTTTAAGAGAGCAAGTGTCTCTGCTGCCTTATGCCCTGATCCACCGTCTTGTTAGAAGTAGAGGCCTGGGTGATTAAAGAGGTAATTGACGATTACTGGTACGGTATGCTCGCAGTACGATTTCGTTGTAATTGTCCCCCACTCTTTCTCCCAGAACAAGCCTCTCCCTTTCCCATACTTCCCACTTATACAGCCCCAGAATATCTAGCTAATTCGCCTCTGCCACTTGTATTGGATATAATCTGGGTGGAAGAGCTCAGATAAACCGATTTTCCTTGTATACCACTGTCTCTTATAATAGCCTGGCTATACCCAAGTCTCATCGCTCCAGCAGATCTCGTTCCATTAATCGTCTGTCCAGTTTAGATGCTCTTGTGCCTACTCAAGCCGGAGCCTTTGATTCTTAGGAGAGATTGGGGGTGTTCGTCTTCTTATACCCCGGCAGTAACCCTCCTTCTTGAAGGCTATACGAATAGCGTATTCCCCACAGTTCTAGCCAAGCTATTTCGGCAGCTCTTTCCTTGGAATATCGCGTGAGAGGGAGCTGAAGGTAGCCTAGCTAATAAGGTGCTTGCGTTGAGGAGTAGAGAGGAGTGGATAACGGCCATATCGTTTCTTTTGAGGTGTTGGACGATACTATAGGGCGTAATTAATCTGCTTACGAGTAAGCTTTGGGTTCTGGAGGAGAATATCAGCGATAGTCCAGCCAGCAGTATAGTAGAGAGTTTGTATGCGAAGACGATCATCTCTAGTCGACGGGTTTGAGTATGTTTTTGGTATAGGAATAAAGATTAATGATTCCATTAATAAGTTGAGAGAGAAGAGGACGAGAGTGAAGCATCTTATAGCGGCATGAGAAACAGGAGACTCACCGTAATCAGCTGTTCCGATACCTGTTCTGATTAGTGGGATTACCCTGTAATTCTACTATCCCCCCCCCGGTTTAATTCACGGTGGGTCCATATTCGCCATACTCTCACGCTTTACTCACACCACACCTCACTCCACATTCCAGCTAATCAGAGCTCTCAAATACTGGCCAGAGATCACTCCACGCAGCACCATAAGAGCGGCAGAATAGCCTGCGTATATGTGTTTGAATAGCTTCATTTTTAAATACATTTTTAAATAGATTAATATACTACTTTACCACCGTACGGAAATCTGTACGACACAGAGACTCCACCCTCTGCGTAACCGCATACCCCTCCTTTTGATATTAATGAATTCATTAATATCCCTGATTCCCAAAAGACTATGTAATCGTGGGATTCACGTGACGGTCCTCGCTCTATAGCCTCTCCCTCTCTTTGTCCTATACCCTCTTCACTAGCTCCTCTCCCAGACTCTCTGTTCACGTCTCCCCGCAGTCCTCCTCCCTTTATCCAAGACTCTCAAGCTGATTCGTAGCTCTCAAATGGTAGTAATGACTCTATGCGATTGATCTCGACTGATTATATACGTGATAAGCGCTTGCAGATCCAAATAGTGCTTCTCTTTAAGATACCGTGGGCTCAAATTAAAGAGACTCTCGACGTCACTGAAAATCAGATTCGCTAGGCTAAACACCACCGTCTTACGCCACAGAAGAGCAAATCAGGGAGGTATGCGAAGCTCCATACTCCTGAGAAAACATAGCTTAAGGAGTAGTTACTTTCCTCTCCTTCTCACCATCACGTGGCATACCAAAAGATCCCATACTTCCTTCCACAGCTCCACGCAAAGGAGCAGGCTATTCGTATAGCTATAGACGAAATTGGATACTGCCGCCGTATCTCACGCAAGAAGGGGTTCTCAGATGATCCTGAAGTCTGCCAGGAGAGGCTGGACTTAGCAGAGGACGGGAAAACGTGGCCTCGCCCAGACGTATAAAGGATCTGCTTTATAGACGAAGTATGGGCATTTGGAGGGGCTCATACGAGTTCGTATATTACTTGCTTAAAGGATAGAAGCGATCGCTTACTCCCTGAGTGTATGAGACACAAGTACTCTAAGCTGCCTTCGTGGATGTTCTGGGGGAGTATAGTCGATGGCAAGAAGGGGCCTGCTCTCTTCTGGGAAAAGGAATAGGGCTCGATTAACTCTGCATGATACGACCGCAAGATCCTCTCAATAATAGAGCGGTTCTTCCGTAACCACCCACTTAGTCGGTACCGGTTCTGGCAAGACAATGCCTCCTCTTACCGATCGTACGAGACAAAGACAAACTTACTTATTCGCCATATTCCTATAATTCTAGCTCCTTGATACTCACCAGACTTGAACCTTATTGAGCATGTGTGGAATTAGATAAAGAATTAGATTGAGGAGCATTACTGGGAAGCACGCTACCAACCGGATAAGATCTATTTAGATTAACTTCGCAAGATTATACAAGATGCGTGGGACGCTATACTAGACGAGTATATCCAAGGCTTATATAATAGCTGGTGGAGAAGGTATTAAACTGTGATTGATGCTAGGGGGGGCCCTACTAAGTATTGAGAGGAATATAGAAGAGAAGAAAATCAAAACACCAGGCTTCTGGCTTCATAATTTCCTAATGCGGAAGTGCGAGAGTAAAGGCTGACGAGATAGTGAGTGCTGAGCAAAGAGAGTGTGGTGAAAACACCAAGACTGCTGGCTTTATTATTGCTTAATTAGGAAGGCGGTAAGCGCATAATCGCGTGCTCTAAGTAAGGTGATGGGTGGAATCAGACAGTGGCGAATATTGGACCTACCGTGAATTAAACTAGGGGGGGGATAGTAGCTGGTTCGCCGGTGGAAACCCTGTAATCAGGTGCTAATTGAGGTAATCAGGTGTCAATTAACCTTTAAAACCCCACGTAGGTACTATCCCCCCCCCGGTTCAAAGCGCCATCACGAGATTGATAACACCACGCCTGCACGGGCCCTATCAAGGGTCTATAGCGAATAGAGACTCTCCAAAGCACCTGAGATTTCCTATGTTGGGGATATAAACGAGGTTTTGGGGTGGCGTTACTAATCTCGTGATGGCGCTTTGAACTAGGGGGGGGATAGTACTGTAGTAGGCTGGAGCGGACCTTTACCCGTTTCAGCCTGGTGTGGAGAATAAATACTATGTGGTCTTGAAAAGGGGGTAATTCTGGAACTCGAGGAATTGGGATATTTGATTTAAAAGAATATGAGCGGTCGAGAGGATTTTCTAGCTGGTTTCATATCTTTTTGAACGGATTTGAGCACAAAGTGTTGCTTGAGACTTGGAATTCCCCTTGCCACAAGCGAAGTCAGCAGTTGCCCCTTAATTCTCAGACCTCAAATGTTGATGTTGCAGAGTTTAGTGTCCCCGATTATATAAACACGAAGACCGTGCAGTTTATAGCATTTTTGCAATTACCTCTTCGTTTCAGACACATTCTACAATGGAAGCTTAAAAATCTTTAATGGGTCACGTGATCACCACCCTGTCACGAATTTCTTTTTGACAAGGGTAGAAGCTTTTTTTGAAAGAATTTTTTATTTTAAGCTTCAACGTGTTCTATTTCTAACTGCACATGGCGTCTATTAACGTAGTGGGCTAAGATGCTAACCGTAGTCTCTCTTATCTTGCAAGCCTCCGCGAGCCATCTGACTCTCCTCGCTGATCAAGCATCGGCGCGCCACAATTAGTCCTTACCCCACAATTTCGACATTAACGAGAAACCAGGATCATGTAGGGGCATTGGGCGCGTGGTCCCAGAGACCTGTCATCGCAGCTGGCGTACCGAACGCCACCTTTGCACGGGACGGCTCATGTGGCAAAGTGCCGTGTGCAAAAAACCCAGCTCACGGAAAGAACACTGTTCCTACGCTGATCTATCGGCCCGCGAGGTGCAGCGCGGAACAGGAACAGGACCTTCTCCGGGCCGTTTCAGCCACCGTAGCTACCGTCGGCCTCGATTGGCGAAGAAGGGAACCAACAGTTTCTGCCAAGGACTCCTCTTTTTCGACAGCCAATTCCAACGATACAGATTTGAGCTCTGTTCATCTATTCAAAGCCGGCTCGAGTTCTAAAAAGAACCTGGAAGCCACGCGGGCCGGGGAAGCTGAGGGGAGATACACCCTTACCTCCGAAAGGGAAACCTGAATAACACCTCAGATCTCAAGATCGCAGAATGGGAATATCAGGTCTCTTTATGAGACTGGATTGGGCGAAGACCTAGGATGGATCCTGTCTAAGGCAGTGCTATTTGTGAAATCTCGTTGTGCTTTGTTCTAGAGAGCGGACAGTGTTTTGTCAATAGTTTCAACGAGACGGGCAGTGCCGTGTCTCCCCACAACGCTGAGGAAAGTGGGGCCAATGGCAGAGTTCAACGTAAGACATTACTGAGACTTGCACCGGAGGAAACTCTTCCTGTGGCTAGAAGTGGCGTTGAGCGGCTTCTCTTTCTCGCCTTCTTCTGGCACGTATCCTTATCTTAGTCCTGCGAGTCGAGACAGAACTTCCCGTTCCCACGAAACGAAAGGCGTATGGACCAGCAAGCGACCCATATCTCCTCTTCCTTTTCTTTCTATCAAGAACTGATCAATGTGTGTCCTGCTGTTTGGCAGAACAAAAAAAAAACATGAGAGGGGGAAAGGAATGCAACAAATTATCGATAACTCAGTGATACGGTGACACATTCGACAATCACCAGCTGCCCACCTTCAACATGAAATACCTTGACCTTGGAATATTCGCCGTCCTGGCGTGGATATTGTCAACTATCAGCGCTCAACAATACTCTTTGGCGAACGCAACAACATGTGGGGTAAGCATCTCGGTTTCTCTTACCTTAAATATCATCTCACTGATTTACCTAGCTCGCTTGCGTAGCAGTCACTGTGCCAAAGATTAATTGCCCGCTGCTTAACACAGCTTGTCAATGCAAGAGCACCGAATTACCACAGTTGATGACAGCATGTCTGTTAGAAAATTGCACAATGCACGATGGATTGAGTGTGTCCCTTTTGCCTTCCTTCGTTTGTGTCAATTTCCTAACGAGGTTCATGGAATAGTTCTTGCAAAAGTGCAGGCAAGCGTCTGCCATTTGCCACATCCAGATCGATCTGCTGTGCCGATTGTTCTGACTGCCACTGTCTACACGTTCACAACTGTGTTGGTCGTCTTGCGTCTGATATCCAAAATCTGGGTGTCTCGCACTATGGGCATAGACGATTGGATTGTCATTATTGCTCAGGTATGTCCGATGCTTGTGTGCTACGCAGGCGCTGATGTCGCCAGACTATCTTGTTCGCATCCACGTACCTTACAATCAAGAGTATGGTATTATATCCTCCTCCTATTGGCCAGTGACTGACCTTCCCAGTGTCAAAGGTAGGCTTTGGGAGACATATCTGGGATCTTCAAGACGGCGATCTCTCGCTTTTTTTGAAATATTGTAAGTTCTCCGTATCTTGAAGATTAGATACTTGTTCTTATGTCTACCTAGTTTACATCGTAGAGAACGCCTATGTGATATCCATTACCCTAACAAAGATCTCCGTGATCTTCCTCTACCTCCGACTCTTCGAACACTCGCCATCGTTCCGCTATACCGCGTACGGAACTATAGTTTTCATCGCTCTCATCACAGTTGTTCTCTCGTCTTTAACGATATTCGCCTGTCAACCTGTGTCCTTCTTTTGGGACAGGGATATCAGAGGAGGCAAATGTTTGGATATCAAAGCTGTCGCTTATGCTATTAGCACTGTGGGCATCGTTGAGGATCTCGTTATCGTTGCCCTTCCATTACCCTTGCTTGTAAAGCTGCAAATGAGTACGAGGAAGAAGATCGGAATCGGATTTATGTTGATTTTGGGAAGCATGTAAGTCTCAGACATTCTTGCAATGATTTTACTAATACCATAAAAGAGGTTGTGTAGTTTCCATGATCCGTCTCAAGTCCCTCATCTCCTTCGGGAACTCCCTCGACCCTTCCTGTAAGTGTGGCCAATATCTCATTTCCCATTTTCATCTCGTTCTCATCCAAAAGAACTAACAACATACCAAGGGGACAACGTCAATGCCGTAGTCTGGACAATCCTCGAGCTCTCTGCCGCCATGATCTGCGCCAGCCTCCCCGCTCTCCGCGTCCTCCTCCTCAAACTCTTTCCCAAATCCATACTCTCCACCACCGGAGGCACGTTCCCCACCAACGGACGAGAACCACAACCAAAACCATGGCAAGGTATTGATTTCGGGCGCCGTTCTGATCGTTACCACTCCTCTGCGACGGGCTTTGTAGAGCTGGAGCGGACGATTTCGGCTGCCCGAGCCGATCAAGCGGAGACACCCCCCACGCCGCCCCCGAAAGACAATTTTGTGATAGAGGTGAGTATGGTAAATAATGAGCGTCGGCGTTAAGGTGGTATACGAGTGTATGAATATTGATGCTATGACTATGGAGTTGGGATGCATGGATTACATGAATGGATAATGAATTGATGAGGGGATCTCATGTATAATAAACGATTTTCTACTTACTAGTACGTATTTACTTACGAATACGCATTCTGCCTTTCCTTAAGGCTTTATTAAATGGGCTATGAGAGTTTTCTGGTTAGTTTGTACTGTTTTTATGCGAATTTGAGCGCGGACTATTTCATCAGAATTGAGGTCAGAATTTGCCCCTTTTTATTTCTAGACTCCAAAATGATGAAGGTGTAGGGGTTTAGAACCCCAAATCCTAAACGCATTAGTTCTGAACCGTGCTAAATTATTCCAAAACAGCTCAAAACTCTTTCACAGGCGTCTTCTTTATAGCAAGTGTGGTAATCAGGTTCATCAGTCACGCACGTGGGCACCTCTTTCCGGCACTTCTAAAACTGGAAATAGACTCTTCATCGTTTCCTCATATTGACACGAATTCTATGCCATCTACTTCTTTTTCAAACTATTCAATGATGGCCCCCCAAGAAATATATAACACAACACGCTGACAACAGCGCACATGCCTGCAACCACAGCATTCATATTCCCAAACCCAATCGCGTCCCTCAAAGCCCCGGAAACCAGGGGCCCCAGAGTTAATCCCGCACTGAACACCATACTGTTGATCGCATATAATTGTGCGTACGGCCCTTCGTCTCCAAAGACCTCCGGATTGGCCCTGTAATACTGCTCGACGACAAAACTCGCCTCGACAATGCTCGGTGCACTGATCATTGCCATACCTATTCCACACATCCCCAGAAAGACACAGAATTTCGCTATTTCGCCATTCCCTCCATCATGTGGGATTCTTAATAGGATTAGAGGCAGGACGAGGAATGCGAAGCCAATAGAGGCTGCCAGCTTGGGGCCGTACTTGTCGACTCCTTTTCCGAACAGCGGACCAAAGACGAGGTACGGGAGAACGAGGGGCATGAAGAGAAGACCCGCTTTCAGTGAGTCGAAGCCGAAGAGGTCCTGTGCTTCGGTTGGGATTGTAGAGTCGAAGACTGCGAGGAGCGTGGCTTGCGTGAAAGCAACGAGTTCGGCGACGAGAAGCCGTGGATTCTTCAAGCAGTAGAGGAGGGGAAACTTGCGGATCCATTTCGGTTGGTCCTTGGGTATCTCCCAGTCGTCAAGATCACCCGCTCCATTTGCCAGGAGTGGAGAATCCTCGTTTGCTTCGTCTTCATCCACTTCCTCGTCATCTTTGAGACCGTACTTTACGGCAACCTTCTTCTCAATAACCGCCAATCGCATCAAGAAATCGATAGCCAGTAACCCGAACCCCATCCCAAACACCGCTCCTGATCCTGACTTCTTGTACACAATTCCTCCAAGCACAGGAGCAGCGAGCTCCCCCACGCTGATGAATGAGAAGATACTCCCGATCGTCACACCCAGCTTGTTGCTCCCCACCGTATCCAAGATCAGAGCAAGGCCAATCGTCCATACCACTGCTGCACTTATTCCCTGGAGAATCCTCGCTATAACAAGAACCGGAATCGTCTCTCCCAGCCACAAAAGGATCGTTGAAGCAAGCAGAGCCACGAGACCAAGCAGAAACGGCAGCTGGCGTGCCGGCAGCTTATCTGCGAGGATTCCTGCGGGCAAGGAGAACAGGACGGAGGCCCCGGCGAAACATGCGAGCAGGGCTGATGTGTAGGTTTGGATTTTGTTGTGTGGGACGTCGAGGCGGTCTGCGAGGATGAAAGGGAGGATGGGAACGACGATACCGTAGAGAAAGAGATCGGTGAAGAGTCCTATGCCGACGGTGGAGATGATGAAGAGGGTATTGCTGCGCCATTTGAGACCGATGGGAGACTCGGAGTAATCTGCGGGCATGATTGTGGTATGAAGATGTTTGAACAATGAGGAAAGTGGGATAGAGGGCAGAAATGGAGGGGTAATGGAGAGGTACACCCCACTGTCGGGGCCTGGGTAGCACAAGAACGGGATGTTTGTCTTTCTGCACGATATCGGAGGACGAAAAAGAGAGAGGATTTGGAAATCTGCAAGCCTCCAGAATGCAGCCTGGTTGCATGGCGTCATGGAGTGAGTGGTGCGCGGGATAGACCGCGACTTGTCTCACTTGAGAATAGCTTCTCGTTCATTTGGAAGATGATTTCAAATTTGGCTTCCCCGAGTTCCCCGGGATGCTTTCCTGGGAGAACTTCGGGCCGTCTTATGAGAGAGAAACGTAAAAGTTTAAGGAAGAGGTTGAAGGTTGATGAAGGAGTCATAAATTCCAAGCTGGGGAAAAGGGACAGGTTTTGCTCGGTAAGCCTGCAGGCGATCATCCCTGCAGCCCCACATGACGCTGGGGAATCCGAAGAGCGATCGGCATAGCGGTATAAAATAGGGAAGTCCCCAAACGAACTCTTCCTTTTCTAAGATCCAACATCATGGCAACTTCCACAATGACCCAAGCTGACCCAAGCAGCTCGAGCTTTGAGTTGCAACCGCTTCCAGCTCAAAATTCCTGTGAAGAGAATGACGAAGTTGCGGATCTTGAAGAGACACCGCCCGATTCAGCAGTGGAGGCGCTGCAGAAATGGAATTCTCCTCGAATAAACATGTTCCGAGTCCCTGCAACATTCTGGTCTTTCTTTGTGGTCGGGATGAATGATGGTTCATACGGAGTCAGTCTCTCGCTCCCCTAGATCTATCAAATCTAACAGAAGTAGGCTTTGGTTCCACATGTACACAATCTTCCCCTTCCTCTCTCATATTGAGATATTCTAACACTTACCCAGCTTGAAGAATACTACGGCCTCTCTTACACAATCGTCTCTCTAATCTTCCTGTCCCCGTTTGCAGGATATACGATTGCGTCGGGAGTCAATAACATGATGCACATCAAATTCGGCCAACGAGGAGTAGCGATCGTCGGTCCAGCATGCCATCTTATCTCTTACATTGTTTTCTCTCTCCATCCTCCGTATCCAGTGCTCGTCGTCATGTTCATCTTCGTCGGTTTCGGGAACGGCCTGATCGACGCAGCATGGTGTGCCTGGATCGGCAACATGGCGAATTCGAACGAGGTTTCGGGCTTCCTTCAAGCGTGCTATGCATTGGGTGCAACTGTCGCGCCATTGATTGCTACAGCGATGATCTCGAAAGGGGGTTTAGGGTGGTATGCGTTTTACTACATCATGGTCAGTTCCCCTCTCTCTTCCATCATCCAAACCACATCTAATATCCCAAGATTGGAGCCTCGGCGCTCGAACTCACAACATCCACTTGGGCGTTTTGGAGACAAACCGGATCTATGTATCAAGCAGAAAACCCTCAAGATCCCAACACAAAGACAGGGAGAACACGAGAAGCCTTGAAGAACAAAGTAACCTGGCTCTTTGCCCTCTTCATCTTCGGCTACGTGGGCGCTGAAGGTATCTCCCCCCTTCCATCCTCCCATCCCTCAATCTCACAGCCCAACAGTTTCTCTCGGCGGCTGGATCGTCGTCTTCATGACCAAGATCCGCCACGCCAACGCCTTCGCCTCCGGTGCCTCCGCAACCGGTTTCTGGGGTGGCATGACTGTCGGCCGTCTCTTTCTCTCCTTCCTGACGGCGAGACTTGGAGAGTTCTGCTCCGTGCTCTTGTACCTAGGCATCGCCGTTGTTCTCGAGTTGATCTTCTGGCTCGTGCCCTCCCTCGTAACCTCAGCCGTCACAGTAGCGCTCTTAGGCGTGGTGATGGGGCCTATGTTCCCTACCGGTAAGCTTTATTTCTATGCGTATTTGTCGATCTTTTACGCGAGAGTATAGAGCTCGTCTGTCTTCTGCTCCCCCGCTCGTTCCCTATCCAAGATGGCGGAAATCACAACGCTGATAACCTGCCAGCCATCGTCCTGGTCACCAAACTCCTCCCCCGCTCTCTCCACGTCGGCACCATCGGCTTTGGCACGGCCTTCGGCGGCTCAGGCGGCGCGGTGTTCCCCTTCATCGTGGGCGCCATCGCGCAGAAGAAGGGCGTCAAGACGCTGCAGCCGATCATCCTTGCGCTGCTTGCGGCGATTGCGGCCTTGTGGGTGTGTATGCCGAGGGGAGGAGGGGGAAAGGATCACGAAAGCGGTGGGGAGAGTGAGGGGCAGGAGTTGGGCGTTGATGGCGCTGGCCAGGAGACGGTTTCCGTCTGAGTGAAATCCCGAAAGAAGATTGTAAATTCGGATAAAAACGGAAAAGGAAGTAAAAGATAATATAGACAGGAAGAGATATTCTAATTGATATGTTCGTATGATGTCTTCTTCTATCTGCCATTTGCATTTGCATTTGCATGTGCATCCATCACACTTTGCGTTCTTTCTCTCCAAACGGTGACTTGCCAGTCGCTCACATCCGTAGCTCAAGTAGCTCAAATGTGATGACCACCACACCCTAAAACCGCTGAACTGAACACCCCTATCACCAATATCCATGCCCTAAATCGCCGTGTACAGTGCAACAGATCAACCGCCAGCGTGCATCTCGTCGGCTTGCTCGAATTTGGCTCGAAAAAATGAATCCCCGCATTTCGCCAAACCGGAACTCCGTTTTTTCCACTGTCCTGTAGCTACAGCTCTCATACATCCCAACAAAATAAATCCATACAAGTGTGTGCTGATGAGCGGTAGATTCATCTCCTCATCTCTGTAACTGTCGTTAGCTCGACATTCTTTCAAGTCCCGGATGCATGGTATCAACGTACTCGTCCCCGGCGTCCATTGACTTGCTGCTCCTGCTGCATGCCATAGCCCATTCCTTGCATACCCATGCCAGCATATCCGTATGCGTTGACACCAATTCCGATGTTGCCAAAGCCTGGAGGACCAAAGGAGTTCTGACCTAGGATGGGACTTGGGTTGATTTGGGGTTGCGGGGGTTGAACGGGGTTTGTCTGGTTCCGGTAATGCTCAACAGATGGGCTGCCACTATTGTATCCAAAACCTGATTGCATGTTGGGGTAGAAGTTGTTCATGGGTGGAGCAGCGCGGGCAAGGAGTGATTGCTGGTATTGAAGCTGTTGTAGGTTGATGGGGGGGATCTGAACAGGCGTGTTGAACATCGGGGTATAACTTGGGAACTGGCCAAGGTTTGAATCCACACTGTCAGTCCGCTGCATGCCCATTCCCATGTCGAAAGCGGGCTGTTGCATCTGAGGATAGAACTGATTGCCACCGTATTGAGGAGGAGGGACGTGACCATTGACTTGGCTGTGATTGGATCCAGGCCGGGCACGTTCATTGGAATGGCTGCTAGGAGCGTGCTCACGGCTTGGTCCTTGGCTGCCATTGCGGGTTGACAATCCAACTTCGTCCATCAATCGCTTGTACCCCTGAGCCGGCTGAGCCTTCAGTCGCAAGAGGACATTCCTGACGTTCTCGACAACTTGAGATCGAATGCTCTCGTCGAAGAAGGGGGTGGTCAGGACCTTGAAGATGAGAGTTGCACCGCAACCATGATCAGAGAGGATGGCCTCGAGAGTTTCGTCATTTGGCGAAAAGAATAGTGCCTGGAGGATGACGTCTCGGGCATCAGACTCGAGCTTCTGGTTGATGACCTTTAGGACGGTGAGATATGCAACCTTGTGGGTGCAGAGATGGACGAGGTGAGGAACAAGTTGGGGAGCGAGAACAGTGCGACGTTGAGGGAAGGTGCAGGTGTCGAGGAACCAGGTGAGGAGTAGAGCACCGTTAGCATTTGTTGCCAATTGAACGCTGTGGAGAGCAATGGCAGCAGCAAGCATGCGTTGCTGATCCTTGGTGGAGTGATGACTCTCAAGGCAAGCTCGCATGGCTCGGGCACCATATCGTCCTTGGGCAATCTCCCACATCTGACTGAGCATAGATTCGAAGATGAAATCGTTGTACGGGGACTGGAACTTCAAGCAGCATTGCAAGACATAGTTTCCATACTGATCGAGGAACAACGGAACCGTGTAAGGCTGGAGGTTTGAAACAATCATGCGCATCTGCTTGGGGGTGCTGACAACATCGATAACCTTCTGGGCAGCCCAAGTTCCATTCTTGTGGACACCAATTTCGGCCATATGAGGGGCGATTTCCGTTAGCATGGCATCTCTCATTTCATCCGAACAGTGCTCAAATAACTTCTGAACGACGGTGTTTCCCAGGTAATCGGATGAAAGCTCGGCAATTTCTGGCAGCATGTCCGCAGCAATGTTCTCAATCTCTGCTTGAGACCAGGTCTGGTTGTCGATTCTCTTTCTGATGTCCCGAAGCTTGGGAGCATCATGGATTCTGTTATGAGCTGGTTCTGGGATGGAGGGAATCTCAGATTGGTACTTGTTGTATCCAATGGCAGAGTCGAGAGTGTTGGAAATCTTGACCTTGTCGTCTTGAGATGCTCCGAATTCTCCAACAATATCCATGATATCAGCCTTCATGTCACCTAGGGCCGGGATAGTCAGAGCAGCCGTTCCAGGTCTCGAGATCACCCCGGGAGTTACGCCACTGGTCTCGCCGTTAGTGCTGCCTTCTCTGCCTTTCATGAATGGATCTGGGCTGGGCGAAGGGAATTGTCCATCGTGGCCTGGAGTGCCTGATGGAGAAGGAGGCTTTGCAAAGTTGATTCTGACAGGTCCAGCACCGGGGAAGATTTCCTTCCCATTCATCATAGCCTTGGCGGAGATAGCACTCTCCAAACGCTCGAAATTGACGAATCCACAGTTCTTGTGGGTGAGCACGCGAGCAGAAATGATTGGACCATGTGACTTGAACATTTCTGTCAAAGTTGAGACTGTGGTCGATGATGGAATGCTGCCGAGCCAGAGGGCGGTGGTTGGCCCTTCGAGATTGTCATTGGGATTCAAATGGCCGTCATTTCCGCTGTTTGATCGCCCCAAAGACATGGCTGCAACTGCTGCTGGAAGATCGTCATATTCTCTGGACTCTGACATTCCCAAATCTGCCGCATTGATGCTATTGTCGAGACGAGAGGCTGTAGGATAGTAATTTCGGAGCAATCTGGAGGTAGGGGATTCGAGGACACCTGCAGTTCTGGCTCGAGGTCTGCTCGATGATGCTTGATTGGCAAAAGCTTGAACGGCAAGATTGTGTTGCTGAATTGCGGCATTGGTGGCAGCAAGCTGCATGTGAAGTTGTGCTTGTTGTGTCTCGTATGGGGTGAGGTTGCCCGAGCCGTATTCTTCCTCCTCGTCCTCCGCATATTTCTCCTTTGCATTCACGGAGTATGAGCGGAATCGGTTTGCTTGTTTGGCGATATCTGCAATATTTGCTAAGAACGGATTCGCCAGTTGGGCTCGTGGAGGTTGAGGAGTATCTGCCAGGCCTAGATAATCCAAAGTTCGCATCTGCATGTCATTATCGCCCGTTCCTTCTCTCGAGAATGACGACTGTGCGGGAGAACTCGGCCCATTTGATCCTTGGCTTGCAATACTGGCTAGGGTGGATGTTCGTTCACGGCTGGAAGCCCAGTTTGTGGAGAAAACTGATGGGCCGAAAGGACCAGAGGGGTTTGCGTACTGGCTTCGCTGAGGCATGGATCCGGCTCGTAATCGAGACAACAGAGCAGCGTTGCTGGCCGTGTTGTGGTCACCCATCTCGCCAAGGGATGGAGAGGGGGCTTTGAAAGGGCTTGGAGATGGAGATGGTCGGGAGGTCTTGGCAACAAGTGTAGGCAGAGGTGCCAAACCATTGCTTGCTCCGCCAGGAGAGAAGCGAGATGGAACTGTGCCAGCTCGTGCACGTCTTGTGGAGGGTAGGTTTTCGGGGGTGGGGAGGTGTGAGAAGTCGGGGAAGCCATCGGTTGGCGATTCGGGGATGTTTTCGCGGAGAGGGGTGGAGTTGCCGCTGGTTGGAGGCCCCCAGACATTGACGGGCAGACCTTCCTGGGCTTGTATCTCTCGTGCTCTGCGAAGGAGATTAGGATGTGCTGCAGCTTTTGGGGGGGGAGGAGGGGGGCTCGTCATACCTCTTGGAGAACAATCTGCTGGCGCTGCCCAACTCGTGCGATGGAGATCCAGCCCCCGATCGCGCGCTGCTGGCCATCTTGCCCGCAGAGTTCAAGCCACCTGACAAACCGAAGGGTGATCTTAATGCACTTCCGCTGGAAGGCTCTGTGGGCGATGTGTTTGCAGTCGAAGATCCGGAGCGCGGCAGGCTGACCGCTGGAGTTGGTAGGTACCCCAGCGTCAGGTGTTCAGATCTTGCAGATGACATTATAGATTATTCGTCCACCAAATGTCCCTCGTATCTGGCACGAGAGATGGCAGGAAGGTGTATGCGAATGTATGTGTTGCGTCCACAACCCAACCCGGACGTCGGCGGCCAAATCAATGACAGCGTGCGACGAACCCGACGAGAACAATTTCGGATCAGTCGAGTCGACGGGAGGGAAGGAAGAAACTGTGCAATTCGTTTCTCGGTCGGCCACGAGGAGTTGATGCAGTGAAGGAGTGCGGTGGGCGAGGCGAGAAGGAAATTTTTCGACGAAAGCTTTCGAGTCTATTAAAAAGCGGTTGAAGGGCGCTGCGCCGGCCAGGTCGATGGCAGGCAGGCAGACAGAGAGCAGAAGATCTTTGTTTTGAAGGAAGGTAGATGGGCCGATAGGGGTTCGGTCGTCCGTGAAGCACAAAAGCCAGCAATTGGGATGCTGAGACGGTTGGTGCTTGGATTAATCGTTCCTAGGATGAATCGAGAAAGGGGAGGGCGTTTCTGTTTCCACGGTAGGGGAAGGGGAAGGTGAAGGTGAAGGCGAAGGTGAATGTACAGACGGGCATTAATACAGCAGGTAGGTGAAGAAATCTGTCGCCGTCGACGGTGGGCGATGGGGAGGGAGGGAGGGAGGGAGGAGGCGGAGGAAGAAGAAGAAAAGGAGGAAGAGGAGGTCGGGAGACGGTTCACAGCTGTTAGTGAACTCTGATTTGGGGTTGCGTGTGTGCGCGTTGGGCGGTTTGGCGGGCGAGCGAGCGAGCGAGCGAGGATGTTCGTAGTTGCGTTTAGCGTGATCGTGTTTCAAGACCACAAGCTGCCCACAATCCCTGGCAGGGAGCGAGAGGCACGGACGAGTCAGGAATCGCTGTGCAGCTGTGCAGTGGCAACAGGGTGAGAACAGGGTGAGATGCAGAGAAAACGTCGAGTACAGGACGAGTTACCACGCATTCTGCACTTTGCGATGAGGCTGTGAAGCGTATTTGGCATTCATCCGGGCGGAGGACGGAGGCCAGGAATAGTCATCCGCTGGGCCGTTGGGCCAGCTTCGACGCGCATTCATATATATATACACATATTTATATATAGGGATGACATGAGATTCTATGGATAGCAGTGCAGTGCAGTGCAGTGCAGTACAGTCCCCTCTCCCGAGCCTGGACACCGTCTCGTCAACCTGAGCTGGCACTCGTATCCGATGTCCTTACGAATTAGCATACAAAACTGGCTGTGCTGGAAATACACCTCCAGCATGAACAGTTCCACCCCGCTGCTCTTGGGCTGCGCCGTGCTGAAGTTGGGATGAGTTTGCGGTTCAGTGGACCACTATCCCTGAGACAAGTCGGCGGCGTAGGCTTTTGACAGATGATGGATGGCAGTTGGCGTGACTTCGACCTACACTGCGGTTCTTGGCCTTCTCTCTCTCGACAAGCCCTCGGCGGCCAGATGTTTGGGATATACAGCTGCTCCAGAGTTACCACACCAGACTCGCGCCGTTCTCGCTTGCTGGGCCATCTCCCTGCCTTCGTTGCATTGATTCCTGGGCACAAGTAGCAGGTATTGCAGCATTGTCCCAAGCTACTGGCCTGCGTTGGTATGACGTGGAAGGATCCTCCTCCCCATAAAAGCGCTGCCCCTTACGCAGCACGAAGGGTCTGGCTCGGATCGGAGAGCGGGTGCTAGATGTGGCACTTTTGCATTTGGCCGCAAAGGACAGCGCATCTTCGGATTGCGGATTGCCATGATTGGGCTCTGCTTGTCCTGGACTGATTAATCTGGATGTGATGTTTCTCGTGGTGTGCAGCGTGTGCATATCAAACAGCAGGCATCCTCGTGCTGTGATTGATGCGACGGAGCCGATCCTCGCGCCTGAAACACTAGCGCCAGCAGCAGAACGGGACGCGAGAGACGAAAAGGGGGAGGCAGGTGTAGCCGAGACGGTCCGCCCCAGGGCATCGGGGAGTTTTGTGGAGGGAAGAAGAGCCTCAATGGCGGGTCGAGGATGAGTGAGAACGAATAGTTCTTTTCATTACTTCTGAACGCTCTGAATAACCTGTCTGCATCTACTGTAATAAAACAATCCCCCAGAAATACCCATTTTCATCCAATCATCAACCTGTTCTTAAAAGCTTCCCGGTGGCACGTGACTGAGATCCCTTCGCACTTTGCTTTTTTACGAGAATATTTTCTCAAGCTATTTCTTGTTAATGATACAATATTCCGGCCTAAGAAAATATCATTAATAATTAAGCAGGAAGCAAGATCCAGCCCTTCATTTGTATACCTAAAGTTCCCCTAAATGTACCTCTCTTGGGCTTCGCTTAATAAGCGAGTCATGGAGTACCTCCGTTCTCATGAGACTGCATTTGGGCTTCTCTATATCACAGCCCCTCGGTTGCGGTGTATCGATAACCCTTTTGGCACCTCTTGCAGCCCCAAGCGCAGACTCAAAAATCGGATCCATGACAGCTTCCTGGAACATTGGGTAGCGAACATGTTCGTTCGCAAGAAAAGCAAGGGTGTCCCGCACAGCCTGATGAAACGATGGATCGGAACCTAGCAGTCCCAAAGCAACAACATCCAGTGGATCGCGCCGAGTGGGAATTTGCCCTTGTTGTCTTCGACCAGTGCTTGGATTTTGTGCTTCCCAGCGTCCTTGATCACCACATGTTCTGTTTCCTAGTTGAGCGTCCGCGAATTAGGCAACGCGATCGAAGTACCAGCCGCCACACAAAAGTGATATAGCATGCCGCTCAATGTAGAGTTGCTATACTCGAGAAATATGATTGGCCTCGGATTGTAAACAATGACAGTGCAGTTGAACTCAAAGTGGCGCAGGCATCGAGTTGTGTTGAGCGCCGAGATAGCGGCTAAGTCAGTAGCTCGTAAAACCGTGCTTCCAGGAGATGTTGTTGGTTCGAGGGAGTGAAGAAGGTGGACATAGCAACGCCATAATGTCGGACGTTACTGTAATGGCTCTGCCCGAGAGCCACCATTTTGGTGATCTCCTCGAGCAGGATATTGACATCGGTATCGTCCAGTTGCTCCTGCAAGCGATGCGGTCTGTCCTCTGGTAGCTTGTTCCGTAGTCGTAAGGCTAGATACCCGATTCCATCAAATATCTGCTCATCAGGGGCCGATACTAAGAACTGGAGCTAATCATGGCCGGGCTCAAGAGTCCCGTTCACATGTTGAACTGCAAGGGCTCTAGCACAAAAAGCGGTTATCAAAGATGGACCGGGTTGAGAATGAGATGGCAGTTAACTTATAGATAATTTGCGGCGATATCGATTCCATATGCCTCGGATTGCAGCAGATGTTCTTGAGCGCAGCGGTCGCAGAGACTTAGGAATTTAGAGAGCCGGAGAATAGAGACAACAACAGCAGAGTAAGAGAAGATGAACAGTAGTGCTTCGAGATTGTTTTCGTGGTTGCGTCGAATAAGGCGAAATGTGCGGATTCATGGGGCAGCGAACTTGACGTTTTTGGAAGCAAGTGAGAATGGGAAAACGTAGTACGACTGTGCTCACATGTTGTTTTGGTCCTTCATGCAAGAGCGAGGCGAGCGGCTAAAAGAAAGACTGACGTGGACATATATACATCCAACAAGGCCCGGACTTCCTGTCCACACCACCTGTCTCGGTTTTCAAATAATGCTATGCTGATCTACATCAAGTAAATATCGGATTCCTTCATCTTCGGACCCTGCCAGTTTCATTCCTGGTTAACACACCTTGAGCGTTAGTACGAATCCATTTCATCAATAAAACTCTGGTTATGCCATCCATTATGGCATATTTGGTTCGGCAGTTAAGATTCCATATACATTTCCCGGGTGACAAGACCTGCATAGCCGGTACCAACTCTGGGATCATTATAACTACTCCGCATCCTTCTGGCTTCGATGCGGCCTCAAGCAAGAACAGTTGCTACACTGCCGCGACCTTCAGTCCTCAATGCTGCCTCATGCAACAACTGCGAGATCGTGGCGTTATGCATGCCTAATCTGGTCTTCAGCAGCAACAGAGATCTATTTTCTTTTTACCAATAACATCGCAACGCATTAGCGTCTATATAAGCTTTATCAGGAATTCTAAATTCCCACTTTCTGACAGAGAATTATCCCGGTATTTTGTTCTCACAAGTTGCATAATATGAAAGAAACAACAAAGACGTAGATTTAGGTCTATCCGTTGCGCTGCGGCCAGCTTGGGGTTGGCCCGTGCGCATATAAGCGAACCGAATTAGCAAATCAAGTCGCCAGATTCTTTGATTTAAGACCTCTAATTCGCTGCAAATTTGGGGTATATTTCATCACGGAAACCCCAAGCTGGCCGCAGCGCAATGGATAATACCCTGTACTAGAAGCATTACTTCTAAAATAAGTAAGATACAATCTCTAGAAGACTAAGTATGAGCTCTCCAAATCTGCGGGTATCATGAATTAATTTTCTCTTTCTTGATTGCCGTATAGGGTCAGTAAGCTTGCTGCTCTTGCTCAGGCGCTAATTACCCTCCCTCGGCTCAGTCACTCGCCTGAGTAACCTGAGCACCTTGAGCATCTTGAGCAAGATCTATCAAATCATCACGTGTTTTTACTTCTCGCTTTCTAGCCAATCACACTTGATCTGCCCTCCGTTCTCTCATATCATTTTCATCAAGTTTTAACGAAGATGCCCAAAGGAGCCTAAGCAAGCTCCTAGAACCCAAAGTGGACACTTTCCAAAAAATATACCCAGTTCTTTGTCTATAGTGTAAGTTAGATTAATATAGATGCTCCTAAGGAGAGTACTGCTCCCCCTTCTTATAAATTCCTTCTTGCTGTCACGCGCATGTTCCTAAAGTCACATGATTACGGCCCTCACGGACTGTTCGCAAGGAGACCTGCAACAGATCCGTAGCTATATCCTGCCAACCGTAGCATTGTTCCTTCCCCTTCCCCTTTCTTCCTTAACTTGAGATCTTCAATAGAACTGCTTCTTACTCTTCTGTTTATCCATTACACCGTGCACGTCGTACAGTAAGAGTAACTACTAGGGGATTAGCAGATTGAGTTCTCCACACTGTCTAAAGCTTATAACAACCCACCACTACTTTAGGAAGGAGCAGGATATCCACTGCGAGGAGAAGCAACTTACACAGCTTACGGATCGACACACCTCCGTAAATGCCCGCGGCGTCGTACACAGCCCCAAACACCCGCAACCACAACCGCGATCCAGAGGGTCCCTTTATCGGTAGAATTAAATATAGTGTTTTCAGGCATTGTTGTTATGGTTTAATTAAGTGATTAAGTGGTTTGTTTACACATTCATAGAGCATTTTAATTTTGGTATTCCTCTGGAACTTTGGTTTTTCCGCGCCGAAAAATCCGTATTTTTGCCGCAGTGCAATAGATAAAAAGACCTCTAAAACAAAGAATCCACTCACAATTTAAAAGCCGTAACTAATTCCTCAGCCTCCCTACCTTGGATCACCATATCGGCAAACACGCCCTTTTTCTCAAATAGCTCCTTCGGCGCTCCCACTCTGCAACTTAATCAGCATTTCTCTTCCTCAATACCGGGAGACACCAAAACCAAAAAATCGACATGACTTACTCAAGAATCTCTCCACCAATCATGACAATAACCCGATCATAATCAATAATCGTCCTCAACCGATGCGCAATCGTAATAAGCGTGCCCCCTCCAGCTCCTCCCTCAACACACTCCGAATCCCTGCATCTGTCTCATGATCCATGGACGCCGTCGCTTCATCTAACAAGATCAATTTCGATCGCTTGACAAGGGCACGAGCCAGACTCAAAATCTGCCTCTGTCCATGAGAGAAATTTTGACCTCCAGAAGTAACTTGGGTAGAAAGTGAAATATTAGGTGTGATCTGGTCCGAGTAGCCATCTGTAGTAGAGGATGGGTTCGATAGCGCAGTTAGGCCGCTGCAAGCTTTCAGTGCATTCTCGAGATCGCGACAATCAGCGGCGCTGGAAGGGTCGAGGTTCTCGCCGATATCGCCGCTGAAGAGGACGTTGTCTTGTGGTATGATTGTTAGTACTTGACGGAGACGTTAGAGTGAGATGTGCCTGATGTCTATGCCCGTCGTGAAGATATTGCCAGATACGATGTACGTGACGCGGAGCAGTGAAAGAACAAGGGTACTTTTTCCGCTGCCCGTCCGTCCAACGATCGCGACACGCTCCCCAGATTTGAGGGCGAACGATATGTTTTTCAGAATACCAGGTCCATCAGGAGTGTATCGAGCTGTAACATTCCGGAACTCTATCGTCCCTGAACAAGGCCAACTTGCTGGCGGCGCCACCACAGAAGGATCCGAATGCTCTTCCTCTACTGGCAGATCGACATACTCCCGCACACGTTGGAAGCAAGCCAGCTCGATTTCCAGCTCGTTCATATTCCTGACAAGCGAAATGATGGTCCGGCTGAGACCTACTGCGTTGGTCAAGGAGAACCCAACTAGGCCGGCTGACACACTGCCAGATCGAATAAGGGCAATACTTCCTGCCCCCAAGGCAACAGTTGCAGCTGCGCAGTCCGTACGCACACTAACCCAACGATTCAAGTTGTATTGAGCTTCGGCGGCTCTCGCATATACTCGCAGCTTCTGCCCCAATTGTCGGCCCAGAATATCTATCATTCCACTTCTTGCGCGTACAATACTTAATCCAGCGAGCGTTTCTGAGAATTGGGCGAAGACCGGAGATTGCGACTCGGCTGCAATCCGTTTCACAGAAGCAGCAGTTCTAGTATACATGTCTCCGACGATAAAGCCAATTACGCAAACAAACGCTGTTGGCACTGCAAATATAGGTAGGATGGAACCAATAGCTCCAACTCGCAGAACCAAACAGATGAAAACGTTGATAACTTCTTTAGACAAGTCGGCGAGAAGCGAGTCTAGGGAGTTCCGAGTTGATGTCTCTCGAGAATCGATTAGTGATGCAACCGACGGGAATTATGTCATACCAGCTCAAAGGTACCCGTAAAACAGCTTGGACTAAGCGGTTATGCATTTCCCGAGCCGCATTCCACGCTCCATTCTGAAAGACAAGACTGTTGAGCGCGGTGAGTATGTTGAAAGAGGCTAGAATAGCGGCATATGTGCCCAGATAGAATCCCACATCGACGGCATCTCGGTCAGAATAAGCACCAACCCAGACAGAAAGCCAAAGTGTCATAGCAAAGAATGCTAGTTGGGAGGCAAGTGCTGTGCATAAAGCAAACAAGGCATATTTGTGGCCGCCAAATACAACCATGTACTCATAAACTGCTCCGAACTATTAGCAGAGCACTGCTACCTCTAGCCAAGCGGAATTACATCCAGCTTCGACTTGAATAGGACTTACAAAGGGCCTTTGGATTTCTTTTATGGCTAACAATATCCTCAAACAAGCCATTTCGTGAGGGCGGATCTGTCGGCAACTGCCCCGCTGCAGGAACCGGTGTGGTATCCCCGGAGATTTCCTGCTGGCGAGTCCCGTAGCTGCCAGGACTCGGGCAACACTTATTGGGATTCGCACCACCCCTTCGCGTGCTTCAACAAATTTCACCACACCACCATCAAGCCTGACCTCGAAATCTGCTTGTTCTCCAATCCAAGGAATCTGCGTGACCAAGATGACAGTCCTGCCATGTAGGAGGTCACTGCAGAAACAATGATTATATAGATGCACTGCCGTGGTGACATCTAGCGCGGGAAAAACATCATCAAGGAATATGGTTGAAGCTTTCGAATATATTACCCGAGCGAGAGCAAGTCGCTGACGCTGACCTCCAGATAGAACGGTTCCATTCTCACCTACCAAGGTAAGATCGCATTGAGGGAGTTGTCCGAGGTCTTGGAGTAAGCAACACGCATCCACAACCCTGTCGTAACGGATCAGCTCAAATGCGCTGTTGAAAAGGATATTATTTCGGATTGTGTCATTCTGAAGCCAGGCACTTTGAGAGGCATACGCAACATCACGAGGACAAGTTACCTCTCCTGCTTCCAAGATAGTTTCGCCGAGCAAAGAAAGGAGCAGAGAGGTCTTGCCGCTCCCAGACGGCCCTGTGACAACGTTCATTCCCTGCTTAATGAAGTGCAGAGTTATGTTTCGTAATTTGAACTTCGATGCACGTGATCGGCTCAATGTTGCATTGCTCAATGAAGGAGGCCCTTCCGGATGGTGTTGCATGTCAATGAACGTTTCAAAGTAGTGATCGATGCGACCTAGTGATGCCTTAGCCTGTGCCACAAAACGAGTGGTTCTTGATATCCACGCAAATTGCGATCGAAGAATCTCAATAAGCGACAGTGATGTGAAAGCCGTGGCACTCGTCAACGATTGCCCCATGCCGAGGGTATAGCAGGAGAACATGACAAACAAGGTCAACAGTGGAATGAAGTCCCCACTCGCAGTTATCGCGACAGCATATAAACTACGTCTCCACATAATACGTTGCTCTGCCTGTCGAGCTTCCTCAATTTTCTCGGACATGGCATGTTCCCATGCAAAGTACTTGATCGTTCGAATAGCTGGCAGATACTCTATGATCCGAGATATACGGGTGTCTGTTGCCTTCATTGCTCGTGTGTGGACACTCGACATTCTTCGCGCGAGAAATGTCGGAATGGGAAAACATAGAAGCATGACCGCAAGTCCAGCCATCGAAGACCATCCTAGCATTCGATATAACAGTGTCATTGCAATCGTGAGCTCTGTTGGTCCAGTAATACAACAAAGAACAATGTCGCGTGCTTGGATGATGGCATCGACATCGTATGAAATCAAATTTGCTATCTGGCCAGTTTTGAGGTTTCTTTTGGAGCCTGCTTTCGGCACTTGTGGTGAGGAGGCCCGTTGCAGCGTACTACCATGCCCGTTATTTGCAGATTGTGATTCGGTCGTTTCGTCAAGCATAGCTTCATTCTCATCGCGACGCATTGCTTTGTAGAAAATCTCTTGGACCATGGATATTTTGACGCGGACAATCAGTCGAGTTGTCGTGAATATGTATTGATGAAATGCAACAGATCTGGACATCGGACCAATGAACAACAGGCAAACCCAAAGTACAGGCCGTACGACGGCGAGTTCGGGATGTGCCAGATAGTCCAGCAGCTGATACATAGCGAACGGAGCTATGAGTTCGCAAATGGCTGTCAAGGTTGCACAGAGGATCATCTTTGAGAGTTCTGCTCGGAGAAGGATGATCAAAGTCCAAAAAGTAGTGCCTCCTATTAAACTGGGATCGATTTATCGGTGGAAAATCGATATATTAGAGATTGACAATCTGTAGAATGACTAGTTTTGACTAGATATAGGAGAGTGATTCCATAAAAAACAGAGGGAATAGGTTCCCTAGCTATATTCCTGATTTCCAGCCCACCATGTGATTTACCCCGCACTTACTTGGTGATGGGAACAATTTACCAATCTGATTCCTGAACATATGTTTACGGAACGTAATCGAATGGTAATACTAATAAACGATTGGTGTACTCGTACGTAAGTAATACCCAATAATCGGACGAACTAAATTAGTAATTAAACCTGAAGTAGAAGGAATAGATACTAGCCAAGCTAGCTAGTTTAATACGCCTCCTCCTTATAGTCGAGATTTGACGTTAGTAAGGCTAATAATACCTAGCTTTAAACGTAGTAGTTCAAAAGCGGGTCTAGCTAATAGTTTGGTGAGAATATCGGCTATTATTTCCTATATAGGAATGTGCTTGAGTATAATATTCTTGGTATTAATATAGTCCCTAATAAAATAATATCTAATATTAATATGCTTGGTTTTCTAAGAAAATCATGTGTTTATAGCTAAATCAAGAGCTCCCTGAGTATCCGTTTTTAGCTTAATTAGTCCTATAGGAATCGATATTTCTTTAAATAGTTGCTTTAGCTATAGGGCTTCTTTAACTACCGGAATAAGGGCAATATACTTCGCTTCTATAGTAGTAATTACTATAGTTTTCTGTTTAGTACTAGCCCAGCTAATTACTTTACTAAATAGGGTAAAAACCATACCAGAGATTAATTTACGGTCCTATAAATCGCTTCTATAATCGGTATCTGAGTACCTAATAAGTTCTTCTTTAAATAAAGCATTATATAGAATACCTATATTAAGTAATCCCTTAATATATTATATTATATGCTTTTATATAGAGTTATAAGAGGCTTTAGGACAGGAATTAGAACGTCCCAAATACCTAGTAGTATAGCAAAAATCGGGTCTTAATACTAGAGATAGCTACATAAATAATCTCGTATAACTCTAATATTTTATAATATTAATATTTTCCCTTTTTAGAACTATAGCTTAAGCTATTAGTATAGAAATAGGAATAGAACCTTCTATTTAATATTTTTAGAGTATATTTATAAGATATTAATTTTGGTATAAGAATACAGAACCGTCCTAAAAATATATGATTTCCATACCTAGGAGTATTTTAATTTCTCCTAAATTAGTTATATTAAATTTCTAATAAAGTTACTCCTTAATTTTATTAATTTAAGCCATACTTTTACTAATAATAATTATATTATCTATATAAATAGTAATTAGAAAAGATAGCTAATTAATATTATACTCTTGAAATATATATAAGGCTAGATTATAAAGTAATCTCAGGAAACTAATAATACGGAAAAAACTATTAATTACCTAATTCCAGACCCTAGGGGCTTGTTTTAACCCGTAAATGCTTTTCTATAGGTAATAAATTAGGTTAGTACCTTTAATAAAACCAGGAGGTTATTTCATATAGTACTTCTCTTCTAATTCCCTATAGAGAAAGGCTATTTGGACGTCTATTTACTAAATATAAAGCCCATATTTAGCTACTAAGGCTAATATAATACATATAGTAAAAAGCCTAGCTACTAGAATAAAGGTTTTAAAGTAATCTATATTATATTATTAGGTATAGCCTTATACTACTAGCCTTAATTTATAGTACTTATTAGTTTTAATTTTAAATAACTAATAATATCTAATAGTTTTTTAGTATTTTCTAATTACTAGATCCCATATATAATTACATATATGGGATTATAGCTTCTTCCTAATAAAAGGTTTCTAAAGATAGGTATTAGGACTAGTAAAAGCTTTATTAATTAATATTAGAATTTTAGAAGCTTTAGTATTCTAGTTAATAACTAGCAAAATACGAGAATTAGGCTATTCCCCGGTAATTCTAGTTAATTTCGGATATCTAGGAATTAATTTATCCCTAACTAGAACTATTTCGGGAAATATAGGCGCCTCCTAAATTATAGAACCTAAATTAGAACTACTTATAAGTAATTCTGGTTCTTAGTTATTATTCTCAAATAGGGGTTCAGGAGCTTTACTTGAACTAGAAGCACCCTTAATTTAGTTACATAACATGCTTTAAATAATATTTCCTTTAATATTAAAGTAATTTTCTCGATTATTTTCTAATAAAATATTAAGCTATTAATTTCTAGTATTAATAATAATAGTATTTCTATAAATTATATTAGAATTATATATATTATTACTAGAAGTATTATTATAATCTTTAGTAGTACTAACTAGTCTTTTATATAGCTAGGATACTGGATTTAGGAAACACACTCTCTTAATATATTCTTTAATAGTATAATAATTAGAAATAATAAATATTTACTTATATGGGTTTCAAATATAATATCCGAAACTACTATAGCTAGTAAAAATACCCCTAAAGGCCTTGGCTATATACTTATATTATAAGGCTATTTTCTTAGGTATATAGATATATACCAAGAAACCGAATATCTATAGGTTAGAAATGTCCGGTTTAATCCTATAGAATACTTTATATGAAATTATACTAATTTTAGGCAAGTAGTATTAATTATAGGCATAAATCCCATATATAATTATTTCCTCTTAAAACTCGTATAATAAGTCTAATTATTCTAGCTCCGCACGCTCCGCTTTAATAATTATATATATATTATATTTAGAAATACTATTCTATTTAGGTATATAAGTAATTATTAGTTCCAGACAAATGCCCTTTAATTTGTACTAGTTCTTAACTTATCCTAATACAAATTCTAGAGTATTATTAAGGTATAGGTACTTGACTTTATTCCTAGTTTAGGTTTTAGAGAAAGTTACTTAATACTAAAGATCTATAAAGTAGCTCTTTCTATCCGAATTATATACTATTATATAATATTTAGTACTCTTATAAGTAATAGAAAGTATATAGGAGTTCTTACTAAGGAATAGAACCCTTAATAGCCCCTATAAGTTAATTATAATATATTTCCCTAGAAGTAGTTTTTTAGGATATAGTTTAGTTATACTAGCCCTAGTAATCTTACTTATATTATATGGATTATAATTAAATAGGTTTTAGTTCTTGAATTAAAGCCTATAGATATGGTTTACTAATTCTAGAATATACTTTGTATTTAGATATCTATATTACTAGTATTACGTTTTTAGGGAGGCTAAAGCTTCCGATTTTAATACTTTTAGGACATGCCCTAAACTAAATTAGTTAAGCTAATATAGCTCTATAGAGGGGCTAAAAGTACTAGTTATAATAGTTATTTCTTTATTAATAATTCGGATATTCCCTTAGGAAAATATAATATTACCTCTAGCTCGTATAATTTTTAGAATTAATAATAAGGAAATATTTCGGAATTAGGGGCTATAAAATATATTATTAAGCTATATTTTTAGCTCTAGTTAGGTAGCTAAAAAAATAATTCTTTTGTCCTTAATAAGAATTATTAATTTATTACTAAGGGTAATTAGAAATAAATTAATCTCTTTATATATAATAAAGAAGCTTTTACTTCCTATAAAATAATTTATAGTACCCGAATTAATATACCAGATATTCGTAAAATTATTAGGTAATTACTTACTAAGGAAGACACTAAATATCGTTTTTCTAGTAATATAGACTTTCGGATATATAGGTGCTTTGGGATTAGAAAATACCTCTTTACTAGTAGAATTAGTATTTTTTTCTTTGGAATTATAGAATTCCTGAACTAATTTATAGCTTATATAGTCCTTAATATTATGCCCTTTATACTTATGAAACATATAGTAGGCATTTAGATCCTTGGGACGCTTCGGTTTTTTATCCTTATTTTTAGACTAATTTCCTAATTAATTTCCTTAAGTAGCTAGTGCTTTTGGAATAGAATTAGAAGTGGAATTAGGGGTTTTACCCCTAAGTTTGTTTTCCTTAGTAAAAGCGTCCGCTTTAAGTAATTCCAGCTTTAGTTTATTAATATTAGCTCTAATAAAATTCAGGAAAAATTTATAAAAGTTATATTTCTTTAAAAGGCCACGAATTAGATATCCGGATATAGAAACATCCGAAATCGACCCGTTTATACCCTTAATTTCAGCTACTTTACGGCTAATATGGTTAATAAAGTCGTCTATTCCCTTATTAGAATCAAATATAATAGTTTCTAATTATTAAAGATATAGAGCTTTTTTCTGAGCTTTTAGCTAGTTCGCTTTAGCTCGAATCTGGGTCCAGATCTGGTATACAAGCTTGATTTCCTTGAATTATTACCAGGTATTATAGGTAATAAGTAGATTTAGTACTATACGAGTAATTACTACTTAATAAGTAATCGTTTTATTATTCTTTTGGGCCAATTTCACGAGAGCAGGAGCTTAATCTGGGTTAATATACTACTATAGATCTTCGATAATGAAGATATTCATGGTATTATCTATCTAGGAGTAGATATTACTATCTGAGAGAAGTTCGATTTTTGTCCCTTTATAGGTAATATATACTAATTTTTTACTATCCGGCATAGCGGATTTTGCAGAGAACTTTTGCCCAAAAATGGCTATGTTTTTAGTGAATTCTGCTAATGCAAGGCTAATACGGTGGGTGTAATTCAATAGAATTAATGATTTTGATAAAATCGGAAATGGACAAGTGAATACTAAGTGAGGTCACGTGACCTGAGGATCATGTGAAAGCACTTAGTGGGCACTATCCGGGCTCATAACCTATTAAACTGGGATCGATTTATTAGTGGAAAATCGATATATTAGAGATTAATAATCTGTAGAATGACTAGTTTTGACTAGATACAGGAGAGTGATTCCATAAAAAACAGAGGGAATGGGTTCCCTAGCTATATTCCTGATTTCCAGCCCACCATGTGATTTACCCCGCACTTACTTGGTGGTGGGAACGATTTACCAATCTAATTCCTGAACGTACGTTTACGGAACGTAATCGAATGGCGATACTAATAAACGATTGGTGTGCTCGTACGTAAGTAATACCCAATAATCGGACGAACTGAATTAGTGATTGAACCTGGAGTGGAAGGAATGGATGCTAGCCAAGCTAGCTAGTTCAACACCTCCTCTGGCACGCGCATCTTGAATACGAGGCAGCCATAGTAGCGGCCCATCGTAGAATGGCAGAGACGGCAAATCACCAAGCGTCAATTTCCCTCGAAATCCCTTTAATATCACTTTCGTAACCCATCCATATGACACGTAGTAAGAGAAATAGCTACAAGTTTCTTCTGGACTCGGCCGTCGTCTCGATGACGATGGATAAGATCCAGCGAAACAGAAGGAGGAGCCCATTCCTGGGGCGTGAATGCCGTCATCAGAACACAGAATCCAAGTGCTGACATAAGAACCACCCTAGGAAGCTCTGTCCGAGAAGAAATACTGTATGTAGAAGGGCGCGAGGAAGATTATCCGAGATCAGAATAAGCATGAAGTTCAAGATGAGGAGAACATTGACATGCCGCAATAGTTTTCGTCTCCAAGTTGCCCGAAAGAGAAGTCCCAAAACTCCGAGAGCAAACACATAACCGAAGAGCAGTGACGTGGGCCATTTAGAGCGATGACGACTGGCTAATGCCGTGCTGCCACGAACGTTGTAGCTCTTGCGATCTGGGAGCATATCTCGTAGGGAATTGACAACTGGGGAAGTGTTCCTTCGGATTGCAGCTTATGAGAGACTCCCGATGGAAGAAGTGATTTCAGGAGAGGGAGCGCAGAAAACGCCAGAAGGACGAGTTTGATGATGTCGTTGCTGGCGAGGTCGCACAAGCCCAAAATATTTTTCTCCCACTCATTTCTTTCCATATCATCAGCATTTTGGTACACAATGTGATTATTGTCCAGCAACTTACCTGGTGGCAAAATCCAAAAGGAAATCATATTTCAAATCAAATTCTATGACCTATGTATTTAGTCCAAGGCAGATACCAGTAGGCGATTTATATCTGGATCGAGCAGGTCAAATGTCGTGGTTGACAGCGCATGGTCGCGATGTCGGTATCAGCTTTGTTGCAGCCCTCCAGAAGTCGGGCACCACTGGCACCATAGGCACCACGCCCGATCCTCTGGCCCAAGATAGACCATGTCAATACCCTATTATTTCCTACAGCCTTACTTATCATTCACTGAGGAAAAGTCATAAGATTATTCACGGTCACTTATTGGCGTGGTTAGGAGCATCGTTGGCTCAACCGCAACGAATTACTAGCAACTTCTCGCAGCGCGAAAGTTACAGGGATTTTCTAGCAGTGCATACGAGTCGTTAGTGGTGTCGATGATCAGGGCACACAGGAGGCCCAAAATAGGCTCCACATTATGATGTGCAGGCTGACTCGGGGCGTGCTCAGGATGCTCAGGCTCGGCTCAGGTATACTCGCCTTTAGCTCAGGTTAAAGCAGCAGTTGCTCAGTATTGGAAAGTGATCGATTTATTGATGGAAAATCGATATATTGGAGGTTGACAATCTGTAAAATGACTAGATACAGGAGAGTAAAGAGTAAAAAAAGGAGAGGAGGGAATCTAAAGTACAGTTCTTATATACCCACTAGTGGGTGGCGATTTCCTCCAGTATATTATAAATCAGATGACTCATATATATTAGTAAGCGTTCCCTGAGCTTCCATAGTAAGCTATTCCATAGGCTTCCATAGTAAACCATTATAAATGAGAGTGGCGAAGCTAATATTAGTAGTTGAACCTGGTACTGGAAGGATTAGTAAGCTAGTACCAATTCAACACTCAGGTCTGGAGACTAAAACAGAACCAGCGAATGAGAAAATATATTTTCCACAAGTAGGCCTCTCTGAAAGGAGGATTTTGCAATTGCTTCAGAGTCATGTGGATCGCAATGCAGTGATCGAGTTCTTGTTGTATTATTTAGCTATGCTTGGCCTCGGGTACTGCAGAAACAACTTGTACAGCTTGTGAAGGCTCGGAGGTTTGTAGAGCGTTTGAGCCTCCTTTATTCCGCAGATTCTGTGGGCGTCCGTTGTCCCTCTGTCTCTGGGACTGTCAGGGCTTAGCTTAGGGCATAGGTGAATTTTTGGTGGGATGAAGAGCCTCAATAGGATGGGCAATGGGAGGACGTTACCTCTTTTTGAAAATTTCTATGCTGCTCTTTTCTTTACGGAATCAATTCTGAGATCTAGCTTCCGTCCCATCATCCCCCCTTTTCCTCGCAGGTTCCCGGATATCACGTGACCTCGATCTTCCCGCATCTCGCTTATCTCACGGGAAAATGTCATCCCAGCCCGTGCCTTCGCAACCCGCGTTTTTGGTGCATTCTCTGGCCCGATTCAAGACCGCCGAAAGTCAACGCCCACCGGTCGAATATCATGCCGCCAAATCTCCTCTTCTTCTAAACCTCTGTGTGCAGTCGAACCTTCTCTCCTGAGCCCCAATCCAGATCGTGTTTGCGACGCGCCACTGACGACATGGCGGAAGAGAATGCGCCGATAAATACCATGGGAGAAGAGGACACACCCAGGATGGAGGACGAGGAGGGCATGCCCGCGCAGGCGGGGGAACAAGAAGATACGCCTATGAGAACAGAAGAGGATGAGCAGACACCTATGCGGACGGAGGATGACGAAGATTCTGGCTCTGGATCTGGCAGTGACAGCGAGAGTGAAGAGGAGCAGGTCGAATGGCTAGCCACAACACGAGAGAAGCGCGCAACTGCTGGGAACCGACTGGCGAGTCTCCTTCAACAAGAAGAACCCGACGACGAACTCGAGTTACTGTTCGAGGAACCCGAGGATGATATCGGCTTCGAAGATGCGGGGGCGGACTCTGATGTCCAGATGGACTCTTCCTCAGACGATGAAGACCAAGGACCTGCAGCAGGAGACGATGATCTGGATGGGGAGAAGGCGATACAGAAACAGGAGCGGGCAGAACGGCAAGCGAAGAAGCGGAAATTGGCACAGGTTCCTGGAATCAAGAGAAAGAAGGTTAAGATTGATCCTCGAAGTCCATTAAAGCCTGCCCCTCGACCGAAGAAGAAATCCGAACGGGCATCATGGCTGCCAACCGCTGAAGAAGCACCGACTCGAGCTTCAGCGCGGAAGACTACAAAGTTGAGCAAGGAGCAGTTGCATCAGCAGATGTTGGAGAGGGAGATTAAGAGATTGAGACAACTTGCGAGAATGGAGAAGGCTGCGGCTGCGAAAGAGGCCGCGAAGAAGCCTGAGATGACACAAGCGGATAGATTGGCAGAAGCTGCGAGGATCGAGAAGAGTAATGTTAGGACTGTCAGTAGATGGGAGGAGGCAGAGCAGCAGAGGGAGCAAGCGCAGCTGGAGAAGCTGGCAGCGCTGCAGAATAGGCATTTGGAAGGACCGGTGGTGACATATTGGAGTGGGATGGGGGAGAAAGTTGGAGGGAAGTTGAAGAAGGTTGGGAAGAACTTGACGTTGGAGGAGAAGGAGAAGGCTCCAAGGAAGAGGAAAGCTGCAGAGATGGAGGCGGATGGCAAGGAGGCAGATGGAGCTACGAAGCCAGAAGAGGGATTATCGACCAAGCCAGAGGGTGCGCCAGGTGGAGAAGCTGCGGCCTCTGTCCCCTCGATTGAAGAGCCTTCGAAACCCGACGAGACTTCGGAACAACCTGCAGAAGAGCAACCTTCTCTCAAAGACACTGAAATTCCAGATTCCGAAGAATCGTCCGAACCTACAAAGCCAGACAAATCTGCGCCCCCGAAACCCGAAGCTCCCGAAATCGTCGAAGAAGCGCCGCCGATTGTAACTCCTGCTCCTCTTCCTGGACCACCAAGGTCTTCATTTCTCGCTCCACCTGCAGGCTTGCCCTTGACTGCTCCGCCTCCCCCACCTCCAAAGAACCAAAATCCATTCGTTTTAGCACCCCCGAGCCTCGATGGATCTGCTCCTCTCCCTGGATTCGGATTTAATCTCCAACGACCTCCATTAATGCCACCCCAGCCGACAGGCTTTGCAATCAACTCTCCCCCACAGCTGAATCTCCCTCCACCTCCCCCAGCCATCGAGCATGAAGGCCGTAATTACATTATTCTACAGAACTTCGACGAAACAGCAATCAAAGACAAGGACGTCCAAACACAAATCCTCTTCGGCCGGAAATTCAGCAAAGTCAGAAGTGCGTCCCCCCCCCCCCCCCTTCTCTCCCCTCTAACATCCTCCAGAATCCAAGAACTCCCACGAACTCTGCGCCATCACGGGATATCCCGCCAAGTACAGAGATCCTTCTACGGGCCTGCCTTACTGCAATTCTTATGCTTACAAAGAGATTCAGAGGCTGAAGAAGGGCGAGTATAAGTGGAGCAAGTTGGTGGGCGCGTATATGGGACAGGGGACTTATGCTGCGAGGGGAGTGCCGCCGAGGTTTTTGAATAAACCTGCTCCACAGCCAGCTGCAGCCGCGACGACTCAGCCGGCGAAGTAGAGAGTAATATGATGATTGTATGATTGTATGAACGGATTGAGTGTATATCATTACATGACGGCTTTGGAGCGCAGCATGGCCAAGAATTCAATTGTACAGATTGCAAGCACTTTCCATCCTTTTTCTTGTGTTTTGAGCTTTCGTCTTTTAGACTCGATAGAGAGACCTCTCTGTCAAGCCATCGAACGCCGAGAATAGAAGTCTCTCCCCCAGGGTCAGAATCAGCGCAAAGATGCTGGCCGCCTCATCTCATCTCATTCCATTTCAACTCATTTCTACTCGCCCCCTCTCGATCGAATCTCAACCGGGTCTAGATATGCTCTCACCGGGTCTCATGAGTTCTTGGTGAGTTCTGATAAGTTTCCTTTAGTATGTAAACTGCTCTGTTCAATGAATCCTTGACTGTTATGCTTCAGTCTCCACCTCGGGAATCTCGTCTGTTAGAAGGTATTAAGAGCACATGATTAGCAATGCATGGACATAGTTGCATACCTTAATTCGGTCTGCTACTAGAATAAACTTTGTTCTTCCTTATGGTCTAAGCCTGGGATAGTTGCAAGCATGCATTCTTCCACGAAGAAACGTATCACGGCCAGTTTGCAACGGAATCAATTGACTATTCCAACACCATCACGCCATCAAATTCATCCGACCTCTGCAGTCCCGGAATGATTACTGAAAACCTACAAGTATAACAAACAGCGTAAATTCAAGCGCAAAGTCCTTCAACTCCTCCTGCATTTCATTCGGACCACGTTTTGACCCAAATCTCCTATCATATCCCAAACCCGCATGTTGGAAGGCAAAGGTGTTCCTACCCTACAAGTCTTCTCATACAGGTATAACGGATAACTTTTGCCGAAAGTCCACCAAGATATCACAAGAAATAAATGGTCGTCGGAAGATCGTAATAGCAATCGCTCGGGTTGGAAATAACATTCGCAATCGCTAGTTCTGTGTGGTAGGCTGAGTCTGCGTTCGAGACGGTCAACATCCCTTCGAATCCACTAACATATCTTGCTAAACATCGAACTCACCTGTTGCGGGGGCTGGATCTGTTGAATCTGGTCCTTGAACTGCGATGGTGCATGTGAATATGCCTCCTCAGCATTCTTGATACATCCGAACAGGTTCTTGAAGACACCGAAGAAGCTTTCGAGGCAGCCAGCGGTATCGTTTTCGGGCTTCTGGTGCTCTGGCTTGCCCTCCGGCTTGCTGTTTTCGTGCATGTTGAGGTTGAGGTTTGAGTTGAGGCTGGAGGCTTGATATGGGGGTGCTGTTGTGGAGCGGTTGGAAGGTACTGAGGTCTGGTGTGGGAAGTTAATTTGAAGAGTGCCAAGAAGCCTTTAAAGATTAAAATGCCAGTCCTCAGGGGATAGAAAGGGAAATGAGGCTGATACAGGGGGACGCCACCAATATTTGAAGGCTGCGCATCATTTGCTCGCGAAGCTGTGGCTTCTCGCGACAATTGCATCCCCTGCATATCACGCGCTTTGTTTGGCCAATCGAAAAACAAGTCGTGAAATCTTACCACAGCAGACTCAAAGGATAGGGGGGTGACTTAGGAGAGATGCATAGATGGCATTATTATAAATAGAAGCATCTACTAGCTAACCGCCCGCTCTATTTCAATAAAAACGGTATAAAACCAAAATTTTGAGTAGTTGTAATTACCGACCTTAGTATAGGAATTTCTTGAAGTTTTCAAAAGGTTCCTTGTGCTTTTAAAAAAAACCTTAATTTTGGTAGTCTAATAGAAGTATAGTAGAACCTCGCTATAACGATCCTCGATATAACGAAGGTGGTCTGTGCGCCCACACAAAAAAACCTCGATATCATATAGGGATTTTTGGTCCCAAACCCCCCTGTCTCACCAAAATATGACCTTTTCCTAACGATATCCTCGCAATATCGTTAAAATTTCACGGTCCCGAGCCTATCGTTATATCGAGGTTCTACTGTATAAGAAGTAAATGCATTCAATGAGTAGTTTTAATAGCGAAGCAAAAATAATGAAGCTACTACCTTATAAACGATTCTAACTATACTACTAGTTTTAAACGCACACGCAGAAGTTACGATTTCGAAAATACTATAAAGTATTGATAGGTGATAGGATTTGCAATTACAATAAAAATATAGTAAAAAAAATCATATTTTTAAGGAGCTCCCGGCTGGGGGGTTTGGGCGGTTAGCCAGTGGATCCTTCTCGGATCCCTGGAAAGAACCGCTGGGTGAGGCGCCCCCTTTAACGAGTCTACCGACGTAAGTCTGTGTTTTTAGGGTATTTCGCTTAGAAACCAGCCCCCATAGCCATTTTGGACGCTTCAAATTTATATTCAGAATTGGATTTAAAGGCCTTTAAAACTCAATCTGGCTTCCTATATTATACGCGCTTATGTTATATAAGATTTTAATTTATGGTTGATGAGCTACAGCAAAAACTCGCTATAACGATCCTCGATTTAGCAATATCCTTGACAGTACGATACAGCCGTAAGGTCCCACTGCTTTTTGGCCCTATACTTACGATATACCCCCCACAACGATTATCGTAAGGATTTATGGCCCGGAGATTATTTTTTTGGTGTAATATCGTTCTAATTATCGAACCCAATAGATCAATTCCTCTCTTCCATAGGACCTTCTACCCCCCAAACCCCGGTAATTTGGAGTCGCAGACCATCGATCTCACTGGTTCACAGCCTGCAGTATTTACCACTAATTCTATAGGCCCTCGGCAGCCTAAAAAGCATCGAGGAGCTATTACTGGAGAGATTCTTTATATATCTTTAATTTTTACTGTCTTTATGTGGGTGCACGTGATTCTTGATACAACGATACCTCGGTGTATCGTTAGAAAAAGACGCTAAAATCGATATCGAGGTTTTGCATGTGAAGTGAAGTGGGCGACTTTGGTTTTCCGGTGCCTGAAAATATCGCTAAAACACGGACTTTTGTCCGTAGGCTCGTTACGAGCCTACGGACAAAAGTGCGTAGGAATGCAGTGGATCTTCTATGCGATACAATATACCAGAAGTCTCCGGGATATTGACATTGATCAGGGTGGTCTAAGGACTAACAAATTGAGGTTGAGGGGATCCATATACCAGTAGTTTCTGGGAGATTGATGCGCTGACACTTTGAGTCGATTCAATCATGTTTCAATGTTCCTCTAAAGTAAGAAATGGGCCTAAGGAAGCCTTCAATGTTATCCATGAACGCCTGTGTCTTGCCTTTCCTGTGCAAAGGGAAATTGAATTTTCACCTCCAACTCTCACAAATGGATTCAGGCCTAGTCTCCACGCCAATTCTGCTTCTTCTTCTGCGCAGCTTTGCTGTCTTCGAACAAGCAAGAAAAGCCGAGCCTACCCGATAGAAGAGGTTAAGAGGATGACCATGAGAAGATCATTCAAGAATCGATATCTTTAACACAGCTATCAAGATATTTAATTTCCAGTCTATATCAACACTGTTCCTCCATTGTCCCAAACGCCTTAAAAATAAAACACGAGAAAGGTAAGGGAACGATGCCATCGCTTTCTGTCGAGATATCGCAGCTCAACATGCAGGAAATGTTTGAAAAATATCGTAAATCATGTCATGAACCAGCGCAAGCGCAATCATCTCATACCTCACTGATCATTCCCGCTTTCTCGTCCCTTTCAGCTAGCTCAACTTTCTTGCCTTGAAGCATCGAGCCACAAAGGATCGAAAAGCCAAGGATGAGCGGGAGGCAAACCAGGATCATCTCTTCTGCGCTGAACCCAAGTATGGACGAAACAACGGTTCCAGCTAGTGCCAAGCCGAAGATGAGTCCAGCCTGGTTTTGTGACCTCCCCGTCCCCGCGATGATAGTACCTGTGAGACCTGCAGCCCCAAGGAGGAAGGAGAAAAAGATTATCTCGTTAGGAATCGTAGATGACAGTCGACCAAATTGGGGATGAAAATTAGCACAGTTCGCAGTCTGGGATTGTTAGCTTGAACCTGGCCAAAGAGCCTCGATTTACCTTGTTCATTGCTTCGCTTGGTTCGTACAGTTCCATCCTCTTGTTCAACCACACGAAACTACTACTCATCAGAAGTCCAGATGATAATCCCAACAAAGCCATGGTCTTATTCGAAATTGCATGCTTGTTGAGAAGCTGGAAGCGGAGGCAATGGCTACCGAAGCTTGGATAGACTTGATCTTCCATGATGATGGGGATATCCTCTCCTGTATCTGATCGTTCCCATGCTGGATCCCCGCAAAGTAGTCTTTCCATATTTCCCTTGTCAACGCGCCCAATGAAACAAACTTTGACAATGTGCTCAATAGTATAGGTTTTTGCGTAGTTTACGCGGGACTCGGCATCGTGTTCGGAAAGCATATACTCATCTTGATGCTTCGTTCTCACCCCCATATTGTCTTTCGATTCTCTAGCGCTTTTCCACCTCTCTTTGCTTGTCTTCGAGTAAATGAACCCATGGTTGTCTAACTTAATCCCGCGCTTGTTGGCGCCTTTATCCGAGTATGTCTGAATCGGTCTATTGGTACTTATCAATGGAAATTTCGAATACTAATATGAGGAGTACCTACAAGCAAAGTGCGTGCCTGTCTCCAGCCTTAATGATCACAAACCGTCGGATTTTGTGATAAGCTAGGGAATCTGTGATAGCTGAGGCCGTGATTTCCGTGCCTTTTGATGCTACGGGTTCAGACCAAAGGACCTTGAAGACCCGACCAAATGTAAATTTGGTTGGGGCGTGAACTGTAAATCCTTTCCAAGTTAACAAGCGCTCATGACCCTGTCGATGATGATTCTTTCTCACTACTATCAAGTTCTTCATATTCCTTCGAAGATTCCCCAGAACCGTACTCCTGCGTCTGCGATCGAGTCATCTTGCTGCCCCTTTCGCACCCATCAACCTGAACAGTATTATGAATCGTTTCTTGGTCAATCGCCTGGGTTTCTTTGTGTTCGATCTCGCCGTACAGTTGCGATATTTGCGCTTCTTCGATGGGGTAGTCTGTGTTGGGAATAGCTTCATCTCGAGCTGGTTCGTATTCAAACTCATACTCTCCTGCTCGCAGATGTCAGGATTGAACTGAGCCAGCCCTTGTCTTCAGAGTTGCAACTTACCATTTCTGTCCAAGCGATATCTCACATGGCATTTATGTTCAGCAGTCCACTCCCAATCACTCCACCTGGTTGGGTAGTAATCACTGTTTCCCTGCTTTGAGCTTTTTCGTGAAGAACGGTGGGAAGGCATGATTTCGAGTCTGGCGCATTCGTTTCTCACGAACCCCCTCAACAATCCGCGGCCTTTCTTGGAGAATCTGGCCTTGGATATTGAGATTTGTGAATTGACAGCGCTATCTTGAAGAAAGTTCATGGTTGCGGCTTGAGGCTCTGAGCCTTGTGTGGTTCGCCCATGGTGACGTGGCAATACACGCCCGAAGTCTGCCTCGCGGACAGCCTCTCGTCTCGGAGGATGCGTTGTCTTTCTAGCCCCGAGAAGCCTCAAGCTTCTCAAGCTTCTCTCTGTGTGCATCCTAACCGTCGCTCTTCTAAAACATCTCCGAATTGCAGATTGATGTCGTGGGATTTCTTGGGCACGCTCTATTGATCTACTTCCTGTGGTAGATCGATTCCATTGGGAGTTTGTTCCAGCCAAACCATCTATTTGAATTGCGGGGACATTTGTTTATTTGATCCATTTGCCTCTGAAGAGTTCTCAACCTGCGAAATGTATGCCTCAAGACGAAGCCTTCAAGTCCAGCCGGACTACAGCTATGGAAATGCTGTTCTGGATACATCCAGAAGGTAGGAAATGCTTTGAGGATAAATACGGGCTTGCAACGAGAGCTGACTGCAAAAAAGTGTGACTTATCCAGAGGTCACCAACTCTGGATACAACAATGCTTATTATGTGTCCTCCAGGTAAGACGCTTGGAAACCAGGCATTCGAACGAAAATACTGAAAGTAGAAGTCAAAGCGCCGTGTACGCCCCGAGCACGACAAACAACAGCCCTATTCTAACTATTACCAACTCCGCAAACCCTCATTGTTATATATCCCCAGTGTATCAAAAGTCATGGGAGGGAAACAAGATAAGCAGGATCGAGCCAGTGACAACTTATGGCTCAGAAGGCTCTCTAGCGAAGAAACGTTCAATTGTCGGATTTCCCCACTCGCCGTTGGCGGACGTGAACAGAGTAGGACTTGACTCTACGCTTGAAAGGGCTGATAAGAGCCTCACGGGATGGTGAAACCACATTTCAGACAGCGAGGGAATAGTCTGGCTAACACTGGGTTTAGCGATGTCGCCGAGATTGCACTACAGATGGAAGTGAGACGAGGGATCGGGACAGCGGCGTTGAACGAATCCGTCCAATTACTAAAACCACCATTACGATCACTTGATGAGGGGCCATATACCCCACGTCGACGTTCGCCAGCAATTTTCCAAACCTCACAGAACACTTCGCCTCCTCCGAGCGTACGAGCAAGTGCCGATAATCCTCCGCTTCAGAGACATGATGGGGGTGCTTCGCGATTAAATCGTTCTCAACCAGGATCTCCTTACATAAGTGCTGGACCCGACATTGAATTGAGTGGTTTGTCTTCGAGAGAAGTGGAAGAACCACCTCCGCCGGGTCAAGGGTTTGAGAATACCAGGACACAAGGTCTGGGAGAAGAAAGACATCGAAGCATGTTCTCTCTCCTTCTATGCAGCATTGCAATTTTCTTAGCCCCTGTCAACATTGTCTCGGGAATGACTGCAAGCCATGGGGACAGTTGGAAGCTGGCGTTTGTGGGGTAATACTAACCCATCATTCTCCTTGAGCATGAGTATACTGTATATTGACACCCCGATCAGGTTCTTCATATCATGGTTGCTAGTCGGCACAACCTGGCTCATTTTAGACCTTCGCAGATTTGAACGGTCGCTCTTCACAAAGTTTGTTCCCCTAACTCTCGTCCGTAGCCACAAATCATAAACTGAATACGAACAGGAGATGTCTTTGGCATCTAGGAGGATGCGCGGCATCCCTGTATTTCTTCATGTCTATACTACATATTAAGTCTGACAATCTACCACAATGGCTACCTACGGCCATCGATTGTGGGGTTGGGACAAGTCTCGGGTTTCAAAGTATCCCGGCAAGTGCGAGGCATCGGGTAGGAGAGTCAATCGGCAGTGTTATTGGAAGCATTTTCGGTGGAACGCAAGTCATTATCAGAAGAGATGAACAACAGCTTTTACAGAGGGAGGAGCCATCGTCGCCACGGAGACATCGAACAGATATTGAGACGGACTCAATGGTCTGAGTCTATGAACAGGGTTGGGAAAGCATCACCTCTATGCGCTCAGCCCGGTGAGAGGCTAAGTAGTGACAGGTAATCTACGGCTGCAAAACAACACGATTCGACTCATGGCTCACTGAAAATGTATGGGTATTGCTAGTCTTGGCCTGGTATGCTTGTCAAATATTCTGCGTCATTACGTGTGGGAGGTGTATTCAGATGAGCTATGATCAATGGAGTATGGAGTATTAAGGTTATCGCAGAGGGCTTGCTTTCGCCAGCGCGGTGCCTCGGAGGAGCTTCAAGTTGCGTCTCTTGTGTTTTTTTTAGAGAGAAATAATCACATGAACCATCGTTGAATTGCTCTATTGCTTAAGTTGGTGTCTGTACTTTGGTATTTCTGTTGGGAGATATTGATCCGAACCTGTTCTGGGACGATGACAGGACCACGTACATCCAGCTCCCTGGTATTCACCAACAAACCATTGATATGAAGGCTGGTGCGCTTGGTAACACAAGAATTATATGGACCGGCTTCACTGAATACATTCCCGAGGGGCCGCGTATATACAAGAAAGACGGCTACTATTATCTCATGATTGGGGAAGGTGGAACAGAGCTGGGACGCCATGAAGCAGTAGTTCATTCCAAGGATATTTGGGGTCCGTTCGAAGGCTATTCAGGGAATCCCATTCTCGTGGCCACTAACACCTCCGAGTATTTCCTGACAGTCGACCACGCGGACCACTTCCAAGATCCGTCTGGTTTTTAGTGGGGCAGCGCGCTTGCCACAAGTTCTGGACCTGCATGGGAGAACCATCCAATGGGGTGGCGAGACTGTTTTATTTCCTGCGACATGGAAGGATGGCGACTGGCCTGCCTTGCAACAAGTTCGTGACCGAATGAGTGGCTGGCCCCTCCCGCCGCGGACAAAGGCAATACCCGGAAGTGGACCGTGTATTGAAGATCCAGACATCGTAGACTTTCCTCCAGATTCAGCTATCCCGCCGCATTTTCTCTACCGGCGCTTTCCGCCAAAGGATGCTTTCGCGGTCTCTCCTCAAGGACATCCCAATACTCTTCGGTTGCGTCCGCCGCAGTCAAATATTACGTCCAGCGCACAGCTAAGCACACTATCAAAACTAAGTCTGATCATGCGAGTGCAGACAAACAATCTGTTTAGATTTAGCGTTGACATTATATTGTTCAAGCTAAAGTTACAAGAAGAGTAGGTTGGCGTAACGGCTTTCCTTACCCAAACATGGCAAACACAGCATCTCAACTTGGGCATTGTCTGTTACCTATAAGCCATCCTAGCTTCAAGGGCGGCGCAAGCCTAGCTTTGCATCTTCGATTCCGGGTTACTAACTACCTGGCCTGGCGGGTGATTTTAGCGGAACTGTGCCAACTCTCCTCCAGGCATTACCAGAGAAATGACTGAACGCTCCTATCCGGTTACAGATTGTTGCGGTCAATGAGAAGCATTACGCCCTCTCTGTTGCATCATCTCTTACGCCTTTTGAAAGTCAGCTCGTGGGGATAGCACCTGCAACCATACTGAGCAGCGGTAATGGTCGATTTACAGGTAAGAGTTGCGTTTTATGCTCTATAAATGGCTCTACTCGGCATACGCGAGATTAACTATGTCCCTCAGCTGATAAATTTTAGGGCACGCTTCTTGGGGTATATGCTACAAGTAACGGTGGTACTGGTACGATGGAATCGCATGTAAGCAGATGGCAGTACCAAGGGACAGGCCGTGACATCAACAATGGAACGTTTGTACCCATACAGCCCGTTTTCAGGATCCCCTAACGTATGATCCATACGAAATATACACGTGTCTTAATCGTAGAGACTCACATATGCACCCCGTATGCTCTACGCCTTAAGATAGACGTATCATAGCTATAATACTAAGAACTCCCTTTCAAACGTAGCTGCATCCGGGGGCCGGGGGAGATACTATTTCGTGCAACGCCATCTAATTTCTATCACTTTAAACTGAAATCTAGGAGAGTCTGCTGCAACTAGAAACAGGTAATTTGCTCCACTGTTGTCACCTACGATCTTCTGGAAAGTCTCCCATTATTGCGAATCCTGGCCAATTTTATTATCTACTAGACTACTACTGCTCTTTTCATCCCTTGCTGAAAGATCGACAAAGGAAACAATACCACCTTTGTTCCCACCGCTACTTCACCCTCCATATCTTCGAGAAACCGCATTTTAAGTTCCGAGAACTCAGGGCAGTATTTTTGCCATTATCCATACTGATAAGCTTTATCCGTTTTGGTATCGGCGATGAACGCTATAACGATCTCTCTCAAAAAACTACTTACGAGCCCACCCTCAAAAGTCCGTGTTTTTAGGGCATTTCGCTAAGAAGCGAATGCCAAACCCAATTTTGTACCTTTTATCTTATTCTCTAAATCGCTTTAAAAGAGTTTTAAAACTCACTCTAGCTTCTTTAATCATATATATATAAATTATAATAGGTTATAATTAATAGTTATTATATATTTGTCAAGTGAAGTGGGAGACTTTGGTTTTGCGATGCCTGAAAATATTGCTAAAAACACGGACTTTTGAGGCCGGGCTCGTTAGAGGCAGCTCGGACAAGAACACCAAAAATCTAGCTTTCTCTTTAGTTTAATCTAACTTTATAAGGAATTAATATAATTTAATGCTTGTTTTATTTACCTATAGCGGTAATTAAAGGCTATTTCAATATAAACTTTTTATAAAATTTCATACTATAGCTTGAAGATAGACTTAAGATTATTAAGTCGCAAAAAGTGGGTATTTTTAGTGTAAAACGCGTGTTTTGGTGCGGGTTGGTGCGGGATGTTTTGGTGCGGGGTATCGGTTACCTTTAAGCGCAGTCTTTACCGCTTGCCAGACTTCAAACAAAGCAATTCCAATGTGTCTAGAAATCACATTTGGGATTATAGTAGTTGTTGTGGCCAAAGTTCAGGATGGAAAGCACTCGTGAACACAACTTCTTGGTAAGTGTCGCGGAGCTCCTTCACTGTCGTTCTCGTTGTAGAGGAGGGCCTAGTCTAACAGTCTGTGAGATAAAGCTTGTCCTCGTTGGAAGTTCTGGCGTTGGGAAAACCTGTCTCATTCAAAGATACAATGGAGATCCCTACAATCCCGATATCTTGCCATCCATCAGCGGCGACTGGCTTGTACGGAAGATAGAAGTAGGTGGAAAACGAGTCAAGTTGCGGATCTGGGATACGAGCGGAGTGGAGAGGTTACGACCTCTCACTACGTCCTACTATCGGTATTCCAATGGAGTATTCCTAGTTTATGATGTTGCAAGTGAGGGTAGTTTCAATGGTACGTCCCTCAACCACCATCTAACCATTTCATTCTTGCTAATGAGGTCAGATATCCAATCATACTGGTCCCAATCTGTGAATCAGCATGCTCCTGAAAAGGCCACTAAAATTTTGGTCGGCAACAAATCCGACTTGATTGAAAGGCGTGTCGTCTCTACGAAGAGAGGAGAGGAGCTAGCAGACAAACTCGGAATTCCTTTCTTTGAAGTTTCGGCAAAGAACAACTTGGAACTCGGCAAAGCCTTTCACACGATGACTCTCTTGATAACAAAAACACTCATGAACGATAATGAGCCCGGAGACTCTCAGTCCGGTGTTGTTGTCGACCCCAAGGCGAATTCTAAATCACCTTACCTGCGTAACCTCGCTGGCCTGTTTGCACGGTCACGGGATCAATCTAACCGAGCCTCTATGTTGAACTAGCTAAAGCAATATAGCTAGGGTCACGTGCTTGCAATGTAAACCAAGTAAAACGTACTGAATTGACTGCTGTTCTACAGTGGTAAGTAGCCCGTATATATAGCCCTGAACCCCCTAAGTCACATGTACTAAATCCCTATGCCAGCTGAACCGATTACAGCTATACAGGGTATTCCAGCCGTACATGGTATTCCAGCTATACAGGGTATTCCAGCCGTACAGGGTATTCCAGCTATACAGGGTATTCCAGCTGTACAGGGTATTCCAGCTATACAGGGTATTCCAGCCGTACAGGGTATTCCAGCTATACAGGGTATTCCAGCTGGACAGGGTATTAAGCTAGTGCACAGCCCCATGGCGTTCGGTTCCAGGGCTTACTAAGCCTATTAGGGGCCTCAGGCCCCTAATTTCAACACTCTATTGACCACCCTAGTACCGCCATTACTCCAAGACAGACGACCACTGGTCAGTACCCTTACAGGAAGTTGGACTCCGATGCCTGGGAAATGCGACTTCTGTATTTGGACGGAAGCACTTCAAAGGACGACCTCTTGACTTGTTTCATAGAATATATCTCTCTGATTGATCCCGGAGTTTACACAGCCCTCTCTTATTGTTGGGGAGACCCGCGTATCACGAGCACTATCCGTATAGATGGCTGCGAAGTCAAAATCACGAAAAATCTCGAGTCGGCGCTTCGGGGTGCTCGGGAGAACAGATCAGCAAAAGGAGGAATACTTCGACTGTGGGTTGATGCTTTGTGTATCAACCAAGGAGATAAAGAAGAACGAAGTAATCAGGTGCGTAACATGCGTCAGATCTATTCCAAAGCAAAAGAGGTTCTCTGCTGGGTAGGGGGCCAAGAGGTTCCGCCGTTGCATGTAGAAGGCCTGGAATACTTGCTCAAGAATCAAATCGAGGTCCAAACGCTGGGAACAGGATCCTCTTCGGAAGAAACTGAGCTGAGCAGCTTTGGTAATATTGTCGACGAAGTCGATAAGGAAAAGTTTTGGACCGAGAATGGATGGGTACTCCTCAACGAGTTTTTCAGCCAACCATACTGGGAAAGAGTTTGGATAATCCAGGAAATCACGGTAGCATCATATGTGACAGTTCTCTGGGGAAATATCGAGATTCCTTGGAACTTTGTCAATGCAACCTTGATGAAACTCAGAGAAGCAGAAATTGCGAAAGGTTCTGGTAGCAGAATCAAGACTTCTTCTAAAGCCGCACACTTGTTGGAGTTCAGGGACCATTACTACGTCAGGCGACAGCCCATAGGACTGCTTGATGCCATGCGGTGGAGTCACAAGACTTTGGCAACTGATCCAAGAGACAAGATTTATGCTCTGTTAGGATTATGTCACGACGGTACTCAGTTTGTGCCCATACCGAACTATCGATAACCCGTCAAGCAAATGCTCTTAGATATGACTCGAACCATGATCACCTTGACCGGCTCACTCGATATGATATGTCTTCGAGGGACTGGAATTGTGCCGAAGGACAGCCCGAAAACGCCCTCATGGGTGCCTAGCTGGACCACCTTTTGGTCTGGGAATATGACGGCTCTAGAAAGCAGATTCTCGGAATGGCACACCATTTCCGACTACAATCCAATTCTTCCATGGCCAAATACTGATATTCTCAAAGTGTGGGGATTTAGATTAGGCACTGTAAGCGGAATGAGCTCAGCCATGCGTCCGCACGGAGAAAAGCATGAAAGTCTATCTCCAAATCTATCTCGTTCTCACTGGATATCATCTACATCCACACTACACCAGAAAGACCCCCGGTTGGACAGTGCCGCTCCAGAGCAAATGAGCTTTCATGATCAAATATGGCAAACACTTACTATGTCACTCGTCTCCGACAAGTTCGACAGCGCCATAGTGAGAAGCTGTTTCTCAGCGCTCTGGACTCCCGAGGAAAGGGGTGCAGTGCGTAATCTTGCTCTCATAGAGTGGATTGATAGCAACGCTTGGTTCAAGATCGGCGAATTCACACTTCGCGAATGGTCTCAACTCAGAACTCCTGGTATAAACAAAGCCTCTGGTGAGGACTGGATGGGGAAGTCATTTGTTGATAAATCCATCAGGACAGATACCAGCAACATTGGCCAACGGGCTGAAAATTGTCATACGGCCGAGCAAATGGACGCCTTTATTGATGTACTCGAGGAAGTTTTAGGAAGTGGGATGCGACTTGCGCTTCTGGAATCCGCTGCTCTGCCACAGGATCCCCCTTCTCGGTTTCCATACCTGGTTTTGGTACATCCGGATGTACAGGTCGGGGATATGATTCAGTACTTGAGAGGATGCAGTATTCCGGTTGCTTTGCGAAGCGAAAGGGATAATAAAGGTGCGAACAGCTGGGGACAGCGTTTCCGAGTCATTGGTGGAGCGTACCGAGTCGAAACAGAGGATTTGAAAGTGTTCGAAAGTCTTAGAGAAGATGGGCGTGACAGTTGGCATAGAGATCGCCCAAGGGGGCCTTTTGTTTTAGACTTGATTTAAATAATTAGGATCACATTTCCTAAAGTTGTGACAGATAAGGTATATGTGATGAGGAAATATGTCCCTGCTCGAAATCTTCTTACATTTGATCATCACGATTCGATACTTTGCTCCCTGTGAGGTAACATAAGAACACTTAATGTAGCGCGAGGGTAAAAGGTCCTAATAAGTCTGTCGCTCATACTTCCATTTCTTTGCATTCGCACTAGCTAACATAACTATTTGATTCTCGCTCTTGCTCGAAGTAGAACATTTTGCGGTGGTCAATGGGGATTAAGAACATGCCGCGATTCACGTAATAAAGAAGATATTTTGGTCTCAGATTCGTCAATTTCAAAAAACTACGTAAATTTTGCTCTTCGTCCTGATGGCCCACGAGATTCTCCAACCTCTCAAATGCACGTGCTGCTCAGAAAATTATAACTAGAGCTACATATTTCCTGAAGTATATTCAATACCATTCCCAAGGGTCCAACTAGATCTAGGGTTATGGTAACCCCTCCCGCAAGACCCACGGCATTGTGGGTGAAGACGGTTGCCGATTTGAAGATCGGTATTGCTGCGACCTCAGTGACCTAGAGAAAGACAAGGAGCCAGAATCCAGAAAAGATTCTAGCAAGCAGGCTCGCCTCGAACATACCATCTGGCGAAGCTTGCTCTGGCCGTATGGGAAACGCAAGCTGACTGTAGCAACTGACAAACTCCCAGCATTGAGTGGAATTGCCAAGTTGTCGAAGTCACGCGTCGAGGCTTAACACATAGCTGGACTGTGGAGCGATACGCTGATGGAAGGGCTAGCATGGCAAGGAATAGGACACAGAGCACCTGCCTCAGCCACTGAGTATACAAGACCAAGCTAGAGCTGGGCGAGCTACGATGGAACTGCCGCCGCCGGTCGAAGGGGAGAGTGGAAGGATTTTTCCAAGGTTGGAGATTGGCATGTTGAGCTGCAAAGCTAGGAAAACCACTTTGGATCAGTGAAGAATGCTTGGATAGCTATCCATGGTCCTCTGATTGAGCTTAAGCCCAGCGAAACGGAACTCACGGACCACGAGATTATTCTCAAGGAAATCGGCACGACTCAACTTCCTAGGTTCCGGACACGGTACTCCGATAGTGAACAGGGGAACGTGGCGACGCCTGGTCATGACACATTCCGTGAGTCAGGAGCCTGGCGTGAATGGAAAATGCAAGTCATGTCATGATACTTTGCAGTAAGAAGGGCGATGATGTAAAAGCCAATGAGACGATTGAGAGGAGTGGGGAATACGGTTCGTTCTCACCTTTTTACGGTCTAGTGATCGCACCAGCAGAGGATGGAAGGATGAAGAGGGTAGGATGGATGTTCTTGCAAGATGAGGTAGGGAAAAATATATTGGACGACAAAGAGTGTTGGAGGGACGTAAGCTTAGTATGAAACTTACAATTTGCTTTTGCCTAAAACAGAGTCGAATTCAATTTTCTTCTTTCGGAACATGTAACTTCCTTCAGACGGAGCCCACAACCCTCTACCACTCAATCCACTCCTCCAACCTCCTCCCCGTCCCCTCTCCCCCCAAAGTCCTATCCCTCAGAAAACTGATATCGAACCCACGCGCCCCTCTTATTCGTCCTCTCATCATCCCTCTCAGCCAAAAACCTAATCTCCACACCGGTTCACAGACATGTGATCAAGAGATTAGGATAAATGCCCCGTTGTCGCGTCTTGTTCTTCGCAGGTTGATTTTTTAATAATATTATTGAAGTAAGCGTTGTTTTAAAAAGTGTATAAAGGAATGGCCAAGTGAGCAGAGGTGAGGCAGTAGAGAGTGCACACGAATAGTGGGTGAAGGTGTGTGAGTACGTAGTGAAGCGAGGGTACGTAATCAAAGCGGCGATGGGCTACCTGCCACGGGGCGAAAAGTTGTTATGTTTAGGTTAAACAACAGGATATCAATCGTCAAGGTGCATCTCTGCCGAAGCAAGCCATCAGCCCCTGAATTTCACTCGAGACAGGGGCATGGAAGTGTCGGAACCCAAGAGAAGCACACAAACAAATGAATGACGAGCCTGCAGAACACTTTCCGGCGAGGAGCTGTGCACTGCCCTGAAGTCGGTGAAGTGAGGACTTTCCTTCCATGAGGAAGAATTGAAAATCGAAGGGTGCGGGCCGAGAGGTAAATCTGTCTGTTCTTCCTAAGATAAATTTGTTTCGCTGCCTTTCTTCACAAGATTGCAGGGAAAGTGGGAACAATTACATTTTGATGCTCAAAGTTGCGCCGAGAAGTTCAACCCCAAAATCCGGAGAGGATTGTTGAAGGCGTTGTCATAGGGGGCCCTCCTCACTCGAGGGTCTGATTGATTCAACCCTGCGAAGCGGACGGAAATAATCTGGAACTCCTTCAATAATGCCACATTTCCTCCTCACGAATTTTTAAGAACTACAACTCCCGGCGCATAATCAAACGGATCACGAATCCAGAAGTGAGACCCGCAGGATCACCTCAGCCCAATTCCGAGCAACCGAAACCCCGCCTGCATGAAAAGTAAGACCTGCAATTCCAAACATCATGATATTGTGGTATAGAACACCTCAAACTACAACAAAACCTTTCTCGAATCTATCCTCCAACGCCATCCATCTATCTAAGATCTATTGCCAAGTCTAACAAAGAGGCAATCTATCCAGCCACACAATTTAACGATGGTACAACGCAACCTCTGCCTAACATGGCCTGATCAACCATCCGCCAATAATGGCAGATTCGCGCGAAGTTGCGCAGACTGCGAAAGTCTTCTCCTCGCATCAAGGTTGCGGCTAGAAGCCATAGCCGCAGCCATCGAGCTCTTGCCCTCCTTGACCTCCTCTTTCCTCCCCTCGACTGCCAACTTCTGCGGCTGCGTCTCCCCAGCTCTGTTGAACAAGTTGCGATACATGTACACACCGCTCCCTTCCGCACCGGCAGTCTCTTCAACGAACTTGCACGCACGCTGGTTTCTCCAGAACGCGGTCCAGAACCCCGTCTTTGTGTCTGCCTTGTAGTGCTGTCCCATTACTCTCTTGATATGTATCGAGGCTTCGCCGGCGTGGTAGAAGGGGATCGTAGACACCAAGTGGTGGCATACGTGTGTGCCGATGATGTCGTGGAAGAGATGCGTGTCGATGAAGCCGAGATCGCGATCGATGGTAGCAGTTGCGCCACGAGCGAATGTCCACGTCTTGTTGTCGTAGTGTGGCATCGATGCGTCGGTGTGCTGGAGGAAGGTGATGGCGACTGTTTCGTTAGTATTGAGCAAGGCGTTTTTGATATTGACTTACCAATCCAGTTGTTCACCCACAGCCACGGCACGCCCCAGAGGACAATCACATTCCAGCTTCCGAAGATCTGGCCGGCGACAACGAGACCGGCGATCATGATTGCAACGCCCAGATCAGACAGCATGATCAATGGGAGCTCGCTCTTCTTGAAGAACACACTGTCTTCTCCGAAATAGAAGTGCATGATCTTCAGTCCCTTTTGACCTTGGTATTTCTGTCCGGTCAGGTTGCAGAGGAGGTATCCGGGCCATCCAAACAATTGGTGGACGATATCGTGCCAGAGAGCCACGATTGGGGAGTCCTCTGCCAATTCGGCGAACTCGATCATGTTTGTCTTGGCATTTTGGCCGCAGTTTGTCTTGACCCAAGACTCCCTGGTGTGCGGCACGAACGCAGTGTCCTTGTCGATGTTGCCAGTCGCCTTGTGGTGCTGGGAGTGGGAGATGCGCCAGGAATGGAATGGGACCAGGAGGAACGAGTGCATGATCAAGCCCATGGTGTAATTGAGCTTCTTGTGCTTGGAGAATCCACCGTGTCCGCACTCGTGTGCCAGGATCCAGATGCCGGTGAAGACGAAACCCTGGACGGTGGTGTATGCAACCCAGGCCGCGAATCGAAGGTAGACATTGGGGAGGAGAGGGATATACGTCACGGCGAGGTAGATGAGGGTCGACAGGTAGCAGTAGTCGCGGACAACGTATGCCATTGACCGCAGGACGGACGGCTTGAAGCAATGGGGAGGAATTGCATCGTGGATTTCCTTCATGGTGAAGGTCGGCAGTTCGAACTCATTGCCGTGGAGATCGAGGTGTTTGGGTTCTTTTGGGGCCATTGTTGCTGGAGCCATGGTGTTATGATCGAGAGAGAAGAAGGGAGAAGGACACTGAGGCTTTATCACGGCCACAGATATCCATTCGGGGGCGCTCCATTTATTTTATTTTCTCAACCCTTTTTTTGGACACGGACCACGCCCAGAAGCCTCACCTCGCTACCGTCCCCACCAGACAGGGCTTGAAACTGACATTCACATCTGGCCTTCAGGAGCTCTGGCACATGCTGTGTGCAGAGTTGCCGGCATGGCATGGGAAAACGAAGTGTTTGTAGCTGGCGCTGCTGATCGCTGCGCTGCTTCACATTCACATGTGAATTTGGTTTCGGCGTGGAGGAAGAAGATTCGTGTGCAAACTTCAAAGCTGACCTCCCGTCCTAGTATGCATGAAGGGTCCAGAGCTAACGCCTTCGGGCCCCTGACACGACTCGCCTGAGGGCTGTGAGTGGCTCGGGTAATTTAATAAGGGATCTCAACGCTTCGAGCATACCGGTCCAAAATTTAGCTTGATCGAGATTAGGCGCGACCGGGGACGGGGACGTGGGCCCAGAAGCGAGGGCGCAGTAAAGGGGCTGAGGCGTTCGATTTTTTTTGTCTCCACTTTAAGAATTAGTACAAAGAGGGCCTCCCTAGTATTCGAGAGAAGCCTCTGAAATTATTATGAGGCTTGGCAATAATGTCTTATTTCTTATCGTTTTAAGTTTAAAAGCAAAGAATAGTAATAATAGTTTATCCCTAAATAATAGCATTGTCTACTAACTAGCTTCCTTTTTAATTCTCAGTAATGAAATCTTATCTATGTGGGTACGACAATCTCTTATTAATAAGCCCTTTCTCTTAACAGACCTTTCTCTAATAAGTAAAGTATTGCAATGATTTTTTGGGGCTCTGAACCCCGAAACCTCACGCAATTTTAGGGCTCAGAACCTCAAAAATCCGCGCATCTCGGCAAAGATTAAGTTATTAAGTGTGCTAAAGAGAAGGAGCTTTAGAAATTAGCAGACCTAGTCGCGTGGTTCACTATTACAACGAACTCCTAGCGAGGAATGCCTTACCTTAAGGTACTTGTCTAATTTAATATAAAAGGGGGTTGGAAAAAGTCCTTAGCAAAGTTTCTAGATACGGAGAGTGAGAGTGAAGTCACTGTGTTTTCTTCTATCTTGACTTGAGACTCAATATAACGGGCTAGAGCTGGCGAACTCAAAAAGGTGTTAAGAATACTTGGAAGCACGGAAGAAGAAAAGGGGAGTGTGATCTGCTCAGTTTATACGTACCCGCTGAGCACCTCAATTGTGGAAACTCCTGCACTGCGGGCAGCACCGCAACGCACAGTTCTATACTGCCGGAATTGTCTCTAGTGATTACATGGCTCGGAATACTGCATTCAGTCGCTGCTGAGACTGCATACATAGCTTCCTGAATGCCCCCGGCTGCAGCAATTGGGATGGCAGAGGCTCAGCTTCAGGCCAGCCATGCGGGTGGTGAAACTTGATCTCAGCCTCATTGCTTCCTGAGGAGATAAGGAATGAGGCTAAATCCAGCATCCCTTTGAATATCTCCCCTTCTTATCGCCGAAGCAGCCCACCTCGAATGCAGGGCTGCCCAAAGATGTTGTAGTTTGCTCTCTCCTTAGCATTTGGTCTCTGAAGCCAATACGCTAGAGCCCCGCATGCATGCCAGGACCCGGACGACTGGCCCTTGTTCCTAAATGGAAAATCATAATAAAGATCTGAGGTTAGAATATTAGTTTTCACTTAGGAATAGCACTTCAATTCAATTCAATATAGTTACATTCCAGTCTATGTCCGTTGTGCCAAGGACCCACAGGGCATAATTCATTAAAATGCACTATATTACCCAGACTTACAAACGCGATCTTTGTAGACACCTTAATTCTTAGAACAGGCACTATCCGCCTTTGGCCCAAGTACGTCTTTGCTCGTGCAACACTTGTAGAACCAAACGCCATCAATCAAGTTCGGCAATACGCCGTCACTAGCGGGTCTGCTGCCGCACTATCCCACCAGTTAGGAAGTCTTCTACTTTCGTAATCTACAGCGGCTTACATATTCTCCGGTGAATGGAACACCGGCGGGCCCTCCCGCCGTTTGTCTTTCTAATACCGTTAATACGAACGACCTTCTCTACTTTCTGTCTTAACTTACCCATTGCTGCACCGTTACCGTGCCTGATACAGCATGTAGTGGTAGCCTGGTATTCTAGAGCGCCACCGGTCCGGCCTTGGCAAGCGCAGAAGTTGTGGGTGTTGCCCAGAACGAGGGTAGAGCAACTAAGTTTGGTTAAATCTTGAAACCTCATCGCAAATTTGGAGGTCGAACCTAATCAGAATAGCTATTGCTGCCAGAAGCTTCATTTTCGCGACGTTAAAGATAAAGACGACTTCGAAAAGTTGTTCGAGCTTGATGAGTCTAACAATAACAGGGTGTTTACGCGACTACCTTAAATTTGTACCGCTGGCCGGTCTTGTCACAACTGACAGAGACGGGCCACAAGGTATAATCACGTGGGGTGTGGTAGGGACTCCTGACCAGGACAATGGACAGTTGGCACAGCTGAGTAGATTATGAACGCATTACTAGTAGGTGTAAAATACTGTATTAAGTTGAGCACGAAGCTCCTAACTAACGGGACAAGCGTCTAGTTTATATACGGAGATCGCGGCATAAAGTGACGGGATTACGGGGCATTTGGGCTCTTGGCATCCCTAGGGCACAATTTAGGGGTTGAACCCCGTTGTGAGACCCTACTCTCCCCCGGGGCTAAAGGTTATTTGGTGACCCGAGTAAGAACGGTGTGTAGGTATTGGTAGAATTCCTTGTCTGTGGCGCTGTACAGAGCAAAATATGGTCTGTGTATCAAATCTAGGGTCGCTATAGAAGGTTCAAGAAGACTTTGGGCAGTAGAGCCTCTGAATTCCAGCGTTTTCTATTCGATAAATCCCTTGTCAGATACCCTGGAAAAGGTCTCAAATCACCTTTAGCCCGGGGGGAGGATAGTATAACTTTAGGCTAGAAGGCCTAAGCAGATCCCAAGAGGCGCTGTAAGACATTCACAATGTATGAGAATATCTCCACGGGCAAATGCCGTTGCTGGTAGAGCGACGATAGCCCTTGGACGCTAAACGGGTAGTTACGATAGGGCTCTTTAGCGAGGTATCCCTTTTAAGTACAAGGGAGAAGCCCCAAAAAGATATATAGTCGGTCCGATCCAAAAGCGACCAAAAAAAAACCAACTATAATACTAATTAATATGAATCATATTAATTAAAACTATACTATATACTCTAGGAGTTAATTTTATATTCTCAAAATTATAATATCTTTATTATTAAGGAAGTTATAATACACGTGGCCTTAACAAGCAAATATATTCGCGTTTGTATAGGAAAAATCAAAAAATTAAAAAGGGTCCGTGTACTTTAAGCCTCAATTAATAATGAATCACAAATCGTATTAAAAATCTGATTAATAGGTATTTTTTGCCTGCTTCTATTCTATAATCGCATCACTTAGTATAAATTAATTGGGGTTGTAGTTAAAAAGTTATTATGGGCGTAAAAGAGCGACCGTTTTGTCGCTTTTGGATCGGACAGACTTTAGTACCCCTTGCTCCCGTCTTCTAGAGTGTTTTTGGGCAATGGCCTACAAGTAGAAATATAGGGCAATTTGGTAGCCGAGTGCGCAAGAAACGGACACTGAAGTGCCGTTGAAGCCCAAATACCCCGTAATCCCGTCACTTTATGCCGTGATCTCCGCACTCATCTAAATGTAGCGAGACAGGGGAGTCCGGGGCTGGTACAGACTAGAAAGTCAACGGCAAGAGCTTTCATTGGGCTTCACTCCCTGTCTGGCTCGCTATATTTAAATGAGTAGGTTACTAGAATTACAGAACTATACTTACTATTAAATTATTTTTGCCTGAACCTAAAATTAATTGCTCGAAAAGAAAATAAACTTAATATAAATAACTTTTTACGTCTCGTGCTAATCTTGCTCTTTTGCAAGTTATATAACCGCTAGATTATTGCAAGCCAGTGCTAACATAAATAACATTCATCGAGACATTTCTATATAATAGACCGAATCTAAAGCAGTGTAGACTCCAACTGTCAATATGAAGCTCCTTCTCACCCTCATTCTCCTTTCTTCCTCAGTGCTCGCATTGCCATGTGCAGCCAATTCTCCGGACGCCGGGTAAGACGATACCTGCCAGAAATGAATGTAGACTGACACAACTAGATGCGCCGTTGCTATACCGGTCCGTGATGTCGCTGTCATCGATTCTGCTAATATAGAAGTACGCACTAAAGGGTAATGCGTCTTGAATTTTAGAGGTTATAGTTTAAGTCCTAACTTGAAGAGCAGCCTTGAAAGCGCGGCCATTATTAAGAGAGACTTTAATGACATTCCGACTCCCGTTCAACCAAACGCAGTGTATCGCCTTTTGGGCGCCGTTTCCTTCACCGTCACTCAGATTGCTCCCGGCATATTGGAGATGGCTGTTCGAAATCAATTAACGAGAGGTGTCACTGCGGGTCTCTCATACACCGAAGGCAGCGATCAAGAAGCAACGTCTACTAGCGTGGGCCCTCGCAGTGTCCAGATGTTACGGATTTACCCGCCTAGAAATTTTGGCGGATCGTTCGAGATCACTGCCAACCGGATGTCTTAAATACCGGGCCAAATGCGTTGAACGTCGCAATATTTTCTCCTTCAGCCTGAACCCGTTGCATTTTGAGCGGGGTGTCCATACTCAGCCTTGGCAGTGACCTTGGCGCTAGGGGAGAGGAACACTACTGGTTCTCTGGTTTGCGGCATATGGGGATATAAAGAGGAGGCAGACCACCCAGGTTGCGTGCATTGCGTAGCTAGGGTAAGATTGGTGGTTAAGTGATAATTCTAGGCTTAAATAGCTTTCTATATACTTCAAAATACATTAGTTCCATTTAAACAAGCGGCTCTTAAATGATCTAAAGACCCGAGAGGCCTTCGCTGAGAGCACCTCCCTTGAATGACGCTGTACGGAACTTGATTAGGCACACATATTCCTATAGTATTCATGAGACAGCCGGTTCTCTCATCCTACGAGAGGGGACCACAATACAGGTATAGAAGTGAGACTTGCATTATTATCTTCGCTATATATTATTCTCGATATTCTATTTCACAAAAACAATTAAAAGATAATGAAACAAAAATAACTTATATTTGTAATCTAGTAAACTTTCTATAGTTTATAAATATAAATCAATTAATAAATAATATTAATATATAGCTCAAATATAAAATAATTATAAATAAAATCATATATTTTTAAAAGAGTTTCTTTTAATATTAATTTCAAATTAAAAATAAAACATTATAACTCTTTTATAAAATACTAAAATATATATTACTCGAATTATATTTCTAATTTAAAAAAAGAATTTATTAATATATAAACTTTTAACTTTAATAATTATTAATATTATATTTTCTAAAATTATTAAAATCATTTATTATTATAATTATATTAATAAAATCCTTAAATAAATTAGTAATAAGAAATATAGTTTTTTATATTATATTTATATAAAAATATATTAGTTTTTTTTAAGATTTTAGAAATTTTTTTAAAGAAATAAAAGCAAATAAAATGAAAGTAGCTAGAATTATTATAATTATATAATTTTTAATATTATAAAGCTTAATATTTTTAGAAATATTTTTATATATAATAGATTTCTAAATAGATTTCTAATAACTAAATATAATTATATAATTCTTTAATAATAATAAATTTCTAAATATATAAAAGTTTTATAATAAAAATAAAAAACTTTATTTTTATAAATTTATTTATAAGTTTTTTTAAAAATATAAATAAAATATTCGATTTTAAAAAAGCTACTAATAAAATAACCCGAATTAATAAAGGCTTTTAAAGCTTTAAAAGCCTTAATAAAATTAATAAAATTTTAAATTATATAATATTCTAAAAACTTAATTTATTATATTTTTTTAAATTAAGTTCAAGAAGTGTCACAACAAGAGCGCAATTTTGGTTCTGACGATTTTACTGGAGTCCATGAAGAAACACCATGGTGGACTAAGTATGCAAAGCCCGAAGTGATGAGACAGAGAATACTAACGGGTCAATCCCAACACTCCTTCACTCCAAAGCAACGGCAGAAGACCTCAAACGATTCATGCAAATTTCGACGACAGAAAAGGGAGGATTGCAGATTACTGTATGCATACGATGCTCAGGAGTCGAGGTAGAATGCAGACAAAGTGCAATCTCCAAGTATTTTCAAATGAAAGAGGGACGAAAACTAGCTACATTAAAAAATGAATTGAGCTACCATAATGAATGTTTCCTACTAGGCTTCAAAGAGGGGAAACACTACCCGATGCACAGGTCTCTCCCAAAAAAAATCACATCATTGCTGCCCGATAGCTCGGATACCACACCCTGTTCCACCAAGGGTTTGAGCCTCTTATCTTTTGTACCGGATTCAACACCTTGACTGTCGTCGCCTTCTTTTTCCGATTGGCGGGAAGACTCCCCTGCCTCTGATTCATCTATGAGTTTCCTTTTCCTCGAAGTCTCGCTTTTATAATGACCCGCAATACCAGTTATCCTGCTCATCCCGTGGGCAAGGACAGAGCGATTAAACACAATTTCCGCATGATAGAACAAAGCCCCAGCAGTCACACTACCTTTGAATGACGAAAGTTCACAAAAGAGATCGTGTTCAAAACTTTTGCGGGATAGTAGGTAGTCTGTCGGAACCTTGCCGGAGATGTTCGTAGGATCAATACCTGCTGCCAAGAATGCCTCAAGCACTGCAACATAGCTCTCCACTAGGCGTGGTGTGATTATTGTTGTGGAACCAGATTTTTGAATGTTTCCCAGAGCGCCAAAAGCGGCAGGCCATCGAGGACCCGCTTTAAGTCTAGGCAGAGCGTGCGGTAAACTGTACACATGATCTGAGCTCAGCTCGAGTAGCACACGTACCATCTTGCCTTTTGGAAATGGCACAGATGGCTCAAAATGTTCGGAGCTACAAAGGGCGTACAAAAGAGCTCCCGAAATCTCGGGCTGCCTTGTTTTGATCTTATTACCCAAGATACTCCTCACGTACCCGGACAGGCCGAGAATTGTGGATCCTAGCAACCAATTATTATCCTTGAAGTTCGCCGTGATATGCGGCGACTGCGGGATCCAGCATGCCCTCCATGTATTGTAAACCTCAAGGTATTTTATTTGATCATCGATGGATCCATCATCATCATCATCAGCGTGGTGCGCATAGATGACAACATCCTCTGCAATTCGAAGATGATCCTTATTGAAGCCTATTTTAAAAACCTTCTGGTGCTGGGACATTCCAAGGAGCGCAATACTGCTGGACAGTTCCCCTGTGTACGTGTTGACTTGCGAGAAGCCTTTCGACATGAGCATAGTGACTGAAGCTCTCAACATTGCGAGATCTGGTGAAAATCTTGATTGATTGGTACAAGAGATGATCCTGGACCATTGAGACTCTTGCTCTAGAAAATCGCGAGCAGTGCTGTGCATATAGACTATCGTGGAGCCTTGAGAGATCGTGGTAGGGCCCTTCGGCACGGAAACTTCTAGAAGCCCGGCACAGCGTGCAGTGAGGTGGATCCGTGTATCCTCACACCTCATTTCCAATTCATCTTTTGACATCTCTTGAATAACTTCTAATTCTGCGTCGTCACATAGAGCAGCCAAGAGAAACACCACAGTCAGAGGAAGCGCACTGACGCTTGGAGGAGCCTGTTGAGATTCCAGAAAGTCTGGAAATTTCGAGGTTGTTGTTATGGATGTCTTTTGGAAGGGATCAAGCTCCAGTTGTCTCGTCCTTCTCATTATCTGGAATGTTTTTGATGCCCATTCAAAATAAACAGGTTCTATCTGCGTCAATAAGGTTTTGTACAGGGGGTAAAGCTCCCCTGGAAATGACCTTAACCGTGTCCAAAGTTGGGCAATGGAATCCCGATTGTTGGCACCTCGCAAAAGCTGCTTGATGACCACCTCGACCCAGAGAAATACCCCCTGTGCCTTTTCCATGATCTCGACTTTCAGAGATTCAAGAAGCTGTGGATCTCGATTTGCTAACCTCATGAAAGCTTGACTACCCTGGAGTTTGGCTCTAACATAAATCTCGATGTCCTTGAATGTGAGATCTTGCAATTGAAGTTTAGGGCAATGCCCGAGATTTTCCTGGAATACTACCCAAGGTCGGCTTGAGAGGCAGAATTTTGCCGTCCCCGATCTCTTCTCTAGTCTTCTGAAAAGCAAGCAAAGCTGTTCGGTGTCTCCGCTAAACTCGTCAAGGCCATCCACAAAGAAGCACAAGCTCATTTGATATTGTTGTTGCTCAACAAGCCTCTCAAATGCTTTATGAAGCTCTCGAAGCGACCAAATTTTTGTTTTGATTTGGTGCTCAAGAGTCGGTGGTTTGTTATAATTTTCTGCCCATTGTACAGGGAGAACAAGAGGGATAATATTGGGATTATGATCAAGGACTTGGAACAATAGCGATCGAAGAAGTCCTTGCTGGCTTTTCTGCATGTCTGTGCCGCTGTTCCAAAAGAAAAAGGTTGAAATGCAACACTGACTGGTGGTAGATAGTCTCTTGTGATCCCACTCCCGAAGGTACTCGGCCGTGTGGCGGCTGTCATAAATGTGTTTCATCAAGGTGGACTTTCCAGAACCTGCTTTGCCATTGATCCAGTATATATTAGCATCCTGTCTTAGCCATTCCGCGAAGTTATTCCATGGCGGATCCGATTGCTCTGCACCACAAAATATCCAGTCAAATGTTTTAAAGTGCGCCTCTTCTATTTCCTCGTACCGATTTGTCATGTGAGGGTAGGATAATTGCTCGAGAATTGTTCTATTCACGACGCCCCGTAGCAGAGATTCCTTTTCAGGCCTGACATTCAGCATTTCGACTCTAGCTGTAATAACGTCCATGGTAGCTTCGGAAGTGATATCTTTTCTCAAATCTGCAATCATTTGACGAGTTTTGTGGTGCGCATCCTCACTGATGCATTCCGATCGACATATCAGCGATGCTAGAGACTTGACAAGCTCCTGGGACAAGCTTTCATTTGTGCTGAGGATGGCCTCGAGAATTCGTTTCGTCTGCGTGTCCAAAGCGTCGAATCGACTTGACAACGAAAGGCGGGTTGCATCAATATTCCCTCTAGCAAGGTTAGCCGAAAGATGGCAATACATGTCTTCCAAGGCTCCTACTTACCCCATCCTGAGCAATAATCGTGGCGTCAAAGACGCACTAAGAGTTGATAACCTTTCCCTTAATGCCAAAATTTCTTTCTTCGACCATGCGGTCCTTATTGTAGCCCTGAGGGTTTGACACACACGATGCTTTCCATCTTTCACTTTCAAATCACTAAGTTTGCGCAATAACTCTCCGGCAATCAACGAAGCGTTGTTGCAAATTTCGAGATAGCTGTCTCGGTACTCATCAATTTCTGCTTGTGATTTCAGGCTTGAAGCCGGTGGAATAGAGTTTTCTGGACCCGCGTCCGCGCGAAGCTTTACGAGTACAGCTTGCAGATCTCCAGTCGCGAGTTTTAGTTCCTCGCTGACCTTCAGTGACCCCTGGGTAGATGTGTAGAGCTCCACACTGCTAGACAGCATTTTCATTCCAAAATCGACGAACTGGATAATGGTTCCTGCGACCGACAATGCCGATAATGGATCCATAACGTGCAAGGGAAATCATACGAGTGGCAGTTGAACGTCAAATGCGTTGTCACGGCCCGTCCGTATTGATACGAGGTGTTGCGAGCTCCTCCTGTGAGTGTTCGCTCCCGTGTGAGGCTACAGCAGCCCGGTCCAAAAGAGTCGAGAGCTCGACCTCCCCAGACAGAATATTCGTCGCCAGTCAATCCCCGAATAACTTGGAGACACCTGGACTGTGATCGCTTGTTGATGAATTTGGGATGAACTAGGCGACACGACATCTGAAGAAAATTGCTTCGCTGGCGCTGGCGAGGCACACTCGGGTCTGTGGCGCAGTGCATGACAGCCTCGTTTTTCATGCCGTGCAACCATTGGGGATTTACTGTGGGGAGATTTGATTCGTTGGAGATGTAGAAAAGAGAAAGAAGTCAGGTCAGTCACTCTATGAGGCGATTCGCGGTGTCTTGACAGCCAAGCCTAGACTATTCTAGGTTAAGTGTCATGGGAAGGACCAGACCTTCTGTACCTTAGTCCCTTAGTCAGCGGCATCCACGCTAGCCTCCTTAAGAGGCAGTGGCGGTTCGTCCATTAAAATGCATACATTTTGATCTCTTCTTCTTCCTCGACATGGTAGCAATACAAGGTTAATTATATCAAGTAATCCTTCGTAGATCAAGAAGGGATCACGCGCTTCCGCACCATACAAAAATTCCCCGAACGCCGATAAATTTGCTTCCGCCATAACCAACCACACCTTATAGAGCAATTAATCCATAAAGGAACCATTACAACCATCTCCCGGCCATCTTACGGACCGAGGAAATCTAGACCTTGGCTCCTTATCAAGTACCAAGGAAGAGCCCTCGAGTACGTAATTCAATTAGGTCTATTAATTAGTTAAATACCACACCCGACCAAGTCCGGTCGCAAACCATATATTACTGAACTTCAAATCATCGAAATCCATAACCAATTCCATCCAGAATTACCTCGCAGATCCAGAACTTACCTTCTTATAGAAGCCAAACAGGATCCCGAGTAAATCATTAGTTCATAGCTTTATCCGACCTTGGTACTAAGCTAATACCCCTCCATATATTATAGCCGGGGCCGAGGCAAACCCTGGTAACCAAGAGGATTAAACGGTTAATTTATTAAAAAATCCAAGTCCAAATCTCCCGAATCCTCAATTTCCTTATCTCCCGTTATTAGTAAATACTATTAATGGCTGCCACTAGTTCCCGACCGTCTCTTAGACCGGCTTCGTATAACTAGCTCGGTATAACTAACCACTATATAACTAATTAATATATAACCGACTAACATAGTATAACCTGCAATTATATTATAACCTGTTCCTACTCCTACGGTTTCCCCTCTTTCCCCTTCAGAATACAGACAGCCACAAGAGTTATAGGACCTCTAATCCGCCCTTATATTAACGGTTTCCTCTATAGAAGGTCCCTTACTAATATAACCAAAACAATATCGAATCTCCCATTACCGGATTATATCCCTTCTATTAGACCTTTAACAGATTCATAAAGAAGCCTTCCCTATTAAGGAATATATCGAGAATCTAGTATTTACCCAGAGATAACCGTTACCTCAATTACTATCTACAACTTCTAATACCTCCCACAAGATTCCTAACTTGTCTAACCATACTTTACTATTAAAGTAACTATAATTAAATCCGGAAGGAGTATGGAATCTCTTTATCGAAATAGCTGGATTAGCTAGACCAAGCGGTAATAATAGTCTAAAAGGAAGCTTTGGTACCCCGAATGACTTTTACTCTAAATAATCTTGGAAAAGGAATACTATACTTATTATTATTCTCGTAGATAAGATAGATACCGGAGCCTTTCTATATCTTAAAAGCCATCTCTCGAATAAAGATATTAGGGAAGCCACTACTATTATTAAAACCATAAATAAGAAAACCAGAACGGAATTCAAAGACTATACCGAGAATACTATTAGTACTCAAACCTTATATATTAATAATATTAATCTCTTTATACGTTTTATAGATCGTTTCAAGTCCGGACCGACCCCGGAAGATAATTAAGATAACTCGGATAATCCTCTACCTAATAGATTCGACTAGAACTATAGATATTATAGTACCCTGGACTATAAATCTCTTTTCGGAAAGGGCAAGAAGATATAAAATAACCGGAATAATAGAAATAGCAGTAATTAAGATTATATTTACTATAAAGAAAGTAATAATTATTATTATATAAACAAGAATACCCATAAGTTAACTTGCCGAGATACTTATCGAGGAAACCCAGGCAGTAACCCGGATAATAGCTTTGACTTTTCCGAAGATAGATCTTATCAAGGATCCTATTAAAGCTTCTATCGAGGCAATCGAGATTATTAATACCGTTACGGATCTACTAATTACCAAAATAATTATAGCAACTCCTATTAAGGAACCTTTAGAGGAACCCGGTACCTACGGGTTAATAATATTAGAACCTTTAATAGCTCCCTTTTAGATACAACCGCTATTATATATTATAGATACCTTATATTCTTGGCTATAACCTATAGTAAATAACCGGTCCTTATAACCCTTCCGCTTTATATAAGAGAGAAAGCCCTTAATTAGTTCTCCGGACTAAATAAAGATATAACTATACTTATAGCCGAGAGTCTTAAAGAATAGAAGATCTAATTAATCCGATAATTCAATATAAATACCTTATAAGCTCTTTTAAAGACAGATATAATAAAATACTTATTTATAGATAAATTAGTCTTGGATATATATAAGTATATTACCGAAAAGCAAGGCTTATATATAGTAGCCGGAGAAAAGAATAAAGATCTAATTATATACTATATCTATAATAAACTAGATCTAACCCTGGCCTTAACTATTAGTTTAAGGAATAGCTATAATACTATAAATGATTTCTGTTTTAAGGTCTATTTAGTAGAATATAAAGCTCGAGCTTAATACTAATAATTCTAAGACTAGCTTCAAGCCTAGTTTAAGATAATAGAGGATAGATTTTCTATAAAATAATTATACCAGGAATACTTTTCCGGATAGGTTCTATATTATAACTAACTATACTAATAGCTATACTCCTAAAACTGGATAGTAAATCAAGTATAATCGCCTCTATAGTATACTATTCCAACTACTATATTATAGTAATCAAAGAAACCAAAGAATATTAATAGTACCTAGAAGGAATTAGGAAACTCTAATATAATTATAGTTCTATCTATTAGATACTTTAGCCCTGCTAATTAATAATAATAAGCTATTTTCGGGGAATCCCAACCATACTATATAGTTGCGGCGCCTCCTATTATTATAACCCCGGCTCCGGTTTATTAATCTTAGTATAAACGCCCATACCTATAACCCGTATATTAATCAAATTAGTATAATAGATAAGGAAACTAGAATGATTATAATCGGAATAACTGGAATAACCGTAACCAAAACCGAAATAACTGGAATAACCGAAGTAATTGGGATAACTATAATCGATTTAATAACCAGCCAGTTACTATAATAATAGTTAATACTAACTCTAGCTATAAGAAGTATATACTCGTTAATAAAGAGATATTCGACTCTTATTAATAATAGATCTGTCTTCCGATTAGATCTTAACTATTTTATATAAATACCCCCGGTACTACCGGAACCCTATATATAGATAATACACCCTCCCCTTTACTTACCAAGAAGGGAAACTCCCAGGGCAGTTCTTAGTAGGATACTAACCGCCTTATTAGTATATTCTACTATCTATACTATAATATCCTTAGAATCTAGTTAGTACGGATACAGATTACTCTTATAATAAACCATTAAGCTATACTATTTATATACTACGAACTACAGAAATCCTATATTCTTCTGGGAAATAGATCTATATATTACCTATAGTATATAAGCTATTAGTCTCTAAAGATAAAGATAATAATAGATTTATTTATATTAATTCAAAAAAGAAATTAAGATTTCCTAAAACTTTAACTATATAGATTAAAACTATACGAGAAATAAAGAAGCCGGAAGCTTTCCGAGTCTCCTTTACAAATCTACTATATACTACTATAGAATCCCCAAATAATACCTCTGAAACTATAGCCCCGGAAAACTTATTAAACTCAATAGTTACCTAGATAATTCTACCAGATCCGTTCCTGTCTGACTTTACTTAACTTATCCTAGCCAAGATCTTAAAGAACTTATCTAAGACTCTAATAAATAGTCTTCTCTCTAAAAATACGGCTCGAAGATTTATTAAAGCTATAGAACTTCTCCCTACTAGACGGAAACCACCCCGAAAAGCAGCTAAGGGAAAAACTATTTTAGTAATACTCCTGAATAGTATCTAGTATATACTAAATACTAATACTTATATTATAATATATATAAGCAAGGGAATCCCGATTATATTATATCCGGATACCGGATCCCCTATTAGTCTTATTAACTGTTCTATATTAGCTAAGAGATTCCCAAATATACTAATTAAGACCCTTAAGAACGGTAATTAGCTAGCTTTTTAGGGAATAGGCAAGGGACCTATAACGAACGAGTATATAAATATACTTATCTATTATAAGACTACGGAATATGAGATAGTAGAATTTCTTATTATCCGGGTCTATATTATAAATAGACTACTAGAGAGTATCTTCTTTCTTGGTTTAAACTTTATTATTCCGAATACTCTTAATTTCCGATAGGAATATAATAGATCTCCTCTATATTATCTATAAATAGGAGACTCCAATTCGTATATTCTACTATATACCAAAATTATAAAGGAGATAGAGAAACCTAGGCCAGTAGCCATTTACCTTATAGAAACTATTATTCTTGAATCCGGATAAGGCCAGAACTTACTAATCTGTTATTATACTTTACTAACTATAAAGAACGGATATCTTTTTAACTTCCTCTCTTAAGCAGATCTTGCTTTTGACAAATTCGGGACTATAATAAACTATATTATAAACGGAATCCAGGAGCTACTACTCTTTACTAATTTCGGTAAAGTACTAATTCGGATACTTGCCGGTACTTTTTTTAGAACTCTCAAGGAATGCCCTAAGATAACTTCTTATCCGGACTTACTCGAAATATATAATGTCTTTATAAGCTTGGCAGATATAATTTAAGGGATCCTACTACCTAATATTACGGAACTAGATAAAAAATATCCTGCCGGATATCTATTCCTTATATGGCCTCTTACCGAGCCAGAACCGGAACTAGATAAAGCGGATATCTCTATATACTAGGGAGATAATATATATATAAAGATCCATAATATACTAGAGAAGTATAAGGGA